GATCCCACTGACTCTATTCTCCTTTGCACCTTTCTTCTTGTTATCTTTCCGTACAAGACCCGGGAGATCAACAATGGTCCAGTGCATCTCGTCCGGACCCGATCTCTCAATGCGCAGGGTGGCATCGCTCAGACTCAAGTTCTTGCCGCGGTGGTCGCGAAAAATGCACTCCGTCGCCTACACAGCACATCAGTCGTTCGCATCCATGTCAAGTAAGATCTGTGAATAGAGGCAAACCTTTTCAATAATCTCACTCATGTCTTCCGGACCCAGCGCTTTCTTCTCGACCGCAAACTCCTTGATGCGAGCGAGCAGCGCCTCGTCACCCTCCGACTGCTGTCCTGGCACAATCGTGGCCTTGATCGGGAACTCCTTGGCCACAGAGGTTTGTCGAAAGGAAATCTGCGTTGGGAATCGCGTGCATGTTCCGGCGTTGACAGGGAAAGAGACTTCGGTGATGGCCTGAAGCACGGAGCTCTTCCCCGTGCTTTGGTCGCCAACAACCACCAGCTGGTCGGCATGAGCAATTGTCAAAACTTCCACTGTTATTCGGGTGGACTCACCTCCGGCAGATTGATGGTGCTACTCAGCCCAAGCGCCTGAAGCTCATCGATGAAGGCCAGCTGCTCCGAGCTCTCGACGCCCACGAAGTGACGCAATCTTCCCATTGTCGGTTTGTCAGTTCTGGTCGCGGGGGGTACAGTACTGGGTGTGTGAGATCATTCCCTTTGCTTCTGCGAAACCCCGCACTCCGGATTGCGGGAATCATTCCCACTTTTAAAGCTTCTCTCTAAGCGCCAAGTTAGAACGAGACATTGCTGGGAGTGAGGGGTGGCCCAGCCACGGTCTTGTCCGCTGTCGAGTTGCAGGGGGGTGATGGGACTACTGTAAGTCCTAACAGCCGCTATCCAGCCACCCCTGCATCCGCGCAATGCTGTCATTTGTGGATAGATTGATCGCGCCTCACTAGCCATGATAGCGAGTCATGGCTGTGAGATACACTATTGGTCGCCAGCTTTATCTCATGAGAGTGACCAGGAGTGTGTGACAAGGGGGAAAGTGCTGAAGTTGTCGATTGGAGAGTGCTGCCAGGGGTACAGACGCGTCTGCGTGCACAGCCCAGCATGTCCATCCACCACGACCCGGCACGGCAGGTTTTCTTTGGACGCTATAGTCGGGATACTGCATCTGGTTGTTGGTCTCGTTTTGGGGGTTGGAACAACAGAAGAGCTTACTCTGTGCGGCTGGTATTCTGCGAGATAGAGATGCTTTACTGTTCAAATAAGACACCAGTCAAGGCACATGACAAAATAAATTCAGGCTTTAGAATCAGACTGCTTGATAACACTTCAACTCCTCCAAAAGCAAAACACAGTCAGATACACGTGATGCTAGGACCACACTAACATGCCAGGATCCCACTACACCCATCGGCTGATCTAGACACCACCCGCCGCCCTAACAAGAAACAACTCCTCATACGAATCACGATCATTCTTCAACCTCTCCCCACAGAACACATTATTCACCCCGTTTCCACCCTTATCGACCATCCTCCAACCGTTACCCACCTGCAAAACGCCCACGAAAACCCCAACAACCATCGCAATCATCCTAGGCCCAAAGACCGCCTTAGCGGGACACTCAAACGGCGCACCGCCAAAAGGCATGTACGCCTGCTTCTGCACATCCGTGACAGCCCGCCAGCGCAGCGGATTGTACTTCAGCGCATCTCGTCCCCAGACTCCACTCGCCAAATGACAAGCCTCCACGTCCGCGGCGAAGGTATCCGAGTTTCTCGCACCGTTCTCCTCCCATTCGAACGCGCGGTAAATCCGCCTGGTCGGGGGGTACAGCCGCAGCCCCTCCGCCACTAAATCCTTGGCGGAGACGCCGTCTGCTCCCGGGGCTTCGAACTGTGTCTTCGTGGGGTTTTCTGCGAAAGCGGTCATCGTGGCCGTCCAGTCGAGATGAGTCTGGCCCGTGTTGAGCAGGAGTTCCAGGACCATGCGCAGGTTGATTCGCCAGCTTGTCTCGAAGCCGGGGAGGATCCAGCATAGTGGGTTTTCGCGGGGGTTGGTCCTTTCAAAGGTGGGGAAGAGGGCGGAGAGGGAGGCTTGGAGGTCAGGGTTGTGGGCGAATTCGATGAGATCGACGTCGTTCTTGGAGGATACCCAGGCGCGGTTGATGGCCTGAGCTAGGGAGACCATGTGCTTGTCGGCGTCGGGGAGGATGTCTAGCTCCGCGTTGAGCAGTGTGGTCAGGATGATCCTGAGTGAGAGGGACTGGACTACGCTTGCGAGGTGGAGACGGTGCGCTGTGCTGGTGAGCTCGTTAGCTGTGGATTGGAGCCTTTTGGCCAATTGTTCCCAGTCTTGTGCTTTGAGGTTGATCAGATGCCTTGCGTTTCTGACAAAATGAGTCGCGTACTCTTCGTCTGGGGTGGTAAAGGCGTTTTCAATCCCAGAGACGAAGGCTAGTCGGGTGTTTGGCCGGATTCGCGCGCGGTGAGGCGAGAGGCCGTTGTTGCGGGCTCGGAAGCGATGGCCCTGGATGAGGGCGCGGCATTCTGTGGGCTGATAGGTTTTGTTGCGTGGGTGGTTCAGAAGACTGATCTTGAAGAGGCCGAAAGCGATGACATTAATGGCACTGAAGATAAGAATCAGCAGATTCAGTGCGCGGAAATCTTGCAGCATGGTGGATCAGGTCTTCAGGCAAGAAACTCTGAGGGTGTTTCTGGAGAGTTGATGGTTTGTTGTGGAAGAAATCCAGAGACATCTTGATCAGGAAGAAGGACTTTCTATCTCAATCTATCTTTGTCATGCCAACGTGTGTGGTGAATGTGCTGAACTGGGTATCTTTGGGTCCCCACATGAGACATGTGGCACGGAGATAAAAAGTGCGGGGAAAGGAGATTAATGTAATTTAACAAGATGAATGGTTGATATAACTATGAAGCTGTATCATGGTTGGATGGATGTATTTCATACATGGTGGAGTTAGGGCTAGCTTAAGAGGTGAATGAAGGTATGTGGATGTGCCTGGCAGGGACTGCGAAGAAGACCACACCAGTGCATACACAGTGATCTTTGTCAAAAGGCCTCTTGTTGCAATGCACCACCCAAATATCTATAACTGCACTTGTGAGATAATACAAGACATTCTAAAGCTCTTTCATTAGCTTGCATGCCTCTGCTCTTTGAATGTCTTTTGGAGATCGGGTACTTGCCTCAGGGGTGAGGAACTGTCGTTGTGGTAAGCAATTTGATTGAACCTTTTTTCAAGGCCTAACCGTTTTTTTTCTATTTTATTGGTGGTTTTTCTTTCTTTTTTTTTCCCTTGGTGATTAATGTGGTGTTTTTCGAGAAAAAGGCACGCTTAACGTGCTCCATTCTCATGTGGCTTTTTTGGTGTTTTCTGTTTTTGTTTCAGCGAGGCTTCTGAGGATCAGGCAGGATAGTAAAACTTACTCCACCTCGGACAACTCATCTTCCTCACCATCCTCGTCTTCCTCATATTCCGCATCGTCTTCCTCATCGTCGTCGTCTTCATCGTCATCACTAAGCTCTTCAACCCTAGGGCCTACAATGCGGCCATCATCCCCGCCAGCATTCGAGCGACCGTCAGCGACCCACTCTTCCCACCAAGCCACCTCGGCCTCATGATCGTAGGTCACCCCTTGGGGCGGAGGGCAAGGCGGCTCATCGTTCTGGAGCTGTGCGCGTACGATACGGATTTCCGCCTCGACCAGGTCGGAGTGAGCGTCGGGATCACCGGCAATCAGCGCGGCACGCATCGCCTTGATGACCCCGGCGAGGTGCAGATCCAGCTCGCCTTCCAGGAGCAGCGGGCGGCTTCCTTGGCGCATAGGCTGCAGCAACTGCATACAGACACGGAGGAGCTCGCGGTGCCAGAGGCGGGTCAGCATGTAGCGATCCTTTTCGTCGAAGTCGCGCGCGTGCAGGACGACAAGGGCGTCGGTCCAGCAGGCCGGAGTGGGCATGACGAAGCCGGTGCCGCGGCGGTGGTGGTGGCGGCGACCCGTGCGAACCTGATCGGACCACATGTAGTAGAGATCGTCGGGGCGAGGGTTGAGTGGCGGGTCCGCGAACAACCACATGTACATGGACTTGCGGTAAATGCGCACGGTGAGCCTGGGCCAGGCGCCGGTGCGGATCATCGCCTCCTCGTTGGGTGTGTGCCAGTGCACGATGTCCGTGGGGGGATTGAGAAAGCCGATCACCGAGACGCAGTCGCGGCCGAGGGTGCAGGGGTGCGCCCCGCGGTGGCGTAGGGCGGCATAGGCGTTGGGAATGTACCGGTCCGGGATCACAAAGCCCGCAAAGTCGAGGCTCTGCCGGGCGATGAGGTCAACGATAGTGTGGCTCATCCCGAAGGCGTCGGCCACCGGCCACCCGAAGACACAGTAGGGGATGCCTGCCCGCTCCAAGGTGGTGACTATGAAGCGGCTCTGGTCCATGGTAGTGGTTGTGGGTGGAAGTGTGAGGAAAGGCTAGAACGCTTGCGTGTTTCAAACTGCGGGAGTTCTTCGCCTTGTCGGGAGGGTTTGCATGAAAAGATCGACAAGACGTGACAAGATGTCGGAGCTCTATTTATATCTCACACTTTCTGCTGGAGGAGTCCTTCCTCGAGCCCATTTAGCAAGAGGTCTTCAGCAATGTATGCGGCTCTGCTCATGGTATGTGTAAATCTCCTTGGAAAACTCCGTACTGTGCATGTTCTGGTGTAAACACCGGGCTGAGGATGTTTCAGACGCAGCTGAGATGCTATCTGCAGGAGTTCCTCCGTTGATCTGCAACGAAGAGACGGACGTGGGTGATTTGCTTCCCACTAGGTTCTCTCTTTCATTGCTTGATTCAAATCTGTTGAAAGCCCTTTCATTGCTATTGCTGATTCTGTTGTGGGCTGACGTGACTCGGAAATCAACGATTGCGAGCTGGAGAACGGCACTTGATATGACTTTTGATATTGTCATCCGAATGACTATGTGTAGGAACCGGCAGTTAAGCAACGTGGTTGCGGTAAATGTGTCACATGGAATATCAGAGCCTCGACATCCAGGAATGTATTTTAAAATGATCTTCGTACTTTGATATTGCTATCAGAGCCAACAGCAAATATCTCAAGAATAACCAGCCAAGTCATTTGCAATCGTGAAGTTCCGGGTGTGCCCTCTATGTTCTTTTAAGGGCACTAACTCTAACGATTAGCACTCCACTATAGAGGTTATCGAGCAGCATCCAGCACACAAGAAACCTAACCTAAGTAAAACTGACCCATTCGGAAAACAAACTCGGCCAATCCTGAGCATCATCGAACAGTCCATCCATACCAGCTCCGAACACTCCTGAATACCGACCATTGCTTTTGGCTTCCGGGCCTCCTCCACAGAGGGTGTTACTCTGCTGCACTGCCTCCCAGAACTCCGTCCGCTTGATGGACCCATTCATCATGGGACACCGTCTGGACGTCGTGCTCGTTGCACCCACACTCGGAGAGTCTGTGCCTTCAGTACCCGTGGGATCCGAATCAGACTGCAAGGGAGAGTTGATCCTGGCGACAGCGTATGTTTCCAGAACAACATCCAAGACCGATCTGAACATGCTGAAAATGTCTGGTGTGACCCCAGACTTCGAGACGGATAAGGTCTTCATGCGGTGTAAGAGGCTTTCCAGGTATATTTGCATGGTCGATCGCGCCTTAGTCTGAAACTCGTACCATTGGATTTTCATGAAAGGGTGGGTGAGAAAGCATATCTGTGAGGCAGTGCTGATTGTAAGAATTAGCTGGCACCATTCCCTGATGGAAAAGTAGATGTATTGGTCTGCTGGTAACGAGAGAAAGTAATCGAAAAAGCCTCGAATCTCCGCTAGGCACGATCTTGCTTCCTTCACATATTCACATGGTTGGTACTCAGATGATCCGGGGTTGTGTGATGATTTACGGCTGGAGCTTGGGCCATAAGCCATCCAAGGGAGATACGCTGTGACCACTTTCAGCGACAGTATCGAGATACGTAGCGAAGCTGGCTTCGTCAGCTAATCTCTTAGATGCAGGCATTTGTCCCAATATACCTGTCTCCGGGGTCTCAGAACGGATCTTGCGCTCAAGGTCTTGGATCTGCAGGTGGAATGACAGAGAACATTTTGGGAGATTATCACCCTCTTGCTCAGACTTTCGAGCTACAGTCTCCCACAGCATCTGGGTCCTGGAAAGCAACGTTTGGTGAGTGTTATCTTGGTCGGTTGATGCGGTTCCTTCAAGAGTGGACTTTATGATATCATACAGCGTCGAGTCGCTGCGTCGCTGAAAGCCAAGAGCAAATCTAGGAGTCTGTTTAGCCAGCTTGCTGTTGTCCGAGATAAGGACGGCTCACAGCGAGGACAGGTTATAGCATCCAAGACAGGCATTGCGCGCAGTCGTTTCGTGTAGCTTCCTGTCAAACCTCAGGTCTGACAGCATACCTCGGAGAATTTGAACGTACTGCCACATCTGATTGTTCAATGGTCGGATGTGTATAGGATGCCTGAGGCCACACCATTGTCAGCCACTGCACGCACTATAAAAGCCGAGGTATGCATTACCATGCAAGATAGACCAGGAGACCTTGAACGTAGTCTAGGCTTTTCTCTCCTTGGAGGACAATCCTTTCACTCAACACCCGCCGGAATCTTTCATCGAGCTTTCTCTGCAGGAGCGGCCGCCGCGTTGCTGATATAGTGAGAATCGCTAAGAAGAGAAAGGGACGGGTCTTCGCCATGGAGGGGGCTGAGATTTTGTCTGGTACATCCACGAACGGGAAGTAAGCTTTTTTTGACTGGAAGTGAGATAGAAGCTCATCTGCCTCTTTCATACTCACACGGAGGTTCTTGTATTCAGTGTTAGATGTCGAAGTTTGAGTGGGAGGCGGCGTGTTAGCACTGTGACTCGTCTCCTGAGCACCACGAGAAATATCGTCGCCTAGTAGCTGCTTGCGCATCGTTTGGCGATGCAGCTCACACATCTGGGCAGACTGATCGTGTTTTGGCGCGTTCCGGAAAAGTGAGGCGACTACGTCCTCATTCTGGATCTCGCTAATACCGCTCCGCGATGGGTTGTTTGTTGATGGATGTTCATTGTTGCTCGAGGTAAGAGTACAGTCGTAACCAAATTTGATACATCTTTCTCCGTTAGGATAGCTGCGATGGATACTGAGGACATCGTCCGCTCTTACCTTCGGCAGGCACTCGACGGTTTCTCGGATGGCAGGCATCTGATTTTGCGTGATCTGCAATTCTCGCAAGCCCGCGTGCTTCGCGGTCGAGGACACATAAACTTGTATTCATCTTCTGTTGACATCTCTCATATACGGTGGTTGCTACCCTTTCACTGTAGTTAGGATGGCTACGGTGGGCTGGGTATTAATAAGGCGGCGGAAAGCGGAGGGAAACTGCAAGCGACAACCCGCCCTGCGGATGGAAGGTTTTGCCGAACCCTTCTTATACAATAACCCTTGTCTATAACCTGTCGGATAAGCATCATCAAGAACTTCAACCTGAACAACGCATATCCCCCCTTGCATCTTAATCCCTTTCAGAGATATAGAAAGGATCCATTCTGTAAGAACTCTTGTGGGGATAAAGCCGTTATAAACACGATTAGTGGCAGTCGCAACCATCTCAATGCCATCCATGTATTGATCATGAAGTCCCGATGCGCATAAGTCACAAAGATGCATCAAATTAACCCTCCAGATAGTCAATGTCGCGCTCGGGGAATCCTCCTTTTTTAATGAGGTTATCAACCAAAGGACCATCTCCCCATGTCTCTCGTCCAAAGGCAGCGACCATATCGAACCCACTCAGCAGCGCACCTGTAGTCCAGATCTTCCCATCCTGAACCCATCTCTTCTCGACCCAGTTGACCCCAGGCCCGAGTTCACGCAGCATCGGGAGCAGGAACCGTGGCCCCGTGGCGGTCTTGCCCTCCATGAGCCCTGCACTCAGCACCGGCTCAAATCCCCCACATACGCAGAGCATGGCCGTGCAAGCATTGTAACTTTTGCGCAAGAACTCCTTCTCGGCTTCATTGGCTTTGTAGCCCATTCTACTTGCGCCGATGAAGATGATGTCCAGTGGCGGGCATGTAGCGAAGGAGTCCTAGCGGGATGTCAGCTGGATGCTATTTAGGGTGTGTATAAAGACATTCCTACCGTGGGCAATACATTCATACCAGTCGTCAGCTTAGCGGGGGCCTTGCCATCCTCGTTGACCCAGTGATAGACAAAGTCATACCCTTGGGCCTTGGACTCATCATCCACCATCTCGGTGGGCATGTCCTTCAGGAAATTGCGATCGAGGCCGGAGAAGAAGCCTACTGGGGCGATGTCGAGTTGCTCGGTGATACTGTAGATAGGAACATGTTAGGATCAAACGCATTAGTAGATAGTTCCACGGGTCACGTACGTGTTCAGCAACACAACACCCACATGAATTGGGCGGCCCGGGTTGCGAAGGTCGACTGGGGAAGACATTGTATGGATGTGGATGGTCGCCGTTCGTGATAATCTTGTCTGTTAACTGGCTTTAGGTATAATTCTAATTAACAGGAGAGAGCCAGCCTTTATATCATGTTGTCTACTGGACATGAGTTGTATGGTTGTGGTTGTATAGATCGGGTGCTCGCTAAGACTTTCCTCCCACGCTCCGCTCTCGCTTCGCCATGCCGGCCGTGCTCGCCGCCGAGTAAGTGCAACATGCAAAGCAGGCAGCTTACTTTGTCCAAACAATTCGACTTGCAGGAATGCCTCTATTCCGTACCTGGTTTGGTAAAAATGAAGCTTGCAGGGCGACAAGAGAGGGGAATGGAAGCTCAATTGGGGCTGATTCAACCCAAAATATGTCTTGAAGGTCCTCGGTCCCGATGCATCGTGTCGGGTGTAAATATAGTTAGCTGCAAGATATAGCACACTGGGGTAGAATAGGGATACATTCTTGGTGTCGACGAACAGAATGAGTTGGAAAGACGGATGACGAAGAAAAAAGCAAGCAGTTCGACTACGCAAAAGCAAAAAGTAGAAGGGCCGAACGCGGATCGAACGCGTGACCTCGGGATCTGCAATCCTGCGCTCTACCACTGAGCTACCGACCCGTTCTTGGTGATAGCTAAACTTTTGTTTGCTCTGAGTGTAAATACATACCTGATCAAGCATTCTGTATGTATATATTTGATCGTCTGTGTAAATAATCAATATTTGTTGTTAAAAAGGTTCCAACCTAAGATGGTCTACTATTGACACTTTCCGAAACAATCTTATTAAGGTGGAGCAGTGTGTGAATTATAAGCCTAGTGGTATGGTATCCAGATATGAGTTGTCATTCAGCCGCATTGCCGGACAAAAGTATATATCCGCAGCCCAAACCCTCGGCTTTCTGATCCACATAGCTGATGCATCTCAACACTAGTCACGGATAGTCATGTCAACCCCCTCCCCAGTAACCTGATAATCGTACAAGGTCTCATTTATACCCACAAATCTCTCATAGACTTCTCATGTTGTTCAAGGAGAGGAGGCAAAGGCCGACTAAAGGGGTTTCTAAGGCCAGCTAGGATGGATTTTTTTAGCCTTAACTCAGAGGAGTCTCGTCGGCTAACTCACAGCTACTGACATGAAAACTCCAAGTGTACTCTGAAGGTCGAAAGTGACAAGTATTTCTGCATGATCACGCCAATTCATATCTAGGACTGACGTGGGGATACAAAATCCAGATTTGAGCGCGTCCACCTAGAGATCCAGAAACTAGCTTTGCGACTATTATTGCGACACCATATGTGACCACATAACGCAGAGCTGCGTGCATCATTGACAAAGAGTCAGCCTCTAGTAGGATAACTATAGCTTGTGAGATTCACCGACCGCTTGTCCTTGTCTTGGGAGTGAATTCTAGCATGCAGCCTGTAGGCTGCACAAAACCACCATGCCGTCTACATTACAATATTAGACGTCATGTTCTGCATTTGCGTCAGCCTGCAGTCCATCCCAGTCACTGTAGATTTCTGCCGGCGGCCTGTAATTATGACCCCATGTTGCCAACCAACGTATAAAAGCGACCGATTTAAAACCACGACGGGCGGAAGTGCATGCACATTCCTGCCAACAATTCTCTGTGGCCCAGCTGGAGAACGCACGCCACAGCTGAGCTGGCTGATATCGATCATCATGCCCGTTCGATTTACCCGTGAGGCAAAGTTCAGCCATCACAGTCTGCATAAGTTGAAGGGTTCTGCACGCACCCCTCTTCTGCCAGTACATCACTCATGCAAGCAATCTTACCTGCTCATCGGGGCCGCCACAGATGCTCCTCTGCTCCTAGACACACTTAATCTTCTTCTCGTCATATGTGAGTACCGCTCCTCCCTGGACTGGTATGATCCAGGGCTCTACGGGCCGGCGCCCTCGCGCCGCTATCTCACCTTCCCCGGCAGTTCCCCGGAACTGTACTTCGCGGCGCGGAATAACCAATGCGACCGGGGCTTGAATTTCCTGGCACCAGGTGCGTGGGATGGGATGGAATGCAAGTAGCTCAATGGTGGTGTTGGTCACTGCGCAATTCTAGTTTCAGGGTAGATGGAGTTGATGCGTTCCAATCAGACGATTGCCATAATGACAATGAAGTGAATTGTTGCGAGTGTGATAATGTAATTGAGTAGTTTAGATAGTGCGGATCAAAGGAAGTATATTGTATGTATTGTATGTAGATGACAGTAGCGGCTATGCATTTCAATCGACTTGCATACCAGGCAAGCTCCCCTCGCTTGCTTTCACCCCAGAATAGAACCGATAGCAGCAAGTATATACTGGCGAAGTTCAATAGGATTCTGATTATTTCCAAATAAGGTTGCTGGCAAGAAAATGTAAAAAACATACAACAGAAGGGATTCGCTGGTGGTCACCCACCCAACTACTAACCTCCCGGCGTGTGGCTTGATTACGGCTGAGCGGACGGGAAGCCCTATTTTCCACACCCTGTGGTCGTATGTATTATCTTGGTCTACTAGTACAGGTATGATAGTTATCCAATTAATGTCGCTAAAATATTCTACACCTGCAGCGAGTCAGCAGGAGAATTGCTTGACTTCATAGATGCGGTCGTTGGAGTTGCCTGTAGGCGCATTAATCTCCATTAATCGCAATGGTACGTTTTATTGGATCTATTTCAGAGAGCATGACGGAAAAATTCAAGCATCGATTACTAGGTAACTTGCAGATCGTATCCAAGGTAGTCTCCAGCCCCGGCTCTGAGATATCAGCTGTGCTACTGACATCTAGTGCTTTCCTAATACTACTTCTGAAACCGAAATTCCGATCTCAAGCACACCAAAAGGATTCCTGAATAGGGTACCATATTGAGCCAGATAGCGATAAGCCTGCCTTGGGGACGAGCCTGATACACGGATTCGGGCTCTGTGATGGCGGTCTTCAGATTGCCCGTCCATACGGACACCAGGGCTTTCTCAAAATAATTTGATTACTTGATTCATAAATAGATCAAGGCCAGACGAGGACTACACTTGCTGTTCGACAAGAAGCAGCATGTTGTTCGCGAATATTCTAGTTCGGCGAATAGACTAGAAACAGCTCCTGCAGCAGCATACCCGACAATATCTTTCTGGTGGACTGTATCTTGCCTAGAGATTTATCATTCATTGGCAACAGAAACAGAATTGATGAGGTAGATTTATTATATGTATGGGTAAGATATCTAGTCTAGATCTTCGCAAAGCATCAGTAGACTGGGAAGTTGTAGATCGATTGGCTCTTGGCTCGTATTGTCGATGGCTCATTCCGAATGGCTCATTGCATTCTAAGTATAGATGTACTGTAGGCTGGTACTGGGGCTTGGAAAAAGAAGAAGAAGAAGAAGAAGAAGAAGAAGAAGAAGAAGAAGAAGAAGAAAAGGTTTGAACCGGCTAAGCGCCATCACAGTCAGCTACCTACGCAGTTATAATGTTCTGCAATCAGAAGTATTCGTTAGCTGCTCAACCGTGGAATGAAAGTACTGGTAAGAGGGAGGACACAATCAGAAAACAAGAAGACAAGTGATGACGAAAGCAGATAATAACAAATTGTTTGTTCTCAACAAGCGAAGGACTGAATGACAGAAGCTTTGCTTAGAAAACTTACCCTATCTCTAGTGTAACTTGAAATCTATCATATATATTGTTTGCTTTTAGTACTGCAAGAGCGTGCTGCACACCGTGTACCGCTGTGGTTGTGGTGGAGCAGTTGCTCGTATCTCTTCAAGCAGTATTCGCAACAACTCAAGGAAGCAAGAAATTTATACAGGTTATACCACTAGGGATGCTTAATTACTGGGTTTTTTCACATTCACTGAATATCTGTATTTACCGATTTTTTCCCTTTCCTCTGTATTGTATTCAGTAGAGTTCTTCATGTTTAAACCCTACCAACGAAAGAGGCTTATATAATTCACTAAATATGATAGATTATAAATATGATATGTGTAAGGGCTCTCACTAGCCCTTGTGACCTTTTCGAATACTCCACAAAGTAATAATATATAGCAGGCTTAAGGCATCAATTACATAACAGCCGAGCGAGCTGTCTGCAATTGCCCGCTCAAGGCAGCGGCAGCGGCAGTCCGCAACTTAGCAGATTAGCAACAACACCTTAAGGGAATATATTGGCACCTAAGGCCTCGCGAGCAACATTTGTTTATCACCCTATTTCCACCCTTCAACCCTCATAACAGGTATTTAGAGAGGTTAACCCCTTTAAGTCTGGTGTCTAAGTCTGTACTTTGACAGGTGAATTTATTAATCAAATAAGAAAAGATAAACTTAAGATATACTTCAAAAAATAAGATTAGAAAAGCTTAATACACCGACAAAGAAACTCGGAATATATAATCTGAAGAGTTCATATCTCTATTGCCTGGTAGCGTATATACACATTATGAATACAATATTATAGGTAGATAAATAATTATGTGATCCTCTACTCCTCCAACCACCCGAAGGAATAAATAGGATAAAAAGCAGCACATCGTCTGCTACGACTGGCTCCCGGCTCATGAAACAACTAATAAAGTTCATGTGCAGCCACCTCCAGTAGGTTATCCGCCCCCAGAGCATTCTGCGTGTAACGGGAATTGAACTTCAGGATCTGCTTGACCTTGTTGTAGCTCTGAACGTTGAGGGGAAGGGGCTCAGTACTGAGGTACCAAGCAACTCCCTCGCTGCAAGGGGGGGTGGTGAGGGAGCCGTCATATTGGTAAATCCCGTGGCTGTCGAGGTGCGCAGTCAGCCCGGTGAAGTCCAGAGGGCCGGTTTCGGTAAAGGTGCCCGGGGCGGTGATGTCATCGATGTGGGCGAAGACGGCGTCGAAGAGGGGGAAGGAAACACCTGTCTCGGATAGCTGGAAGACGAACCCGACAACGGCGATGTTGCTCTCTGTACAGTGTAAGTTTGGATGATCAACGTTCCTTGGAAAGGGGAACTCATACCGGAGTCCTCGAAGACGAAGTGGCTCTCCAAGGGGAAGTACTCCTCATTGATGCGGTGCTCACTCGGGGTGTGGAAGTGGAACTGAGCCAGCTTATATTGGGTAGAATTTCCCACAGAGAGAGTGCCGTTGGTCAACACAACCTCAAGACCGGATCCCAGGTTCTCAAACTTGGCTGCTGTAGTGGCTGGGATGTTAAACTTGAGGCTACCAGTGGGGACATAGTCAATCTCCGCGGTGACGATGTCGATGGGAGATTGGTGCTTGCCCTGGGAACAGGCGGCGTTGGTCTCGTTGTTCAAACCATACCAGGTCAAAGGCCCCCCCAAGTTGGTGTAGTTGTAGGAGTTGATGGCCACCAGCCCATCGGCAGCGCGGGGGAGAAGGGAAGTACCCCGAATGCAGGAGGCACCGGCAGTTGCCGCCAGAGGAAGAAGGTTCGAGAGCTTCATAGTGACTATTCTGCGAGTTCTGCGCTTGAGTGACGGGGACTCGCATTCTCTGGGATCCTCCGGGTCTTTTAAAGCCTGGCAGCGCCGCCCGACAACAATCCCCCTTTCGTGATCGGGTGAATACACCAAGATCGCTATCGATTACTATCTCAGATTTTCTAAGCCAAGATTGATGCAGATCGCCCAGGTCCCGCTGTAATGGGTCATCGCTACCATCGAGATCTAGCCGGGTTGCGGATGGGTGGGTGCATCTCCACTTACACGAGGGCATGTTCAGTAGATGATCGACCATGAGGTTTGCGAAAAAGCAGATATAGGTTGTGGGTCACTTAGGATTATGCGAGTCGACAACTTGACTGATGTATACCGCAGAGGGACTTATTTTCTAATGATCGCTGTGTCTTGATTCGTTAGCTTACCGAGCCGACGGAGCCCGAAAGCTTCGAGATTCTTTTAGCGCTCTCGAGTTCCACACGAGGAAGTGATTGCTTATTTTCCATATGGGTAACAATCCATGCAGATCATTTTCATCCAGAAGTTTGGTTGAAGAGAAAGACCAATCAAATAAGCGAGTGCTTCGCAGTGGGTTCCCCTCAGGAACCAATTCTGCCCGTCTTTTTCACGTGAGCCAGGCTGGGTTCGAACCGGCAGTTCTAGCGCGTACTTTGGGGAAATGAATGTCTTTCGACGTGCCAAAATGGCAGTCCTTTGAGACTGAGAGGGATCCTCCTTCGGATTTGACCGTAGGCATTGTCCGGGAGGGAGATAGATCGTGACACCGAGGGTAGTACATTACGATGGAGAGAGTTGATGACACTAGATCAGTTTAAAGGCGAGTGGAATGGATGACAGATGGGGCACAAGTGCCCTTATGGGTAGTTAAGTGTTTCGATGCGAGCGGCTGCCCCCCCGCTGGTCCCGCCTCGTATTCTTCGGTACCTGCTAATTCTTGGCAAAGAGACTGTGCTATAAGACGACGTCGGCTGCGGGAGAAATAAGTACAGTTTAGAGAAGTCGCATTTTGAACAAACTGAAGAAAAATAAACAGAAATAGAGATAAGACAGCAAAAACACCTTGCCCTCTTAGAAGAGGGGAAACGGATGAACACCGACATACAATAGAAGAGATGCGCTGGTGGTCACCCACCCAAACTACTAATCCCGGCGTGTAGCTTAAGTACAGCTGAGCGGACGGGAAGCCGTGTTTTTCCACACCCTGTGGTCGTATATGCTTGATACACTTAAGTCAGTGCCTATGTATCTGCAGTTAAAACTTTTTTACAAGGGCTCATCTCCTGGCTATACCAAGAATAGGATGAAGTTCTTTCTCTTTTCAAGTGGGTCAGTCGATCTTTCCTGCTGACCGGACCCTGTTCACAATCCGCAATGGCATGCTATTTTCCCGCGTACGCATGGACAAAATCCTACAAACATCGCAGCTCATGCTGCTGGACGTGCATGCCGTAGCGCGAGTTCCGTCCTACTTAGCCTGGCAACCCGCTCACGAGCGTCGCAGCCGCCTCGTGGATCTCAATCTGCGCTTGCGGCCACCCAAACATTGTGCCTCGCATGGCGCTTGGATAGGGGGTGGGGTTGTTTCCGTCAGCTAGTCGGTACTTCAGCCAGAAGGCGTGGGTGTTGTTGAGCAGGGGGGCGGTTGCCCCGGAGTCTTCGGGCCGCCCGGTCATCCAGAGCAGGGAGCCGGAGGGGAAGGATAAAACGACCAGGCTGTGGTTTCCGGTACGCAAATGCTTCGCGGATAGTGAGGGATACCAAAGTCCCACCGACGGTTTTGGGCTAAATTGCCTCCTTGTTGAGGGTGATGGTGAAGGGGCCGCGATACGCCGAGGCGGGTGCAGGCTCGATCGTCACCCATTGATCATCGCTTAAATTGCCGAGCTCAAGACTCAAGGATTGTGCGAAGCCAGTCTCTGTGACGACGTGAAAGCCTCTCTCGAGCAATAGGGTTATATATACCTGACGATAAGTCCACCTTGGACTTGGGTGTAGCGAGCTTGGGATGTAGCAAGATGCTGTACCAAAGAGCTTCCCGTACCGCTTAGAAGCCAGAAATAACAAGCCAGACGGTGGATCCAAGCTTGCGGGTCCACCAGCCGCTGGGTAATTGCATCGTCGTCAGGAAGTTCCTTTGCCTTGTTTATGGCGATTCGTGGAGTTGTCTTCGTTAAATGTCGTCGAAAGGATGGACCATAGATTCATGGATGAAATGATCGCCTCGCACTGGTCTATGCCTACTCAATTAGGCGTGGCAGTGCTTGTACGGGAGTGCTTAGTACTACTTGTTTCCTTTGTGTAGATGTATTCACTTACAGTAGACAAATCTATCTGACGTTTCATGTGTGTTACAGCTTCAGCATACTGACTCTCAGATCCCGTCATGACTGTGGTCGCCAGGCTCGTCTACCTAAAGTCCCGTGAACCCGCTCCCATACAGATTGAACGGGATCCGCTGAATTCCCTCCACCCCCACCCCCCCGCGGAATAAACATGCAGAAGATGAAAGAAAAATAGAATGTCGAAGCACAATCACAGAAGTAAGTATATATCAATGCAATAGTTCAGTCTAGAGTTCTATCGATCTATAAATGTGGTCTTTGTATGTTACAATGTGGGCTTCATCATCGGTTGTTTACTCGGCCTTGTAGGAAGGGTAATCGACGTATCCTGATGTAACACTGGCACAGTCCTACCATAGTCGTTTTGCAGGACACACTTCGGCTCTCGACTACCCGGCCCAGATACTCTCGCAGCTCGTCCCAAGACCCAACAAATACTTTTCTGTCTGGCTCCGGTAAGCTGGCAGATCCATCCGCGCGACAATATTTATTTTGCAAAGTTTCTTGGTCTGTTGTACATTCACTAAAACGAATAGAGCGGGCGATACCTCTTCGACCTTCGCAGAGCGGACGACGTCTTCTACTGCCACATTCCAAAGCTTCTTAATTATCTTCTGACTGCTACTTCTATTACTATTCTTAACGAGATTCTTCTAATGCTGTATCTTGTTCTGACAGAATCCTGTGCTATCTTTATAATCTACTGAAGTACGGTTGTATTCGCCGACGGGCCGGACCTCGCGTGGTTTGTGGTTAATGCGCCGGGACTGGCCACCGGACGTCTTATTCTAATAAAGTTTATCTGTAATGAACATATCCGCGTTTCGATTCTATATCACTCTGAAATATAAAGTAAATCATAATCTTTAAGCATGTTTTGGAGAAAAATTTCGGTAAGACTGCCGAGTCGGGGATCGAAGGTCTGCCGCAGTATAATAAACTTTATATTCTTTTTTATTTAGTTTCTACAGTTGGCTTTTTGTCTTCTGAGAATACATTCTTTATTAACAAGTTTAATCTAGCTTAGATATGGACCTTTTTAGTATCGAGTTTTTAAAGTCAATCCGGCTGAGTAACAAGTTCCTCTACCCGGACTACGGGTTTCAGGATCTCTGGGTGCGCATCATCGAGTATAATATACTTAAGTATCTGGAGCTGAAGGCCCAAGAGCGGGAGACAAAGTTCAAGCTAAATCATCTACTAGTTCTTGATCTTGATACATATATGTTATTAGAGCTTAATAAAGTCCGCTCGTGTCTAGTAACTTCTCGGACTCAGTTGTACCACGCTAACCTTATATCGGAGAGGTTCAATTTGGTAGAGTTAGTCTTATATCGAGGGTACATGATCGGGGATGTGATCTCCTATATTCTTCTTTCTCCCAGGTCGACTTGCTACTCCACAGTTTATGTAAACCAGCACGGGACGCGGCGTACTAAATGTGCTCCCATTTGGGACAGGCTGCGCCCGCTCCGCTAGCCGAACCACTCGATGGGAAATACCATTTTAGCTATTGTAAGACCTTCCTCTGATATGATGTTGTTTACTATATATTCTTTTCATCTTCTCCATCTTGATCTTTCTCATTTCTTTTATTTCAAGCACGCAATTGATCAGCTAAACGCACGACTCTCTGCTTCGCTGCAGTTGCCCACGATGAGTTGCATAAAACCGAGGCTGCGTATCTTGCTCGTTGAACTGCAAACGATGGTCCCGATAGATGTGGCGACAGAAAGCAACCAGCGCATCCTGATACTCGGGACTCCTGTAATTCCACGTCAGCTGGCCGTTGTACTCAAACTTATGGGCCCGGTGGTTGTCGAGCAGTTCGATGAGCATCTGCGCGCGGAGCCGGAAGACAAGAATAGCACCCAGGGATTTGCCGGGGTGCATTACTTCGTTGTTATCCCGCTGGTGGTGCCAGTGGGCCTCCACGAGGTAGGTCACAAAGTCCCAATCGGGCCAGCCATGCATGAGGAGCAAAACCAAGGTGATTCGGTCGCTGCGAGTCCCGCGGATGCTTAGCGGCGAGAAGGTTGCGGGGATCACCTCCTCGTCTTCTGAGGAGGGATATGTCTGTTCGTGGTCTGAGTCATATGTCTCGTCATACTCATACTCTGACATGCGTGGCGCGTCGTGCTCCGTGAGGAATCTGTTGTTGGACCGTCCTGAGGCGTATGTCTCGTCGTTCTCTGCGATGGAGGTATCATCATACGCATATGCATACTCTGGGTTGCAGGTGCTTTCGTGCTCTGTGAGTGCTCTCTCGTCATGCTCTGCAAGGTATCTCCCGTCATACTCATACTCTGATTTACGTGCCTCGCCGTGCTCTACATCGTAGGTTTTGTCATACTCATACTCCATATACTCCAACTCCATATTGGGTGTCTCGTAGCACTCTGGAATGTATCTGTCGTCGTGCTCCGCGACGCATGTCTCGTTAGACTTTTAAAATGCGCGTCTCGTCAAGATCTGAAAGATAATCAGCGTAAAAGGTCATGATGCTCGACTTCTGGCGGGAACTTAGAATGTACTAACGTGGATCTAAGCTTTCTACTTCTTTCGGAGTGGTCACTGGCTTCTTCCGGCCGGATCGAGGTCGAAAAAATTGTCTTTCAGCATGGGAGGCTAATTGCTCGGTTTAAATAACTAACCTTCTTGCATAGAGCCTGAATTCCCCGGTCGCCATCAGGAAAAGCTCCGGATGTTGAATGAGATCATGCTATCAGGACAAATGTCCATAAATATGTGAAAGGTTTTAGACTGGAGCACTTCACCAATACAAATGGTGACTTTCAATGGCTGGTCCTCGAAACCATGTGTTCCTCAGAATCCACAGTTTGACTTAAAACAAAGATAGCCTCCGTGCTCGCTATGAGAAGCGACCGCAGTAATGGATCAACGACGTGGTTATAGCCTTGACAGAAACTCCCGCTGGGGTGGACATGGCTTTAGCGGTTGTGAAGAGAGTACCCGCGCTCAGGATATGAGCAATAAGCTTCATCTGAGTTTTAAGCCTTCTCGATTGTTATTCTTGCTCCGAGGCTCGTCCAGCATCAGATCTGTGAGCTAAGCCTATTTGTCCCTCCACTTCCAATTGTGTTCCGCTCGGGGCAATTTCTTAAGAGGCTCTTCGGAGTTGCAATGGCTGCATGGGCGGCAACGGGTAGTGGATTTTGGATTTCTGGTCTGGACGCATTTGTTAGTTGATCTCTTCATAACTCAGTTCAACCAGTACGAGGGATTTAATAGGATAAAGAACTCGTATCTGTCATAATGGTTGTTACTCAGCAGGTCAGGGTGGATGTAATGCAGAAGGCAGCCAGAACAGGGTCCAGCGACGCGACTGGTTGAACAAGTTCCCTGTTCGGCTGCTGCCTCAACCAACAGGCACCCACGTTCATGTCCAAGTATTTGCTCCATGATCTTGGAAACAGTGAGAAAGATGATTCAAGCAAATCCTCAGTAGAATGATTATAGCCAATAGGAATTTACCTGCAGCGTGAAGTTGGCTGTAGCAGGGGACTTGAACTCAGGATCGAACCATCTGCACTATATGTTGTGTATGAGAGAAGTGAAACTTCGAGCCCATTTAGAAACGTGGACATTCTGAGTCACAATATTTGGAATGTAATGTGGGATATTCTTGAAGTGATAGTTGAGGGTCTCATCCATCTTTATCGGGAATATGAAGTCTTTCCTGCCCGGCAAGCTTCGCTTTTACTTCTCTTCTTTTCCACCACCGTCAATCAGAAAGCTTTCTCCTTCCTCCATCTAGCTCATTTCTGTCTAACTTCAATCAGAAGGCTACTCTCTTCAACATGGTGAGTCACTTCTTCTTGCCTCTGCTTTCGTCTAGCATCCTTCGTACCAGTTGGGAGCTAACTCGTGACATGGAACTAAGCCCAAATTTAAATAGACTGATGACGGCCGCCCAGTCTGCGCGCACTGTCAGAAACCAGGCCATTTTGCAACGATATTGTTCTAAGAATCCTCTTCATAGAACTTCAATGCAACTCGTCAGTATCCCGAACCGAAAGGTCGGTCATTGGCCTGGCCCCTTGGGTTATGACTTATTGATATGTTATGCCCATATAATGACGAGCGCCTGAAGCAAGGGCACTAGCAGTACCTGGGAAGATACGAAAAGAGGATACTCAAGTTGCAGCAGGAGGGAAAAGAAAAGAAGCAGAGAGAGGGCAAAGCCGAGAGTAGCTAAGACGACATGAAAGTGAAAGCTGGGAACTGAACATGTTGAACTTGTGTTTTTCATTTGTCGTTCTAATGGTTTTTTCACTTTTCATCATAAGCAAACAAGTTGTCTGCACTCTTTTTTCCAAGATCCTGACCTTCTGTCAGCATCACTGAATGTTGATAAGGAATCTTACTCAAGTGTATCCTACTCTAGGTAGTGATCAGTCAGGGATGCAGCAAATTTCTCAAAGCGAAGGGTTTCAATTTCCCTGGAACTTTAAGCCAAAATTGCTCAGTCCTCAGTCCAGTCTACATACTCCCTACCCCCCCGGCATGCAAGAGGTTCCGCCTGACCCAAAATCCCACTTTGGGATTCTCCAAAATCTCCCAAAATCCACAACCCATCCTTTTCCTGCTGCGCTGCCATCCTACCATCCATTTGTCGCAATCGGCTTATCTAATTTCATCATCCTGACTTCCGTCGTATCAAATCTCCATCTGTTCCTGAACTTTCTGTCGACCGATGCTCAATTTCGCCCACGGCTCCTCTTCACGCATCTGATGTTTCGACGCGGATCCCCCGCGCAGCTCGAGATTCAGCTCTATCCTGGCTGCTTCATTACCGTCACCACGTTCCCGCCCGCTCCGATTATCTGCTAGCAAACAAGACGTGAGCCCTATTCCACTTACTCTTCCTCATAGATAAACTAAGGACTGTTTCTGAGCAGACTATCGCGTTATAGATGAAGGTCAGGAAGGCAAATTACACAACCCACCCGCGTCGAGAAATCTTCTTTCAAGCTGATAGCAGTGTGGAGGGATAACAAACACGCGTGGAGGAACAATCGTGTACAGGGGCATATAGAGGCTTAGAAGAAGCAAGCACGACCACGAATAAACAGATGAGGCATCCCTAGCGCCTTCCACAAGTCCAGGCTCACCTTATCGAATTTGAAGAAAGACGATGGAGCTCGGAATTGTCTTCAGCGTATCAGACTCGGTTTTCTGCGCCAAGAATTAGGATGTTCGCACGTGATGCATCTGGAGGAAGAAACATTGACCCACGAGGAGAGTGAATCCCAAGCCCAGGAGATGAATTTGATGCGTTAAACCGGGGTAAATATTGTTACTGTAAGAGGGTCACTGCTGCCAACGACATCGAGCAAATCGATCTGGTCTATCACCTTGTCAGGAATAGGGACACTACTCGTAGGTCTTCGATATTGTTACTCGATTCACTCATATTACTATGACATTGATAATAGTCGTACCAAGATACTGCAAGAATTGAAGGGAAGACCAGAAGGATTTAGTGCACTATCACTGCTGGTTTGGCAGCGGTCAAACACTGCAAAATACATGAAGTCATGTGCCCAGTCCATGCAACTTCCCAGAGAACGTGTTGTGTTGACTTGACTACCTGGTACTCATAACAATCTCCCCTCCCCCCTTTTTGGCTTCCAGTCACGTCTTTCGATCTTCCAAACCGCACTATCGGAGCAGAGATCTTCATCACTAAGAAAATCCGGCGTGATTCAAATTTGTGCTCTTACACATTGCTATATGCAGCATTAGTCAACGTTGATGGCCCCAACGCTCAACTGTCGATCAACGAGACCCCACCTCTGCTCTAAACACAAGGCTAACCGGTCGAATTCAGTCGGTAACTTCACGAAACTTCATAAAGGTCTAAGTGTTTATCCTCCGGACAGTTGCTTCCAAGGGGAATATTCAGATATCGGCAACCGCCGACGAGAGGCACCCTGTGATTGCGGAGTAGACACAGCTACTTTCTTCATTGTAGGAAGGTCTGTTCTTGCAATGTAAGCTTGTTCGAGTTATCCCAGGTGACGCTCGGAGTACCGTCATCTTTTGGCTAGCATCAATGAGACCAGCTCACAACCCTTCTGATCGCGCAGACAAGTCTCAAATCGTCTTCCTCCAACTCCACGTTGATCACGCAAAGCTCTTGTTCACCTCTTGAGGCATAGCAGTCAGGATTGCTGCACAGCTGAAGCTTGTCCTCTTTGAAATTGGCCTCCCCTGGACCGCACCGATGTCTTCAGTGAGAGACCTGAAAAAATATCAAAGAAGGCACAAAGATTGTCGCAAGGGCCCGTTGCTCGTTGAGAATGCCAAGCTGACAACAAATCGCTGGTCTCGCTTCGACCGGAATGCTCATGCGCTCGGGTTGTCAAACCTGCGGATCGTCGAGAAACCTCTTCGTCAGTTCACCCCGGAGCCTTGCTGCCTTCCTACCATCACCACCTTCGATCTGTCACGTCTGGCGGTGTATTATCTGGCCGCTTCCTGGTTGATTTCTTATTTTCGATTTCGTCCGACCGCAGCTAATCACCCAGATTTTTCTCCGGGAACCCGCAATCTTCGCGCTCCGAACGCCTTCCCCCGTTGTTTGGGGCGTGAATCATAATCCAATAGCGTGGCTTCGAGCGTTGGCATGCTCACAATGGTAATTGTCGGTGGTGAGTCATTGTCCCAGCATGCAAGCTGAGGGCTAGACTAATTCGACAGTGAAACTGAAATGGGCGACTCTCGCTAGATCTTGTTCTCTGACATGAAGATCGTGCAGGTAGTGGGTGCGTGCATGTGATGTCTATCTCGATACCGTCAAGTGCGCTGCACAAGACGTGTCTTGCGTACAAATAGGTCACCAGCGGCACTTGCCGCTTTTGGCGAATGCGGCCGGAAGGGCGTTTCGCGTGCGATTCGGCGTCTAGCGGTTGATCGCAGGTGTTTTGAGTTGAAACACTCGGTCTTTTCTGCCTTTGACTTAATGGTAATCGATAGCCATCGACCAATTATTACCCTAAGGGAGATCAGTGCACGAGGCGAGCGTATACCGGCTAAGTCCTTTGTCGATAAGGAGGGGAGGCTCCGAGCTCGCCAACTCTGTCTCCCCTGGCGTAGCTGCCATCGCAACCCCGCAAAGTCTACAGTATATGTTCCGCTACCAAAAATCCAACATGATTACAGCAAAGCACAATGTAAGTTTCAACAAAATATATTCAGATTGGATATCTCAATTCACAAAAGTATTGGCAACAGATGGACTTGTTTAGTAGTCCTGGGCGGAAGCCTCCTCGAGCTGGCGGCGGGCGTGGTACTTGGCCTTCTCGCGGTCGACGAAGTCCAAGCCCTTGGACTCGACCTCACGGTCGATGAAGGCACCGGCGAGACCGGCAAGGATCTCCTTGGCCTCAGCGTGGCTCTGGGGCTTGCCTGTACAACAAAGGATGAATCAGTATTGTTGTGGATTGTGAGACGGGTGGGATGGACGGGGACTTGGGAAGGCGTACCGTTGCGCTCCTGGTACTCCTCGAAGGACTTCATGGCCTCGTAGGAAGCGGCACCAGCGATGAGCTCGTGGCTGAACTTGGCCTTGTGCTCCTCAGAGCCGTCGAAGTTGGTGAGCTGCTCGTGAGCCTGCTGCTGATCACTGCCGAAGTCTATAATGGAAGAGGAAGGGATTAGTGTCCTGACGGTTGAGTGGGAGCAGAGACTGTCAAGACAACTTACCGAACCAACCCATGATGATAGTTTGTGTGGAAGATGTGGTAGAGAGGTAGAGAAAGTTTGTTAATGGATGAGAAAGAGAAAGAGGTACAGAGGGGGTGGGAGAGGGGTAGATATATGTTTTCTGAGGGCGCTTCGGGTCGCCTCCCCTCAGAGGTCGGAGAGGAAGGAGGAGGGGTCAACGATGAGGCGGTGATATCATGGGGGGGCGCAGATCGAGTTACCTTCAGTTTCAGCAGCAGCAGCTCAGCTGCTATTCTGGGCGCCACTGGAGACCAACGAAAGTGGCTGAACGGTCAGAGAGTCCACCACGCCAGAAATCATTGGGAATTGGCAAAGCAAGCTAAGACAAGACAAGCTCCGGTTGTTCCTTGGCAGCTTTCATTGGGTCTTGGGGTCAATCCGTGGCTGAGGTCGGTGGGGCCCGAGCCCGCCCTCGCATCAACAAGGCATGACTAAGCCGGTAACCTTCAATACGAGACAAGTATCATGGATTCATGGGTATTCATTAACAGCCAGTCACAGGCTCCGGCTCGGCCCCTCCGACACCCCCCTGAAATGATGCCATTGCAGCCACCGACTCGGCTGCACCGCCACACTCCCGCTTCGGTGAGCTCATTCTCAAAGTGACAAGTCATTTGTTGCCCCTGCCGTCATCGGAGTCGAAGATCGACCAAGTACTCGCGATTATTGACATCACAGTGTGCTCCTCATGCCAGATACGAGCTAATTCTCCGAATTGACTCGCGAGGAGGGGGATCGTCACACGCCAGATCACTCAATTTCCCGACGAGGGTTACCCCTCCCATGATGGGGCCAGCGAAGCGGTGTGGAAGGCATGGAAGGCTCGATGCGAAGGGGTCGGTGGCTTGGCAGATTTCGGTCCAGAACTTAGACTCCTGACACTCCACAACACGGGACAGCTTGGTCTTGCTGTCTACGGAGCGTACTGTATGTACATGTGTACACAGTAAGTGCTTTTTACCCCTCCCTCTGTGACAGAGATAGCGGTGTGTCGACCTATCAGCCTATTCCCGACGATCACCCCTCAATCCTCGAGGGAGACGTCTCAAACGCGGCATCCAACTTCAACGTGGCCACTTTGAAGCGGTCAAGCCCCAAAAATGGGTCCTCCCGATTTATCGACCGACTAACGCATCGACTATCGAGCGACAGAGGGTCCGACTGCCCCGCTGGGGCTGACTGCCCCTCACTAGCCGTCGTCAGGGTGACCGGTCGGAAATCGCTCATCGGAGCAATGAGGGGTCGAGCTGTGCTGAACTACTCGAGTAGCTGTGTCACTCTCGGGGTTGAAGCTACGCACGCTGCTACGGAGTACAGTACTGCGTGTCGTTAATCCGTAACAGCTTCGAGGCATCGGAGGCATTAACCTCGCATATCGCATGCGGTCCACTGCAGTGGATCAGCATAGCATGGCACCTCGCAGTGATCGTCCCGTGTGCATGCTGCATTCTTCGGGCGAGAGACGCGCGATGCACCTGCAAGGCTGTCTGCAGAGGCTGCAAAGACCAAGCCCGCGTTATGTCGTAGTAATTTTCAGTTCTTCGGTCATGACTCTTTCGGATCATTGCGTGATCATGGGAGGAGTATTGCTCTGGCGGAAGTCCTACGGCGCATCTGAGAAGCTTCGATTGTAAAGCTGCAAGTATTCCATTTCCGGTTATGTACTGGATGGTATGGTGCTAGCCACGCGAGACTCCCCTGGAGATCATTAAATGAGTCGGGAAGGGCAGGACATGTCCTCCGTTACCGAATTGCGTGCCACGCTGCTGGAACCTCCATAAGCTGTGGTCTTCGAACATTGTCATGATCAGTTTTTGTCTTGTCTTTGGATTGAGTGGCTCTGCCATTCATATCTCCATATCTCCATTGAACACGAGATACTCATATGTAGTTCACTACTTACGCCTAGGAATTGCTCGCGAGCTATCGCCGGTTGCGGTGCGCTCCGTGTTGACTGACCAGTGCCTAGTCGTGGTAAGATTGCCAATGAGAAAGGCAGCTGGGAGGGAAAGGCACTCTAATTTCACCGGATCAAGGCGCCAGTGTGACTGTAGTCTGCTGCTCTATCGTCAGATCATCACACATCGGGACATTATCGCCTCGGCTCCGGCTGCGAGACTTTCGAGGATAAATATATTCCGCAGTCTCCATCAACAACAAAGTACGTAGAGATAGTATATCGATCAACTGCACCGCCCACCCCGGTAACTTCTGTTCCTGAGAGGTGTAGTGGCCTAGCTAGTTGTATTTCCCCGGTCGGCTCTCCCAGAAAAATATATCCGAGCGCGTGCTGTGTCTACAGTGAGGAAATAGTGAGATGGTAGTAGCGCCTAGGCGTCATCGTGCAATATGATCATATAATTTGCGAGGGTAGGGAAAAACATAACAAGTGGTCTGGGTGGCGCAATTGGTTAGCGCGTACGACTGTTAATCGTGAGGTTGAGAGTTCGATCCTCTCCCTGGACGCTTCCTTTTTTACAATATTTTATCTGTTCCTGGCGGACATCACTCATCATGTTCGAAGGTATATGGCAATATATTATAACCAAATCTTTTTCCTTCCCCCATTGACATTTTCCTTTCGATGACATTGTTAGTCCTAGTTCCTTCCGGCAATTGCCGATCGAGCCCTGGGTCCTGACCGGAAAGTTGTTGATGCCGCGCATGTGGTGCCCGGCTGCCCGACACCTTTCATGCGATACCTGCACATTAAGATTGACAGTCTAGATGGCATTCCTCACCAACGGGATCCTACATTCGGAAACATTCTATCTAGCCCTAAACACAAATATTGACCAAACGATGCCGTGGAGGAGGGCAGAGAGCTCCTATCATCAGTACCCGGCCGCTGCGGGCTGCGAGTAATGCCGCCTTTACCACTTCATCGGCAAGCGCGATTGAAATTTAAGAAGGTTAGTATCCCAGAGTAGAAAGGTCATCTCCTGGCTTTCTCTTTTCTTCTCCCTTGTGTTGACACCTTCGAGAGAGGTGGGATTCTGACTACGTCAGGCTATCTGGGAGAACTAGCTAAGGCCACCGATGTGGGCGGTGAGCTTGCAACCTCAGGCACCAAGGCCGCAGGCCGCTGTCACTTTGTATTCTCATTGTTCCTCCTTTCCTTCATTAGTGTTGAGCTCTGAGAGGTGAGATCTAATCAGAAATGCGAGGTCAGATTCCGATAGTGGGCCAAAGAGGGTTGTCTGCACCCATGGATGATAGCCACAGTGCCTGGGCGGCATTGGACTGAAGTTTATTCTCTGAATGCAATCCCCTCGCAAACGAATCTCCGGAGGGTATGCAGCGCATGGGGATCCCAGAGAATCCGAGATCAAGAGGCGGGCCGAAGGGCATACCTTGGCCAGTCGTGTGGGGAAAAACCACATTCGGATATCTGGAACCTGCTTGACATTTGGACAGATACGGCGATTGGGTGCGATTGTTCTCGCAAGCTTGCCAATCTTCAGATTTCAAGGTAGTCTCCCACTCCTCGCCATGCAACGGAGTCCAACCCAGTTTACGACCCAGCACTGCCTTGATTCGGGCACTAGATTCGATAGAAATCACGAGTCAGCACATGTTATACCAGGTCGTGGAGGCTATCGAAAGGGAGGGCAGCATACTTCGCAGCAAAAGACAGCTCCGCCCGCGAGACACTGTCCGGAGCCAATCTCTCCCCCGCCTGCGCTAAGGTAATCTCCTTGACCTCAGCCGTTGGCAACATCCCCAGCACGTGAGCTGCTTTCGCCAATCGCTCCGAGAACTCCCGGTGCGTATGCTCGCCCGTCTCGCAGAAGTAGATTCCCCTCCGTCCGGACAGGATCTCAACCTCTGTGCAGATCTTCTGCAGCAAGTTCACACGCAAGCCCGCAACGCCCTGAACGTGAACATGGCTTCAGATGGTGTTTCCCTGCTCCACGACGTTTACAGCACCAGAACCGATGGCGTCGGCATCATGGCTGGAAGCTGGATGGAGTAGCGGTTGAACGGCCCGGTGCCCTGGCCGTAGGTGGTCGGCGCCATCATGATGTACGTGGTCACGTCGACCGCCTCGCCGGTCTCGATGATGGTGATGTCGGTGGTACGTTGGTGGTAGGCCTCGCGTGACTCGCAAGTCGAATATGCAGCACATAGCTGCTGACCCGGATGTGGCAAGAATGAAGATGTGGGTCTGCGACGTCGAAACTGCGAGTCGCAAGCGGGGGCAGCCGCTCATCCGAACCCTACTTCCTGCCCGGAATCCCGGAACTACCCATGGATGCAGTACTTGAGAGGCCGGAAGCTGCACAATCCCAACCACAAGGGCATAATCAGTACATAGTTCATAAAGGAAATTTATCGGCAAGTACCGCAGCTGTGAGCCATACCTAAGATAAATACAATATCCTAAAACGACCCATGATGGTAATGAGGCTGAAGAAGGGCCCATAGAGCATGACGTATACTTCCGCTGATAGAGTTGTGCAGTGCATTAGTTCATACAGTCACTACTTTTGTGCTTGTGTATGCTTGATTTTTCAATGTGAAGCAGGATTATCGATAGAAGACATATGCCAGAATCGGCCTATGCACTGAAAATCAGTCAATTCCATAAACTAGGCACCAAATGACTTTAGATCCAGAGTAATTTGATGCAGATCATCATAAGATCTGGCGTGTGGCGACAGGATAGACCCATAAGCCAGAGCTCGACCTCGATACAGAAGATAAATAGCTGCACCAGTCCTCACCCACCAGCTCTCTCTCCAACCAGGAAAAGGTCTCTCAAAGCACTCAGCGAAGTTCTGACAACATGGCCTCATCCACTGGCTACCTGCTCACCCTCCCTCTCATCCTAGGACCGGCACTGTCGACCCAGGTCTGCCCGCGCTTCCCAGACATCCAAGCCTTCCCAACCACCGCGCAAGCCGGCCCAGCCAACGGCCGCTTCACCTCGTGCGACAACGCCTTCGACAGTCCCAAAGTCCAAGCCGCGAACGCCACCACCTACGACTGGTGGTACTTTGACGCGATCGCAGCGACGGGGTGTCCTCGCTGGCCGTGGTCTTCTCTCTCGAGGCGAACCGGTCCGGCTTCAGCGTGACGGAGAACTTCACCAACGTGGACTTCGTGCAGATCTTCGGCACCTTCGCCAACGGGACCACCTTCGCATATTTCCTGTTCGCCAAGGACGCAGCCCTCGTGGCTACCATGGGCGATGGGTCGAGCGGGCGCTGGCGCGGCACGGGGGTCTCCTGGGACGGCAGCCCGGATCTGTCCGATTACCTCGTCACGCTGGAGGCAAGCCACTTGGGCTTCGAGGGGACGTTCTCCATGCACTCAGTCAGTAGTCCCTAACCCAGCCGTCCACTAATCACCCACCAGTTCTGGCGTCAAAACTAATGAGCCTCGACGGTAAATGCAGGTCGCGCTCCCACACTACCCCTGCAGCCCTAAACGCGCCAATCAGCCCCTAGAGGTTCTCCCGGGAGTAGGCTGGGCCAACGCCGTCCCCGATGCCGACGTGACGGTCAACATGATGGTACAGGGCTCGCCGTTGAGCTTCATCGGAACCGGATATCACGATAAGGTGCGTCGTCTCCCTTACGTCCCCTAATTCCTCTCAAGTATCCCCTCTGCCCCGCCTCAAGACCTCCCTAATATATACCCCCTTCACCACAGCAGTAGGAAGCTGGTACTGGGGCCACGCGCGCATAGGCCCGTACTCCCTGGTCAGGCTGGGCGCGCTGGACGCGAACCAGACCGAATACGCGAGCGGCTACGTGGCGTACCAGGGCCAGATCGTGCACGCCGCGTGCGGCGCGATGAAGGTGCGCCCGACGGGGGCGAACGTGAGCTTTCCGCCGCAGGGGGACGATGCGCTGCCCCAGGGGTTCCGGATCGAGGTCGATCTGGAGGAGGAACGCGGCGGCGTGTTGGAGGCGGAGCTCGCGGCGAATCTGGCCACGTTGGCCAAGCCGGGGTATGGACGGTGGATTGGGACGGTGAATGGGTGGGTTGGTGGGGTGCAGTTCGAGGGAGTTTCGGGATATGAGATGGTTAATTTCTTTTAGGGAGGCTTGGGAGGTTTCGGTGCGGAAAGAGTGTGTTTGGACTGCGTGGTTTAGGGTGTTCTGTGGTAGTGGGGGGTTGGAGTTCGAGGGGTTGATCGGTAAGGTATGGCTAAGATGAGTGGATTGTAGGGTACATTATCCAGAAATTTAGGAAGAGACTGTACGTTTATATTTTATTCAAGAAGACGATCGAGAAAACAAGAGAAAAAGCCACAACTTTTATGGAGCAACTGGCATGAAGTGGATGTAAATGTCTAGCACAGGCTTATTTAGGAACGTCCCTGCTCCCTGCCATGCCGCGCATTCAAGAATAGACGAGAAGTCGGAAAAAGTGGGATCTCAAATGGCAGCGCATCCTGGCAGAGATCATGGCCCAGCATATAGAATCCCGCCAGCGCGGAGAGCATGCCAAACGCCCCGGCGATGGTGGTAAATGTGGCCCCGAGTGCAGAACGACCATCCGCCATCATGCAGTTCGCCGTGCAGTTGAAGATGTAGCTCAACTCCAAGGCACCATAGATGGTGATGTTGATGAGGTTCCTATCGGAAGCATTAGTGATGGGGTTGATCCCCCTGCTTTGCTGTATATACAAGATAGAAAGGACCAGACTGACGTGGGCAAGGATGCGACGAAGAAAAAAAATTTAAGATTGACCATACTGTTTTTGCAGTTAGTGAGAACATGTTCCATCACTTTGATACACTGGGCCTCTCAACCCATACCTGAGACGCAAACATACCTGCCAGATACAGTCCGAACGCATTGTAATACTCGCTGGTCTTACCTCCATACGAGTCGACGATACCCAATGGTGGCATAAGTAACACTCCATATCCGCCATAATAGAATGCTTCAAGCCAATCAGCAATCTCTAAGTCATAGTATGTGAGGCACTTACCGAAAGCTCCAAGAACTGTGTAGGCAAATGTGTTCCCCTTCATCATCTCCCACTGGGCGGAGATCAGGAGTCCGATGCCGGCCAGGAAGCAGAGATTGGCGATGAAGACGGTCTGGTTGGATACAGAGCGAAAGCCCATCATGGAGAATGAAAGGGTCATGAGGGTTGTTGCAAAGGCACCGAATCCTAACGGACCCTGCAGTTCAACGTTAGAACGAGGTCGCTGCACAGGCACGCTCAAAGGCTTACTGGGTTTGCTAGGTATGATGAACGCGTATCAGCCACTATGTCCGGACTGAAAGGTTCCTTATCCCGTTCTTGAGGCTCACGCATATCTGATATGGTAGATCCAAGGTGTGTGCGAGAGAATTCGAGGTGAAGGTGTCGCCATTTTTCATCTCGTGGAACACAGTGAGGGGTGCAACACGATTTTGATAAACATCCCATCGAGGCGATGACATGATTCCCCATCTTACAGATACAACCCTAAAAAGGAAGTTATTTTTCGTGGAGAATACTAGGCTGTGGACTGGGCTCGGAGAGAGCGGAACACGATCCATGGATAGCACCAGCACTCCAAAATACTCCCCGCAAAGGAAGGCAGATGAGTAATGGATGCAAACTTTGTTCCTTAGTTCTAGAAATTTATGCGCAATATGATACAGCTTTTCAGCGATGACCAGTTTCTGGCCCCACTCCAAAAGACTTCCCGATTGGGAAATCTCATTCTTAATCCACCTGATGCTCATCGCAAAACAACCCCCATTCCATTTACATATAAATATGACATCGCATACCCGTAACATATCCAGCAGAACCCTCAACCGCACCAACCTGCGATTAAAACTATCTCATTACCAAGCCACCCAATTCTAGTCTGCAAAATGTGCCACCACGACGAAGTCAAAGCCAACGGCTGGACCAGCACCCCAGCCGACGCCGGCGCGATCTTCAAAGACCAATCCTTCCTCCAAAAAGTCGAACCCATCCCACTAGACACAATGAAATTTCCCGCCGACGACCCTGTCGTCGCAAAGACAATGGAGTACGCGCGCGCGGTCCTGCACCCGGAGACTTTCAACCACTCCATGCGAGTCTACTTTTACGGTAAGCCCAGCCTCCACACTCCATGAACGCTCCCCCACAATCCAGCACACAAAGCTTACGGGCCCCGGACGACAGGAATGGTAATCACTCACCAGCAGTTCCCCTCGCACGCCGCAACCCTGAACCCTGTAACCTGGGCCCTGACCTGCCTGCTGCACGACCTGGGCACCGCAACAGAAAACCTCACCGCAACGCGCATGTCCTTCGACATCTACGGCGGCATCAAAGCTCTTACCGTCTTACAGAACTTCGGCGCGACCGCCGACCAGGCCGAGGCCGCCGCGGAGGCCATCATCCGCCACGAGGATATGGGCGTCGACGGCACTATCACGTTCATCGGGCAGCTGATCCAGCTGGCGACGACCTACGATAACACGGGGTATCATCCCCATGTGCCCGGGTTTGAGGGGTTGGTGCATGCGGCCACACGGGCGCAGATCAACGAGGCGTATCCCCGGTTGAAGTGGTGCAGTTTCTTTGCCGGGGTGATTCGGAAGGAGGAGGCAGTTAAGCCGTGGTGTCATTCGACGCATTTAGTGGGGTTTGAGAGGGAGATTGAGGCGAATGAGTTGATGGCAGGGTGGGAGTAAGGTGTCCCGTGTAGAGGTTTAAAGGAGATGTGGCCGTGCTAGAGTGGCTGGTGCTTGTTTTGGGGATGTTGTTGAGAATATAAGGGAGATGGAAAAGTGCCATTAGATCTCGTTTAGAGGAGTTGGAGAATGTCGAGTTCTATTATGCGATATAATTTCAGGGAGGATGATGTGGATGTGGTCTTGCTTAGGTCCAGGACGCGCCCTATTGTAGGCGGGTACAGTACGGAAGAGGTTGAGTTACCACCGGCTTTGTTCAGCTTGGGAATCTCGACTGCAGACCGCCAGGTTCCCTTTAACCGTCACTATTGTATGCTAGTACTACGTAAAGAGATCTTTGACCGGCAGTTGAAGAGCCTATCCAGGAGTCCATTACTCCACCCTCTCCGTCGATATTTGACGATGCGAATTTAACTCAGAGAGTACGACCAGAGTATCAATGGACACAATCACAGGCTCTCACATCATTTTCCAGGTAGCGAAAAGCGCATTCTTCCTATGCATTGATCTCTTTCAACTCAGGTGCTGTGGATCATTGGTTCTTGTGCGACGCTGTTATCGTAAATCATGGACATCATGAACGAACGGTGTCCAACTATTTTGCTCGATAAGACATATCAAAAGGCCATGCATAGTATTGCAAGCATAGTGAGGCAAAGTAAGTCGCAACGTCGAACGGAACACGACACACCTTCAGTCCACACAGGAGCGGATACAGGTCAACATTGACCCATCGACTTCGTATTTTGCTGTCCTCTACCGCAAGAGATTCGACGCAGGCGGCCACTCTCAATAGTTGCAGGGTGGTTATAAAGGTTTAATATAACTCTGCTATAGCCGAAGATATCATGAAGATTACATTGATCACAAATCGCGCCCAGCAATTGATTAGTCGAGTTTATCCAACTGACTCGTAAACCCGCCGACATCCGGGCGACACTCGGGCCTCGCGGCCGAAACCCTGGGTAGTTAACGTTATTACGGATTACTAATCACGTTCCTCGTGTCCAGGCATTATTTATCCATCATGTATTTCATGGATATCAGTCGACTCACCATTGTAATGCTATGCATATTACTTGTCTCTTCATTTGCCCCTGAGACACCACCCCTCAACCCCCCAACAAACAAAGGGATTATCCCCGGTTAAATTATCCCCAATATCGATCAGATTGCGGCCTCAGCCAATCGGCGCAGACCAAAACTCCACCCGCGATCTCGATCTGTGTTAGTGGACCAATCACGGCCTCCGGGAAATAACCCGGCGGGAGAACCGGCGGCGTGTTTTGGGGATGGCCGGTAGCAGTCAGCAGCCACCCTGACCAGCTTCTGGCCCGGCAGCTTCGACGATTCGATTTCTCCCTCGGCTCGACGCCTACTCAATCTATTCTCCCCGGCCTAGTCTTGCCTAGCGAATTTAGCTCTGCGTTCCGGCCAATCTCTCTGATCATGTCTGGCGTAAGCAACATCCCCCATTGGATACCACACAATCGAGCCAGGATCGCGCGGAAGACGGTTCCTGGGTGAGTTGCTATCGGCCCAGTGTGACTGGTCTGGTTTCTGTGGTCAGATGCAGGGGTAGCCTTGCTTTTGGAACTGTCATTTTTTGTCTGCTGTGCGCTTCGGGAAGGCTGTCAATGCACTCACTGCATCTGGCCCCGTCAACTGTACAGTAAAGTGTAGATCTGTGATCTATCATGTTGTATGCTGGTTCCTGCTCTCATCATCCAGGCTGCATGAGCCGTTATTTTGAGTGAAGATGTGGAATCAAGCTTGCGGACTGACTCGTTCAATCGTTGTCAATTAATTCTGACGGCCGGCGTGGCGAATGCAAACAATCCCCTCGGAGAGTCCAGTCGCACGCTAAGAGCGTTGGAGGCAAACCCATACTCCCCACCCCACCTCGCCGACCCATACCACTAATCGTCTACTACGGCCTCAAGTGCTTACTCCCAACCCTGTCTTGTAGTCTATCACATGGGCCCAATTGGCAAAAGGCCACGTTCCCCCTGAAGGGGGGCAGAGACAGTGTAACCTTGTCTGGTGCACCAGAAAAAAACATACATAACGGCGCACCTGCCCCTGCACCGCCGTTGGAAGAAAGTCCACACTTTCAAACCTTAGTTCTCACAGATCTTCACAATGGGCGACGCAGAGGCACTTCCCGATTATGTTCTTGACCCCAACGCCGTCCTGAAAGACAAGGACGCTGCTTGGAGATATGGCGCGCCCCCGGACTATTCCAACACCCGTGCTGTGTACGAGCGGAGTATGTTGCCCACCCAACCATCCTCCAGTCCCAAGTTCCCTTGAGGACGATGTCGCTGACATCTTGACTCTCCGCTCGCAGCCAAGAAACAATCCCACGAGCCCGGCAGCCTGCCCAACCTGGTCGAGAACCTCGTCAAGAACTGGGAAATCGAGGCCTCCTTCAAGACCTCGCTGGCGGACTGGCGCACGATCGACCACGAGAAATACCACGTCACGCTCAACGGCGGCCCCCCGCTGTCCGGCGAGTACATGCTCAAGGTGGGCACCTACAACGCCTTGCTCACCCCAAGCGCGTACTACGACCCGGCCCACAACGACTTCGAGATGAGCCACAAGAGCTTCAAGCGCATGATGCCCACCTTCGCCTGGGAGGTGACCGAGGTGTACAGCGGCCCGCCCACTGTGGTCTTCAAGTGGAGACACTGGGGCGAGATGGCCCGCGACTATGTCGGGTTCAACGAGTGAGTCAGCCTCTGCAAATCTTACCTAGCATGTGGCTAACATGGGCGAATTCCAGCAAGGGAGAGAAGGTCCGGATTGAGGCGCACGGCGGCCCGATCGACATTCAGGGGATCATCGTGGCCAAGGTCAACAAGGCCCTCCAGTTGGAGCAGATTAACGTTTGGTTCGACCCGCTCGACATGTTCCGCCAGATCTCCCGCGGTCGCGAGCAGATTAAGGCGGATGATGCGGAGGTACCCTCTGGTTGCCCCTTCACTGGCACTGCCAACAAGGAGTAGAAGTTTTGATGTCTGATCTCGTGTCGTGTATTGTACTGTTTAGATACCTTGTGTTGTTCCAAAATATGTAATGATTGGCTTGATTCACGACGTCATTTGCGTAGAACAATGTAGAAGACTTTGCTGATGACTAGGGGAATTGCAAGAACCGAGACCCGGGCTAGTCACGTATGGCGATTGTGCTGTGCTTGAATCAACTATTCATCTGGCCCTGACAGCGTCTGATCCGAAGCAGGAATCAGTCGCGCACGAAGATCCGGGGGAGAAGGGAAGACAGTGTCAAAAGGCCACATAGGACGATGAATGCGGCGGTGTCCCAGACGGACGAGGTCTTGATCGACACCCCCTGGAGTCAACGCTAGCATCCAGTCGGCAGCCATCTCGAATAGCTCTGGCTCCAAGTACCCGATCTTGATAATGACCAGATCGGCCTTCCGAGGAGTCAGCTGCAGATCAGTAAAATCCCGTTCATGATGGTAGGGCTTGCGGAGCTGCGTCAGGATCGCAAACACCGAGCCTACTTGCAGCACCGCCTCGACCAGGGCATCCTTGTCACCATGCTTGATCGCATGCACGCGCCCGGTCAAGATGATCGGCCCTGCATGAACCGCATCCACCTCCGCCCCCGCCGTGACCGTCACCGTGGCACCCACCCCTGCATCCACCATGGTCCGCACGGCCTGCGGCCCCGGCAAGCTGGCATAGATCACCACCGGTCCATCGGGCCCCTGGAACTCGGGTCGCTCCAACAACCGAGCCAGGCCCCAGGTGACATCCCCCGACCCGCCAGCGGTAGGGTTGTCGCCGGAGTCCGAGATAAAGAACGGCCGCGCCTCGGGCGCAGACGCCAGCGCCACATCGATGCACTCGGCAAACGACCCTGTGGGCCCGACGAAGTGGAACTCCGCATGTGCTTTCCAGAACGCCTCGGCCAGCCCCTGCGCCCCCGCCACCACCGCCCTCTCCTCCCATCCCGTCACGACGACCGCCGCGCGGTTGCGCGGCTCGTCCGCCCACGCGTAGCCCGCCCAGATCGCCGCGTCGATCACCCCGTCCTCCGCCTCGACCTCAGGCACAAGCGCATAGAGCCCTTTGGCCGGCTCCACCCGGGTGGAGGTCTGCTCCCCCGGCAGCAAGATGGGTAGGGGAATCCATGCTTTGAGCGGGCGCTGGTGCGGGCGCACGGTCGCACCGGGTGCGCAATCCCGACGAAGGAGCAGATCCACCAAGTTCCGACACGCGCGCTCCTTTGTCTCCGTCTCATCCTCGTGCGGTGCCATGCGATAACAGGTGATCAGATCGGTCTGGTGGACCAGATTGCGCGACACGTTCCCGTGCAGGTCCATCGACGCGGAGACGATGCACTGCGGCCTGACCACTCTGCGGATCCGACTGAGGAGTTCGAACTCTGCGTCGTCTAATCCCTCCACTACCATAGCACCGTGGATGTCAAACCATAGTCCGTCGATCGGTGTCGAGGCTGCGATTTGGGTGAGTCGGGAGACGATCTCGGTGGCTAGGTCTTCGAAGTCGGCGCGGACGACGATTCCCCCGGGCAGTGCGTGGCCGATCAATGCCCCATGCCAGGATGCTGCGTCGCCCAGGGGAGTGTTGGGGCGGAGGAAGGAGTATTCGTCGAGGATCTCCTGGCCGCGGCGTGGGTGGAAGGCGGGCGCGTGGGTGCGTGCGGGGGTGAAGGCGGAGGTTTCGCAGGCCAAGCCGGCGACGGCGATGACGGGGCGAGAGGCCATAGGGTTGAGAATGAGGATAACGGTGACATGCGATTTTAGAGAGTGACACAATGAGAAATAGGCAGTGCAGGTGAAATTGAGAGTATAAGTGTGAATGGTGAAAGAAGGGAAGATTGAGTGAGGGGAAGCAGTTGGAGAAAGAGGGGTCAGTCACATGTCTATCACATGATAGCTATCTATACAGTAAGAAATATCCGATGTAAACAAACGCGCTTCCATTTGCTACGACTGTAGGTAGCACCGACAACAAAAAGTAAGTCATCCCAGCTTCCAGTTCGGTGCAAAGGACCTCTAGGCTCTTTTAGCCTTTTGGGCAACTAACTCTATCGGTCTCCAAGCAAGCCCATGGTCAACATCACGCTGTTCAAACAGCTCCCTCACCACCGTATCCAGATCGGCCGACTTTTCCTTGCTATTCGCAAAATCTCGCATGACGCTCATTACGACGACAAGATAGTTGGCATAATAGAAACCGCGTACCGTGTTGTCCCACAGGCCAAGTTAACCTTGCAGTATGTCAAAGCCCATGTCCCTGAAGATGTCAGGCAAGGAGCTGTTGGTCATTTAGCCTCCCACACAGTCATCAGCGGGTAGAGTTTCGCGGCGAGAATCTTCAAGTTGAAATATCACCTGACTGCTTCCGGGATATCGCGACCGAGAATATACTCGTCCGAGAATGAACCAGCGCCCATACCAGCAAAGGATTGTCAGTAAGGGAAGATAAAAGATATTCTTGGTGCTTGGAGAGCAAGGTTATCCCACAATGAGAAAGACTTTATATCGGCAATGTTGCCGAGCGTGTCTTGGTAAGTTAGCCGGCAAGAGCTTGATTCTGCCCTGTTTTGGTTCCGAACCACCCGGCTATGATCATTTAATTTGATCCCAAACCAGGCATTTGGCCACTTTCTGGTCTGGAAACTTATGTCTGATGGAGCAAGAAGGTCTTGGTTTAGTCGTGAGCCGACATGACCATGACTGTCTAACATAATATGAGCTTGTTGATTTGTGTCAATTCTGACAAGTGGTCCATGGTTGTCCATGATATCAAGACAGTTGTTTCTTTCTTATGATAGTGTTAGTTCTGATCTCTGTGCCTGCTGATTTACTACATCTTCACAAAAGGGATAAAACTCAATGTATACATCTTCGAAAAGAAGCCGAAACATCCCTCATGCTCCCTCCCAAACTCAAGCCTTACTCACCCAAACCCCCACCCCCACACTCACCCACAACCACATTCCACTCAAACACACCAGACTTCTTCCTCATATCATCTCCATCACTCACAAACCGACACCGCCGAAACGTCTGCCAAAGCGTGACTAGAAAGTTCTCCTCCCGCAGCTCGAGATACTCCGCCCCCAGTAGTGGCTTGATGGCCAGGGTAGCATCCTCGGCCCGGTAGAACGGGATGCGGGGAAACAGATGGTGAATGACATGGTGGTCGATGATGTGATGGAAGAAATGCCGGCCGATGAAGCCGAAGCTGCGGTCGACGGTGCCCAGTGCACCCCGCGTGAAGGACCAGGTCTCGGAGGAATAGTGCGCGATTTGCGGGTGGGTGTGGTGGAGGTAGGTTATTGCCACTGCAGCTTACTGTTAGTCTAATTCGCCTGAGGCGTAGGACGGATAGGCTGACCTATCCAGTGGTGGACCCAGAAATAGGGTAGAAAGTACAGGAGCATCACTTGTGATGGTCCTAAAATGGAGCCTAGGTGCACCAGACCCGAGATGGTGAGGGCGAGACCGAGATCGGAAAGCAGGACGTATGGTCGCTGCTTGGGGTGAAACAGTAGGCTGTCCGGGGAGAGATGTGAGAGGGGGAGGGAAGTGCGAGTCTGGGTCTTCGGATGGGCTATCGCTGCCTTTCCCCCGGTGGCGTAGAAAAAGAGGTAAGCCTGCCACCCTAGCAACTGGTGGGCTGCAAATCTCAGCAGGGTACTGAGGGGGGTGTCTTCGACGAGATCCTCCAGGGCATCAATCCGCCTGCGGCGCTTGGCCGCATACTCTGCTTGAGTGGGTGGAACGAATGCGGTGTCTTTCTCCATGTGTCCTGAGTACCGATGATGGCGCGCATGCGTGATCTTCCAGGAGAAGTAGGGCACCAGCAGGCTGGAATGCAGAATCCAGCCGATGATATCATTCAGCCGGGGATATGAGGAAAAGGCGCCGTGGCCGCATTCGTGCGCTAGAATCCATAGGCCGGTGCCCACGAACCCCTGCAGGAGGCTGTAGATAGACCATGCGAGGAACCGCAGAGAACCACTTTCCAACAACGGGATGTAGGTTGTCGCATATATGAGAGCTGCGGCGTAGAGGATATCGCGGGTTAGGTAGCCGAGAGAGGTCCAAAGGGACGGGGCGAAACATGAGTCAGGAATTGCTTCCTTCAGGCGCTTAAGGCTTGGTGAATGTTGAGCCATGGTCTGCTTCGAGGTTAGCGTCTTCTGCCATCGGATTTGGTTCTAGGAATGATGCTACCAGGCTGTGGTCAAACTCACGAATTGCTGGGGACTTTGATTGATTGAAGCACGAGCGAGTCGTGGCAAACTTTATAATTCGAAAACCGCTCACAATCATTTTTGGAAGAGGTTTTCATGTGAAGATACTATATACTTTCCAGGGTCACTTCAACATAGAACATAATCAACCATCATAAATCCGGTAGACCCTGCATGGCCAATTGATGGGATTTTAGCTGACGAATGCGAAGAAAGAGCCACGCTTAGATTGGCGATTGATACATAAGGTATGCTGATTCGAGGTCTTGCTCGGGCACATGTGCTACTCCCTCAGAGGCTTGTCCTACCTGTTTCAGCCATCGGTTGCTGTCAATTTTAGAGCTGCAGTGGAGAAGTGTGCATCCCATAGTCGCCTGCTGCATGACGCATCCCGGTAAACCCAAGGCCAATGATTTACGCGACATACCTTCGACGAGTCAGGGACAACAGGCCTGATTGATAAAGCCAACTGCATGAAGAGAAAACACGCATCCATTAAAAATGTCAAATCGAGTGAGGTCATAACTGCATGAGAGTCTTAGGTCGGTAGGTGATAGTCTTGCAAGATCTGTGGCGTCAGGAATGTGGCTTTATTCATACGACAATGACTCAGCCGATGGACATGCATAACTCTAGCATACCGAACAATGGTGAAAAGGGACGGCTAAACCCTGCATGATCGACGCAAGGGATGTATGATCTGCGGAGATCTTCCAGCTCTTTTGGACTGCATACGAGTCATGCGCTACAAGATAGGCACCATCAGCACTTGTTACGTCATCGCTTCAGCACACGAGTATGCTTAAGATCAGAATGCTCAGCTATCTCGGCAAATTTATCTAGACAGTCTTGGTCATGGTTCAAGGTACTGTCATCATGGGACAACAAGCTCTCCATCGTGGACGTATCAGATTGTGACAGGGTGTGGCGAGTTAGTTTCCTTCTGGGTCACAGATACCAAGATATAGACGCTAGAACCACGTCATGCATATCTTTCGGAAATCAACGCATGATGCAACAGAACACAGACACCGACGTGGCTGATAAGCTTCAGTTCACCTCGAAGCTCACGCACTATAAAAAGGCAAGACAAACCACACCCGCATTACTGGACCATCACATTGTCCTGCAACTTAATCGCATCAGAAACACAACCACCAGCCTTATCAAGATGCTATCCATCCCCAACCCCCTACCCTTGCACCTCAAACTCCCCGACGACCCCGAGACACTCGCCCTCCTCAACCGCATAGTAGTCTACACCGCCGTGATCCTCTACCACACCATCTGGAACGCGCCAGCCTACCACATCAAATTCGCCAAGAACACCTCCTGCCTGTCCTTGCACATCGCCACCGGCCTCCTAGAGTACTTCCGCTACTGGCTCACTAAAGCGCAGACCCCACACCCGCAAACGATCCTCCCGGATGAGCTCGACGTGCTGAGCTGCCTGATCTGGTCGTGGACGAGCTTCGTGCTGCTGCGCACGCTTCGCCGCGGCGATCCCTGCACAACCCGCCCGCCCTACTTGGCCGCCGCGTGCTTGCGGCCTCTTGCCACAGTAGCGGCATATGCATTCCGCATCCCGAGTCTCCACACCCTCAGCGTGTACGCGTTGGAAGGGTTCATCTGGACGCGGCTGGCGATCTTCTACTTCGCCCGTACGCCGTACTTGCGCGGTACAGCCAAGGACAGCACGGTGTATGCGATCTCGGTGCCATTGGCGGCGGTGTTTAGTGTGCATCAGAGCCAGGTGCCGGGCGCAACGTTGGGGTTTGTGTTGGCAATGGCGTATATCAGGCAGTTGAATGAGTGGGTGACGCTGCGATCGAGATGCTTGAGAGAGTGAGTTTGCTCACCTTGCCTTTAGTATATGCTTGGTTATGATACTGACTTTGGATCTAGTCCGCAGACGAAGGATGAAGTGTCGATTTGGGAAAGGTATTTGGTGGTCGGGTTACGGACGTTGGGGTTCGTGGAGCTGGATGAATTACGCGCTGTTTCGGAAGAACAGGCGTTGGAGAAGAAGCTGAACGATGAATATGTTTCCGAGGCGCGTAGCTGAGGAGGTTTAAGGAGCGTTGTGGGTTCTTAGGGTTCTTACCTTTTCTGAGACATTGTATGGTTAGGCATAGCGTTGTGATCGATTGAATATAAGCTGTTACAATTGCAACTGTCGTTAACTTACTGAACTTGTGTACTAGAGTAAGGAAATAGTCTACTGCGTACGATGGACCATCACTTAGGATAGCAAAGAGTGCGCCTCCGGCTTTGTGTAGAGAAGAGCGAGGACGCGTTCCTCCCATCCATCGTCCGACTTGGTTGGGTCCCAGGTGTCCTTGAAGTGGTTCTCCACGAAGCCGCGGAAGGGATCGGACAAGTCGCGCCACTGCAACACGACCTGGAGTTGGGGGTTCATCCTGCGTGGCAAAGTCACGCGGTGGAAGATGACGGCGCAGATCTCCGCGAGCCCGTCGTCCCGCTTCTGCCGGTGTACGCACATCTGGCAGATGGTGGTTTCCAGGAAGCGGTGCGGGGTGGGGATCTTGATGGGATAGTGCTCAGGCGAGTGGCGCCGGAACGGCGACAGGCGCAGATCATCAGACAGCATGTAGTAGTCCGACAGCACGCCCAGTCCCTCGGGGGGCACATTATCTCCTAGGGCCGAACGGGGTGCGGTCGTGGGGTTGCCGCGGGGCGGCTCGGGGAAGAACCAGAGCACATCCGAGTGATGGTAGAAATTCACGACGAACCCCCAGAGGAACGGCTTGCGCTGACAGTAGCCATGCTCACCCCTTGCGAGGGGAGGCGGGAGCATGTGGAAATGCCAGGCGGGTGCGATGGCGGGCACATCCTTCTTGAAGATAGGCTTGTAACCCCTGCGGGCGTCGCAGTCGCCGTGGCACTCCAGGTTCCCGAGGGGCTGCAACGCATTTTTGGCGTGCTCCATCCATCCGGTGGGGATGGAGAAGCCTGTAAACAAGCCTAGCTTGTGCTGCAGGCCGTAGAGCTCAAGCACCGACTCCCCGACTAGACAGTAGGGAATGGCACTATTGTCGAGGATCCTGGCCACGTATTCCATGGCGTAATCCTTTAGCATATTGCTCTCCATGATTGCTACTGTTGTTACTTCGGAATCTTCACAGTTGGGGTTAGTGATGTGATGGTGACTATGATGTCCAGATATGAATACTACGAGTATTATAGGCACCAATTGCCTTCTTTTTTAGAGGTCTTCTTCCTCAAAATGAGTATTCTCTTTGAACCACGACCAAAAGAGTGAAGATTGTGAAGAAAGTGATGATAAGGGCTTACATGAGAATATCGCGGAGGAATCCGGTATTTTTATTGTCTGTCTCTAGCCTCTGAACACGGCTTCGACAAGGCAACTGTCAGACACAAAGCTGACGGGGCAGGATAGTCAGTTAATGATTTCGCTGCTAGTGCTATAGCTCTAGCGCTGATAAACCCATCGTTGGGGCTACCGCACCGCGACAACGGCCCACCTTCCATCCTCCAAGTGGTCTCACTCCGGTCCAAAAGCTGGGGTTCGAAAAGGGAGCGCTTGCTGAGACGGTGAACGGGAAGCTCGAGGTCGTCCTAACCAATTCTGTCCTTCATCTGTGGGACTATGGGACCCAGGTCAAGGTAGCTGCGCGACTTGTCCGGCTATGTAAGGAGAAACCGGGGGTGATGATTGCCGGGCGGCAGATGGGGGCGCGATTGGCAGGACATTACGCATTGAAAGGGTTCAAGGATGACCCAATGCACTATCGGCACAATGTGGAGTCGATCAAAGGATTCTGGTATGATGTTGGGCAAGTCACTGGGACGCGGTGGCGGGTGGAGGCGGAGATGTACTGGGGCGAGGAGTGGGAGAAGACGCGGAACGTGTCGTTTACTGATGAAAATGTGCGGATGCTTTGGTTTTGCGCGGTGAGGGAGTGACTTGATGATATTAGTGCATTAGACGTGGTTTGAAATGCCACATTTCCATTGGATGAATTTCTAGAAATGTTGAAGTATCAGCTTCTAGGAGCACGAGGCAATTGTCGCTGTTAATGCACCGGTGACGGCTAATCAACACCAGGATGTTCGTCGGGCTAGCAGCGGATATCTCCGGCAACGGAGCATTGAAAGACTGGCGCTATCTTAGCTAGTCTCCCTCCTATCTGCCTCTGGCCACTAAAGTCAGGACAATAGTAATGAGCTAGTTATTGTATGTGTATTGCTTGACTCACTGAAAAGCGCAATGACTCAATCTCAGCTGCATATACCGCCCTTTGCATTTACCTTCGCGAGACAATACCCCTTCAAGACACTTACAACCCTCACCTACCCCAAATATATCACAAAGTCCTAATCTCAACACAAACCACATAAACCTAGAAGAATAAAAACCATACTCCAATTCAAACACCAATCTCTCAGCTAAAACAATGCCAACCCCCACCCCCACCTCTCCAATCCTCACCTCGACCCCGCGCCTGCACATCTCCCTCCTCTCCCCCACCCCACCGCACAGCACCTTCCTCCACCACCTCTGGACGAGCCCAGACTTCACCACCTCCTGCGGCCCCTCGCCCTTCAAAACCCCCGACGACGCCACAACCTTCCTCACCAACCGCCTGCAAAGCATCTACACCACCTCCAACCACCAGCGCGGGATCTTCCTCCTCTCCCGTCGACCGCACCCCACCGCCCCGCTCGCCGAAAGCGTCCCCATCGGCACCATCTCCCTGATGCAAGGCACCCCGCCGGACGGATACAGTGTCCCAGACATCGGGTTCAGCGTGCTGCCCGAGGAGAGTGGAAGGGGGTATGCGACCGAGGCCGGGCGGGCGATGGTGGAGTATGCCTGCACGGAATTGGGGGCGGACGGGGTGTTCGGGTTCTGTGATGTCGACAACGCCCGGAGTCGGCGGGTGTTGGAGAAAATCGGGTTGGAGTTTCGGGGGGAGAGAGCGCTGAAAGTTTTTGGAGGGAAGAGGAGTGCTGTTTATGCTTTGTCGGGGATGGATGGGGATTTGGGGGTTTATGGGCTTGAGGGTTGAGTTAATCTATTTCTTTTCTGGAGACGGGAGGGGTTGAGAGATTGTGGTGTGGTTTTGGGGCTGCTTCATGTGATGCGGTATTCGAGACAGATCAAGAGAAATGTGAATAGTATTGTACGCCATCTTATGCACAACGGTACTGATAACAGTCATTGTAAGCAGCTCATCAATGCACAACCAGCACCGCGACCCCCCACGCCGGCATCTGTATTGTATAGCTGTCTTTGCTACCCGTCACATTCTGTATCACGGGTTGGATAGTGGAATTATGCGGGACGTTGACTCCATCTCGTGGACCGGATAGCAGCTCCATATGTCCAGCTGTCGTGTTCGGAATGGTCACCCGGACAGTGCGGTAGTCGTTACCATAGTTGGCCATCTTCATAATGTATGTCCCGTTGGTCCGCGAGGCGACCCAGTACAAGGGGCCGAAGCTGGCCGTCGAATTGACCGGCAGGATGGTCTGCCCCTGGTAGTTGGAAAACATCTTCTGGACCCAGTAGGATGTGGACAGGGTAAGGGAGCCGGGGTTCGAGTCGAACCCGATCAGCGTCGGCTGCCAGGATCTATTAGCTCGAGTGACAAAGCCTCAGCACCGGGGGAATGATACGTACCGACCACTGGGTGTACGGAAAGTTCTGCAGCAAGGGTGCATAAGACGCCATCTTGATGACATCGCTGTTCCGCTCCAGTCCGATCATGTGCACCGCTTCGCTGCAGCTGCATTGCATGAACGTCCAGTAGAACCCGTCCGGGGAGCTTGTATTGCGACAGCCGTACTCGCCGATCATCACCGGGCGTGAGCGGGACTGGTGGTCCCACTCGTGGAACATGGCGACCAGCTGGTCTGGACTGCGGTAGTAGTGGAAGTCGTACATAATTCCAGGGGGTGGATCGGAGGGAAGACACTGCGGATCGCTGGCGGAGGTGATCAGCGTGATGTTGGGGTAGTTCTGGTGGATAGCGTCGTAGATCTGCATGAAGCGGCGGGGATACGTTGCGCAGCCCCCGGTGAAGTCGTCCTCGTTCCCGATCTCGATGTACTGGACTGACCAGGGCTGCACGCGTCCGTTCTTGGCGCGGAGACTTCCGTGGGTGGTGTTGGGGGCGCCGAGAAGGTACTACTCGATCAGCTTGGGGACTGACGCGACCAGAGCGACTCACCTCAAGCTCATGAAGAATATCCTGGATGTAGGGTTCGAGCTCCTTGCCTGACAGGATGTCGCCGTAGGACTTGCCGTCCCAGACCGCCAGCACGGGAGCCATGTTCATATCCTCGCACCACCATAGGTACTCATCCAGACCTGAATAACTCGTTAGACACGGTCAAAGTATTCGGGCGCATCCTACCCAGTGCGTCAGTATTGGGATAAAACCAATCACTTTGTCGCCCAGGACGCTCGACTACCGGTCCGATGGTCAAGTTCCATTGCCACCGACTCTCAACTTCCAGACCTTCCCTGCCAAGCATTAATGAAAATCCGGATAGACAATTGGTCTAGGCCAGTAAATAAGTCATACAAGTTATTTCCCCCAGGAAAGCGCAAAAACGACGGTTTCATATCTGCAATAACCTCGGCAATATCCTGACGGAGTCCATTGGACCTTGACTATGTCAGTCTTGCTTCTCTCACTAGAGCACAAAAACCACACCTCGCCTTGTACGCTGGCGGAAACAACTGCGGAAGACCGAAATTCAGCGTCCCTCCAGACACCTTAGACGCATTGAAAAGTAGCCTCCACTCATTGTTGCCGTCTGGTGCTGCTGTGGCATTGAACACCGCCGTGTATCGGGTGAAGTTGTTCTGAGTGCTGGCGACCGTGATGTTATGCGAAGCGAAGATCGTTCCACTAGACGATCCAGCCAGCTGGAGGGTGATCATTCCGCTGTAATCTCCCAACATCCAGAACTCACACCAATATGTGGTGTTGACGACCGGAATGCCTTTGTACCCTGTGTTGGCAAATCCGACCAGGCCTGTGGCGCCGCTCGCTGGTACGGATACCTGTAGGGAAGAAGTGATGGCACCACTCACCGGGTACAGGTAATCCTGCATGATTTCTGCTTGTCCGATGGGTTTGTAGGCAGTCAGACCGGGATTGGCCCCTTGAAAGCCGTTGTTCTGCAGTATTTGTCCGTGGAGCCCTCCGTCGCCTGTTCACCTTAGCTTTGTTGCTGCGCAGCGAGGGCGGTATGTACCAGAATGATCCATTTCCTAGAGAAATAGCAGCTAGCGTCAGCTATTACACCCATTCGTGGACAGGTCTGGCATATACCTCAAACATAATCCCATACAGCAATGGGCTAGATAGATTACCTCCAGACGTGATGACCGTCAGGTTTACCGCGGAGGCATTCCGCGGCGCAGCACTGGCACTCGCTGCAAGGGAGGTTGTGGAGCTGGCGTCGTAGGGCAGCCATGCTGCCACCGCAGCTAAGATAGAACGTGCAAAGGCTTTCATGGTTGTTGCTTCTGCCAGTGATCGATGAACCAGCGGATTCATAGGTGCTTAAGAAATGCTTTTAACCATGTCTTGGTCGCACCAGGAACCGCGGCCGTCCGAACTGACTCCCGTGATGACATCATACACTTCCCTATTTTCACTCTGCAGGCAGGGTTCCTGATTTCTGCTACCGATAGCTCGTCGCCAGAGAAAATGACCCGAGAGTCACTCCTATCACACTGGTACATTTCCCCGGATCTCCACCGGATGACAGGTTGAAGGTCACTTTCCGGTTATTTAGGTTCGAGCAGGCCTGGTTTGGGTACTTGTTCTGGTTCCAGAGCAGCCTTCACCTCTTGAAATGCGGAGATGAGGCGAGATTATATAGCATCATAATTGCAAGTGTATTTTTTGCATGGGGAAACACTGTGGACAGGGTGAAACTGTATTGTTACCATTGAAATTCTAATTTGGTGCGTGAGGCAGAGAGAGATGGACTTTACCATATCGGGAAAGGTTTTACCTTGCATCGCAACCTAGATTGGGTTAGTCCCCTGATCGTCTTCCAACCAGGTTGAAGGTGAATATTACTTTTTCTATCAATAAATAAATAATTGCAGAGCAACGAAACAAAATCTTCCTAGACATATAGAATAGGCTATGCTGCCGTAAGGCATCAACGTCCGCACCACACAACCAGTTCTTCACGAATTCCACATCTTCTTGAGTAGACAATAAAGACAGAGTGACCAGTGCAGAGCTGAACAGTAATATAACTATCAATAGTCAATGTAGACAGGAATCATTTGTTACATCTGATTATAGGTAGCATATAGCTATCGTAGAACATGAAACACCACTAGTACACGCTTGTGACGGATAAGAAAGATGGTCTATATTCGGTATTATATACTACAACTTGCTTTTTGGTAAAAACTAGGGACAACTTTAGTGCGGCTTTATATACAGAAGCATACAATCCCAAGCGTTATGTTTATCACTATTCTTACAAATCCAACACCATGGCAAGATAGGAAGAGAGACCAAAAAAACGAAAGAAAAAAGAAAAAAGACAGAAAGACAGAAATGGAAGAAGAAGAAAAGACAAGTGCTCTCTATTATCACAGTTATAAAGAACAAACAACAGAATCAATTGCACCGTAAGCTGGCAGACTTGCGAACCCCCCAGAGACTAATCATGAGCACATCATCTCATAACTCACAGAACAAGATTATGGATCCGGACATACACAAAAGGACATCAAACCAGCAGAGCCGTCACAACTGCAACGACCAGCCCGGTCAACCACCCATTCCCCGCGACAACTAAACCCCTCGCTGCCCCGTTCGGCAGCGTCACGTTCTGACCGGCAAACGGATCGGTCAAGTTGGCGGCCTGCTCCCGAGTCACATTCACTATTCCGCTGTAGGCCACGATCACGTTCCCGACCGTGCGGACATACTGCCACAGGGGTGAACACACCCGCACCGGCGTGTCGTCGGCGATCTGGTGGTCGCCGCCCGTGCAGCTAGAAACCGTCCCCGTGAAGCAGTAGCTGCGGCCGATCTCGACGGCGTACGCCGACTGGCCCGGTGCGAGGGGCTTGCGGGCCACCCCCTCATAAACTGTGGCTTGGGCGCTGAAATTGCTTGTCTGCAGTTGTTTCTTATCGACCGCCTTCTGGACAAGGGCCGTCAGGGGCCCCGCGGCGACGCCGGTGAGGTTCGTCACCGCGTAGTAGGTGCCATATCCCCCCGTCCCCGTGATTTCGCAGGAAGTGGTGTTGTTACTCGTGGTGGTGGTGTTGGGGCAGCTGAAGGCTGCGCTGATACGTTTCGGTGGGTATTCGTCCCCCGATACGGGTTGACGGTCCCAGTTGAAGACGGCGCAGGTGGTCTCGTCGTTGGTGTTGTTTCGTAGGGTGACTTGTGTGGTGGGCTGGGCCGCTGCACCTAGGGCGAGGGTAAAAAAGAAGAGAGCGGCGGTGGATTTGAGGGTTGGCATGGTGGGTGGAATAAATTACTTAGAAAACAATTGGGGCAGAGAGTTGGGAGCTGAAGATAAGACTTGGGTGTGTGATCTTGAGTGACCTGTATTTAGAATGTAGTTGCGGCAAGGGTCTACTTATCAGATATACAAACGATCTATATTTGTTGCTGTGGATACTGTTGGATACTAGTTGATCTCGATTCCAGGCAGCAATTTGAGACGCAGGGGCAGGTGTCGCCAAGGAACACTGGCTTCTTAGGATAAGACATAGTCATCTGTGGGTTACTGACATCCCATGTGTTGATAGTAACTTAGGTCCTGCACATATAAGCAGACACTAACTCGGACTGCATTGTCGAGATGACCTTGGCGAGTAATAGATCCTCTAGTCATGACAGACAAACAGTTGGTGGTGATTTCCAGAGAAGGTCTACCACGCAGGGGTTTCCTGTTAATATCCATGCATTACCTGCTACTGGAAGCGATGGCACAGATCTCAATGCTCCAAGAACTTACTTCGACTGAAGTGGATATCAGCTCCAACAGGGTCTCTTTTTAGGGGTCTAATCGCCCAGATGGTACCATTAGGAGCTGGCAGAGTTTGCGGGCCATGCGCAGCGCGCATCAATTGAAAGTCCAAAATGAATCATTCAGGGTAGACTAAGAAATAATCGTGTTTGCCTATACTATCATGATGGGGCTGTGGGGCCTTTTCCTTTAGGCAACCATATAATTGATCTGATATGATGGTATACTTCTACCCGAAGCAATTGTGGGCCCGAGGCCAGCGGTTCAAGGCGACAACCGACACCCCACAACCACCGGCTACCGGCTCAATTGTACGCTACTTGGCACAGCCCCAGCGTCTAGCATCAAAGCCTGCCATATTCGATCTTGCTCAGGGTCTTTCCGGTTGGATCCTACTCGCTTCACAGGCTAAATGCCCCACGATGGTGCCTCAGGCATTGGGATAGGAGGTTCGCCTCGAACAAGCGTCCTAATTATTGGTGCGGCCCCATTCGGCCAACATAGTCATCGCGACTCTTGACTGGGTTTTCCTCTGATGTCTCATCTGCAGAGGAAGAGGACCAAACAGAAGGCAACAAAATTCACTGCGCCTGTCTCGGGAAAAGGCTCTGCCATAGCACCCAGACTTCTCAGGGAGGACAATAGTTCGAGTTCGAGGCTTGTCATCTGCTCACTTGACTCTGAATTATAAAAAAAGGCTGAAAGGACAAAAACCAAAGAACAAGAGTAGAATTGCTCCATCTCATGGATCATCTCCATCACAAGTGACAGAGTATTTCCGAAGAATATTCGTCTTACATTCCAGAGCCGTTTTCGGTACAACTGGATGCCGATAAGTAGATATTCACGACACAACATAACAGAAACATTTGTCACTTTCCGGAACGCTAACGTTCGTTAAAGCCTATCACAGAAGTCCTCAAGCCTGCCGTCTTCAGTTCGCTTGACAGTAAAATCTACCAAGCTGGCAGCATCATCACACATTACCTGTCATCCGTCATACCAAGCTTCCAGCTACCATCCACACTCCAAAAAATCGCAGGTACATCTAATACACCCAAGGAATCAACCGATACTTCACCCGCGCCTTGATCTCCTCATAAGCCCGCCCATACTAAAAACAAGTCAGCCATTTTTACCACTCACGCAAACTCAAAGAAAACTAGAGGTACACTCACCCGACCGATCAGATACTCATCCAACACCGGCACGCCTCTGACCGCGAAATCCCAGAAGAAGAAACCGAAGGTCGTCGCCGCCCACGGCCAGCCGCCCGTCACCATCGCATACCCCGCCCGCCAAACGGTATACCCCCCCATAGTTGATATTGGTCGCCAGCGAGAACAGACCCCCGCCGTAGGGCTTGCCTTTGTTGGCGGGGTCTTTCTTGAAGGCGCGACGCTGGAACTCGGAGACCGCCTCTGTCAATATCCCAATGAGGTAGGCGCTGAAGCCAATGGTTGCGGTGGGGTTCGCTAGGATGAAGTCCAGTAGCGTCTCGCTGGTGGAGGCTGGGGCTTGGGAGGTGCGCGACCAGATGGCGAGGAGGGTGTTAGTTGTGTTGAAAGCCGTGTTGAAGAAGGCGATCAGGGCGGCGGAGCCGACGGGGGTTTCCTGCTCGGAAACGAACAGCATGGCGGCGATCTGCTTGATGCTGCTGCCCAGGGAGAGAAGGCTGACGAGGTAGTAGTATATGCGAAGGCTGCTGCTGGAGGTGGCCCAAACGTTGCCGGCCACGACGGGAGAGCCACCCAGCTTGGTTATGAGCTGGGAGGCCCAGCCCTGGCTGAGCAAGCTGTACTGCCACCAGACGTCGGCGGCGCGGAGGCCGATAAAGACGGCTCGTCCTACTGGGGAGCTGGATTTGGTGCGTGACACATTGTCGTGGAGGCGCTTGGGTGGATCTGACATTGTCGGGGCCGCTCTGAACAGATATCCTGGAGTGATAATTCTGATGATCCCGTTCGAGGGTTGATTTTCGATTTATATGCTGGAGTGATGTGGGGGGTGCTTATTCATGCTCGGGATTGACATCAACTCCGAAGATCGTGATGACTTCATCACTTTTCAAATGAAGTGGTATCTGCCTTTAGCGGCAATACAGCCAATGGTACAGTAAAGGTGGCAGATCCCTCGGGCTGAATTTAGCTCCGAAGCGTTGCGCTCTGTAATCGGTCCAGACACCCCTTGCATTATTCACCTGCCATTTAAGGGTGCAAGGAATGTCTGGGTTTCCGATCTCACATCCTTGAGTTCTGAATACAAGATCAACATGACCACCGCCATCCCTGTGATTCTCTGTGGCGCCAAGCGCGAAGTTGCAGCCCTTGTCCGCACACACATGCTCCCGGAGTATAATTGTCTGCAATCACCCCTTCCGTACCGACATAGAGTCATATGACGAGACTGAACGACAGCAGTTGTCTACGCCGGCCACAATCTCCCCGCTGCAGAGCAAGAGGTCCCGCTCATTCTCGCAGGGACGGCCCCTCCAGCATCAGCTCTCCACACTCAGGTTGGCCCAAATGACTTTACCATCGCTCCACGCGCAGTCATCACCGGCGGGGGATACAGCGAGGGGAGGTTCCAGGCCATGTATCGGGCATGCGCCAACGCCAGCGGTGTTCTCTCTGTGCCCTTCTTCAGGACAGACAACCAACTCACGGATCAACTGGCCGCCACGGGAAAGGGCCCCGCTCACTCGTCGTCCGAGTATCCGGCGGCAGTCACTGCGCGGCTAAAAGCCAAGCTGCGTGAGGTGGGAGTGGCACCGGGGACTACGGACAATCCGGAGAGCATAGCGGGGAAGACGTATTGGTTCTAGGAATGATGAACAGACTTTATGCAATAAGAGAAGACATTAAAATCATTGAGGACATCCCGTCAAGCATAGGCTACCGTGCCAGACTATTTCCTCAACACATCAATTTGAAATAGCATTAATTCTTTAAAGTACATTTTCACCCACGCCTCTCACCCCAACTACTCCTTCTCCTGCAAAGTATACTTAGGAACCTCCTCGCCTTCCTTCCAGAAATACTTCGCCCCATGATGACTCTCCGGCAATCTCGTCTGCCCCCTGACCCCATAGAAGTTCTCCCGCATCGTGCCCCCTGGCACTTCATACTCGGTATGAAACAATCCTCTGCGCTGCAACTCCGGCACCAGATACTCAATGATATCATCAAACGTCTCCGGCACACTGGCATAGCTGAGATTAAACCCGTCAACATCGGCGACCTCGACCCAGCGCTCCAACTCATCCGCCACGGTCTTCGCATCCCCGATGATCTTCGTCCCATTGCCGCCCATAACCAGATACTCCGCAATGGTCGCCTTATTCCACTTCTTGCCCTCCCCACCCGGCACCGTCTTCGCCCAGTGGTTCACCATACTGCGCACAGCGGGGGCCTCGACGAACCGGAAATCCTCCTCATCCGAGTACTTGGCCAGATCATAACCCGACCAGCCCCCGAACAGCGCCAGCGCCCCCTCCTTGTCCCCGTACTTGCCATACTCGCGGAATTTCTCCCACGCCTTCTCGTCTGTCTCCGCAACGATCACCAACACGCCCGCCACAATCTTCACCGCATTCGCATCCCGCCCCAATTCCTTCGCCTGCTGGCGCACACTATCCACCGACGGGCGCACGAGCTCCGGCGACTGGCCGTTCAAAAAGATCGCCTCCGCATGCTTCGCCGCGAAGCTCTTCCCGGCACTCGACGTGCCCGCCTGCAGGAGGAAGGGGGTGCGCTGGGGACTCGGCTCGCAGAGATGCGGGCCGGGGACGTCAAAGTATTTCCCCTTGTGGTTGATCTGCCGCACCGCCGTGGGGTCGGCATACCCCGTGACCCCGTCGCCATGAGCATTAACGGCCCCGTCGCGCCACGACGCCTCCCACAGCTGATAGACCACGTCGAGGTACTCGTGCGCGATGCGGTAGCGCTCGTCGTGCTCGATCTGCGTGTTCAGCCCGAAGTTCCGCGCCGCCGAGTCCAGGTACGAGGTCACGATGTTCCAGCCCACGCGGCCCTGGGCCAGGTGGTCGACCGTCGAGAACCGGCGGGCCAGCGCGTACGGCGCGTCGTAGGTCGTCGAGGCGGTTACGCCGAAGCTGATGCTGTGCGTGGCGGCGGCCATGGCGGGGATGCTGTAGAGTGGGTCGTTGATGGGGAACTGCGCGCCCGCCGGGATAGTCGGCGTCAGGTTGGCCGGGCCCCGGTAGACGTCGTAGCCGCCGAGCACGTCGGCGAAGAAGATGGCGTGGAATTTGGCCGCTTCGAGCTTCTGGGCGAGTTGGACCCAGTTGGACAGGGAGGTGTATTTGTGGCCTTGGTCCGGCGGGTAGCGATGCAGGCCCGGGTTGAGGTGGGAGGGGGATTGCATGGCGAAGGCGTTGAGGATGAGTTGTTTCTTGGGGGGAGTTGTGCTGCCCATTTTGATGGTTGATGAGTAGAAGTGAGGTTGTGTTATTGATTGGTCGATTGAAACCTTATTCTCGAATATGGTTTTTCTGCGAGTAAGAGTAGAGGTGAGGGATATGAGGTTTGGGAGGAAGGGAGGAGGTGTAAAGTCTTGTGTATGGTGGTGGTGTGTGCTTGGGTTATTTGTTATATACGGCGGAACTAGAAAAAGATAAACAATCTTATCGGTCCAACCACCAAACTACCCCTCATGACTCGCCCGAGAGGTTGTGTTGCGACGTTCTTCCGATGGAGGGGTCCCGGAAGACGTGCGAGGTTGCCGCGATTGCGCCAGATGCGGTGCCGATGATGACACGGGGTGATTCACTGGCCATTCGTAAAATCTTGGCGATGGGCGGTGTTGCACACAGTATCGCAGCAGCTGACTGCCAATATAGTACATTCGAGTGACATGACTTTTATCCTAAGGGGAATTGTAGAATGCTTAATTGAAGGTATACAGCCTGTTACCCTAAGGCAGTGCCAAGCCTGCCGGCTCCGTATCGAAATCACCTGTATATTCAAACACCCTGTATGATTTTTAATGCCTATTCACATCCAATCTATTGCAGCTATTTACAACCTTCCCCTAAGACCCCGGCTCAATCCTCCAGGTCCACCACGATCCTCTTCCCCGACACACTCCCCTGCCGCAGCGTGTCCAGCGCCGCGTTGACTCCCTCCAGCCCGCCGGCATGGCGCACCACCTCCGGCCCCAGCAGGGTGTTCGACGCCAGCAATTCCTCCAACCACGCGACCATCTTCTCCCCGACCCCGACCGACGAATGGAACAGTTTGATGGGCACGGTATGATACTTGATCCCGGCCCGTCGCTCCTTGGGCAACCCCGTTAGCCCCAGCAGATGCGCATGCGAGCCATCCTCGCGCACGGTGGCGTCCAACACTTCCTGCAGCAGCGTCGACGTCTCCCGCCCGACGATGTCCACCGCGTACCGCAGCTTGTCCCCCGTCACGCCGCGGATGATCTCCACCGCGCGGGCGGGGTCGTGCCGGTCAACCAGCACATCCGCCCCGAGCGCGTGCAGGCGCGCCCCATGGCGGGCGACGTCGGCGATGCAGATAACCTTCAGACCTGCTAGTTTAGCTAGTTGCATGGTGATCATCCCCGTGGTTGTAGATGCTATCATCAATTAGTCATCTTCACTCAACAACCCGAACAGTTCATCCACAACCCCAAGAAACGAAGGAAGGGTACGCAAACTCACCCCCCCAAATAACCAGCCACTCGCCCCTCCGCAAGCGCTCCTGCGCCGGCACCGCCGAGAAACACTCCTCCCGCACGTCGGCCGGAATCTCTGCTGTATCGATCGACTGCACGGCATCCACGAGATTGGGGCCGGGACACGCGGCGATCGTCGAGAAATCCAGGCCAAGAGATACGCCCAAGGCAAGCGTCGAGGCCACGAACGCTACCCCCAACGACGCGCTGACGTGCACGCCCGTCTGGTCGGGGATGCGGGCGGCGTTGAAGTGCGTGGCGACCGCGTACTGCTGGAAGGCGGCCTTGCGGATGTCCCGGTAGTCGGTGGAGGGGACGAGGACGCGGTCGCCGACGCGGATGCGCGGGTGGGCGGGGTCGCGCACGGCGACGACCACGCCGGCCAGGTCGCGGCCGTTGATCCAGGGGAGAGCGGGAATGCCGAAGTTATACGCTCTGCGTCGCTGTTAGTGGGTTGTGGGGAGGGGGCAGGGGGAGGCAGGGAGACGTACGGGCCCTTCCAGTCGATTGGGTTGAGGCCGATCGCTTGGATCTGCTGGTATGTCAGAATCTAGGGGCTGAATGAAGCGTAGAAGCACAGCCATATCATACCTTGACTAGGATCTCCTCCTCCCCTAGGATGGACGGGATGGCATGATCGGTCACGAGGGTATACTCTTGTCCGATGCCGTGGAGGAGCAGGGCGCTCTGAGTGGCTTGCGGCGCTGCCTGCGTTGGTGCTGGGGCTGGGGCTTCGATCGATTCGCTCTCGGGGTAGTAGCGCTGCTCAACCCGCACAGGGCTGTCGTACACGAGAGGGTACTTCTCGTCCAACGAGGGCGGTACGGTGTATGTCGTTATCGTTGTCATGGTACCGGATGTGTGTGCGTGCGTGCGTGTATTCTGTACAACGAACGACAAGTTGATGGAATTCGCAGGAACTTTGCACCCCGCGCGATCCAGATATGTATGTCTTTGTTACCCGGCCGAGAAACTCCCCCTCTGCAGGTTTATCTCTATCTCCCGGAACACACGGACCACAGGGTCGATCGATTGGAGATAACCGCCCAGCAAAAGGGCAGTTATCGCGCCTGGGGAAGGGCAGCATTGCGCGGGGCGGGGGTGGGATGGCGTGCTGAGCACGCAGCGATGGTATCATCCCGTGCAGGATGCGACCATGATCGTCGGTCGCATCCAAGGGATGATGATCCCAAAGACACCAGACACAAAAATAGGCAGCTTCCTATATTACAGTCATCGGATCTAGTCTCGCCAGTTCGTCACTCTGCCTCATCATGGCGGGACTGGGATCCGTGAGGCAGTCGAAAAAGCAGATGAGGGCAGAAAGCCCTAAGTTCGACCATTTTTTGGAGGGCGAGTGCAGCCACCAACCAGGTTACACCGCAGGCAAATGGCATGCATCCCGGCCCTGATGATGTGATTCGTGGCGGATGAGGGGATGGCACGCAACTGCGACCGCTGCTGACGACGTCAGCTTCTTGCTTTCAAGCGTTCGTTTCCTGAAACTTCGGCTGGGGGTAATGGATCAGTTTGACTTGGGACGACTTGCCTTGGATTTATCTTATATTCAGCACAGACTGGTCCGGCGGCTCAGCTCGAGAGGTGTCCGACTATGTGATAGGTAACCTCTACAGACACTTCCGGCATGACCTCCTCGGACAGGTCATTCCCACGCACCTCTTCGAGGCTGTGTCATTCCTCGCCTTGCGATAAGTCGTTATCAGCTGGGATGAACACACAACATGCGCACAGAATGACGTGCCTGCGTGTGATGCTGATTTCCAAGCAGCCACGCCAAACGAACGGCTGCTTACACCTTTACCTGGGTATCTAAGCTGTTCCTGTATCTAAAGCTTCCCATCGCGAGGGGACACTGAACCCCATCACCGAATCCAGCCACCGACACACCATGACCCAAGCCGAACGACAGCCCCTACTGGGCCTCTCCAGCACACCCGTCTTCCCGGACGAGGTGCCCGACCCCGAATCCGCCGCCCGACCGGCCACCGACAACCCTAAAACCCTCACCTGGACGAGCGCGTACATCCTCGTCATCTCCCGCGTCATTGGCAGCGGCATTTTCGCGACCCCGGGCTCGATCGTCAAATCTGCGGGGAGTGTGGGCCTGTCGTTGTTGATCTGGGGGGTGGGCACCGTGCTCGCCGCGTGTGGACTGGCCGTGTCACTGGAGTATGGGTGCATGCTGCCGCGCTCGGGCGGCGATAAGGTATTTTGCCTGGCATGGATAAACTCGCATGGAGGGGACAGTCTGAGTAGTGACATAACATCCGCAGGTGTATCTGGAATATACCTACCCGCGGCCGCGCTTCCTGGCCTCGACCTTGATCGCCGTGCAGGCGGTGCTGCTGGGGTTCACGGCCAGCAACTGCATCGTCTTCGCCAAGTACACCTTCTTCGCGTTCAATGTCGAGCCGACCGAGCTGCAGCACAAGGTCCTGGCGCTGGGGTTGATTACGTTTGTCACTATCATGCACGGGTTCTTCCTGCGCACGGGGATCTGGGTGCAGAACGTGCTGGGATGGCTGAAGATCTTTCTGGTCGGGGCCATCTCGTTGACCGGCATCTGGGTGATTCTCGTGCGTCCGCCCAGCGAGACAGATGCCTCGTTTGGGGATGAGCGGGGGAGTGTATTCAGCTCGTGGGATTCGCTGTGGGAGGACTCCAACTGGAGCTGGAATCTGCTGTCCACGTCCCTGTTCAAGGTCATTTACTCGTATGCTGGACTGAGTAACTTGAACAACGTCATGAACGAGGTGCGGGATCCCGTGCGCACCCTCAAGACGGTGTGTCCCGCGGCGCTCCTGACGGCAGGGGCGCTGTACTTTCTGGCGAATGTCTCTTATTTCCTAGTGGTCCCGATCGAGGAGATCAAGAACAGTGGAGAACTCGTGGCGGCGCTGCTGTTCGAGCGACTATTCGGGAATCAGATCGGGAGGACGTTGCTTCCTCTAGCCATTGCCATCTCGGCCGCTGGCAACGTCATGGTAGTCACTTTCGCGTTGGTATGTTCCCAGCTTCTATCGCCCCTCTTAGTATGGTTAATGCTCATTGTTCTCAGGCCCGCGTCAACCAAGAGATCGCCCGCCAGGGCTTCCTGCCCTGGTCAAAAGTGCTTTCGTCCTCGCGACCGTTCGGAGCACCGCTAGGTGGATTGATCGTGCACTACATCCCCTCCGTCCTGGTGATTGCCCTGCCGCCCCAAGGCGACGTCTACAACTTTATCCTGGATGTCGAAGGCTATCCGGGCCAGTTCTTCAGTCTAGCTGTCACACTAGGGCTCCTGCTGCTTCGCTACAAGGAACCCGACCTCCCGCGTCCGTTTAAGGCATGGCTGCCCGCCGTGTGGTTGCGCGTGCTCATCTCCTTGGTCTTGTTGGCGTCGCCCTTCTTCCCGCCAGAGGGCGGCAAGGGCGACGTGGGCTTCTTCTACGCGACGTATGCGATTGTTGGAACTGGCGTGTATGTTTCTGCCCCTGATCTCGCACCCTGCCCCGTTTCTCTCGACCTTTGCTAACTATTGTAGAATCGTGTTTGGAGTGCTATACTGGTACGTATGGACGGTTCTGCTTCCCCGGTGGGGCGGATATCATCTGGAGGAGGAGAAAGCCGAGGCGGAGGACGGAGCAACCCATACCAAACTAGTGCGCGTATACGAGTTCTAGATAGATTGATAATCGGACCACTGTTTTGAGGTCATAGCCCCATAATCTCCAATAGTACTGTTTGTTCAAACTTCTGGTAGAGGGCCTCGGTGGGCGACGGAGCAGTCGGATGCATTCCTTGCCGCGGATTAGAAATCAGCATTCCCCGCGTTCTTTGTCATTGGCATCCTCCAAGACATCCCTGTCTATAGCACCCCGACATCACATGGATGTGGACGAGTCCAATGCTATGCTTTTTGCATCATCCGTGCGAGATGTGACGACCAATGGTCGCTGGAGGGTAGGTTGGATTTATCAGCGTGGTATGACGTGCTCTGTCTGACAAATGCTGCGTGCGTGTGCGGTGAGCATAAAGCGTCCATCTCGATGGGATATATAACCGTGGATAGCGGCGTAGATCCGCTTTCCTCACATTCAGCAGACACATCCATCACAGCCATCTATACCACACTTCAAATCATACAGAGAGGAAATGGCTGCAGCAGCAGTCCACCTCCCCACCGGGGACATCCCCTCCTTCCCCGCCTCTAACACCATCCCCCCACAAACTAAATCCACCCCGCAGCCCCAGACCTCCCCCCACGACGTCCACACGGTCTTAAACTACATCAAAGAAGTTGAAGACGGTTCGCACCTGCGGCCCAATTACGCAGGCAAAGCCGACTCCTTCGAGCGGCCGTCCGAGTCCGTGCCGACGACCATCCACGACGTCAGCGGCCACGAAGCCGAGTACACGCTGGACGGCAACGGCTTTCAGTTCCACCCGCACGTCAGTGCGGAGAAGGACTTCCTGGACGACGAGCAGATCAAGCGGGTGTATTACCCGGAGGTGGATCGGTTGCTGAGGGAAATGTAATTCTCCCTCCCATCCTCTTTCCATCTCCCTCCTCACTACAACCCAGACTAACCCCCAGTAAAGCACCGGAGCAACGCGAACCTACATCTTCGACCACACAATCCGCCGCCCCGCCGCCGACGCCCAGGCGCAGCTCCGCACCCCGGTGCACCGCGTACACATCGACCAGTCCTTCCCCGCAGCCGTCTCGCGCGTCTCGCACCACCTCCCCGACGACGCAGAGGAACTCCTGAAAGGCCGCCACCAGATCATCAACGTCTGGCGGCCGCTGAAGACGGTCCGCCGCGACCCGCTGGCCGTGGCCGAGGCGCACACCGTCGACGACGCCGACCTCATCCCCATCAAACTGATCTACCCGGACCGCGAGGGCGAGACCTACGCCGTGCGCGCCAACCCCGCCACGAAATGGTACTACCGGCATGCGCAGACGCCCGAATGGGTCACGCTGATCAAGTGCTACGATAGCAAGACGGACGGGCGCGCGCGTCGCGTGCCGCACTCTGCGTTTGTGATTCCGGGGACCGAGGACGAGGAGGCGAGGGAGAGTATTGAGGTGCGCGTTTTGGTGTTTACGCCCGAGGATCGGGAGTAGACTTTCTATTCGATATAGTGCTGGGTTGGGGTTTCCAGGAAGGGCGCGGAGGAATGCTGGTGGCGGGACGAAGAGGCTAAGATGGAGCGGTAATTTGACTACTTACGTACTACTAACTACATACTACATAGTATCTTGATAATGGGCTTTAATCTTCCAAGTAACACTCATTCCCAACTCATAGAGAAAAGCTTCCCCGGGGAGAAACCCCGGGCCCACCTTTTCTTTCAACTTCCCAGTAAAACTCAACCCTAAGTCGTAGAACAAACACGTTCCGGGGGAGAACCCCCGGACCCCCCTTCGTTTCACCTTCCTGGTAAAGCTTATCTGTAGTAAGCATTTAACGGCACAAGAGGTACTGTCGATATAAATACAACATACAGGGGAGACCGGCCGGCCGCCTTTGTGGGTATGGGTGGAGAGGGAAGTTGGGATGTGGTTTGTGATTAGGGCTAGTGGTCACTGGTTAGTCTGCTGTACTGCAGGGAGGACAGTTAGATTAGGATTGAGTGTTACTGGGGAGTTGAAAGAAAGGGGGGTCCGGGGGTTCTCCCCCGGAACGGTGCATTCCCCCAGCACTTAGAATTGGAGTTGCTGGGAAGCTGAAAAGAAGGGGGGTGAGGGGGTTCTCCCCCGGGAAACCGTTTATCATGGGAGGGACGGTGGACGGTTGACTGTTGACGTGACGGGTTAGCGCATGGCGGGTTGGAATTGTTTTCCCGCTATCGCTCACGTGGGGCTTAGCTTATTTTCTTATCCAGCGATATAGATTAAAGATGACATCGAGGGATTACATCTGCAGGCTAAAATGCCGTGCGAGCACGTAATTCCCACCCCATCCTGCAACATGCAGAATGGCAACTTTCTCGACCGAGACACATTCCTTGGGGGATAGGGTCTAGATTACGGCCTATCTGCACGATGCAAGGCGTGTCGGGTGCAGTATATAACAATTTGGGGTCATCCCTTGGTTTTTACGGCTCGGCCTCCACCTTTACCTCTCTTCGTTCCAGATACCTTCATTGGTATACTCGGTGCTAGAGCCCTCTATTTCGAACAACAACCACACACCACAGCGAGCAAAATGTCCGAAAAGTCCCCCCCAACCTCAACAACCCCCTCCCCTCCCAGTCCACCGCCCTACCTCTCCCCCTCCGACCCGTCCCCCTCCCATCCCCCAGCAAAACCCAAATGGTACCGCAGCACCACCTACAACGCCCTCATCCTCGGGCTCTGCAACTTCCTCGCCCCCGGGCTCTGGACCGCGATGAACTCCCTCGGGGGCGGCGGCAGCGAATCGCCCTACCTCGTCGACGCGGCCAACGCCCTCACCTTCTGCCTCATGGTGCTCTCGTGCCTATTCGGCAGCGCAATCGTCCGGCTCATCGGGGTAAAATACACCCTCATGCTGGGGACGATCGGCTACGCGCCCTACGCGGCAGGGCTGTACACGAACAACCGGTTCCACAGCTCGTGGCTGCTCCTCCTCGGCGCCGCGCTCTGCGGCCTCAGCGCGGGCATCTTCTGGCTCGCGGAGAGCAGCATCGCGCTCGCGTACCCCGAACCCTCGCGCCAGGGCTTCTTTTTGGGGTTATGGCTATCCTTCCGCGTGGGCGGCCAGATCCTTGGCGGCGCTATCAACCTCGGCCTGAACGTCGACCGCAACACCGCAGGCAGCGTCAGCTACGCCGTCTTCCTGATCTTCGTGGCCCTGCAAGCCTGCGGCCCCATCGCGGGGATGCTGCTCACGCCGCCGGAGAAGGTCCAGCGCAGCGATGGCGTGCGCGTGCAGCTGCGATTGTCGGAGGACGGGGTGTGGGCGGAGCTGAAACATACCGTCCGTCTCCTGTGCACGAAGAACGTGCTCCTCATCCTCCCGCTCATCGCCCAGGCCATCTACACCGAGGCCGTCATGTTCACCTACCTCGATCTCTGGTTCAGCGTGCGCGCCCGCGCGCTGGCGAGCTTCCTGTCCGGGTGTTTGGCCCTCATGGCTGGCAATCTGTTGGGGTATGTGCTTGATAACTCCCGCGGGAGTCTGAAAGGGAAGGCGAGGGGGGTCTTTGCGGTGGTTATGACCCTGCAGGGCGGCGTGTGGGTGTGGGCCACCGTGATTACCTCGATTTACCGGGAAAAGGACCAGGCGGCGCTCGACTGGGCGGATCCCGGGTTTGCGAGGGGGTGGGTGCTCTATCTCTTCTGGGTGGCCATGTTCCAGGTCAATTATATGTTCTTGTGAGTTGGCCTCCGTCTGGGTGGGTCATGGGGTTGAGGGTGGTGTTTGCTGACGCTGTGCGCAGGTACTTCGTGGTGGGCAACTTGGCCCGCAACAAAGGCGAGGTGGTGCGGTTGTCGGCGCTGCTGCGCGGGACCGAGTCGGCCGTGCAGGCGGTTTCGGTGAGTTGCGTACCAGAACGATGGATTCAAATACACTGACATGCGGCAGTACGGGCTGAGCAGCGTCGGGATCATGGCCTCGGTCGGCGGCACGTATCTCAACTTCGGGCTGTGGGCCATCTCGGTGTTCCCCGCTTGGTTGGTGGTCAGGCAGATTGGCACGACGCTGGGGGATCGGAAGAGGGAGAGGGAAGAGGAGGCTGCTTTTGACGAGTAGAGGGGTATTCGCACGAGAGGACAGATAGGGGGAGCGTGTGCTCGATATACGGCTGGGTAACTATATGATTAATGGTAGAAAGTGACATAGACAAAATCTCATGCTTTTGTGTTCGTAGTAAATGTGCACATGCCGATACAGCACATTCAATCTATAGACAGACACCCCTATCCCATTGCCTGCAATGGACGTTTCCCGGGGGTTCTCCCCCGGAACGGGATATTCCCCCCAGTGCTTAGGATTGAAAGTGTTGGTTTTTGCAGAGAAGGGGTAATGCGACAGACATAAACACCAATGCTTAATGCTACTAGGCCCGCAGATGCAAGACAGACGGAGTATAGACAAGAAAACTATAGACAAGAAGAAGACTCGGACCCGAAGACAAGCTATGCAACTGTGCACACGCTACAAATTGAACAAGCCGCCCTGGCGCTTCCCCCCCGGATACACCACCAAGGCAGACAGAAACAACCCCACCGTGATCCCTAGCGCGGTCTGCACCATACTCACACCCAGGCTCAACAGCGACTCGACCATCGAGTTCGACGAGGTGTTGGCCGTCCCCTCCTTGACGGCCTTGGCGTACTGCAACCCGGCCACGATCGACCCGCTCGACGCCAGCCCGGACGAAACCAGCGTCCACATGCCCGGCACAATCACCGCCGCCGCGTGGCCGTGCCACACCCGACTGTACAGGTTGGCCAGCAGCCCGATCGTGAACGAGCCGATGATGCTGGCCATCTGGCTGCTCAGGTACGTCGTCGCAAAATAATTGGCCACGTACCCGGACACGCCCAGCGTGCACATGAACGGCAGCTGGCGCAGGCGGGCCTGGCTGACGATGCCGGCGAAGGCGATGTAGATGGTCACGAAGACAAAATGCTGGATGTACGTGTTCCCGTAGACCAGCTGGCTCTCCGCCGAGCACGAGGTCTGCTCGCTCGCCTGGTCGTCCATCAGCCCGTAAATCGTCAGCCCCACCGTCACCCCGTACCCCAGGAACAGCGAGTAGATGATCGTGTACACCAGCCGGATCGAGCCGGCCGTGATCTGGTGCGACTGCAGCTCCAAACTGCTGCACAGCACCGAGTACCCCGGCAGGATCAGCGCGATCGCCGACTGCGTCATCGCCGGGAAGCAGAACAGGTACTCCCCGTTGTGGCGGATGCTGCCGAAGGCGCGCGCCAGGAACGAGACCAGCATCGCGATCGACACCTCCATCACGTTCGAGTACAGCGCCGACCGCGGCGCCAGGATGTACTGCATGAACCCCATCAGCAGGCCCAGCATGAAGATGATGGGCATGTCGATGGGCCGCGCGCCGAACGCCCACGGGCCGACCGCCACGCTGATCAGCCCGGCAATCAGCACCATCATCCAGGGGGTGCGCCACTTGCTCTGCCGCGTGAGGATGTCGTCCAGCACGGGCAGGGCCTCCTCGGCCGACAGCTTCCCGTGCAGCACGTTCTTGTAGCAGTTGTGCACCTCGCCCAGGCGGCCCAGATTGCAGCCCTGGATGATGCGCACGAGCTTGACCTCGGCCGTGCGCGTCAGCGGGTCGTCGAACGAGATGATCATGCAACCGGGGATGTACAAAAACTGGCCGTGGACGCGCAGCGCGAAGGCGGACATCTGCATGTACTCCTCGAGGCGGTGGGTCGGGGCGCCGCACTTCATCATGACGCGACACAGCTGCATCAGGTAGCGCTGGCGCGTGAGCAGCGAGCCGATCTTCTCCGCGAGCCGCGCCTCGCGCGCCTTGCGCCGCTCCTTGGCGCTGCGCGGGTCCTTGTCCGCGTCCGCGTACCATTTCTTCTTGCGCCGCTTGCGCACCTCGCTCGGCAGCGGGCCCAGCGCGTCGTCCTCGGACTGCGTCGTCCCCGTCTCCGTCCCGACCAGTGTCGTCCCACCGGTCGTGGTGGTCGTGTTCGTCGTCGTCCTCTCCGGATCATGGCCCATCTGATGCCCCAGCAGGTGCCAGAGCACGCCGCCCGCCAAATTAGCTTCTTTCTCGGCGGCCTCCTCCTCGGCCGTCCGCGGCGGCAAGCCGGCCTGCAGCTCGCGCGCCAGCCCCAACCGGTTGACCAGCATGGCGGCGTCCGCGCCCAGCAGCGACTGCAGCTGGCTGCCGTACGAGTCGTCCGCGACACCTTCTCCGGGCGCCAGCATGTCCCGCATCTCGATGTCCTCCTGGTATCCGTAGTCCTCCGGGTGCCAGGCCGAGTCTAGTCCGTCGCCGCCGTCCGGGTCCCGGCCCAGCTTCTCGGCCAGGTGCGAGGTGCCGTCTTTGATCGCTTTGAACAGCACCCCCCATTGGTGCGAGCCGCCCCCATTTTGGGGAGTGTCGTGGCCAGTCAACGGCCGTTCGTCGACGCCATGGTCGGTGTGGTTATCGGCGGGGTGGGAGTCCGGCGTGGAGCTCGTCTTGGAGTGGATCGGGTCGAGGGTCTCGGTTGAACTGGACATGGTGGGTGGTGGTGGTGGTGGTGGTCGTCGTCGTCGTCGTTGTGGCGGTGGTGTGTCGGCATAATCAGGATGCGGTGTTAGGCGAGGTTCCTGCGTCGGAAAGAGCGGTCAGTCGGAGGGTTATCGGGGCAGAAGGTGTCTGAGTGGTGGGCGAGGTAGAGGTGGAATACTTACATGCTGTACGTTGTCTTCCAGCCAAGCAGCAGGCCCCAAATTACCCCGTGGAGGAAGAAAAAGAGGGAAGGGAAGGAAAGGAAAGGAGAGGAAAGAGAAAAGAAACCCAACAGAAGGGAACGTGGAGAAAAACGACCGGCCGGGGAAAGAAAGACAAGTGAAGTCACTAACACCACACGATCGACCCACCGGCGGTTCGTGGCGCTGAGGGGATAGGCTAGCAAAGATGCAAATCGACAGATCACGACGGTGAGGCCGCGGTGTGTCCCTCGAGGAGCATTATTTTGGGACCGACAAAAATAGAGAGATCACGGTCACGGCGCAGAGGCCAGGCACTTTGCCAGAAGGGAAAAAAGAAAAGGAGAAAAAGTTCAGTTCCGGGGGAAAAGATGGGATGGAACCACGGGGCAACTGGCAGCCATCAACCCATGATTCATTTTAATGCAAAACCCCCCTTGGCCGGCCATTATTGGAAGACCAGGTGAAACAACGGCGGATGCACCCCCACTGCAAAGCTTCGCTTCGCTTGGCACGGGGTGCAGACGGTAAAGGGGGGGGGAATGGCTGACGGGATGGCGGTATGGCTTGTGAGCTATCTATAGATCTTACTGGATTTGGGGCTAGGGGTGGAAGAGGTGCTCTTCGAGAAGCAATAGCGAGACGGGTTATAGACGGGGGGGTGCAGAGTAGGGCAAAAGCCTGGAGAGAGAGAGAGAGAGAGAGAGAGAGAGAGAGAGCAGGCAAGCCTTTCCGAGGAAGGGTCATGTGACCTAATTCCGGTGATGCAAAACCGTTGTTTGACTGGTGGATGCAGTGGAGCTCAGAGGCCGGTCTGGCCAATAGTGGTGGGACACACTATCCCTGCTAGCCGATATGTCAGCCGCGCGTCCTTCATTGGATTTGACTGTGCGTGCATAAAATCATTCATATGAAAACTAGTAGGATTGAGTGATACTGGGAAGCTGAAAGAAAGGGGGGTCCGGGGGTTCTCCCCCGGGATCGCTCATTTGACAAGAGGCCAAATGAGATCCAAGGCAGATTTATATGTCTATCGAAGTCATGCCAGCAAATATATGTACTCATGTCTCTCCCCTCATCTAAATCTTAGCTCCACCAACCTTCCCTTGAAAGTACTTCTCAAAGAAATCCGCCAACTGATTATACCTATCCTGAAGTTAGTACGCTTGCACAACAAGCAAAGTGACAAAAAAGCCCAAGGATAGAATACGTACCCCCGCTTATACTCGGCCAGACTCTCCTCGCCCTCCAGATTGGCGCGGGCGCCCATCCAGCCATGCCACATGGTACTGTAGGTCTCCACGTGCCCGCCCAGCCCGTTCTCGGCGATCGTCTTCGCATACGCCTCCACCACCTCGGCGGGCTCGTCCTTGGACGCCAGCACGATGTGCGGGATTGTCAGCCGCTGCGCGTCCGCCGCGTCCATGCGTCTGCAATTGTCAACGTGGGGTCTGGCATTGAAGGGAGAGGGAGAAGGAAACATACCCAGGATGCACCTGACCCGACGCGATGAAAGGCGTGTCCGGTCCGGAGGCGAGAACGGCCACCTGGATTCATTACCACCATTATCACTGTTGTTCTCATGCATGAGGGTGTAGAACTAACCTTCCCACCCCAGCACAACCCCGTGACAGCCCACGCCTGCACGCTCGGGAACCGCTCCCGGTAGACCGGTACAGCAGCCTCCAGCACTTTGACCGCGTCCGGGCACGAGGCGCGGGTCGAGATGAACTTGGTCAACGCCTCCTGCTTCTCCGGGGTGTCGGGCGGCAGCCAGGAAGGGTCGGCCTTGTCTCCGTGGAAATAATCCGGGACGAGGACGACGGCGTTGAGCCGGGCGGCGAGGAGGTCGGCGCCCTGCAGCGTTTGGTTGGAAAGGCCAAAGATGTCGTGGATGTCGATCAGACCGTAAGCGGCATCCTGGGAGCCGGTGATGTCTGTATTTGTTAGTGGTGGTGGTTACAATGTCAAAGGTGAGTGGTGCGGACAGGTGTTGAGGCCGGCGACGCCTTCGTAGGTGCCTTTGGGGGTGTAGCCCTCGGCGACGACGGGGGGGATGGTGCGACAGGCTTCGCAGGTCATGGTTGTGCGATCGGAGGGGAAAGTACAGTCAGTACTGTGTACGAGAAAATATGCCCCGGCAGGAGGAATCTTTGCGGCTATAAATCGTTCCTCGTTTCTCGTTCCTCGTTTCTGTTGACGCTATGCTGTTATTGTTAGCCTGGACCGGGCACTGGAGAAAGCCACCCTTAACTCCGACCGGGTGGATGACGGGTGTGATTGGTGCGAGCACAGAGTAAACCCACTTGGTGGCCGGAAACGGGCCGGAACCGGGCACTGATCTGTCAAAGCTGCCAGTATAAAGATGAAAGAGAGAAATTGTAGCCCATCGTAGAGAGCTGGCCCCATATCATCGCGATCATGGGTGTTCCTTCAATGAAAGGCCAGGAAACGCCACCGCTGTCCACCACCGAAGATGTTCAAAATGACGTGGAGAAGAATCGAAGCGATGCCTCACCAGACGCCCCCTACAGCATCCTCTCCGAACGGAAGAAAGTCTGTCTGATGATCACCGCTTCGTTCGCGGGCCTGATTTCTCCCCTGTCGAGCTCGGTCTACTTCCCAGCCCTAGATTCTCTGGCCGACGCCATGCACGTCTCCTCCACGCGCATCAACCTCACCGTCACGATGTACCTCGTACGCTCTCCCTGCCTAACATATCCGCCATGACTAACCATAACCCCTTGATCAGATCTTCCAAGGCATCGCCCCCTCCTTCACCGGTTCCTTCTCCGATACGCACGGACGCCGCCCCGCCTATTTAATCTGCTTCGTGATCTACTTCGGGGCCAACATCGGCCTAGCCCTGCAAACCAACTATGCCGCCCTGATGGTTCTCCGCTGCCTGCAAGCGTGCGGCAGCAGCGGCACCATCGCGCTGGGTAGCGCCGTTGTGGCCGACGTCTCGACGCGGGCTGAACGAGGCAAATACATCGGCTACGCCAGCATGGGGCTGACCCTGGGGCCAGCCCTGGGTCCAGTGGTCGGGGGACTGATCGACCATTTCTGCGGCTGGCGCTGGATCTTCTGGTTCTTGACCATCCTCTCCGGCGTGTTCCTGGCGGCCATCGCCCTTTTTCTGCCTGAAACCTGCCGCACACTCGTGGGCAACGGCTCGATCCCCGCCGCGCGATGGAACCGACCCATCTTCAGCGTTCTGGCACCCAAACCCACACCCTCACCCACCACAACCACAACCTCAACCTCCCCACAAACACCCAAACGCCTCAACCCCCTCCGCTCCGCCCGCCTCGTCCTCGACAAAGAAAACGCCCTCATTCTCATCTACAGCGCCCTGCTGTACGCCGGCATGGCCGCCGTGCTGACCACGCTAACCACCACCCTGGCAACGCATTACCACTTCAACACCATCCAAATCGGCCTCTGCTACCTACCGATGGGGCTGGGCAGCCTCACCTCGCGGTACACGGTGGGATTCCTGCTGGACCGGACCTTCCGACGCCACGCCCACGCGCAGCGCCTCAGCATCATCAAGAACAAACAGCAGGACATCGGCGCCTTCGACATCGAGCGCGCGCGCCTGGTCGTCACGATCCCGCTGGCCTACGCCGCGGCGCTCGTGTTCCTCGCCTACGGCTGGGTGATGCAGTACCGTGTCTCCTTGGCGGGGCCCGTGGTCACCCTGTTCGTGGGCAGCCATCTGCTGACTGGGGCGTTCACGGCGCTGGGTACCCTCATGGTCGATCTGAATCGGGGCAGTCCCGCCACGGCGGTGGCGGCTAATAATCTGGTCCGGTGTTTGTTGGGCGCCGGAGCGACGGCGGCGGCCGCGCCGGTGATTGAGGCGATTGGGATCGGGTGGATGGCGGTTGTGATGGCCGCGGTGTGGGTGGTGGCGAGTCCGTGTCTGTGGGCGGTGTATTTTTGGGGGTTTGGGTGGAGGAAGAGGATGAAGGGGATGGAGGGGGAGAGAGAGTAATGGGTGAAAAGTGTATAGTATTGGGTGGGCTTGGGATCTGTTGCGTTTGACAGAGTATTGTCTTCTAATGATAATGTAGTGGGCTAGGGTATGCCTATTTCGGCGCTACGTGCTCATCCGTAGTATCGCTGCGCAGCATCCATGATTGTCTTGACTCGCGCCGCGGGCACCTTTTCTTTGCGGTCGTACGAGTAGAGCCCGTTCACTTCTTGTTCGATGTCGCATCTAATCATCTATTAGCTCAATCCAGCAGATGCCAAGCTCTGCCTGGACCAGGAATCGGCGCGGGACTTACAGCTGGGTATAGACCATCCCACACGTATGTCCCCCCTTGACGACCGCCATGACCAACCGCTCCAGACGAGCCAGGAGGTCCTCGGGGTCACTCGCCGTCGTGTAGCCCCAGTCTCTCTCCCCTGCGGTCGTACCCTGGGCAGGAGTGATGTTCACTCCACCAAACTCGGAACAGATGACCGGAGCGCCAGGTGTATGCTTGGCGCCTGCATCGCCGTCCACGGCCGGTACAAACATGTCATGAGCAGCCTTAGGCCCGAGGATTCCTTGTGTCAGGTCTGCACAGGCGGCTGCTAGCTCGGTAGAATCGGTGTAATCGTGGTAGGTAGTGAGATCGGTGAGGACGTGCTCCCAGCCGCAGTTGTCGTTGATGGGACGAGTAGGGTCAAGGGTTCTGCCATGTCAGTCAACAGTCTAGATCAACCATGCAACCACTCACTTGGTCATGTAGTACACCGAACGAATGTGGTTCCGTTGCTGAACATTATCCTTCAATGAAGGATACCCCCAGCTCTCATTGAACGGCGTCCAGGCCACGATCGACGGATGATTGATATCCCTCTGCACCGCCTCCGTCCACTCGCTATTAAAGCGCGCGACGTACTCATCACTAAACTCGTATGCATTGGCAATCTCTCCCCACACCAGGAACCCCAGCCGGTCGGCCCAGTACAGAAACACCGGATCCTCGACCTTCTGGTGCTTGCGACATCCGGTGAAACCCATCCTCATTGCTAATTCGATATCCGTCCGCAACGCCTCCTGCGACGGCGGCGTCAACCCCGTGTCAGGCCAGTAGCCCTGATCCAGCACCAGCACCTGGAAACACGGCTCCCCGTTGATGCGGAACGTCCCGTCGCCGGTCGTCCAGTCAATGCGCCGCATTCCCGCCGTCGTAACCACCTCATCCACCACTTCCCCATCTGCATCGAACAACCGGATGGTCACATCATAGAGAACCGGGTGCGCCGGCGCCCACAGCGCGACCCCATCGCGCCAACACCCCTCCAGCTCCAATGGCCCCTTCTTCCCTTCGAATACCTCCAGATCCTTGACATGCATATCCACATCCAAACTCACCCGATCCGAATCCCCCAACGCAGCCCGCACAGAACTAACCCTCACCCCGCCCAGCCCCGTCTCCACCTCCACCTCCACTTTCCGCTCAAGTCTCCGTCCCACCACCGCCACTCTCGCCTGCAACCTCCCACCGTCAATATCCTCCCCTCGCAGCACGGTTCCCTCACTGGACCCCCCAATCCTTACCTGGGGAACACTTTCAAGCCAAACACCCAACCAGATCCCACTAGAAGGCGTGTAGAAGATCCCCTCCGCCACCGGACCCCAATACTGCTTGCCACGAGGCTGCGTGAGGTCCGTGGGCGAGTCGCGCACGCGGATCGTCACTCTTTTCGGTTCCTTATCATCAGTGGGAACTGCATCCGAGATATCAAGATCAAAAGGCACATGACCCCCACGATGACATCCGACATAAACCCCCCCAACCCAGACGGAACACTCGTAGTCTACCGCCCCGAAGCGGAGAAGGAGCCGGTCGCCCCTTTCCAGCTGCGCGGGCGTGCGGATGTCGCTGATGCGCCGCTCGTACCACAGGATCTCGTGGGCGTCCTGTATGTTTAGGCCCGAGGCGGGCGTTTGGAAGGCGTAGGGAACCGTGATGGTCGTTGTTGGTGGCGACGGGGGCAGGCCGGTGTGGGCCCAATGCTGCGTGAGACCTTCGTCGCGGTCGTCGAAGCGGAAGGTCCACGGCCCGTTGAGGGTGTGCCAGGTTGGGGTTGGGCGGGTGAAGTCGGGACGGGGGTAGGACATTTCTTTTCTGTCTAGGGCTGGGGTGTTGTTGGTGTTGTGGTTGTTATGATAGTGGTGGGTGGGTGGGTGAGTTTGTTTTGGTGCAGATGAGTTGGTGAATGAAAAGTGAAGGAGGTTGTGTTGGTTCCTGCTGGGCGAGGGGAACAAGCGGTCTGTTCACGGATCGTCAATCAACCCCGCGCTATGATGTAGTCGGACAACCCTCGACTGTTTCACTTAGACTGTCTTATACATACCAAGTGATAGTGAGGTAGCATCGTCTGCAATTACCTGCAGTCTTCACATGCAGCTAGAACAAGATGACATGACACCTTACGGCATGCGGGGAGTGGACCCGCTTTACACAATGGCTGTATCTACTGATGCAGGGGGCGGGGTAGAGTAATCCACCAATGATGATAGGGCTACACTAATGCATTTACTCAGCGGGGAAACCATCTCGCATCCGTGGTAAGGGTCTGTTCATCCAGTAATTTCAACCATCGTGACTGGGGTCCAGATGAAGTCTTATAGATTTGGCCAGTCATTTGTCGGTCTGAACTCATATTCCACCTGTTGGAATTTGGATGTGTCTCAGATGACTATCACCAAGCTTCACTGAACTCTCACTTTTACATACAAATGGTGTGTAGAAGTGAGGTGAAAGTAAGGTGGAAGATGCAAATAACAGAAGTCAAAATAAAAAAGAATCAAAGATAGAAAACATAAGAAAAGATACAGGATGGTGACTTCAATACATGATGATTCTCGGAATGAATAGACTGATTGAACTTGATGAGAAGAACAAAGAAAATATCAGGCTATCTAAGTCTCAATTCCTTGCTTAACAATTTTCTAATGAAGAAGCAAGGGATAACAAGGGAAGGAATGTAGGGGTGAATTGAGGTGGTTAGCGCTAGGGCTTAGAGGGCCGGGCGACCTGCCAGTCTCGACTGACACCACCCATGGAGGGGGGCTATATATCCCTGCTCTCCACGCGACGACTCCCCACCAACTTGTGTTCTACACCAATGCATGCCGACATGGAGTTACTCACTGCGACGAATGTCTCCCGCGTGGGGATCGGGCTGTTGGCGTATATCGTCCTGCGGACCGTCTACCGCCTGTACTGGCATCCTCTAAGTCGGGTGCCAGGCCCCAAGCTAGCAGCCATCAGCAGCTTATACGAGTTCTACTACGACTGCATTCAACACGGCCAATACCACTTCCAACTCATCAGAATGCACAAACAGTATGGTACGATCCCTCCCCCCTCCCCGGCCCCCTCTGCAACACTAAAACTAACTCCCCCATTCCCCCAGGCCCCATCGTCCGTGCGGGCCCCAATGAAGTGCACATCATCGACCCGACCTTCTACGAAGAGATCTACACCGGCAGCACGCGACGCCGCCACAAGACGCCGTCGTATGGCCCGCAGTTTGGGATGCCGGAATCGATGTTCTCGACCATCGACCACGCGCAGCACCACGCGCGCCGCGCGAGGATCAGCCACTTCTTCTCGAAGCGGTCCATCCAGTCGCTGTCGCCAATCACCGAGCGCTGCGCGCTGAAACTCATGCAGCGGCTGCAGGGGTTTTATGAGGCCGACAAAATCGTGCGGCTGGACGACGCCTTCGCAGCCATGACCTCCGACGTGATCACCTACTATTCCTACGGCGAGAGCCAGGGGTTTCTGGAGGACGCGACCTTCCGCAGCGAGATCCGCAACCTGGTCAACGAGATGGCCGCGATCAGCCACCTCAGCCGCTTCATTCCGGTCATCTCCTGGCTGCTGCGCCGCATCCCGCTGCGCTGGCTCGCCACCGTCCAGCCGAATTACGCCTCCACTTACAATTACCTGGCCAATATCTACGCCCTGTCCGCGCAGTCTGCGACCCCGGAAGCCGCAGCAGAAACCGGCCGCAAACCCATAAAGCACACGACCATCTTCGCACAGCTGTCGGACCCCAGCATCCCCGCCAGCGAGCGCACCGCCGCACGCTTCCGGGACGAGGCGATCCAGTTCCTCATGGGGGGCACGGAGACGACCTCAACTATTTTGACCTACGCCGCGTACATCCTCGGCAGCAGGAAAGACTACGTGGAGAGATTACGAGCAGAGTTGCGGACAGTGCTGCCCACGCCGACGAGTACGGCGAGTTGGACCGAGTTGGAGAAGTTGCCGTTTTTGGTGTGCCCCTTCCCCCTCCACCCTGTCATCAGAGGAAACACTGCACCCCACCTCGCATTGTCTACATAACCTTTCTCCCAAAGTCACTGACGAAGCTGGGTGAACAGACAGCCATCATCACGGAATCCCTCCGCCTAGCCTCGCCCATAGTCCGGTTACCCCGCGTCGCGCCAACAGAGACACTCGTGTACAACGGGTACGAGCTGCCGCCTGGTGTATGTCCCCAAGCCCCAACCCTCCCGTTGCCCTCAAGAAAGGAAAGGGAATGTTGACAGCATAAAGACCGTCCTAGGCGCCTCCTCGTGGTTCATCCACCGGGACCCTACCCTCTTCCCGGATGGCGACACCTTCGATCCCGAGCGGTGGCTGCAGGGCGACAAGAGCGAGCGTCTCAAGCGGTATATGGTGGCGTTCTCAAAGGGGACTCGCGGGTGTGTCGGGATGAAGTCAGTTCCTTCCCCCCCCCCCTTTATACCTCTGCTGTTGGTGGGAGGAGTGCTTTGAGTGGAAGGGATTGGCTAACGTTAGCCACTGGGCTAGTCTCGCGTACAACGAGCTGTACACGGCGCTGGCGTACTTTGCGCGCCGGTTCGAGTTCGAGCTGTTCGATACCACACCTGAGGGTATGAAGCTGGTGGCCGAGATGGTGCTGCCGGTGACGCGACGGGGGTTTCCGACGGTCTATGCGAAGATTACCGGGGTGGTGGGGGAGTAAGCGGGCGTTCTTGGGGTAGGTGGGGAGTGGAGTATAGGGGTATTTGTGATAAGAGGGCCTAATGATTATCGTGGGATGAAGTTATTCTGTTATGGTCAAACATTTATACTGGGAAGGTGAAAGAAAGGAGGGTCCGGGGTTCCCCCGGGACGGTACATTCCCCCAGCATTCAAGACTGAGGTTACTGGGAAGCTGAAAAAAAAGGGGGGTCCGGGGGTTCTCCCCCGGGAATCGTTTGTTATACATATCCTAGGTTGTCTAATCCTAAGTACTAATGTTTACCGTTCCGGGGGAGAACCCCCCGACCCCCCTTTCTTTCAACTTCCCAGTTCCACTTAATTAAAAGCCCTGCTTCAACAAAGATAACCGTCAACGCTATAACCTAAACTACTTTAGCCACAGTACAATCACCCTCAACCCAGCTAAGCACGCTAAGCACGCCCCCAATCCACGACCGCATCCTCGCCCGCCTTCTCCCGGATCAACCGATGGCTGAGATCCCACAGTGCTGCCCCCAGCACCGGATCCGACGCCTGGCTGCTCTCCTTGCCCGGCTGCGCGACATCGCTGAAATAATACCCGTTCCACCCCTTCTCCTCGACCTCGGGGCTCGTCGCCGCCCACAGCGCGCTGAACGAGCCCTGCTCGACGTTGCGCCCCACCGCCAGCATCACCTTCGTCAGGAGGTTCCCGAAGATCCCGGGGTACGCGTCCTTCCACTGCTGCTGCATGGCCGTGTTCACCTGTTTTTTATCAGCACATTATCTCCCCACAGCAAGAAAACGGAAGAACGTACAGCACCAGGATGCACCGACAGCGCATAGATATTATCGCCATTTGGCTTGATGACCCGATCCAGCAGCCCGTACTTCACCCCGAGAATGATCGCTAGCTTGGTCCGGCCGTACAGCTGGGTGTTGCCGACCTCGGGATTGTTCAGCTCCTCGAGCGAGGCGAAGTGCACGTTGGGCGGGGCGTTGCGGTGCTGCTCCGAGGACTCGAAGACGATGCGCGGGGCCGGGGTGTGCGGCAGCTTCGAGGTCTTGCGGAGGAGCGGGTAGAGCTGGTTGACGACGTAGAACTGGCCCAGCCAGTTGACCTGGAAGTGGCGGTCGATGCCGTCGGCGGTTTCGCCGTATTGGTTGGCGTTGATGCCGGCGGAGAGGATGAGCTGGTGTAGCGGGTTAGTGGATGCTTTCTGGTTTTGGGAAGGGACAATTGGGGGTACACTCACCAAGTCTAGGCGCTCCTCTCGCTGGCGAATACCCTCGAACACCTCCCGCACTTCCTTGAGATTGCCCATGTCACAGGGCACCCATTCGATCTGGGCCCCCTCGCCGGCCTCCTTCTTGATGGATTCAATAGCTGACTGCCCTTGTTCCTCTTTGCGATTGACCATGATGACGCGGGCGCCGTTGAGTACGAAGGCGCGGGCAACCTCGTAGCTGTGTTTGCTTAGTCTAAGCATTCAACCAGAATTCATTGTGGATTGGGGGAACGACTCACCCGATGCCCAAGGCACCGCCGGTGATGAGCGCCACGCGACCGGTGAGGTCGTGGATCTCCTTCTTGGGGCCGATGATGGGTTGGAGAACTGACTGCATTATGATTATTTCTGTATGTGTATGTGCTGAAGAATAGAAACCAGAAGATTGGGGAGTGCTGGATAAAGCATTGGGTTAAATAGTCTGGTGTCAACACGGCGTAAGTATGATATCAGCCCTGCCGGCATCCACTTTTCCTCTTCGGGCCAACCCTCATCTACGAAACAGGGCACCAGGGCACCCTGGACACTAGTAGACAATCGCTGCGTGTATTTCGCCTGTTGCACCATCACCATGTATGTGTAATAAGTCTGTCACTGTCACACTTCCATGGATGGCATTTTCACATGTCAGTAGTTGATCAACACTGATCAGAGCAAGGGCCGATAAGATAAGAGCTACCCCACCTACGTCATCACCCAGCACCCATGGCCAAAGTTCATCTTTATCTTTCTCATTTCCAACAATCTTCCGTGCACATTTCTTCTAACCTCTACCTAATCCAAAAAGACATAGACACCATGTTCAGCACCAACAAAGCCCCAAACCACCGCCTCCGCATCACCGCCGGACCGCGCTACGACCCCCAAACCCACCAACTAGTCCACGTCAACGGACCCTCCCCGATCCGCATCCGCAGCCCGCACCTCACCGCCGACATCTGGGTGCGCATCAAGGAGTACACCGGTACCCTGCCCCGCCCCTGTCCCTTTCCCAAACCCAATACCCCCAATCAAGCTCCTAACCCAGAGAATATACGCAGGCTATCCGGAGGGATCCCCCAAATCCAACCCCTACTTCACGCACCCCACCACCTCCGCAAACCGGTACAGCATCACCCTCTCTCTCACCTTCGCGGAAGATGTCAACGGCGATGACCTCCTCTTCGGCAACGACTTCGACCACCCGATCCGCGACTACCTGCCGCCGGGCTTTAACACCGCCTTCAAAGTCGTAAAAACGATGCTCGACCCCTCCATCGACGGCGACGCGTACAGCGACAAACCGTACCTGTATAGTCCGGCGCTGGCGTCGTGGAATCAGTTCCGGGTGGGGGAGGTCGTTCCCCCCGATACCAAGAAGCCAGCCGTCGAGGCGGATCCGGTTGTTCTGGAGGGGGCGGAGGGGTCGGGGGTGGAGGTACGGGAGAGACACGGTCTACCGGGGGATGCATCGGCGCGGACGAAATATTTTCGGGACCAGGAGAAGCGGAAGGGGTTTGTGTTGGAGAAGGGGAGAGTGTATGAGGCGGATTTTGGGAATCCGTATTTGGATTTCGAAGGTATGTTTCTTTTCCCCTCCGCTTGGTTTGGTTCCTTTGGGTCGGCTGACTGTGGCAGACTTCGCGATCCATGTCCCCGGGATAACGCTGAATATCAGCAAGTATGTGAGCGAGAAGAACAACGTGTTGCGGTACGTGTTGAAGAACCGGACGACCGGGGAGGAGTATCTGGTCATTGGGTTTACGGTTGTGCTAGACGGGGCGGAAGAGAAGACTGAAGAAGGGGATGAGGTGGACTAGACACCTGCTATACGGCCATACACTGCCCCTCAATTTTGATTTCTATAATATACCGCTCCGGGGGAGAACCCCCGGAACGGTATATTCCCCCGGCACTTAGAATAAGGATTGCTGGGAAGCTGAAAAGAAGGGGGGCCCGGGGGTTCTCCCCCGGGACGGTATATTCCAGTACATAGGATTGGGATACGAAGTCTACGCTAAGCCTTCCCCCGAACACTGGACATACTCACCCGGACTGCCCCCCTCCCCAACCGCCGCGACGCCACCACCACCCCCGCACTGAGCACCGCCCCGGCATAGAAGAAGTACTCGACATACATCCTGGCCTGCTGCCCCCTCACCATCTTTGAGTCGTACCCGAACGTATTCCCAAACGCGAGGCCCTCCACATACCCCACCAGATCCGTCAAGGCCAGCCCCACCGACGAGACAATCAGCAGAGGAATGAAGAAGCCGAGTTCCTGTACCCGACAATTAGCACAGATCTACCACTAAATAATCCTCACCCTCAGGCAATTATAAAGAAAGGGAACATCCCACTCCCATGAAACTATAAGCAAAAGAAAGGAAGGGACAACATACCCCACCGCGTAAATGCCGCGCCGACGAAACAGCCCACCCCATGCGCGCCGCGGAAACGCTCATCCCCAGCACCTCCACCACGTCCACTGCCACCCACAGTCTCTTTTCCGTGCGTTCCCAGCGCTGCAACTCCTGGAAAGTGTATCGCGTGGGGTGGACGATCCGCTCGACGAGACGCGTTTGCACCGCTAGCGCAGCGAGCACCAGTGCCGCCAGCACTGCTACCAAGATGGAGTGCGGGATGAGGATCCATCGGTCGATGGTCTTGTGGCTTGCGCCGTGGTGCAGGCGGCGACACAGCGGGAGGAGGATCAGGCTGAAGAGGGCGAGTTTGCCGAGGCTGATAAGCCAGGTTATCGGGAGGAGGGCCTGCGTGCTCTGTTGGGAGTTGAGGACGGCGCATTCGCTTAGGGTCGTCGTTATGACTGCGAGAATTTGGGCGCTGCGTTTAGCTGATTAGGATGGTTTCTTTTCGGCCAGAAGGGGGTGGGTGAGTGCATACAGCAGCATGAATGTCACGGCGATGGTTAAGAGCAGCCACTGTGCTATCGATTTACGCTTGCCCTCGCTTGTGAGGAATCGCGCGGCGGTAAAGAAGAAGAGTCCCAGGAAAATGACGAAGTAGACCGCGTAGCAGACGATGGTGATGCGCGCGGTGCTGCTGGAGAAGGCGTGGTGAGCGCGACATTGTCCGCTCTTTGCGCGGGAGAATACTCCCCCCTCGCTGGCGAGCTGGGCCATGGTGGTGGTGGTGAATACCAACATCTAAAAAAAAAAAAGGTCAAAGGGGCATAAAAGTATACGGGGACAGCTAGCTACTTAAATTAGCCCAGCCCAGCACGCATCTGGCTGGGGCACGGGGCAAGCGCAGGGACGTCGATCGCGGGAAACCCGCCCTTCTGATTGGGCACACATGCCAAGTAAATACGAGCAGGCGCAGCTTAACCTCGCAATACGAACCCTAGTTTCAGATCGATGCCCAGGGCCACCAGCTGATCGGGGCAACTGACAGCTAACGGATGATCGACCATTGCCTTCTTTGGTTACTGGAACGTACTCGGTTGTAAAGTGGTGTTGAGTGCTCTGTAGTAGAAGACTACTTCTCATACTCCGCCAGCGCCCAATCCAGCAACGCAGGATACCACCGCCGCCCCACATCCTGATGGCTCATCACCCGATGGATTAGCGTGCCCTCGCCCACCCTCCCTTTAAAGATCCGATTGAAGGTCGCCTCCGCGTCCGACCGCACCGATTCGTCGCGCACCAGCTCCCGAATATGCGCCGGGATCGCCAGGGCCAGGGCCCCGCTCTCCGCCGACAGATCCAGGCTCATCCCCTGGAACACGGGGATGGAGAACCGCGGCCCGAGAGGCGTCCCCTGTGCATCGAAAAAATTCTCCATTGCCAGATTCACCCGGTGCGTCGTCGCCGTGCACACGCCCCCCGTGATCGCCTCGAGGGCGCGGCCGATGTTCACCACCAGCGAGCCCGGCAGCGGCGGCGCCGCGATCCACTCGCCGGCCTTGTTCTGCACCTCCAGCCCCGTGTGCGGCGTGGCTTGCAGCAGGAAAGTGAGGAACTCCGAGTCCTTGTGCGCGCCCACGCCTTGCGACTCGGACGCATCGCGGGGAGGCGGGTACTTGATCAGCTTGAGTTTCTGCTGGATGGGGTCCTCGAAGAAGCGGTCGAGTGCCGTGGGCGCCATGTCGAGCGCTTCGGAGATGAGGCCCCGGAAGGCGGCTGCTAGTGGATGGGTTTCGGCCAGGTAGGCCTCGACGGCGTGGCGGAAGCCCGGGATGGCGGATTCGTCGGGCCACTGTGTGCAGTTAGTGGGGTTGTTACACTGGGTTGAAGGCGGAAATGTACCTGGTTTGGGCCGCGGATGTTGCGGTAGAGGGGGGCGTCTGGGCTCGGGGGAGGGAGCTCGGTCGCAAACTGGCGGAACTGGTCAGTAGTGTCCTGTAAGTTCATCGTGTATCGGTGAAGGCACGCACGTCGAATTGTTCGCGGTAATCAATCTGACGGGCGGTGGTTTCAGCCCCTAGTCGCGAGTATCCCAGGAAATGCTTGCTGTCGACCATTTCAATCTCCAGCTTCTTCTCGAGTGGGAGATCGAAAATGGCAGTGGTCTGTTTGATCAGCTCGTCGCGGACGGCGGGCGCGATCGGGGCGTTGATGAGGTAGAAGAAGCCCACGTGGACCAGCGCATGGCGCAGACTGGCGAGGAATTGGGGTTTTGTGGTGGGGGAAGTGGCGAGAGAATAGTCAACGACCGGAATAGCGGTAAATGAGGGCGTATCTACAGTCATGTTGGAAGAAGAACGAAGATGAGGTGGTTGCGGATGATAAGATGATTGAGGGGTTCATTCCCCCGGTCGGCAGCTGCGATATCGGGCGGGGAACGAAACCTCGTTTGGCGTCATCCCCAACACCAATGGCGAGCATAGACCAATTGACTTTCTTCAAAGATGTATACTGCCATGCTGTACTCCACCCGAATACCCTGAAAAGATTTCTGGTCTCTGGTCTATATTGAGATAAATTATTCCGAAATAAAGGACTAAGCTTTTTAATTTACTCATTCACAAAATTTGTACACAATTTGCAGAGAGTGATTCCCATCTTGCTCGTCTGGAAATGGAAATGAGCGTATATGTTCCAGCACACGTTCAGTGCTCGAGATACCCATGTCAACAGCCCGAGTTCTCCTGCCTATACAGCTCCTCAATAGCCACAGGAGTGAGTAAAGGCCTGAGCCTTGGGCCCAAAAGCTCTCGCATCTCCACCATGTGAAGGTTGCATCGTAGGCAGTGTCTACCTCATTGGATCGATCGCGCATTTCCTTGAACTCCAAGGCATCGAGGACCAAAGTCGCCCGATTAGTGAGTGCAGCTTTCTCTGACAGCATCATCAGATGTTGCACCTTATCTCGAATTCAGTCTGGATCAGAGTGGTTGTCGCTAACGCTTGGTGCAGCACCGCGACGTTGTCCTGGAGCAAGGTCATTGCCGCGTGGCTGGATTGTCCGTCCTGGATGATTTCATCGAGACGCTTCCGAAAGTCTAGCCTAAAGAGAGAATGGCATGCTATGCCGGTTAGAGACTCTGCGACAGCTGAGCGGAATCATGCTGACCCGAGCTTTCGAGAAACAGTTTCAACTGGCTCTCGTAACCTGCCAACTTGGTATGCCACTCCTCCTTTCGCTCCTTCTTCCACCAACCTTTGCACAATACCGTGGCCGTCTGGAATTATCTGTTGCTGCCTGTCGTCACCCGCAGTGTCTCCAGTAGCTGCTGCAGCTCCTCGGACACGCTGCATCATTCGACACACAACTCCCGCAGCGCCCGTTCATCTTCGCGCAGGATGGTCTGCGAAGCTTTTTCCTGCCGCAGGCGGACCACGACCTGTCGGAAACGGGCGTTCGTCGTCGAGAGGTGTTCGTTCTCTTGCGTCGAGCCCGAGGCGGACTGGTAGATGCTCTGACCGGTCTTGACAATCTTGAATCCAATCGCAATGAACTGCACAAGGCTCCCCACCAGTCCGATCACCGTCACGGGTTCCATTTGGCATGCAGACTACCGGATTCACTTTACTTCCCGTACAGAAAAGTGTATGGAAGCTTGGAAAAAACGATCAAAAAGAACTGTGGCTACCGAGGGGCTGTCTGGCTGACCTCCTAGCTTTAAGCACTCGGAACAGAAACAGGTAGTCGCCTCTAATGTGCACAGTGGCACAGGGATATGCGCAGATTCTCGAGCCTTGCTGTGGCTTGGCGCAATGTCTGATAGCCTCCGAAAGAAAAAGCAAATCATGGCTGTGTCGCGACCGATCTTGTATGGAGTGCTCATGACCACTGAGACATACTTCTGTCCTGAAGCCATGTAAATGGAACGAGGCTCTGCAAGCGGCCTATCTTGATGATTTGTGGGCGTTGTATGTTGGTGGCTGGACAGTACCCAGGGCGGGAACCAGCCTACATCAATGTGCCGCAGTGTCCGTACTTCTCCCCCAGTCTCTCCAAACAGAGAACGAAGTCCACCCCCCCTTCTTGGTTCTCAAAGTTTGCGGCGGTAGTCGAATGACCGAGCGGCGGAGAAGAAATACATGTAGCGTGTAGCTGTTGTTACCATTGCTGACAGGTAGGGCTAGGATCCGGTTAGTTTCTTCATAGAACGTTGAAAGTAGCATCAAGAAGGCTATGCTATAATTTCAATACAAAAGAGAAATGGGATATCACATGAAAGACAGTAAGCTTCTATTTTCAACAGAAGGAGACTCACCAGTCATGGCAAGTGTCGAGGCCGTAGATGAGCGATGAATCCACCTACGTGAGGCTACAATATCACATCTGAGCGGAATTAGCAAAGAGCTACCGATGTTGGGGTGAGAAGCCTGACCAGCTCGGAGTGCAAAGCATCAATCTATCCTCCTTTAACTCTGTAGAGAAGTATTCCGTGGACGCATAACTATAGTAAAAGTCCGACACCGCAGTAGAGCCCTCCGCATCGTCGTCGTTTTCATCGTTTAAACTGCCCCCGCGCAAAGCCTGGATTGTACCGCATTTCGACGACTGTCAACATCATGCCCACCGTCTTGTGGCTCAATTGCTGTTGGCGCACTGTTGGCGCACGTTAGCTAACTCATAGAATTGGTGTACTGCCATGTCTTTCATTATAAAAACTGGCATGTCTCAAAAGCCAGCAACCTGCTAAAGTTCATTGTGGTTTCAAAAATCTTGATGTTGAATGTGGGACATCGTCTTTGAATCCTGATAGTCGTTGCTGAGTTCTCTGGGAGCACCCTTGCTCGAGAGATCGCTTTGGATCACGTGCCATATTCACTAGAAATGCTGGCAGGTTTTATTCACATGACACCGGCGCGTGGAGTTCATTTTGCGAAAATGAGAGAGCAGTCGGATCTTGGAAGAGAAATTAAAGCACGTGACGGGGAATTGATTCGGTTGTATGAGGGTGACCCCCCGTTGCCTGAGGCGGAAAGTGCAATCTGAGGTCTCCAATCTCAGTCCCAGCTATTCGAATACTTCAGTAACAAGTAACATTACAAGGAGCCTACATATGAACAGACTGACTACTAGCGAAGACACTTTCACATTGAATATGTACAAAGATAATCGAAAAAGTTAACTACTATTTCTTGCAAAAAAACACCAATGATGGCGCACAGTACCAAATCTCGATCTCAGAGTCCCAGAACAGGAGCTATCCAGAACACCAATTCATCCTCCTTTCGACTCCGCAGAGAAGTATTCCGTGGACGCGCAACTATGCCAAGTCTCCGACGCAGCAGCGGACCCCACCGCATCATCGTCGTTATCATTCAAACCGTGTTCGCGCGCAGTCTGGGATGCACTTCCACGAGCGTTAGCAGATCCACTATTCTCCGGGTCGTTAGATGAATACTCACCAGCATCCTCCGCAATGGTTTCAAGCGGCCGCGGCGTCCCTTCCCGCGAAGCGGTAGGAGCAGTAGCAGTATCCCCCTCTCCCTCAGACTCCAGCGCACTCTCCCCCTCTCCCTCCCCCTCCGTATCCTGCAGACCAGCAGCAGGTGGAGGCGGCCAAACGACGGCATTCACATTGTCGGCGACATCAAAGAAGAACCGGATGGTGATGAACTCATCAGCCCACCAATCGAACTGAGTCCGGTCCTGACGCTGCCACCGGGCGGCGACGCGTTGCCCTCCTTCACCTGCAGAGCCTCGCACCTCAAACGTCCAGAACATGACCTGGTTGCCGCCGACACAGCCGCCGCCCGCCAGCATCATCGACGCCGGGATGCGGTAGTTGGGGTCTGCCAGCGCGCTGCGCCAGAAGAGCAGAAGCTTGGTGATGTACCAGCCCGGTTCGGTGCTGGGGCCATTGATGAACCAGAAGAATGGCCGGCCCCGGATGAAGGCCACGAAGGTCTGGATGTCAACTGTGTTCGTTTGGTCCGTGCCCCCGGGGACTTGTTGGACGATGTCGAGCAGGCCGTAGTCGCCTAGCGGGTGTAGACGGCTGGTAATGCGGTCGCGCCAGCAGGGGATCTCGGGGACGCGGTGTGACATTTTGGTCGCCTTTGGGTGTGTTGGTGGTGTATCTTGGTTGTAGGATGGTGGGTTTGGGGTGTGATCTTGGTGAGAATGTGAGGGAGAGAGATATGTGGAGGAGAGGTTCTTATATTGCGCATGTCTGTTTGTTGGTGAAGAGAAACGCTCCTGTTCATGGGTCTTTCAGTGTTCGCATGTGTTGTCTGTTGCGGGGAATATGGGGAAGGTCTTTGTTGTTGTGGTTTTTGGTGATGCCGGCAACCGAAATGTTCCATCATTCTTTATCGCTGGACTCTGGACTCATGGCTCATCGATCGCGTGTTCTGGTTTCTGTTCCCAAGGGAAGTGAAAAGAGGATCGATCGGTGTTGTGTGAATATCCCTAACATGGAGATGCAGCTTAGAAGCTTTGTTAGAAACCATTCCAAGTGTATCGTGCTTTCTTCAGTCTACATGGCTGGGGCTGGTCAACTAAACCAGCCATCATATATGAAGGTCGGTATATCCGGTGCCTCTTGCTGGTTGAATGAAAGGAGACACACCCGTAGAGATGAATCATGGAACCACACTCGGCAGGACAGTCTTGAGAAACACAAATCTGTAATGTGCTGAGGCTCATGACGTCAGTAGAAGTGCTCAATCTCGTAAGGAATAACACTGAAATCTTCATTCGATATATACCAACTCCAACCAAAAAAAAATCCTAAAGCAGTAGAACCATCAATCGTGTCTTCATCGCATCCATTACTATCAACAGATATCCAAAACTATCAACATTTGTACATGAAGTCTCCATCCCCAAATCCCCCCATCTAATAAGCCAAGAACATAGTCACCGCAAAGGCCAAACCGGCCGCTGAGCGGTGCAGCATACTCTTACCCGAGCCGCTGGTCGTCAAGTACAGGGTGGGCTCGTACTCCGACGGCACGGTGCTGTTGGTCGTGCCGTTCCAGCAGTAGTCGTTGAAGCAGGTGGTGCAGATGTCCGGCAGGGTGGTGTTGGTGCGGTAGGTCGAGCGCTGCAGGATGGCGCAGGCAACACAGGAAGTCCAGTTCGAGTCGAGGGTGCCGTTGCCGCGGGTGACCACGTTGTAGCCGTTGGTGATGACGTTATCGCGCTCCTCGTCCGAGTAGGTCAGCTTGAAGGTGGAGAAGTTTGACTCGTAGGTGTAAGGCGAGTTGGCCAAGTACACGACGAGCGGAGCAGGACCAGACAGGTTCTTCGGGTCACAGCCGAAGAAGGTCGGGCGCTTGTTCAGGCCCAGGTTGACGAAGGTGTTTACATCCGGGACAGGAGGGAAGACGGTGCCGTTGGCAATACCGGAGCTGTTCAAGCTGCGCTGGTAGGTAGCCACCAGCGAGGTTCCGTTGGGCCAGTATGAGTCGGTATCGGCGGAAGAATCAATAGCAAAAATCACATCCACGTGGCGGTCGGGCTGGATGAGGGGGTGCAGCGGGATGTTCTCGAGATCCTCACCACCATCGACAACGTCCAAGGTGGCAGCGGTGGCATAATCTTCGCTGGCCTCACGGTACCCGTGGAAGGGGTTGGGGGAGTACACGGCAATGTCGTCACCCCGCTCACCCAGGTCTTCCAGGATGTCGGTCAAGGCATTCTTGAAGATCGTGGGGATATCGGTACTGTTGATCTGCAGCAAGAACTGGTTGAAGAGAGTGGAGGAGGATCCCATGATGAAACCGGCATTGTCAAAGCCACGCACACAGGTACCGTTCTCCGACACGCTGCCGTTCTCGAATCTCGAGCCGAGGTACTCCAACGGAGCAAAGGCATAGACAGATGGATCCCAAGAGCCGAACTCCCACGGGTTGACCTCGTAGACCGTCGCATTGGTCTCAACAATAACCTCGCCGGGGTTACGGCCATCCATGACCACAATAGGCATGGGGTATTGGCCGTTCTTGAAGTCGTCCATCAGGGAGATGGAGGACCAGGTGTAGTCAGCACCGCCGTCGTCCTTGGAGGAATTGACCAGCTGGAAGGAAAGGGCACGGCCCCAGTAATCCGAGAACGAGGTATTGAAACCGGCCCCCGATTTCCCGTCGACCTGTTCGGTAATGGTCTTCCAGTATTCGTAGGTGCTCAGGACTTGAATGGTGTCATAGTTAGGACCCTCGAGCAAAGACTTGGAGAACCCCCAGATCCGGTCGCTAGCCTGCAGATTGCTGATGGTGGAGAAATTGTTGACGAACATGGAACCAACCAGCCAGCTACCACCACTCAGACCAGCGACATAGGTAGCAGACTGCAGCAGACCACCCAGCTGACCGGTGTTGGTGGAGTTCTCCGTGCGGCTGTCAAAGGCCTTCAGACCACCCGCGCCGTTGGTCAGCGCCCGGTAGCCACCCCCGGAGGCCGCGACGGCAATGTTGGGGATGTTGGAGATGTTGCTCGCGTGGGTGTTGAGATAGGAGGTGACGTCAAAGCCGCTGAGGTTCAAGCGACCCAGAAAGTCCTTCATGGGCTGTAGGGTGACATTGCGGCGCACCTTGAGCCATTCGGTCTCGTTGGTGGAGAGGTTGTCGGCATCACGGATGCTGGGTCGGGTGGACGGGCAGGTCACGTTGTCGGGGGTGTAGCCGTCGGGAGCATTGGGAAGCGCCCGAACAGCCACCTCGACCGCCGCAGGAGGCAGCGAGGCGGCATGGGCGACGCCAGCCGCTGCCGCAACCGCAAGAGACAGCTTCATGATCGACAGGGGAGCGTGGACAGGGAGGAACCTGACCAGTGAAGGGGGGAGGAGAGAGGCAGATCAAGTCGCGAGAAAAGAGAGGAAAGGAACGGTGCAAAAAGCGAAATCCCCAATTCCCTTATATTCTTCGAGAACACCAGGCGATCTGCGGACCCCCCGGAAAGCCTTGGGCGATGCAGCTCCACTGGGGCCGAAAGAAATTGAGCTGAATGATGGGTCTGCATGACTGCTCACTAATCGGCTAGAAGCCGACTGCCGGCTGGCAATGCCCAAGGGGTCAGAAACTTAAGACCAGCGCAATTGTGATTGGGACCGGAGTGGCAGTGAGTCCGCCAGCTCCATCCGATCCGCAGGCAGCAGCATTGCTCCCAAGTTATCCCTGGATGGATTGTTTATGATTTCGATCATGATGTCACGGACCAGCACCTCGATCCAGACAGACCATAGCAGACCCCTCTGGTGTGGGCGGATATGGACAGATATAAGCGAATGAGTGGCAGTTGTGAACGAGTACGAAGGAGGATGGAGAAACAGGCGAACAGCACTAGAGTGACTAGCGAGCCTCAACCCCTGAAAAGCAGTGCACAACAGTGGAGATGGGGGGAGATTGGGTGTTCGTGCGTTGAATCAGCAAAGTGGGAATGAAGAGAAACGCCTGCCAAGTGTTCCATGCCGAATCGGGCAACCCGAGCGACTAGCGCTGACTCAGCGGGGTATTTTCGGCCGTGGCTGGTGCCGGGGGCTGGTGTATGTTTAGGCATGGCGGTGCATAGCTGACATAAAGCGCACATAAAGCGCACATGACATCAACGCGATGTCAGCCAAGGGGCATAATTCTTGTGCAGTGCATAGATTAGCATAAATGGCGTCACCATCGTCACCACCATCTCCATGACATCACCACCATCGCAACCTCTTGCCGATCACAACGATACACTGCACATATAAAGCAGTCGAATCTGATCGTCATAATTCTCATTCCCATCAAACTATCACAGAGCTATTAACTACTCAACTTTCACACACAACCTCTCAATCACCATGGACAAACTCTCTGGACTCGCATCCAAGCTCGGCGGCAGCCACGGCAGCAGCGGCAGCAACAACAACAACCAGGAAGACTACGTCGATAAGGGTACGTATTTACCACTCTCCCCGTGGGTCATTGACTTTGCCAATTCCTGCTTCTTGCATTCCACTGGCTTTGCATCCGCAATGCACCTACCTGCCCACGCCCGGATCCCCTTACTGACATCCTGACGAAAAGGTGTCGACAGCGTCGAGAGCAGATTCGGCGCCGACCCCCAGAAGCTGCGCTCCACCAACGAGAAGGCCACCGACTTTGCTCGCAACAAGTTCGAGAGCTCCACCGGGTAAGTCTTTTCCCCCGATGGCCTCAAGTTAAAGGATGAAGCTAATCGGGCCTAGGCACAACGTTCCCGACAAGATCTCCAACTAGATGCTCGTGCGATGATGTCGATGATTTGCGATGATGATAACCTTATGACAGTGCGGATTGCACTTGTATGATATGATACAGTAGGACCTGACCTACGATAATCTCTCCTTGAATGAACTACTATAATATCCTTTGAATAATTCCTCTTCCTTTTCGTAGTCTATTGCCGTAATATCTACACCGCTGAGTTGACAACCTGTTCAAGGTCAGTGATTGCATTTGACTAAAATTTCATATCCATTTTGAAAGCAGAGGGAATAAACCTGCTCGGGTTGTATGTCTTGGTCCCGTCATTCGAAACTGAGTAGATACGTCAAGTGGAGGAGATGTCGGACCAGGAATCGTACGTCATCTGCAGCTATCCACCCATCGTCACCCCGATGATCTTCCCCACCTGAACAGCACGACTACCCTGGCACAGTATAATCCCTGGTCCAAGCAACAACGGTATGATCGATCGCGCAAAGCTTGATCCGGTCAATTGATCAAATGTCCGACCCAGAATTCCCGAGTGGCTCGGCCTACCTCGGGAATATATCTCCCGCGTGCACGATGTTCCGGTCACAGAAAAAACCAAGTTCTAGAGTGTATAGATTTAGAGTTATACTCAACAACAGGGATCTGGTACCAAGTCCTATTAGGTGCAATAAAGCTTGTCGAACTTAATGCTGTCCGCTGTTTCTGGGAATGTGGCACCGTATGCAGTGAGTATGCAGCAGCTAACCTCTGGCTGGTATTATACGGGACCTGCTGGGCATAGATGCAGACTTTCACCTTTTGTCGCCAACAAAAGCATTTAGTAACGTGACGCGGAAGAGAACACCCAATGAACCCACTAAGAGAAAATCTCCTACCATTTCTACAAGGATTCTCGTGAAAATGATAAGAAAAAAAAATGCATTCATAACCAGCATGGTATATTCAGCTATCGCACCAACGCAAACAAACCCAGTGTACACTTGACCATTCCCTCACCTCCAGCACCCACCTCTTCCAGACAGACAGTCTAGTCTACATCCGCTGAAACTGCCTCAGGAGTCCCTGCAACCCGACCTCCTTCTTCGGCGTCAAATACCGCGTATTCATGCGACACAGCTGCAACCAATTCGCGCTCTGCTCGGGCATTGTCTTGCCCGCCGCCCGATAACTCCGCTCTAGCCGCTCATAGTACTCCTGGCTCTGCACGTAATCCCGGGCCTCGAAGTACAGCTTGGCCAGCATGTCCAGCACGGACTGCACCTCGGCGCCGTCGGCGCCCATGCGCGTCTCACACCACCCCAGATACCGCAGCAGCCAGGGGGTGGCCAGCTCCGTGTGCGAGCGGTGCGCGCCCACGAACGTGCCCACCCCGATCCGGCCCTGCGACGCATACATCACCCCCATCAGCGCCACGGTCGCCATCGTCTCCGGGTGCTCGGGCCCCAGATACTCCTCGCTGGCCGCGAGCGCGCGCCGGAAGGTCTCCGACGCCGCGGCCGTGCCGTCAGGCTCGAGCATCTGGCTCGCGGCCAGGAGTCGCACGCTCTTGATGGTCAGCGGGTGCGACGCGCCCAGCAACTGATTCAACTCCTGCGACACCGCCGCAAAGGCCTGGCCCATCTGATCGACGGCCGGGTTGAAGCGCAGCGTGACCAGCTGCGTGGTGTCGTTGGAGCGCAGCGCGACCATGTGCTCGGCGGTGTCCAGCACCGCGCCGTAGACGCGGATGTGCGTGGGGCCGAGCACCTGGCGCAGCCGCTCGGTGAGCTTCTCGAGCGCCTGGACGGCCTCGGCGCGCCGCTCCAGCACCCCGTACGCGACGGCCAGCCGGCGGCGCGTCAGCAGCGTGTCGAGCTCGTCCTCGCCGATGCTCATCTGCTGGCGCGCCAGCACGTTGGCGCACACCGACTCCGCCTCCTGGCCTTTGCCCTGGTGCGCCAGCACCTCCCCCAGCAGGCTCTCCGCCTTCATGGCCAGCGGGTGCTTCGCGCCGAATACCCGCTGCGCGTTGGTTGACACCCACTGCGCCCATTCGGCGGATTTCGGATAGTAGGCGGCTTCCAGGTCGATCTCGGCCAGGTGGTACCCGATCTCCAGCGTGCTGTGGTGGTCCGCCCCCAGGTTGCGCAGGTGCTCCTGGAAGATGGCGTACTCGAGCTTACGGGCTTCGTCCCATTGCCAGTTGTTCTTGAGGGCGGCGGCTTGGAGGGAGCGCGGGTCGGTGTCGACGGCGGTGAAGAAGGCGCCGGTGACGCGTTTGGGGGTGGGCGGGGGGCTCTGCGGCGAGGGGTAGGGCATGCTGCTGTTGACGGGGAGACGGGGGGGGATGGGTGGTGGCGCGGGGTGCGGGGAGGTCGAGTTGGCGCTGGAGGGGGATGGGATGTATCCCTGCTCTGTGGCCAGGACCTGGTCGGCGATCTGCTTGATATTGCCCTTGATCATCTTGTACATGGCGCCGCGGGCGCCCACCTTGCACATCTGCGAGTGGTCGGCGTCGAGTTTGAGGCGGGTCTCGCGTTGGCCGGGGAGGCCTAGCACGGCGGATTCTTCGTCAACCACCAGCTAGACACATCAGCGCACTTCATACCTGGACAGCTGCAATGCAAGGCCTGAAGAACAGGTAAACAGCTTCGAAGGGATACATACATGACTGACAGAAGCAGGCCCCACGCCCCCCAGGAGCACCTCCTTCCCCTCCACAAAGCTGATCACCCGGTAGTCCTCGAGTTGGTGGGAGAAGCGGCTCGTCATCTGCCGCGTGAAGAGCGAGTTGTGCTCTAGACTGTCGAGCAGATCGTTGCTGGCATGGCCCTTGGCCACGAATCGCGCCACCTTGGCCGCAATCTTACCCAATTCGACACCCTTAGTGCCGCGGTGGGGGCATCCGAAGAAGACCAGCCCGTAGGTGTTGTTGCGGATGGCGTTGTACTTGGGGTCTTCGTGGGCGTTCAGCAGTGCCTATCAGCAGCAGGAGCAGCCGTGAGCACATCGCACCCAGCACAAGAACTGACAAGAAAAGCGCACCTGCTTGATAACCAACCCTCCCAGACTATGTCCCACGAATATGATCTTTGGCGGTCGTACATTCTACCCAAGTCAGTACAGCCCCCAGAGCCCTCGCCCACTCAAAGCCAGCATCCGCCAACACACCTAAGATTATTAGCTAGAACATACCATATTCGGATCCCGCTCCAAATCCAACAGATTCAACAACGTATTCGCATGATCCTTCACACCGGCCGTGGACATGCTCTGCGGACTGGTGATGTTGGAGTTATACCCATACACAAAGACGCGGGCTTGGGGGATGTCCTGGGGCAGGTAGTCGCGGGGCCAGAAGGTGCCGTTGGCGTGGGTCCATGTCTCGTAGGGGTGGTCGACGCGACCGCGGGGGTTGAGGCCGTGGACGAAGACGAAGCTGCACCTGGTAAGTGTTTCTGCATTCTGTGGAATTTACTATGATGGGAGGGAAGAGGGGCGTTACTCGATCTTGGGCGGTCCCGCTGGGGTGAAGACCTCCTCGAGGAAGGGGAATTCGTGGTTCTCCATTTCTTTCGCCATGAAACCTGGTGATGAGGATGGATTTACATTAAGGCTCTAGATGGGATGACCGGAGATAGCTGGAGAGGGGAAAATCGAGGAGATGAAGGAGACTCCTCCGGCTCAGCCGCAGCGCTGACCAGGGTAGGGTACATGGCAGACATCATGTGAGGGCCAACATTGCCCTGCAGACACTCAAATAAACCCCATCCTATCGGTAGTCTTTACCCTCGAGACTCTCGCTTCCACCCCGTATCCGACTGCACTGCCAGTGACAAAATGCTCACGCCGCAGACCCTGACGCAAAACAAGGCGTGTGGATGTTCCGCGTGCGAGGCTGTACAGACCCCGGCCCTCGTCGCGGATAGGCCAGCGGAATACGAACTGCCATGCCGCTTACTTCTTGGCTCGCCATGGGACCCCTGACAGACATTCACTAATGCATCCATTCGAGAAGTCAGAGTCTTGTACCCTCTTGACAAAAGCTGCTGCAACCAGATGAAGGAAAGATGATCATTACCAGAACAATCACCGCAATCACTACAGCCTTGCTACCACCCTTACCCTCCCCTCCCCCTCCAATACCTACCAAGCCCCAACCACCCCAGCAACAGGAATATCAATCCCCGTCGTATACGAACTACAATCACTCAACAGATAGACATAGGCGCCGCCCAGCTCGCGCGGATCGGCCAGCCGCGGCATGCCCCCGTAGTTCTCCATCTTTTGAGGCCAGTCTGGCGCCGTCTCCACGTAGTAGGTCATGGCGGTGCGCACGAACCCGGGCGAGACGCTGTTGACCCGGATGCCGTGGGGGCTCCATTCCATCGCCAGGGTGTGGCACATGTTGCGCACTGCTCCCACACATATTCCCGGATTAGCTGGAGTGGCTTGGGGACTGGATCTGAAATTGACGGAACTCACCGGCAGCTTTGGTGGCGCCGTAGGGCGCGGACGGGGCGGCCTACAATTTCAGTTAGTACACTTGTTTTTCGATGACTTGGGGGGTAGATGTACGCGATTCGGTCGATAAGAGGTCATACTGGCCGTCATGACGATGGACCCCTTGATGCCCAGCTCGATGAATTTGCGGGCCGCGATCTGGGCGCAGAAGTAGGATCCGTAGACATTCAACCCGAACAACCGCTCCACCTCCTCCCTGTCAAATTGCAACGCAGGCTGATGCTGCGTCATGCCCGCGTTGGCCACGAGCCCATCGATGCGGCCCGTCTCCGCCACGATGCGGTCGATCGCCGTCTCCACGCTCGTCTGGGAGGTCACATCCGCCCCGAGGCAGTGGAAGTTCGGGTAGCGCTGTTGTAGCGCCCGGGTCTCCTCCCCGGGGTCCATCAGGTCCAGCGAGTAGACGTGCTGCGCCGCGTTGGCGAGGCACACTTCCGCGATGCCCAGGCCGATGCCGCGGTTGGCGCCGGTGATGGCGATGACTTTGCCGGAGAGGGTGATCTGCCAGTTGAAGTCGGCGGGGGGCATCGTGCTGACGATTGGTGGGGCCTCGTCGCGAGAGGAATTTGTGTTGGAGGAGCATGCCATGATGGTATAATTCTGCAAATCGGTCAGCCGGGAGATGGCGATAAGTAATGGCTGTTCGAGTAGGGAATAGATTTAAGTACTGTACCTGTAGGACAGGGGTGACATCTAAGAACTGGAATCAGCTAATGCGCTGACATGGTGGTCCGACCATTCATAGATATCCCTAGACGTGGCAACATCAGCACCACAGTCGACTTCGGCTCGAGGCTCAGCATACAGTATGGCATGTCACAGCCAGAGTTTGACGTCACGCCGACTGGGTCCTTGTCCACGTAGCCCTGGCTCGGTCCAAAACTAGGGCCGTGGCCGTAGCCGTAGGGCGGAGAACGCAATAGCTTGAACCCCCGCGATCGCGGATCGACTCCGGGACTGCGGACGCCTCGGCTCGAGGCAGAACCCCCACGATCTCTAGCCTTATGAAAAACCCGCTACCATGGCTACAGTGATTACAGTGACTTCAGTGACTTCAGTGACTTCAGTGACTTCAGTGACTTCAGTGACTTGATGCTAATGAAATTTCCTTACGTTTAAACCGTATATTGTATGTCTGTTCAAGAGGTCTCACTTCAAGATGTTTCAGTCCATAAACATCCATTATCATGACCAACGCGCGACTGTGTTCAATACGGGTCTATCCCTTTCATACATCATAGCTCATTCTATTATACAATTGATCAGGGGCACAAAGTTTCACCCCCAGCATCACGTAACACCTGCGCGGTCAGTGTTGGCACAGATGGTCTCGGTTTTAACCCGAGTTTAGCCCGAAGGTCTTAGAAACGGGTTCGGGAGAAAGGTAAGATCAGCCACGATCAGATAAGTTAACCAGAGCCCACTGTTTAATTTCATTCCCTGGCGTGATGGGTCTTCCTCTGGTATGACGGCGTGTCTATCGCAAGCCATGTGGGGTAGTGGATAGCCGAGGATCGGCCTTGGTGATCAATTAGGGAGATTGCCGAGGTCCAACCCGAAAATTTCATCCCACGGACCCAGCCAGGCTTTCTTTTGCGTACTCCGCCTCGAGGGTATCCCGAAGCGAATAACTGGGCCAGCACACTAGCCGCTCGAATCTATCGATCAATTCCAGTAGTGCGGCTCGTTTATCAGGGGCGTGAACGCTCATTCCCGCTACATGAGTCAGTGAGTCGCCCTTCGGACCTGGAGAGGGAGCTTACCCCCAAATAAGCATTGAAGCGCCGTCAGTCCACCGGCAAGTTCATCCTCCGCTACGGTCCGCGCAATGCCGCAAATGGTGTTCACAGCGGTCGTCAGAATCTTCTGTGCCGCCCGGTAATCCTGGAAGTCACCGGTCGGGGGGCGGTGGGAGATAACAAGGATTCTAGCGAGGCTATGGATCTGCAAAGCAGCCGCGTACGGGGGAGGATGGACCCATATGGGTGGGAAGACATCCGTGTACTGTACAGTGGGAAGGGGGTTAAATTCCGCCGGCAGATAATCCTGCCACTCCTGCAGCATACAGAGTAGCTCGTTACCTCTTTCCAGCCGACTCTGTATGTCATTCGACACCGTTTCTTCCTGAGAAGCGTAGTTGATGCATTGGGCGAGCAGATAAGATGCAAAGCAAGCTAGCTCGGGGGCGGTCCGGGAGGAGATGGGCCGCTCGGGTTTCCAGAAACTGAACAGACGCCGCCGTTGGCGCATTGCCACCCAGGCATCTTGTCGCAGCCAAATCCACCAGATCGCTTGACGCAGGCCACCGCAATCGCCGTTGTTGTTTTGGAATCTTTGTATCCAAAACACCCCCTTCAGATGTCGTTCCCAGTCACTGTTGGATCCATCCACCATTTCGTACGTGCTGATCAGCAAGGCAGTGGATATCAGCTCGCGACTGGATGCGTAGCTCGGGTACTGCATCGCTTTGTTGAGGTAATTCAAGGTTTCATAGTAATACTGGACGGCAAGGTGGCGATCCACGGCCGGGAAATCCGCAAAACTCTTCGACGACCCAGGCATAGCGAAACCGGCACCCCGTCCTTGGTCTTTTCTAGCATGCCAAATTGACAGGTGGCGGGCTGAAAGAGCCAGAAGGGCTTTCATCAACCCCGTGTTTCTTACGGCAAGCTGAGGGACTATCGATGCTGTGTGGCGCCCGGGGTCGTAGAAGTCGAACCAGCGGCTTACATTCCGCACGAAGTGGCCAAAGAGCAGGTGCTCCAATTCCGTCAACTCGATTGGAGCCGGGGTGGACCATGACGAAGGGTGATCGGGCCGGACGGGCTGCTGGTCGGTGGTTGACGTGGGTAGTCGGTTCTCCAGCTCCGGGTCGCGTCTGAAAGCTGCAGCCTGAAAACTCTCGCACTCCCTTTTGGAGCGTGGGAAGAAGTTGTTTAAGGATACTGCTCCGGCGGGATGGTCCCCTGGGGCAGGAGACAGGACCAGACTGCGATCCGCATTGACGGCATCATTAGCCAATAACTCGAACCAGCTGAGAGGGGCCAGTCTCGAGGAGACGGAGGAATCTGTTGCAGGAGACGGTGCTAAATCGTGGGTCGACGGTGGCGAAGTGAGATGGTTACTTTGATGGGATGGAAAGGCCGGTGTCAGTGTCTGGCTCGTTGAGACACCTGGCGATGCTGATATGGAGGCGGAACGAGCCAAGGGCCGTGTTTCGGGTGCGGGACGTTGATGCTGACAAGCATCGACCAGGACTTGTAGCGGCTCATGCACTTGGCTTCGCACCGGCAGGTGCTCTATTGAGGGAGGTTTATGGATGGCGAGAGCAGGAGCAGTGGTTGGCCCCGAGCCAGGAGCTTGAGGATCACTCGTGGTGCCAGTGCCATAGACACAGTCACGCTTGCCTTTGGCACACGGACCGCATTGTGGGCGAGCCTGCGGTTCGTGTCAGCACAAGCAGACTGCAGATTGGTCGGAAGACGAACCTCGTCGCATTTGACATGACGCTTTTTGCAGATCAGACTTTTACCATCAGTACAGTCGGTCGGACAGGCGGAAAGGATTGAGAAACAGTGCTCAGACGGATCGGAAGGATTATTGGGGAGACTGACCATCCAGTGGTGGCCCGCAATCCACGGCCGCGGGATTTTCGCGGTTTCCGAATGCCACGCGAACTCCCTTGCGTAGCATCGGCCATGTTGCCTCACTCACATCATCCGGCAAGCATGAGCGGCAATATGCAGCGTTTGCGCTACCGTATACAAAAATAATAATCAAGGGTAAACAGGGGGTGGAAGCTGGAACAATTTGGGGGGTGACAGATCGCGTCGAGGTTCAACGATTGCCGACTCACGCGGGAGTGGAGCCAGCGAAAAAAGCCGAAGAGGAATCCACCTTTCGTCAGCCAATGCAGTGGTTGGAATTCGCTCAGTGGAAGCCCACGGAAGGGAAAGGGACTGACTCGTATCGAGGCAGGGGTCGACCATGGTAGGGGTGCATGCACGATGTCATGCGGTCGGGGGGTTGCTAGTTTAGCAGTGACCGACTGACTAAGTGTTGCTGCAAATAGTTAAGCATAAATTAAAAGTGATTCATACCGCCTACTGTGCGACGCACTGGACAGGGACAATGAGCATAGTTGGACCCGCGAAAATCTGCCGGTCATCGAGGGCGATCACCACCAACCAAAATGACTTGGCAAGGGAAGAACCGAACACTGCAGATCTTGGCATCGGCCGAGAAGGGTCGCTATGGTGTTCTGGCGGCCATTGTGTGAGTGGTGCGGGATATATGTTCCGGGCAGGAGGCTCACCATACCAGCTACAACGTTGAGCACATCACAGCGTTTGTGCGGGCGGCCGAGAATCGCAGATCACCGCTGATTCTGCAGTTGTTTCCTTCATCGCTTGAGCAAACCCCGTCGCTGATTCACGCGGCCGCCGCTGCTGCAAGAAGCGCCTCGGTGCCGGTCTCGGTCCATCTCGACCATGCGCAGAACTTTGAGCAGATCCATTACGTCGCGGACAACCTTCCATTCGATTCCATCATGGTGGACATGAGTCATCACGAGAAGGAAGAGAACCTCGCCAAGACCAAGGCGCTGCGAGAATATTGTCACGGGCGGGGAATCGCAGTTGAGGCCGAGACCGGGCGCATCGAAGGAGGAGAGGATGGGATTGTGGGAACGGGCAACCTAGAGGGTACCTTCTCAAATTGGATTGTTATTCCATGCTAATGCAGCTGTAGGGATTCTTACCACCTCGGAAGATGTGGACCAGTTCATCGATGCGGGCGTTGATTTTCTGGCTCCCAGCGTGGGAAACCTGCATGGAGATTATGGGCCAAGAGGGCCAGAGTTGGACATGAATCGGTCGGTCGCAGAGAGGGATGATAGGCGTTCTGGACTGACTCGTGTAGGCTCCGCCAAGTGTGTCGAGCGTTGAACGGACGGGCACGACTCGTCCTGCACGGAACGAATGACTTTCCCCCGGAGCTGTGTCGGGCATGCGTTGAGGTGGGAGTAAGCAAGTTCAATGTCAACAAGCTGGTGTTATCTCCCTGGCATGAGCATCTTCGCAAGAATGCACACAAACCGTTGACGCAGTCGATTGGGGAGGGGATCGAAGTGCTGACGAGGGAGATGGAGAAGTGGATGGATGTGGTGGGAAGCAGCGGCATGGCTGAAACAAGCGCGACGGCAAGGCCTCAGGCAGGGACAAGGGATTTGCTTCCACAATGATCTACTCTTCAGATTGGTACTTATAACCAGAGCTAAACTATTTACATCTGCAATTCCACCTATTTACAACCACATTCACCCCCTACTTTACCTAGTAGTCACCTACACAACAGGCCAGCCACTCGAGAAGTCAATGGTGTTCCACCCAAACAGCTTCTCGTCATCGGCGTAACCAATGGTAGTATCGACATAGTGGTAGTAGAGCACAGGGCCGTAGGTCGGGTCATCATACACACCCCTATTCCAGTTAGCGATTTTCTTGTGTCTTCAGGGGAGTCTTACTGTCCACCCGGTCCATAGACGGTGCCGTGACTGGCGAGCACAATCGTGCCACCACTTTCCGTGCAAGCATTGCCATTCTTGTCCACCTACGCGGGTCAGCTTCGTCTCAAAGTGGTTTCCGTCGAAAACTTACAAATCCGCCGGTCGCGCTGGTGGAGCGACAGACCATGATCTTGTACTCCTCGCCCTGGGCCGGGCGGGAGGTGTCGTAGCCGCAGCAGGTGCCCGACGAGAAGAAGAGGTAGTAGTAGCTGCCGTACTTGAACAGGTAGGAGCCCTCCTCCGAGTGGGTGCCCGTCGCGTTGTAGGCGATGTTGTAGGAGGCCGAGCCGGCCGTCTTGAGGGGCGAGGCCATCTTGACCTGGTAGATATCGCCCCAGAAGGAGCCGAACTGGAGGTAGTATGAGCTGCCGTCCACGAGGAGGTTGCCGTCGATGGCGTTGTAGTTCTTAGAGGACGAAGAGGCGACGCCCACGGATCCGTGGTCGGTCCAGGTGTCCAGCTCCATGGTGGTGGACGAGGCCACTCCAATCGCGGAGTCCTGGGAGCCAAAGGTTGAGACAGAGTAGAGGCAGTAGTAGGTTCCATCGACGTAGCTAAGATCGGGGGCCTGCGCTGGTTAGCATGGATGCATTGTGCAGTGTGCAGTGTACAGTCATGCAGTCATGCAGTCATACACTAATACACTGATGCACGGAGGCGACGTACCCAGAGGTCAGTGTTGCCGGACAGGTCGATCTTAGATCCGTCAGGCACCACGGATCCAATGGCGGTCCACGGACCGTTGATGGAGGAGGCAGAGGCATAGGAAATCTCGTTGCCGGTCGAGAAACGGAAGTATTTGCCGTCCGACTCGCGGACGATCAAGGCTGGGTCATGGACGTTGCAGGAACCGGAGCAGGAGCCGGGGTTGGCGTAGCCATGAGCCAGGCCTGCCAGAAGCGGCACCGACAGGGCAGTCAGGAGGGAGTACATGGTGTTTAAGCGTCTGAGATGTGACGATCGTTTTTTGCTTTGTGTCGGCCATTTTGGATGTTATATAGGCTGTCAATTGTTCGGTGTTCAGGGAGGTCGACGTGCCGCCGGATCAGTGCGGCGTGTGTAGACGGGTGCGAAAGTTGAGACATTTGCAGATACGGACCTGGCTCCGTGATACTTTGGAGGTTTCAAAAGGCGTAGAGGAAATAGCAAAATCCCGGAGGGATGCTGCAGGTGACTGGTGGAGAAGTGGTGCTGACGACAAGTGACGAGCGACTAGCGAATGCCGGCACTGCTTAGTGTGTGGGGTAACCCGGCGTAGTGGCAGTTTAAACCACACACAGCCTTGCTCCCATGTCTGCAGAATTCTGCAGGACTCTAAGGTATTTTACTGCATTACTGTGACATGAGTCTTGAGAGAAACTACATCCACAATACTACAACACTCAGCACTAAAGTACCACTGAGGATTTCTACGCCTCAAATCTCCTACACCTCTACAGGTTGCTCGCATTGACGGTCGTAGGGGTCCGTGTGCCGGCATTTTATCCAATTTCGGAAGCATCCGTGCAGATTCGAGTCAGTACACTTCACTGATGAAACACTTGGACCGACTTTTGTGCTGTCAAACTCACCGGAGGTTCCATCTTTAAATAGTTGCTGTGGGGTTTACAAAATTAAGCTGCCGATGATTGACAGGATGCGAGGCACACGAAAGATTCAGCATCCAACTAATTCCGAGAATTGTTGGCACGACTGAAATAACCCTGTAACTACGGGCAGACGGTCTTACCGACACAATCAAGGCACTATAAGAGATCGGAATCCAGATTCTACCACCTGGGACACCAGCTTGGTAGCTTGCACCGAATCCCACCGATAGTGGAAATGAAGGGGTTAGTCACAGCAACGTACCTGTCGGATGGATGGATATGGCACCAAATGTGTTAGTAGAAGCATGAAACAGGAGTATGCGCCACAAGCGCAGACGGCAGGTATCGTAGCCATATCATGCATCCGCTGTCCGAGCACACCTTGGCTGTCATCCTGCAGAGCTGTGCATGGCACGTGCCTAGAAACGCCCGATGATATCATTAGCTTATACCTCGCGGAGTTTCCGAGATCGACACTTCGGTTGATGGTGACTGGTCATCCCACCGGGACAAGCATTGGGCAGAAGAGAGTTCAAGATTGAGTTCCACCAGTTGTCGGCTTACAGAGTGAAGTGTGGGGTGCAGCAGTATGGTAGCTGCAGCTCCGGCGGAGTCTGGCTTTGAGCATACCTGGTAGGGGGATGCGCAGATATACCTCGGGTATATTGATTCCATGAATCAATCTAGATTCCAGTCCTTCATAGCCTGTCTTAGGCCGGATGACAAGCGTACCTGAGACAATTTTCTCATTTCACAGAAAAGAGCAGGCCCGTGGCTCTGGTCTTGTACATAGCGGACTAGTATTCTCTGTTCGACAAACATATGTAGCATGCTGAAGAAAATGATAATGCTGTCGAGGGTATGAACGGAAAGAAAGAGATCTTATGGTATCTGGGAGATTTGAGGACGACTAAGTGGATTTGACTTGGCGACATTCTTATTATCTGTTGGGACTGCAACCAGCTCCATACAAAGGTATGCGAGGAACTACGTGAGCAAGGTGGTTTATGCGAGCGAGGGACTGCGCGAGGATTTCTCAGAGCAAGGCTGTCACTGCGAGAAACTGCGAGGAACCACATAAAAATTCGTCGTGCCAGCGAGGCTGTTCCTACGAGGAACTCAGGAACCGTGTGAGGATTCCTGCAAGTAAGACTGTTGATGCAAGCGAGGAACTGTGAGCAAGCGGATGAGTATTTCTGCAAGCGAGGCTGTTCTTGTAGAGCCAGGCCTCGCGGGAAAGGAAGCGGTAGACAGCAGCAGAAACAAGCACAGATTCCATAATCTCTGCTCGGCTGACCACTTACTAGGTAGGTAGCTCTACCGAGCGTTTTTCCTCTGCCTGGTGGGGCTTTCCTTTCTGAGATGCCGCTGCTTCTATGAGGGCGCTCAGAGTCAGACTCACCGAGTAAATCTCAGACCGGACTCAGACTAAAGACTCAGACTCAGGGAGCTGATCAGAGTATTCACGTGACTGCTCAGAGGCACTCAGTGAGTATGATCAGTCAGCTCACTGATTACTCAGATACCGATCAGAGGCATCTATTGAGCTCGGCGCTATATCAGAGGGGCTGACAGCAAGGCGCAGCGCGCGATCTCACTTCTGCCCATCGGCGCAAAACTTTCAACCGATGTTTTTGCAAACTCTGTGAAGCAAACCAAGCTCGCTCTCCATTGTATCTCTCACTATCAACCTTTCATTCATCAAGACCATGGCTGAGCTGGTAGGGGTCGTGTCCAGCGCCATTACATTCGCGACCCTTGCAGTCCAGATCGGCAAGTCTGTTCAGACACTTAAGGGCTACTGGGATTCAATGCGCGATGCGCCAGATGATCTCAAATGGCTACTGAGAGAAGTTGAGATCCTTGGCCTCATAATGGCTGACGTTGACGACGACTTATCACAAAAATCTGTCTCGTTAGGTCTGATAGACCATCGGCATGCTTCACAAAGCTTGCGCTTTTGTAAAGAGGCTGTGAATGACTTAGAGGCACTTTGCAAGGACTTAGTGCACCACGTCGGCTCATCTAGCGGACTGCGCAGGTCCTACCAAGCCGCAAAGTTGGTGATACGCGAAAGGAAGATTGAAAAGCACGTTTCGAAGCTACATAACGTGATCCGGCTACTTATGTTATCCCAGCAATGTTACAACAGGTACGTCTTACTAAATCGGTGCGTAAGATAACTGAGATATTCTTTACTGATATATCTAGATCACTTATTCAAGTTCAACCAATTTTAATCGCTGAAGCCATAGCGAATCTAGGGGTGGTTCCCTCACACAAAGCTATTTTAGAATCCGATTCAGCACGTCGCTGTGAGTCAGTCTTGGTGCTTACATTCTTTAAAACTAACTGATCTTTTCAAGATGAGAAATTGGTTTCAACCGAGCCGTTGGTGGGAAGTTCGAAGCTGGGAGAAGAACGGGTTCAGCCTCGAAAAAGCAACTATCTTTGGCTTCTTCGCGCCCCGTATTGGATGACATCTCGAGTGTTGGAAATATCTGGCATAAAGACTCCCTTCGGGTGGGATTGGAGTTTTCGAACGTATAACGAGGTCCGCTGGAGTAGTGAAATTGATTATTATCTCAAGCAGGGAAAGATAAAGAATCTTCAGGATCTCTTTGCTTCAGGACAGCTCTCCTCGCTCTTCCGCCAGCAGGGTAGCGGACGAAGTCTACTTCATGTAAGTAACATATTCGTTCAGGGTGAATCAAATCACTTGGCTTATCGTACTGACTTGTTGGTATGCGATCTGCGTTGATAGAAATGAACGAGTGGTTGAGTGTCTCCTGGACCAAGGAGTGGACCCGTCCATCGAAGGTGGATTGTCCATATTGAGAACACCTCTTCGTGACGTCTTAAGAATTGGGAAACAAGCAGCATCTAATAGACTCTATCCACTTTTACCATACCTACGCCCTATACTCCGTCATTCACAAGACCTCATCTATGAAAACGCCCAAGAAGCAGTCGATGGGATATTATCCGAGTTTCATGGCACCTCAGAAGAATTCATTTTTTTGCAACAACATTGCTGTCCTATGTTTTATCAAATGCCACGGTGGGCGCGGATAACGGTGGCAGCTCAGATCATTTTTGACGCTGACTTTTCCTATTACGCCGAAGAAGCAAATAATACCCCTGACTTGATTAAAACGGTCCTCGGCAAAGACATAATATCAGAAGCCCAAGACTTCCAGACAAAGTGTACTTTACCTTTGGTCTCAAAAGAAACAACCTTGATTCACTGCGTCGCGAAAAAGCTAGGAAACAGTCAGCGCTTCCTACAAATGTGCTGCCGAAGGAATTTGGTTAACTACAGTGGATACAAAACATTCTCTCGCCCTGCTAGAACCGACTGTCACACAAAATGGCAAGCTATCTGCAAGTCATGGAATAGATTGTTTTTTGACTTTCTGCAGGATGGGATGGACGTCCATCAAATTGTCGATGGCAAAACTGTATTTCTCTCGTTTTTGGATGGTTATCTGGCTTCTCAGGTATCTCTCCCGCAGTTCAATGAAGTTCCGTGGCTTGACCTGGATAAATTCCAGGTGGGTATTCGAGCCTGGTTGAAGGATATGAGAGCCGCAGGTCTGAATTTGGAAATGTTGGGAGCAAACGAATGGCGCATTTGGAGAAGCGGAAATATCCAAAGGGAATTTAACGGGGGATTACAGCGGGTGATTGGCATAGCTTACGGCCCAAATCCAGAAGACTGGTACTTATGGCTATCGGAACCATCTGATTCTTTTGTAAGGGATTTCTGGACTTTAGTCGCCCGACCAGCTGAGAAAATGCCTGGGAAGTGGCCAGGCGAATAGCTTTAATGACCATACTTGAGGGAGGAATTTCACTTGCAGCTGACAGATTGAAGAGGATAGATTGCCTTGTCCACTAAAATAGACAGCCAGGTGACCTAACACGAGAAATTTGTCTAATCGCAAGCAAGAAAACGCCAAGCACCGCCCAACGCCAATACTCTTCATTCTATATCGCCTCAAAAACGGGTATCGCTTTTTTCACGTTTTCAGCCCATTTACCAAATATAATCTACGAAACTTCGGGCAATTCCGGGTTCTCATCCCTTGCCGACGAGGAACTCTGGGCTTTGATCCTTATAGATATGCTCAAGGCCAAAGCCATCTGACAACGCTACATTGCCTGCTTGCCGGAATGCATCTTGGAGAGTATAATCGGATACCATTGATGCGAACCACTCACCGTATTATTTGACGGCTACGTCTCTGTACCCTTGGATATTCAGCAGATACAGTAGTGGATACAGCTTGGTAGTGCCGTCTTCCCATTTGGATTCCTGGAGCAATAGTAGAGTATCTTGTCGAAGTCAGCGTGTTGTACTGAGCTCATTGTTGAGCAGTACAGCTGGGGAAGGGCTACAGCAGATCATTATCCAGGGGTAGGCGCATCTTGCGAATCCTGCTCCCATGGTTCAAGTTCCTGGGGCTGAGAGATATAGTCAGCGTGATATGCGCTGCTGCTCGTATCCACACGCGATCGGATCTCTAAAAACCTAAACCTGCGTCAGCTTACATTGGCGGTTCCAGCTTTGATTAGGCACCATGAGCGAATCAAAACGGGAGGAGCGAGCAGGATTCATGGGGCAACACAAACAAGAAATTTATAATAACCATATTTCGCTGCCAGAGTTAGTCCTCTACAGCAGCGATACAGCCTTCGTCACGTAAAAGAGTGAATGAAGACAGTAGACGAAGGATTCCCAGGAGCATGTAGTCTAATCGATAATGTAGTCAATCAATAGGGTTCAATGTGATGCAATGAATAGCAGCAAGCGTCCAGGACGGAATATCGAATTGTTCCGGAAGGGAATGCCAAGACCTGGCATAGGAAATCCGGTCGGTAGGTAGCAGCCAATCACGCGGCCCGCGGCCAGTCCCTCATACCTCTTAGTACTACAAGTAGGCAGGCTACTGTAGCCCAGGGCTCAGCACATACGTGCTTCGCAATCATCTACTCAACGTATAATACTTACTCAAACGTTGCTAGTAATTGAGACATAGAATTTAGATATCCTGGGGGGAGAACCCCCAGATCCCCCCTCTGTCTTACTATTCCTTAATGATGCAAAGAATCTAGATGGAATGGCAGATACCCTCCCAAGCAGAAGGTTCTACTGAAAATGTCACAAAAGATCAGCCATCACCCTTGTCAATGCCTCATCCTCTGCCGCCAACTCGCCGCCCAACCCCTCCGCCAACACGGCCACGCCCTCCCCACCCGCTTGCACCCTCGGATCAAAGTACAGCCCACCCGCCATCTCAAAGAAAGTCGTCAGATCCTCGCACCCGTTATCCCCGGCGGGCGCAGGATCCGTCGATGTCGCGGCCAACGACCACAGTCCATTTGACGAGCTCGGCATGGGTTGAGGGTGCGGTTGCGGTCGCGTCAGGCCTCCTGTGGCTGTTTGCGAGGGGTGGATGGTGTACCCTTGTGCATATTTGCCTGGAATCTCTCTGCGGGCGTCTGGGGACTGGTGGGGCCTCGCCTCCTTCCCCAGGTTCAAGCGGATAACCTTCAAGCTGCGAATGATCTTCTGCAGGCGACGTGAGGTGCGGGCTCTCGTCGACGAGCGACGGACCATCTCGACCGCTTTGTAGAATTCCGGACGACACACCTGGGAGAACCGCGCGGGGCCGTGCAGCACCGCTAAGAACAGCGCGGCCAGGGCCGAAATGAGGAAGTAGTTGAACGGCTCCGGGCGCTGGTAGTAGATCTCCGACACACGACTAAAATAGTCCAGCATGTGGACGGTGCTCTTGGCCGTCTCGACGGCGATGGAGGCGCCCGCGACGCTGTCTTCGATGCTCTCGCCGCTCAGCAGGTACTGGCGGTAGACGAGGATGCGCAGCTGATTGGCCTGCAGCGCCAGCAGGACCTGAAGGGTCATCATGCTGTCCGCGTGGGTCGGCGAGTCGCCGCGCGCCGTGGAGCGGTGGGCCGGGTCGAAGCGCAGCTCCGGTGGGATGGACTGGATCCATTGCTGCACCTGGAAGTCGAGGTAGGCACAGTAATCGGTGGTGGCGGCGCGGGGCCGCGTGCGCCAGCCCACAACTAACCCCCAGATCTTGGAGCTCAGACGCGCGTAGGAGATCATGCACGTCAGGTACGGGGTGGTCGTGCCGGGCTCGGGCAGGTTGGTGTCCATGTCGGCGTCCTGGATGGCGAAGGGGAGCCCCGTGCCGAACGACCACTTGCGGTCCAGCACGTAGATGCACCAGAACAGGCGGCTGGCCCAGGTGCGGTGCAGCTCCCCGGGAAATACACCTCCGGTCTTTTGCCAGGTCTCCTGGCAGTGTAGGCCGAGTTGCATGGAGCCGCGCACGGCGAGTCCGATTGTGCGCCAGGCGATGACTTCGTCGTCGCGGTAGGAGTGGAAGATTGACTGCCCCAATGCCAGTATCAGCATACCCTGCCGTAGCATTCTCGAGGGAAATCAAGTAACTCACGAGTAAAGCCAAAATCAACAACTCCTTCATATCGACCTCCGGCACCTTCATGCGCATCCCGAACTGATCCTCCACGCGATCAGCCAACAGCGCCGCGCGCTCACTCCTTCCATGCGACTCCGCCAACAGCGCCGTGGCCAGAAGAATCTTCAACACCTCCGCGTCGCGCGCAAAGAACCAATCATCCTCCGCACCGCCTCCTACCCCAAGAGCCGGCGACTTCGACAGCCCATCGTCGCGATAGTAATCCACCACATACGCGCGAACGCTATCCAGATCCACGCACGGGTAGATCAGCCCCACTGTATGCTCGTAGACCGTCACCAGCCGTAACGCCTCCGTCAAGCCCAGACACCGTAGCGGATCGCCCTCGCCATCAGCAACGGGGATGGGACTCGGCGCGGCGGTGGATCCTAGATCCTCATCTTCATCCTCATCCTCGATTTCAACCTCGCCCCCATGCGGCCGCTTTCCGTCTGCAATCCCAAACTCCGCACTGGTCGGACCAATATACGTCGGCGATTTAGGTCGGTTCATGATCCGATGAAGGCCCGCGCTGGCCGAGGTGGAGGAGATGGTCGAGACGGCGGTGGGGATGTGATTGGCGGGGGTTGTCACGGCAGGACCACCACCAGCACCACTACTAGCAGCAGCTCCCCCAGTGCCCTGCCCCTGCCCTTGCTCCTGCCCCTCCAAAACCCTCATCCTCCCCACCAAAGCCCGCATCTCCCGCTGCAGCGCCTCAATCTGTGCATCCACCGTGCGCAACCGCGTCGACAGGATCCTACCCGAGTCAGCATCAGCAACCCGCAACCACCCCCCAAACCAAACAATCCACCCACCGATCCGTAATACCATCCTCCTCCCTGGGCCTTGGCGTATTCGGCAACGAAGTATACGCCCCCGTCCCAGACCCAATAACATGCATCGAATGAGCTGCATGCAAGGATGGCACCGCATGCACGGCGTGCACGCTGGGCGTATAGATGCAGCGCACCTGGTCGCGCGTGCAGCGCGAGCAGACGGTCTCACCGCTGCATTTGAGTTTGCGGCGTTTACACTCGTTGCTATCCTTTAATTAGCCATAGTCTGGTATGGTTTGATTTGTGGGGAACTGGAAGAGGTGAGGGGTGAGAGGTGCAGTGGCTGTGATGGCATAGTAAGGAAGAGTGGAAGGGTGTGCTCAGTTTCGTGTGCGCGTTAGGGGCGAGGCAAGCAAGTATGCGTATGTGTTATGCAGTAAAGTACATGCTACCCCAACCAACCCCTTGGTCAACAGGAAAAAAGAACCAGAAAATCAAAAGCAAAGAAAGGGAAAGAAGAAACGCACCAAGCAACCGACGTATATTTAGCCCGCTTCTTACTCCGAGGGGGTTCCGGGGACTGTTGGCTGTGGTCTTTCCTTTCTCCCACCCCTCCTCCTCCTGCTGCTTCTCCTCCTCGGTCTAGTTCTCGCTTAGCATGCTGGTGCTGCTGGTGCTGCTGGTGCTGCTCGGTATCCATCAGATGGCTCAAGCCCTTCCCAGCAGTATCTATTTCGCTATCACGCTGTAGCGTTGATCACACAAAACCCAAAACGAAGATACCGAATTCCGAGTAGTATGCAGCAGGGTCTTGCATGCAATCTAGATGAAAAGTGTTAGGGTGTGGAAGAAAAGTTCGGAAAGCGATTCGGGGCGCGGGCGACGGGACCGCGGAATGGAAATTTTGCCTGCCCGCCCTCATTCCGAGCAAATCCGAGGCAGGCGGGAGAGCTGCTTCATTTGCCTTCTTTTTTATGCCGCAAAAAAACGAGGATCAATTTAAGTTGCTCACAATTATCGAGACTCTAGGCAGCGATCTTATCTCAGCCCTGCGTGCTTCACCCTGCTTTAATCGACACTACTAGCTACGTACTAGGAAACCTCTTGGAAACGTGCCAGTAAACCCATTTAATTAAATACACAAATGCAATATATATACAGTACGTATCATAAATCATGCACACCCCGCCCTAAATGTGAGCCTTGCGGCAACATTCCTTATCCACAATGCGCGACGAGACATTGCGGTCCGAGGGCACGTCCAGCGAGGGGTTGGCTGTGAAAAAGTCCGCAGGGCGGATCATCAGCTGGAAAATCTCGACCGGCCTGTCACTCGTTAGTATTCACAATCCCCCAAAATGTTTAGATCAAACTTACATCACGGGCCAGTCCTCAACGCGTGGGTTGTGGGTGATGCCAAACGTGCTCCAGACCACCACATCGGTGTCCTTGACCGAGTCGCCCCGCTTGACCGCGTCGGAAACACCCTCGATCTCCTCCTGACTCTGCAGAGTGTACCGGCCTCCAGCGTACAGCTCTCCATCTCGGTACTTGGTGATCCAGACGTGGTGCTGAGCGAATTGCGCCCGCCGAGCCTGGATCGAGTTCGGGTCCGCCAACAGCCGCTGCGTCGCCAGAGGGATGAACTTGTAGCCCACCGGCTTCTGGCTGATGGGGTTGATCTTGTGAGGGTTGACCATCTTGATCGTGCGGTTCAGGTCTGGAGCTGCGTCCAGCCAGCCCGCCCGCTCCACCGTCTCGTTGGTGACTTTGTAGTAGTTACCCATGGGGTTGGTGGCCTCGTTCATGGGCACCGGGTGCGACTCCTCGACCTGCACCGAGTTGTTGTTTCCGTCAATGGCCGGGTCGATGCGGACACAGAAAATGTGCTGGTGATTCTGCGCCAACACACCGCCGCTGACCACGTTACCGTAGTCGCTCGTCTTGCCAGCATCGATGTTCACCACATTCAGGATACCCGTCGCGCGTGATTCGACGGTGATGCCGCCGGACTGGTCGAACTTGTAGGCGAAGATATACTCGTAGTTGGCCAGCGTGATGATGAACTGCACCACCAGCTCGCGGTGACGGGTGACCACAGCGCGGCCCGTGCGCCAGTTGGAGTGCTTCCAGCCGATGCCATTGTCCTGCTCGTGCAAGCAAATGGCATTGGGCAGCTTCTGCGCCTTACCATCCGCACCAGTCATGACCGCATCGAAGTACTTGATCACACCCAGACAGTCGCAGCCAATGGAAAGGTTGTTGGCCATGTTGCCACCACCACCGTCGCCAAAGTCGAAGGCCTGTTTGCGGTGGAAGGGAGGTCTGGGATCGGCATACGGTACAGTCTATCGCAGTCAGCATGTGGAAAATCTTCAGCTTCCAGCCAATCGACTCACCATCTCACTGATACTCAGACGGTGCATAACGCTGCGACCATCGTACCAGACATCGTGAATGGTGGCACCCTCGCGAGGATTAAAGGCGACGCGGAACCGCCACTTCTGCCACTCGACCAATGACTCGTTGGTGATCTTGAAAGAAGGGCCCTCCGGCTGCACCACATTCAACGGCTTGAGGTCCTTGCGCATGCCGCCAGGGACCAGCTCTGGCACGTAGTCGGAATCCTTGCAGTGGCCGATGATGTCACGCTTGAAAGTCTGTTGGGTGAGGCCGTCGCCCTTGCCACCAGTGGCCGGACGATCGACCCGGATGATCTCCTGGGTCAGTGCATCCATCACCGGAATCAAAGGCAGCGGGTAGGAGTAGAAATTGGCATCGGGGTTGTTCGTGCTCTTGTTGGTCGCAAAGCACAATCCCTGGAAGTAGCGGCGCGGCTCATCGGTGTAGTCCAATCCACCATAGGGCCAGGGCTCGATTGTCACCTCGAAGCCAGCAGGCAGATCGAAGTCCTCGAGGGCTTTCTGGAAGAGAGGGGAAGCAAAACAACGCTCGACAAGGGTATCGAATTCGCTCCTGGCAACAAAAGGCGGTTAGCATGGCCCACCAGCAGGACAACCGAAAAGAGTCTTACAAAGTCAACGAGGCATGGTGCTTCTTGCCCACAATCTTGTGCTTGATCCGCTGACGCGCACCAACGTCCACGACAGACTCGTTGAAGGAAGGAATGTGATCGGAACCGATGACATCGTACTGGCACAAGGCCAGACGAGCCGGACGAGGAGAGGTCGGGCTCAAGCGACCGGAGTGTTCGAGGGCGAGGAATTCCAGCAGCTCAGCCTTGGGGGGTTCCGATAAGTAGATCTCCCGGAAATCAATGACTGTGTTGGGGTGTTGGGCAAGAATGACATCGCGGGCGATGTTGGTCTCCTCCTCGGAGAGGATGGCTAAAGGATGGGGAGTAAAGACCATGATGTGAGATATGTGTGATGAAGAAGACGGAAGAGGGTGAGTGAGAAGAGGAAGCGAAAGGGAAGCTCGAGACAGCAGAGAATGCGGGGAAGCTGAAGGGATTTATGAATTGTAGAAGTACTTCTTGCCGGCGCATCTCCTTCCCAGTTCGGAACCCGCTGTGAGACCTTCAGTGCAGTGAAATGCACTCCACTTGCACTACACTGCATCGGAACCTCGGAAATGGCGGAATGTCAGCCAATAGTCGGCGGAACCGCACCGTGCTATACTGACTGGTCCGATGTCGCCTGCCAAAGGCGATAAGCGAACCACAGCAGACGATAAGATATGCAATGCACCGCGCAACTTTGTCCCCTTCCAGTAAAGTGGCAAGTGGCGCGCAGTGCGATACGTTCTTACCCCCCGTCCCTTCCCGATTAACCCCTCGAAATTGGTCAATTCGTCAGACAAATTGATTGATTAGTGTGCTAGTGTGCGGTAGGTATCAAATTAAATTATCGTAAGATGTACATGTGCAGTGCTGAGGTATCAGTTCATATCTACATTCGTCAAAGCCGTGAGAAACCCCATCCCAGAAAAGTCCCAACGCCGTTGCCTCCCTGATAAGATTCTCTCCCGCCATTCAAAACTTGCGCGTCGTGCTTGGCTTCACCCACAGTGGCTTCTCGCACTGATGGGTGTTGCGCCAGTGCTGGATTTTCTCCAGGTCCCATCCCGAGGACAGCCGGGTGTTGGCATCCCCCAACAACTTCTTCGCCCCCAGTCGCACAGTCCGCACGAAGACGCAGTGTCCGGTCGAGTCATACGTGAAGCTGAGACACTCCGGGTGATCGTGGCACGCAGCCCGACACGCATCGAAGGAGGCATGGCCGGGGGACTCGGGAGGCTCCTGCCAGCCACCCCAATCGCCGTTATCCCAGTCGAGACGTTCATCGAAGGTGCCCAGTTTCAGGTACTCGAGCAAGTCGGAATACAGGAGAGGTTCCTATCAGGCAGAAATTAGCCAAGATTTCAATCGAGGAGGAGGCGCATACGTACACTGCGATCGCGTTGATTTTCGAAGTGCATCAACCCAGCCATGTCCGAAATCAGGGTCTTGTGCATGCTGATGACGGGCTGGCACCAGTGCACATCATCGAACGGGATGCCATGCAAAGGATGGGGGTTGAACATGGGCCAGAATCCCGAGAGCTCGACACCCTTCTCATGCAGAGCCCAGCCGAGGATCGAATCCCCACAACAGTCCGCCTTGACCAAATCTTCATATTGCTCGCTGAGGGGCGGCTGTGTATACTCTCCGTGTGCTCCAGTCTCTCGTGCCACCAACTTCTTCACCGCCGCCGTGGAAAGAACGAAGCCGGATCCGCCGTAGGCGAAGTAGGATATTTCGTCGTGGTCCAGTGGTCGGCCTGGGGACGGGGATCCCATATACAACGGAACGGAGGGGTTGAACTGGTCGAGCAGACGGAACATGTTGTCCCAGACGACATAGGTGTCGGACTCGATGAAGACAAACCAGTCGGCGGTCGGGTTGATCTCATGCGCCCGCTCCACCATGGGCAGGAACTTGAACCGGTCGAGTCGCCACCCCTGGGGACCAGCCACCGACTTCAGTCTGCCATTCTGCAGTGTATCGTACGCCTCAAAGTCGGACACGTTCGCTCGGAAAGACTCGGGTAACGTGGCCAACACGTCGTGCACATGGTGGCCTTGCAGCTCCGACTCCCGGTCGGAAACCACAATCAGGTTGGAAATACACCGCGTGACGGTCGACAGATGAGCGTTAACGCGATCCTGCGGCTCCGAAGCGCCAATCTTCAGGACGATCTGAATGCGCGAGAGCAGATAGGTCGGGAACGAATCGCAGATATGGTCGTCGTCGACTTTGTAGTTCTGTGTGCGCGAGAAGCGTGTCGTAGTCTCCCAATCCCAGTATCCGGGCTCTTTGTGATGACGATCCAGGCGATAGAGCGATCTCGGATCGAAGGGACCGTTTCCCAGCTCGACTTTGAAAATGGAGGCGCCAATGACGAAGAGTAGGATCAGAGCGAGGAGGTTGGCGGGTTTGCGGGCAAACATTGTCGGGTAAGGGCGCCGTCGGTGGCCGGTTTCTCGCCCCATGGCGAGATTTGTGTTTATGTTCGGGGACGAGCGCGGGGAAGAGGTGCTGATTAGATTTTAGGACTCGCTAATAATGCTCGAAGATGTCAGGAAGACATGGCAGTGCAAGAAGTCAAGGCAGGGTGCATGCGACGATCGAGTGGAGACGGGCTGCGGCGCTGAAAAATGACGACAGTCGGGGAAAAGAAAGGCGGGCCAGTCCCAAATCGAACGGAAAGTGATAGGCGGCCAGGCAAGCGATGGGCAGGCGATGGGAGAGAGTTTATGTTCTCTCTGCAACGCGGCCCAGAGGCGTTGATAGTGGAGAGGGGGAGGAGGACCCTGGGTCAGTTTGGTCCCAGCCGGTAATGAAGGTTAATATCAAGTTATCAACAAAGAGATCCACCCGGGCTGAAGTCCGGCAAACCGGCGTGGCAAACCAGAGTTGCTGATCTGCTGCCATTTCCACGCTATATTTAGTCGACTGTGAATATCAGGGATACTTTCGTGCTCGGTTGTGTCTGGTGACCAGCCCCCCCAGATATGAGTTGGTTGAGTGTATGGTGGGAAGCTAGACGAAAGGTGCGTTGGTGTGAGTGGATAGTGGCTGATGATGATGAGGGAAGACAACAGCCGAGAGTGAGTGTCAGTGTGGGTGTGGGTGTGCGTGTAAAATGGAAGACGGCAGAAACCCACCGCCAGGCCAAGGTCGATCGGTGCAGAGCCAAGAAAATACACTGATTGGTTGGCTAGCATCCACCGGTAGAGCCACTTTTCTGTTGGCAGCCAATCTCTAGCGGTCTGCAATCTGAAGGTGAGATTGCGACAATCGCAAATGACGAATCCCTGGCTTGTCGCTTTCCACGGTTCACCCCCAGTCAAGGGGCTTTTCAGTTGGCAACTTGGAGACCTGCACCATCCCATTGTAATCGTCATTGTAATCTTCTGCTTAGAACTGATTTTATGGCAGTTTTCAGTTCCCAAGTCCCCCTCCCCCCCCCAAAAAAAACCTCCAACTGCCACCGTGGATCCTGCACCTGGATGGCTTCCGTTTACCCTGAATGGCGCTTTCAACATTCACAATCAACCGTCCTGCGGAAAGGGGGTCATGGCAAGCAAATTGAGGTGATAAGATTACAGGGGAGGCCGACGCGATCTGGATCCGCATCGAACAATCCCTGCCTGCTGTCACTTCCAATTCTGGGCCTCCTCTCCGAACGAGCGAGCCTAATTAATTTATTCTTAGATCACTGCAACCCTCGTTTCCTTCCAGTTCCACCTGTCTCTCCCTACAACGGGAAAACCCCTCCCAATCCCCCTTCCCATCGAACTCCCGCGTTGCAGAAAGGTGGAGAATGAAACAGTCCCTGTCTGAAGCAATGAGCATCGCACAGAGCAAAGGGCAAAAGAGGTGGGACACATGTTAGAGATCTGACATGTACTTGTACTCAAGTAGAAAGATATAATTACACTCCCGCCGGAGGCAAGAAGGAAAAAGCCCTCACGGGTCTTAATTACCCCTTTTTCGTCCCATGATGCCCGTCTATGTCCGGCGCATCTAGCTCATTGCTGCATCCAATCCGCAACCGCTCTGATACAATAGTGCATTACCCTCTCACCCGACAAGTGCTTTCTACTGTTCCTTTCGTGACAAGAAGTAATCTCTACGCAATCCAGGGTCTTCTCGAAATAATTTCGGCGTTACGCAACACAGAAGACTGTCTCGTAATTTGGAAGCCACGCCCTTCAGTTCTCTCGTCAGTAACTAAGCTTGTTCAACTAGAAGTGCAAGATGTACATACCTTCTGTCCATGATGTTCTCGAATGCCCTGTCCGATGGGTTTGATCAAATAGATCGTGGAAAGGGGTGGTGCGCCAGGTGGAATTGCGCGAGCCATACAAAACCATTGGTCGGTCGCATTTCAACTGCTGGCGCATAAGAGCCTCCGCCTAAACCCTACTAGACGCTCGTAAGCACTAAAGGTAGGAAGTGCGCAGGAAGTCCGCGCCGTCTGCACCGACAGTCGGGGTAGTACCCAACTTGGGTCCAAGGGAAGAAACATTCGACCAGTCAGCGCACGCTGGCCACATTGTAGCAAACACTGACAATGACCCAAAGGCACCGGTCGGATGCGTAGTAAGAGCTCTTGGTAGGCTCTCGAGGCTTCACTGGCTTTCCGGCGGTGGCCGGAAGTTGAGTGTTGTTGCGCAACTAGGCAAAAACCGCACCGCACTAGAGAGCAGCACACCGCGATCCCGCCATCAATCCTTTTCCAGTAAGCGCCTGGTCGGACAAACGATGGGCTGGCTCCGCAAAGCAGCAGAACAAACGCTGAGAATCCGCGCACTTCTCCGACACCCCGACGAGCGAAACTCAGTGACCGAGGGACGACTCGGATCCCGTGTATCCTTAGATGGCAAAATCGTCAAGGTAGACATCCTGTTGTTCTTCTCCCCAGGATACCGGTGATATCGCAGAGGAAGAAGTATGAAAGTTTGGAACTCTGGAATTATGCGAAGTCAACGACGGAGACGCTTTAAAAGTCGTCAGTTGCTGACAGCTAGGGGCAGGATTGGCCCCCAACATGCCAGCCATAAACTGGGCCCACCCGCCCTCCAGTGCTATGCTGCTCAAGGAGTATGGTCGTGAGTTGCTATGAGAAAAATTCCACATCCTGAGTTGGGGGATAGCAAGTCGATAGACCTGCTTTAGCTTCGGATCCATCTCGCGACCAGCCACTCCAAACCGAGAGGAAGAATATGCCGTGGTCAAGATAGTAGCTTAAAGAACTATCTGTTAGCGGGGCTGGTCGAATTGCCACTTCCATTGGAGTGCCAGGTGAGCGCATGAAATCGATCATACGTCGCTAAACACTCGGTCGGCGTAGCTAGTTTTAGCGGCTGCAGCACAGGATTGGCGTTCAGTTCTGTGGGGTTTGTAGAACGAAATCTGTGTTTTAGCCCTATACAGTCTTCGAATAGCTTCAGCTGTCCATGTCATCGACGTTGGTTTGAGTGTCATTGCGGATAGAATTCTTGCTCCTGGCGCTGCTGAACGGCGTTCCAGAGATCCCGAGCCATCGTGTCTGCTGGCTGGTAAATGAAACAGAAGCCTTCCAGCAAAACCAATGCGGCATCCCAGTTGTACACGGCCAGTTGGCCGGCGGTGATGGAGAGGTAGGTCTTGAACCATGCGGATGATTGGTGGTCCACTGAGGCGAGGCCTCCCACAAACAGAATCCAAAATAGGAGATCCGGCGCCGTTCTCTGCAGGAGGTGGAGTGTCGTGTATAGACTGTGCTGTAGCTCTTCAGACACGAATCTCATGCATGGCAACCCTTGAAAGGTCCAAAGTCGCAGCGCAAGGTAGATCCGCATCGCAATGCGCAGCGTATCCTGAAAGTCCGACGGGGTGAGAACGTAGGTCGTGGCGAGAAGCTCATATGCAGTCAGGAGGGCGAAGTTGTTCTCCGATGATTTTGACAAGGACGACTGCGCGTAGTTGTAGTGCACCATTAAGTGTCGAAAGTGTTGGAGAAGAAGCCTGAGGCTGGGGTCCAGTGCCGCAGACCAGGGCGAGGCGAAGAAGCGGTTACCAAAATATGAGTGGCCTCGAAAATCATCCTCGGACTTGACAGCGAAGACCTCTTGGAGGACTCTCTGCTTCCAATCTTCGGACATGGGGAATGCTGGTTCCGAGCTGGTGAGAAGTCCATACACATGTACCGCACTTGAGTCGGGTAAAGTCAGCAATACGGTCAGGTTCCACAACAGGAAGCCTTACGAATAGAAAAGCGAGACCATCGCATGGTCCAGGCCCTCAATACCACCAAGTAGATCGACCAGTTTCTTGAGCCCTTGAACATGAGCGTCAGCAGCCTGTCGGTTTCCGTCGGCCGCCTAGATAACTAAGAATCAGTAGCGTTCCGGATAAGGGCCATCAAGACTGACCTCAACACATATTAAGGGAGCCACGACAAACGCGGTCGTCTCCAGAGCAGCGGTTTCCGACTCGTTCAGAATCTGGCGCACAAACTCATATGCCTTGACGCGAAAGAGAAGGGCGTGCTGGGCGGACTGCTGGGCGGCTACCGAGACGCCGCCTGCAACCGTTTCAGACGCGGACTTGTGGATGGCACTGGTGGTGAGAAGGATGAACAGGAATGCGGGCTGATTCATGGCCTGTTGCCACCACCAGAGACACAGCTCCTCTGAGCCAAAGGGAAAACATGTGCGTGCACAAGAAGTGGAGACTTGCGGTAGTTAGGAAACCTCCATTCCATTTGGTGTGTGAGCAGGAGACATACAGTGGTAAAAGTACGGTTGCAGACTGTCGCGTAAGGAAGCTGGGAGCGACAAAATGGCATCCAGACTCCCTCCTTGCAGGGTTGGTTTCAGAAAGGTATCGTAAGGTAGACGAAGAGAGAGCAGAGCCTTGTCATCCGAGGCGGGAGTGGAAGAGTCGCTCAAGTCGGAGGTGGCAGGCGATATTGGTCGGCCTGACTGGAAGCGCGGCAGGGTGACTGTCAACTTCTGCATAGATTCCTCGGATGGGGACCGATAATCCTCGTTTTTGATGAAGACGGGTTGCTCCTGATCCTGGGGAACGAGTTGCGGTTTGTCTACATGATTCACTAAGAGGAAGGGTGGCGGTTGTTGCTGATGAGGATGAAGAGGCAGATAGTAGGGAGGAGGTGGCCTCCGGCCGATGGTCTGCTGAGGCTGAGTAGCCGGAGTCGCAGAGGATGAAGCAGGAGGGGATAAATGGTTCCCATCCATGATTTGGTGGTGAGGGAGGCTGTGAACAAAGTCCATCAGTCCGTCAGTCCATCAATCCATTCAAGCATCCAAGAAGGCCTGCCATCGTTCGTTGCTTTCTTTTCCTTTGCTTATCATGCACCACGTGACTACCCACCATACCGTACCATACCAGATCGAGGCAGATTGGGGCGGGGTTCGTTGTAGAGTGCGAGTGCAGTCAGTCAGTCAGTACGGAGTATTCGGACTGGAGTTGGAATCGTCCGGCCCGTTCCTCACCTTCACCCACCTTCACCCGCCAACTGTGCCCGGCGCCCGCAGTACTCAGTTCCACTTCCCTTTCCCTTTCCCTTTCCTTCTTTCTCCCTTCCCTCTCTCTTCTACCCTCTTCCATTCACCACCCCATGCATGGTCCGTGGGTAAACTAGCGTTCATCGCTAACAGCCGTTGATATTCATCTCCAAGACCTAGCCTATCTGATATCCTACATCATGGACGTGCGAGATCCGATCTCCATCCCCTCGGCTACCGCCATGCCCACGTGGGGAATCGCGGTTTGGGAGTGGCAGCTCACCATCGATCCCCGCAACGCGCGCAACCTCCACCCTCAGAATCCGACCCCTTGGTGAACTCCCTCGCCAAGAGCCGCCTGCTGAAGGGCTCTGAAGGACTCTGGTGGACGTGCTATAAGAAGCTACCATTTGCGCCCGTATCGACAGCGTGGCCATGTCTATCAGCATTTATGAAGGCCTCAGCGACATGATCTCCCTTCTGTTTACCCTCTTGACCTCCTCGGTCGCGGCGCGCGACACTTTCTATCCACCACTCAATCACACCACCTTCATAACCAATACCTCGCTGGGAACCTATGGGGGTATCTACTCCGCGCCCGCCGATCAGGCCAGTCCGCCGTCTGCTGAGGAGGTCTACAATTATTGCTCAATGCCCCACCCCCGAGCCGACACCTACACTTTACCACCTCCCATCGCCAATGGGTCCGTGTCCGGTCGCTTGGTCTACCTCGAATACTTGCAGCGACATCAACGCAGGACTCCCTACAATATTCTTCCGGGCGGCGAGGTCGGTACCTCCATCTTGATACTTCCAGGTGCAGCAGTCAACTGACTCAGTGCAGAACCAAGCATACAACTGCAACAACGTGCAGCCCTTCCTGTACCTTGCGCCGACGTCCGGAAACCCCTCGCCACTTTCCGTTTACGCGCAGTCATACTCCGATCCGACGAACCCGTTCTTAGACAGCTATGTCAATGGGTCCTGCCAATATCCACAACTCACAGTCGGAGGCTTCTTGGACGGTTATCAACACGGTCGCAATCTTCGGGAAGTGTACCTGGAGCAATTACAGCTCATCCCGTCGGCTCCGAACGAGGATAATGGCAGAAAGGTGTGGCTCCGCAGCAGTAGCTCCGCCCTGACGCAGGAATCTGCGGGCGGAGTGCTGAGAGGAATGTGGCCTGATTACCATGGGTCTTTGCCGCTGCACCAGCAGGCCTCCAGCATTGACACAGTCGACCAGGGGTTCTCTTGTTCCGCACGGAGCGACCTGCTGTCCGCCATTGAATCCACCCCGGTGTGGGAAGAGCATCTGTCGGTTACGGCGTCGCTTCGCACCAAGCTAGCCGACATGTTCGATGCCAACACTTCGAGCTGGACCTCCACCTTCGATCACTTTGCCGACAACTTCCAAGGCCGACTGTGCAACGGCTACCAACTACCATGTAGCCTTCAGAATGAGTCCCAGTGCGTGACCCAACAGCAGGCGGACGAGGTTTTTCGGGCTGGTGACTGGGAGTGGAACTACTGGTGGAGACACAATGCCAACGCCACACGGTACATTCAGCTTGTGGAGGGGCTGTTCATTGGCGAGATTGTGCAACACCTGGAAGCGGTGGCTACAGGCAGCTCGGCTCTGGTCTACAGCCACAATTTCGTGCATGACGGGGACTTGGGGCCGGTGCTGGGTGCATTGGGAATTCGAGCGCTGCGCTGGCCGGGGATGGGATCGAACATCGCCATCGAGATTTGGTACGTCAGAGCGTTGATTCGTCTAGTGGACGAGCTTGACTTGGAAGCCGGGGCTGCAAAGCGAATGCTAACCATTAGAATAGGGAGACTGCCGACTCGGAGCACTACGCACGGGTCTTGTACAGTGGACGGGCCATCGAGACAATTCACGGCACGCTGGACTGGATCCCGCTGGCGTCTTTGATTGATATTCTAAGGCCGTTCATCCCTGACGACATCGTCTCCTTATGTGAGACGGTCTGACCTGTCATCCGATGTTGTTTTGGACGTCAGGAGTGGTAGCGAGTGTATAGTTGAACAACAAAATGTAAATGGGTTCATCTTCATCTTCGATTGCTCGGCATTTGATTGACAGGAATTTCCAGGTTTGCTATACACGAGGTTTTGTCCAGAATCGACTCAAGGTCTCACTTGAGATGACTTAGTTCAACAATCTGCTATCATTTGGTCCGAGAATTGGCAATTCTTATTCCGACAAGTCATTCCTGCAAATCAATGTACATATACTGTACTTACCGAAAGGATGTTCAGATCAAGAACCCTATAATATCACCGACAAAACTCCTAAATCGTACAATCAGGGTCTCATTAATATTACCGTCCATTATCCCAGAGATAACTCAGACCACCATAAACATCAACATCAGGAAGTAAATCATCACCACCCAACTCAAACGCAATCAAACCCAGCCCTCCTCACCCACCCACCAACCGCGCACAAACCCGCCTCAACTGCGCCCAATGCTCCGCATGCAACGACCCATACAGACAATACCCGCGGTTCTCGCGATACCTACTCGTCAGGATCCAGTCATGAACACTTAGCCCGATAACCCCCAGAGGTCAATCAAGCCGACAGCCATGCTCGCATAGAATGGCCTGGTCTCGGGGCCCGCCGCCGAAGCAGAGGCTGTACCAGGGTAGCTGGGAGGACGACGAGACGAGGGTGTTCGGGTGGTTCGGGTGCCGCAGGGCCGCCCGAAAGGGCCGCCACGGCCCCATGGCTTTGTGGGCTTGGCGGAAGAGCTGCAGGCACTCCGGGGTGCGGACTGTCTTGACGGCGTCGCGGACGCAGGACGCCAGCATCAGGAGTCGATCGTCTTCATCTTCCTCCTCCTCGTCATCGCTATCGCCAAGCATGATGGGCTTGTTTGGCTGCGCCGGGAGAGGCATCGAGACTAGCCATGAGGTGTTTTGGAGTCGCACGGGTTGGTCGAGGTGTCTGCGGAAGTTGTAGACGAATGCGATCGCTGCCGGGTGCAGGTGGGGGTATGCTTGCAGGGCGGCCTGGGTATTTTGAATAAAACCATCGTGTCAGAGGGTGATCGCGCTGTAGAGGCAAGAGGGCAGCTTCGCACCTGAGCTATGATGGCCATGACGAGGTCGTGTCGCGTCACCGCGAGCGCCTGCTGGGCTGCACGATCGCGGAGGCGATCGACTGCCGCACCGGGGATGTGCATGGCGCGCGACGCGCACGAGGCTTGTATGCCAAGGTGGCGCGGACTAGCCAGTGCCAGAGGGCAAAGATGATATTGCCGAGCCATCCGGAGGCCAAGTGCTGGGTTGCCGACTTGTGCAGCCGGCTCCCGAGCGGTTCACTCGCGTACAGCGCGCTGCTCGTCCCCTCGGGGGGCTTGAATATGAGTTTGTTCGGTCGCGGTTCTTCCACGGTTGGTTCGATGGTCTCGCCCCGCAGGATCGCGGTGTAGGCGGAGAGGATCCGGTAAAGACCTTCAGGGTCGATCGCAATTCAGCCTAGAAACATATCCCAGCGAGATAATTCAAGTAGCGAACCTACCGCTTGCGTCGCTGAAGACATGCTGGAGAATAAAGTTCAGAATACAGCCATCCCGAAAATGAACCGCTTTCACCCGAAGAACCGGCGGGAACAACAGCGAGCGGAGCGACCAACTAAACCGAAAGAGCTGCCCCAAGCGCGTATATTCGGATGGCTCAAGCTCCTGCTTCGTCATCTGGTCGAGCGAGACACAGTCCACTAGCGGTGCGTCCATCACTCGCGACTGCCAATGTCCCGCGGTGTCGGCTGATGGGCAGGACCCGGTCCGCTGCAGATTGACGCGGGCTAGAAGGACTGGCCACGCCAAGAGAAGTCGGTGGAAGGCTTCTTCCAGCTGCGAGGGGTTGAGCCGGGTCTGGAAAACCAATATTGCCTGGCATTGCAGGAAGCGGCAGGTGGCGATGTCGACGGACGAGAACCTCATGACGAGGAGGATGGTGGGTTCGGTTGAGTTGGTTGGTAAATTGAGATGATATCGCTAGAATATGGTGTGCAGACAGAAGAAAGGCTCATATACCACGCCTAGACCGGCACGAGGACTCCTCTCCAGCAGATGGGATTACAAAAGTCGAAAAGTGTGCAGATCATATGCAAACGGTCAGGATGTGTAACACCACACTCTCCGCAATGAAGCTGACATGTGCAACAGCCCATTGGCTTGTGATAGACCAATTCTTAATCTGCGCATTGCACATACTGGGATATATACAATGAGGGGTTTCTCGCAAGTAAATGCATCAAACCCGTCAAGCACAGGCCGCAAACCCCTCCTCAAGGACCCCCCAAACCTCCTGTGGCAACGTCCGATACGCACCCAACCCACCCCCAGCAACCAACTCCCCCAAACCAGCCTTCACATAACCGGCACCTCCCACACGTCCTCCCCTGCCATGCCCGTCTGCAAACCCGCACCCCAGACCTTTCGACAATAGAACGCCAACGCAAAAGGCTTTCCCGCTCGCAGAAACTCCTCGATCTGCGCGTCGACCGCTTCGATCGTCTTCGTCGCGCTCAGCGTGCGGGTCCCATGCCGCTCCGTCAGCGCGGCTGCGATCTCGTCACCGGTGGGCCGGAGTTCCGAGAGCGTGAGCGTGCGGTTTTTCAGCTGGTCGAGCGGGGTCGAGGCGAAGAGGGACGCATATGCTGCTGCTGTTACGTAGGCTCTTGTGCTATATCACAGTGTCAACCACTCCGCAGCAAATAACTGCGCGATAAGATAGAGACAGATTAAAGATTCACAGCGTGTGTGGCACTATCTCCCGTGAAGATGATTCTATTGTTGGCGTAGTCGACGCCCATTGCCCTGTTGCTCTATCAGTTCTCCCCATGAGAAAGGAACAAAGACAGAAGCTGGCATACGGCGTCGCCAACGCAAACTCGGCAATGTTGCCCACCAGCACGATCGTCATCGGGATCCCCGCTGCCTGAGTTGCGAGTTCGACGTCTTTCTTGACCTGGTTGACGGGGATGCGCAGGCCCTGGGCGTCGTAGCGGGCGGCTAGTCCAGAGGGGACGAAAAGCCGCACGGAGGTTTTGGGGATGGCGTTGATGAGGTGGTGTTGGCGGGGGACGCCTTCGTGGCCGACTAGGGATCTATATCTGTTTTAGCTGTGTACTTGCGCTTGGTTGGCGGTGTAGGTAAGATAGGGAGGGTGAACAGGCTGTGGAAGTCCTCACATCACGATGTCAATATCCTCGAGGGCAGCAACTACCGCCGCTTCGTCGGACACATCCAACTCGACGGCGCTGACATTACCGGGAAAGGTCGAGATGTCGGACCCCGGCCGGTAGAGAGCCCTAATCGGGCCGCCGGAGGAGGCGAGGGCGTGCACAATAGCCGAGCTGGCCTAGCCACGGCGGCCGTAAACAGCGATACGGCTATAGGAAATAACTAGCACGGCCTGTTGTAAAAATCAAGAATAAATTCTGGCATTTGTGTAGAGCAAAACCGGTCCTATAGACTCGGTACTGGACTTAAGCCATGTATAGATGGCCAGGCGATTTGACTTGTTTGCATATTGGTACAGTTTAGACAGTTTGACGGCTCCGCTTGGGCATGGTTCCTATATTCTCATTGGACAAAGCTGACTTGGCATCAGGGGTGGGAGGGAGTTTGCCGTGTTTGCTCTGAATGCTGCCTCTACAACATCATGCACACAGATAGGGTCTTCTGTAATCGACAAGCCTTTTTGAAGGTCTTTTTGTCAGGGCTCTAAGGGTCATCCACATCCTTCATCTAAGACGGATCTACCTTTGGGATCTCTTAAACATTACCACGTACTATAAGGTATTGCAACTATGCATAGAGGCGCAAGAAGTCGTAGTTCCCCCCTTTATTTCCGAGGCAACTTCCCAATAGCCTCAATCCTGAGCGCTGGGGGAATATACCGTTCCGGGGGAGAACCCCCGGACCCCCTTTTTTTCAACTTCCCAGTACCCGCAACCCCAGTCCAGTATAATCTCAAAGCTCACGCTCTCTACCTCTACAGGTAAGCAAATGAGGTTGAGCTATACCAGGAAGCTGAAAAGAAAGGGGGCCCGGGGGTTCTCCCCCGGAACGCTCACCAGCCGCCCATAAGCACAGTAAGATCAGCACACCTAAACCCGCTCCTGATTCCCCTCCCCCTCATCCACAGCCTTCCACCCGTTCCCATACCCCCTCCACCCGGTCCCCGCCTGCGCGACCGCAGCAACAAGAATCAAGGCACAACTCCCCAAGAACAAGCGCTGCAACGCAGCCTGATAACTCCCCACGGCGACCACCCTCTCCACGCCACTCAACCCCTTCACCAGCGCCGGACTGCCCACCAACTTCCTGACCAACTCCTTCTTCCTGTCCCCGCCAACCCCGTACTCCTGAAACCCCTCCACCAACCCGCGCCTTAACTCCCTCACAAAGAACCCCCCGCCGATCGCGGAGCCAAAACTCCCCGCAAAGCCACGGCTCATGCCCACCAACGCACCGACCAGGTAATGCACCTCCGGCACGGTGAGGTGCAGCAGATGCGAGAGGGTGTAATTCAGGAGGGCGCCCACCGCGAGACCGTGGAGGAACGTGGCCGCCACAAAACTTGGGACCGGGGAGGTCGGGGTCGCGAGGAGGGCGAGGAGGAGCGCGGCCAGCGCGAAGAGACTATAGCCCAGCAGGCTGGAGAGGTAGTAGCTCTGCGATCTGCGGATGTGTAGCCACCCCGCCAGAACGCCGCCGAGACCGAACCCCGCGTTCGTGGGGACCAGGATTAGTCCTGCGGAGGCCGGGGTCCAGTCGCGCACGACCATTGCGTAGACCGGGCTGTAGAAGAGGACGGCCCACCGGGCCATCATCGTTAGGAGGCCTGCGAGGCAGGTGAGGAACACGCTGCGCTGGCGAATGAGGTGCAGCGGGATGATGGGTTGCGTTGCGTAGTGGGACTCGATGGCTAGGAAGAGGGCGGTGGAGACTAGGAAGGCGAGGATCGGGGTTATTTGGATGGTGGAGGAGGCGAGGCTGGACAGAAGGAGGGTGACGGAGAGGGTCTGCCTCTGTTAGGGTTGCTTTGAGGATGGCGAGGGCAGGATTGGACTTACTAGGGTCAACGCGCCCGCGTAGTCGACCTGGGCGAGCTTTCGGAGTAGTGTGCGCCCGTCCTGCTCATCCTGCGCGGCCGCGGGCGGGACGGGGACGGCGAAGAACATGATCGGGGCGAGGAGGAGGGTGATCGGGGCTTGGATCCAGAAGATGAGACGCTGCGTTGCGGTCAGTAGCAGGAACGATTTCACCACGAACGCATACCCACCCATCCGTAGACTGTGGTCAGGAGGCCCGAGAGAACGGCCCCCGACGCGATCCCCGTCGTCATGGCCGCGCTGATTAGGCCCAGGAACAGCCCCCTGCGCTTCTTGCTCGTCAGATCCAGCGCCAGCACCAACGCCGTCACGCTCTGGCCGCCCGCGCCACAACCCGCGATGGCTCGTCCGACCAGAAACACGGTCAGATTCGGGGCCGCGGCGGTGACAAACAGGCCCAACGCCAACAGGCTCGAGGTGAAGAAGACGTAGACGCGGGGCGTGAAGATTTGACACAGTCGGCCGGAGAGGGGCGTAATGCTCGAGTAGGCGATCTGGTTTGTCAGCTCCGCATTGGCTTGTGGTTACGCAGCTAGATAGAGAAATTACCAGAAACACGGAACTGAACCATGTAGCCACGGAGAAGGCGTCGAACTCGGTGGCAATGGCCGATTGAGCGGTGGTCATTGCGGTGATTTGGGTGGCTGTTCGGTCAGCCTCTGTGCATCCCTGAAAGACAAGGGTGTACTGTACCTTGAATGAACAACAGCAGACCCATGGCTACCATAATCGCTGAGCCCTGGAAGACAGTTACTAGGACGCGAGGCGCATCGGGCACATCTTCTAAACGGCCCAGAAGGGGCGTCTGCTCTGAGGGGACGGATTTCTGTTGAGTAGCAGCGGTCATTGTGATTCTTGAGGACGAAATTATCGGTCCATGAGCAGATTGCGCCTCCGGGACATTTTATCGGAGAGGGGCATCTATGATGTGATCTGCGGAGAAAAATGCGGGATGGGCGGATGGGGTCTGTACTGCGTGTAACGAATAAGCATGGCTAATCCGCCCAGCAGAAACAGGCAGAGCGCGTCGCCATATCCTGGCACCGATAAGTGATCGCCGTCCAATGGCAAACGCCCCGAGTCGCTCGGATATCTGTCCCTGGGGTCGGCCCAGGCCGAGAATTGGCAGAGGGCGTTGGAGATAGCAGATCCGACGCATCCGCTTATCTGCCATCATTCTGACAGCTCAGAACCTTGCCGGGAGGGATGGCGAGTCAGCGTGCGCGAGATCATGCTGGTAATCAATATCAGCAATGATGTCAGCTTTCTGTCACTTGATATGTCTGATGTCCGATCGTGTTGTGTCAGGTCTGGCTGGACCTTGGTGCATGACGGTGGTGGAGAGCCTTGGCGCTGCGGAGAAGGTACTTTTGTGCAACCGGTGATTACACTAGATCCAGAATGTGATCGAGCCAAATTCCGGCTATGTAGATTGGGTTGATAAAGACCCTGCAGCCCGATGATCTCGTCCCTGGAGAGACAGTTGTAGGCAGACCAGTCGAGTCTGATGAGGCGGGCGAAAGGGTCAGAAGAGCGGCTTCCCGGCGGATGACTTGCTCTGGGATGCATCGTTGCACATGACCAAACGCTCAAGGGTATTAAAAGGCTGGGATTAGTAGTAGAGAAAGACTGAAGATGCTCACACATATCCAGTAGCTCTGACATGATCAACATGAAGACGATTCTCTTTTCCTTATTGTTGGTGGGTGGTATATTCTCAACTGCCACTGCGAACGCCTTGAGCAGAACAAGTAAGTGCCCTTTTTCCGACCAGCGGCATCTGCTCACAATGTAGCCCTCATGCAAAGACCCGAAGACAAGCACATCGATGCTTTTGACGCAGACAAGACCCCCATCAGAGGCCTGCAAGACTGTACGTCTCGTTCAGACCCCTTCATCCACAACAGTCGCCTAACCCACTGACCGCTGTCCCCAGCCTGCTACGTATGCTCCTCGCCCTGCTCCTCGGCCGTCTGCTGCCACGGGCGATACCCCCAATGCTGCAGCGACGGCGTCTACTGCTACTGCTGTCGAGACTAGTTTCGCTGTCGAGGTTAAGACTCAGATGTCCACAATAATAACAATAAAATTAATATCTCGGCCCTGCATGACCCCACACCATGCTAGAAACACTCCCACCCCGTCAGCCCAGACTACCCCGTACAGTATTTAGTAGCTAAGCCCACTCCGGCTCCCCGAAGCGATCCACCGGCCCGAAGGCTTGGTACAAAGGATCCAACCACCGATCCACAATCCACAGGAACCCATTCGCGGCCTCCACCTGCGTCACCAGCCCGGCATTCATCACGAAGACAGCCGCGTCCTCCTCCCCGCGGGTCACCGTGATATTCAGCCCGGTCACATCGCCGGCCACCGACAGCGAGCTCTTGCCCTTGAGCGTGCGACTGTCGAACTGCTCGCCGCCGCTATCGACCCAGCCGTACTGCCACAGCAGCGTGTCGAACGGGCTTTTATACGGCGAGACCAGCGTATCTTTACCATCATCATCAGCACTCATCTGAGTATTCATCGCAGCACCCAGCCCAGCATCCAGGAAAGTAAACTTACGAAACACAGGAAGAATGGTAGGCATCAACTCGAACGCCTCATTGCGCGGGACCACGAAGAACTGTTTCTCGGACGACTGTCGCGACAGCCGACGGATAGTGTCCGGGGAGTTGACCGACAGGATCTGCGAAGCATTGACCAGACGGGCGTCGGATTGCACGAACGCGCCGATGGTGAGATCGGTGGATTCGTACGACGGCGCCGTGGTGCGGTTGCTCGGTCCCCCGCCGTAGACCAGGAACGGGTCGATGAGCTGGTCGATCTCGTGGATCAGCCCGTTATCCGCCGGGAGGTCGGCTTTGACGATCGCGGCTTGGTCGTCGATGCGGACGGTTCCATTTGCGGACGTGGTCGCGTCGATGTAGTACCCCTGCACTGTCTTGGTGAGCACCCCCCGGTGGAATTGGGCGGTGGTGTTGGACAGCTGCAGCGCGGTCGCGATGCCTCCCACGGCGCTGTCGGCGGATACACTGGCGAGTTCGGCGGCGGTCAGGCGGGCCTCGATGATGTGCGTGCGCAGGAGGGCTTCGATGAGGGGGTAGGCTGGTTGGGTTAGGAGGATGTCGTAGATCGCCGGGGGGATCTTGGCCCATGCCTGTGAGCACCACGGATTATTGGGTTAGATTTGTAGCATGTGAGGGTCTAGAGAGGGGAGGGGGCGGTACAGCGTTGGTCGGAGCCAGGAAAGTGTAATTGCGCGTGTCGGTGTCGTAGTTAAACCGCTTCGTGAACATCGGGTTGATCTCCACGATGCCCCCCGTCATATTGTACACATGCGCGTACGTGGAGAGCTCGGGGATCTCGAGCAGGGTGTCCATCAGTGGAGCGGCCACTGCAACTTTGGTGAGGATTGCAGCTAGAGCTGCGATGGCTGGGAGGGCTAGCATCGTTTCGAGGGTGAAATCCAGTGGATCTGACAAGACGAATGAATGCTTCTAAGGGGTGCATCTACATTCGACCCACAAGTCGGACTGATCAGCAGATATAAGATCCCAATCCAGGGGTATGAGAGTCTGACTGTGGAGGGGGTATATCTTCTGCCGTCCACCATATTATTTTGTGATGGGTCTTACTGGTGGGACACATCCCCCGATGCTGCATGAGTGTACGTTGGTCACATTAGTGGCGTCCTTCTCGGAGCTTAAAGCAATCAAGAGATCTCTCCATAGAGAAGGTTACTTGGCAGGTCTTATGCGAGGTCTAAAACCGAGCGGGCCTCGGAGATAAAACTAGTTCGCCTCCACATGAAATTAGAAAAGCCTGAAGACCAAATTTATTCTCCACATGATCCACTCTCTACCTGGGTCTATTGGGCTTCTCGGCCTTGAGCAGATCGTAAGATCACCAATGGGCAGTTCGATGCAGCTGACAAAAAGCAATCATAGCAAGCATGTTACGCGTCATCTGATGCTGTCAGATATTAGTGCAGGCTCGATAAAGCAACCTCGCCCGTCTCAGCTCGCTTAGACAACACCCATCGGACTCCGGTCGCGTCCAAGCCACCAACATTACTAGAGATGCCAAAGGTCCCTGAGAGTGTTGCCTCCCAGGTTTGCAAGAAACCTGAGCAATGGTTGACTATCTATTCTTTCTCCTCAAATTCGATCTGATAGCCTTGCTGGCCCAGAAGCTTCACAGCCAGAGATCCAGCCTCTGACTCGATCATACTCTCAACCACGCTTGCGGCGCACGTCATCATTTCACCGCTGAGTACCTCTTCCTTCTCTGCCAGAATCTGGTCCAGCTGATCTGTTCCGGCAGCAGCCATGAAGAAATGACCCACAAGAAACGGCAGCTCAGTCTCATCCTCGAGGTAGTTGGCCCCATGTACCCTGCGCAGAAGGGGATCACACATGTCTCGGACCATTCGAAGTAGCCTCCAGCAGTTTCTGTGTAAGGCCAGATAATCGAACTTGAATTCCGGCGCTTCGTTATGAATCGTGTCTCGCAAGGTCTCGAGTAATTCGACGACGGTGAGTTGGCGAGCGGAGCGCTTCTTGGTGGGCAGCTTGCCTCTGCCGGTGCGAGTATCACGATGCTTTTCAACTGATCCATCTACTTCTTGATCATTATTCCATGCAGCGAACTTCGTCAGAATTGTCTCGAGATCCGATTCAGTGAATCCGCTCGGTGCCAATCCTTCACAGTGTCGACTGAAGAACATCCGCGAGACGGGGGCGACAGGCTGCATACGCCTTGGCCCGGCCTTTGATCCAGGTAGCTTAATGCTATGACGCCGGTTGCGAGCGAATGCTGCGGCGGAAAAGCCGATGTAGAGACTGTATTGCTTCAAGTACTCGCTAGGCTGACAGGGCGGGGTACCGATGAAAATCTCATTATGCCAGCTCAGGACAAGTTCCATGTCAGCCCAGTGTCTCGTCAGTAACCCTTCCTGCCGCAGAGCGTTGTAGAAATGGGCGGCGTACATAATCGCCCCCCATGTGCCCTGAAAAGCCATAGCGAAGTCCTGGAAGCGAGCCTTGACATAGTATGTCAAAATCCCACAAAACAACGGGTGCCACTTCATAAGTTTGCAGCACTCAGAGGGCCTCCAGACGTGGTACCTCTCCTTTGCGGTCTGCGTGAAGTCGGAATCCACCCACGCGGAGATGAACTCGAGAAAACGCTTGATCCGTGCGTCATATTGCTCGGGCCACGATACAATGCGGAGGTGAGCGAAGAATTCCTGGTTCAGCTCGAGCGAGCTTTGGATGCATTTCGCGGTGTTGGTGAGATCCGCAAACCCACTTTCCACGTCCCCCCCAAGGCAATGGTGAATGTCAAGAAAGATTTGGCACGCGAACACCAGCCAGAGCGGAACCTGGTGCGTGTCGAACATCTTGCGTATCCCGCGCGTGATTTCGTCTTCGTGTGGCTCCGGCTGCGGGAGGAGAAGATGTAGATACACAAATTCGGAGAGTACCTCGTTCATGACCTTATTCTCCTCCTCAAATCTGTCCCTTGCACTTTTCCGCGCCCTGTCGCTCGCCCTGTCGCAGATGGGAAAGGACTTTTCTCTGCATGGGAGAAAGCTGTGTTTGTCGACGAGAGGATGGAACGAGTTCAGGTAGACAAAGGTGGGTATAAACAGTGACTCGGCAATGTTGTAGGTTCGGAAGTTAAAAGGGTCTCCGGGCCGCTCCCGGTGCATCGGATCCTCGCCGACCATGTCAGAGATCCCCTCATAGAGACTGATCAACAGTGCGATCGATCCTCCATGTTCGTTCAGAAGGCCCTGAATTTCCTCCTCCAGATGTCGGGCGAAGTCGATGGCACAGTTTGTCATGAGGGACACCGCCACCAGATCGAACGTACGCAGTTTGTAGCCCTTCCAGGTCCGTGCGATGACGGCTCGGATCTTTCGCAGATCCTGAAGCAGCAGGCTGAAGGCAAAGAACACTTCTTCGTAGTCGTGGAGGCGCTCGGCTTCATAGTTGACCTCTGGCTTTTCGGTCGCTGGGGCGGGGATGGCAACATCCGGGGCTTGCAAAAACGCCTCGGACGGCTCATGAACTTCTAGGCCTTCGTACCGATTCGCCAGGTTGTTGGCCTTGTGGTCTGTGACGTTGTCAACCGAGGGGTCTTCTACATTTTTATCTGACATTCGAGGCTGTAGAGCCTGCCGGACGTGTTCTAGAATCCCGATGAAATACTCGTGTCGGTCCGAGGATTCTCGCGATTCGAGGTTTGTTGAGAGCTTAGCCCGGGCCTTGTTGCCATGCTCGTGTCGCACTGAGATGGCTCGGTCCAGGACCGTCACAAAGCTTGCTGGCACGCGAATCCCCGGCTTGGTTGATGCAGCGATATATTCTGCGAGGTCGACGAAATCCTTCAAGGCGAGAATGTGTTTAGCAGTTTCGGATATTGTTGATTGAGAGCCAGTGGATGCAGCTTTGGTGGCAGCCTCGCGAGCCAACTTCCTTGCCTTTCCTTTGAGACGCTTAGAAGGACCGGGGGTTGCAGCCGAGGGTGGATTGTTGGCTGTAGAAGTTGTATTGGCTGTGGCTCCAAGTTTATCCACAGGGAAGCCACAGCTCTTGGCAGTAGCAACGAGCCATGTCGCTACAGTGTCGGTGTCCGCTTTGTATTGCAGATAACTGCTTTTCATGAAGTTGAACGCCGTTTCTGAACTTGTTTCTGGTCTTTTTTGCTGCAGACAAAAACTTCCTCATGCATGATGGATAGTGATAAGTGATGAGTATGTGTTAAAGGAATTGTACTTCCTGATAATGTAAACATAGAGCCGTGAAAGCGGTGTATAGTATTCTGCAGGATATATCAGCAGGCGGTAAAGGGTGACATGCGGCGCCAAGCAGTGAATAATCCAAGGCATGGGTGCCTCAGGACACAAGGCCCCAGGCACCAGGACACCCGCGGAGATCTTCGGTCGCGCCGCTCCATTTCACCCTCCAACCGCTCTCTCCCTTGGTGCAACACCAGTCTTCTTCAACTTCATCCAACTTCAACACAAACACCGCCATCATGCCACGCGCCGTCCGAGGTAATAATCATCACCTTTCTTGTATCCAGCTCTCACGTCCCAGCTAATCACCCCATCCTCACAGGAGTCCTCATCGAATGCGACCCGTCCGTGAAAGCCATCATCCTGAAATACGACGAAGAGCGCCACGACTACATCGTCGAAGACCTCGATGACGATCGCCACCTCGTGATCAAAGAGAGTCAGCTCCAGAACCTCAAAATCCGACTGGGAAAGGTAGAAGATGTGCTCGGTTTTGTGTCGACCTGTCATACTGATGGTCCTAGGAACTCGACGATAAGGTCATGCAGCCGGAGGAGGAGGAATCGGAGTGATCGTCCACCTGTTTGTACTCGGATATTGGAATGGTGCTTGCGGCTGGTTTGTGATGGTGTGAGGGCGGGCATACTAGGAGGGGAGGGTCGGTTGGGCTTAAGGGTTCCAGTTAGCACCCCACGCCCGATGCTTGTGCCGTGGTGCTTGTCGGAACCAGGATCACCGCAATTTCCACATGGGAAGCAAAGGATGGGATGGCAGTGATCAATATGGGAATCGTATACGGTCGGCTCCCTCCACCGGCAGGGACCTGGCACCCGTGAGAGACATCCAAGTCTCAGAGCTAGGACGCACACGAATTCACAGCAGCTGGCACTGTCGACTGTCACTTAGATTGCGATGCTTGGAAAGGTCCAGTCTCGCTTACGTCGGTCCCAATCGGGGACAGCTATCTGTGACGGGGGTATCTCCGCCATCGCCATCGAAGCATTGATCCTTACCTCCGGGTTTTTCCACAGTCTGTGATTACTCGAGGAGGATTCAAATGAGTGGAACAACAAACCGGAGGTCTCCAGTCATACTGCTAGCTGAATCCTCATCGTCAAGTACCTGATGGACATGCATTTGCTGGTGGTCTCCATTGGATAGTTGACGCCCGGAACGATCAGCCGATATCGCGAGCCTTACCCGAAAGACCACCCGTCTATTCACATTCAGCGTTGGCGGTTCATAGTTCAGTGTTAGGAATTCATCAATCGCAAGCTAGCAGACGCCATAGATATAATAGCTTCCATCCGTACTACGAAGCTTGTCCGACATGCTCGCACGGTAGTCGACCCACAAAATGGAATTTTCCAAATCACGAAATGATGGAGGTTTTTATGGTGTGCCAATCTATCAATGCTGACAGCTGTCGGGAGTCTGTCGATCGCTTGACAGAAACGCGGAGCTACGCGAGTTAGTGTGATTGCCTGTCCGACTCTATGCCGAAAGCTTAGCCTCATTCGCTGTATCTACCGAGTTCGGATCTACGTACTACATTAGGTAGTGTACGATCACCTCGTGCTGCATCCATTTCCACCCGAGAAACAAACCTCATGCAACTTTTGAGACGGCGATCGCGTTAAAGACGGAGTGGAGGAATAACATATCGTATAATGTAGGTAAGTTACTGTGTACATCGCAGTCTATAGTCTAACTCGATATCACGAACCTCCCACCACGAAGCCGGCCCGACTATCCAATAAGCCAGCCGCTAAAGCAGTGGTAATCACCCCAAGCACCAACCCCAATAAGCCCGGCGATCCGATAACGGCACGCCATTGTGCGCCCACTTTACCCCACTTCACGTATATCACCGCGCGGCGTATACAAAAACCCCCACACCCACACCCCACACTCAAACAATTTCTCCCCTCACCACCAAGTCGAAATCCCCAACCCCAACTCTCTTCCCTTTGGGAACGCCACCACAGATCAGATTCTGACGCCAAAATGACAACCACGGAGGAAACCCACCGCGCGACCTCCCTCCAAGACGCCCAAGACAAAGCCCTCACGCTCTTCGCCGCCATCGAACCCCTCATCGTGCCCGGCATCACCGAAAAGGCCCTGAGCGACAGCATCCACCGCCTAGGCGCGGAGCACCACAACGTGCGCACACACTGGCACAAGCGTCTCGTGCGCAGCGGACCCAACACCCTGCGGCCCTTCGCCGACAACCCGCCGGACCGGACCCTCCTCGCCGACGACATCCTCGTCATCGACTTGGGTCCGGTGTTCGAAGAATGGGAGGCGGACTTCGGCCGCACCTACGTTCTAGGCAATGATCCCGCCAAGCTGGCGCTCCGCGATGCGCTAGAAGGGATCTGGGTCGCCGTGAAGGAGGAGTTCGATCGGCGGCCGGAAATCACAGGGGCGGAGTTGTATGCGATTGCAGAGCAAAAGGTCAAGGAGGCCGGGGAAAGGGAGGGGTGGGGGTGGGTGTTTGGGGCGGAGATCGCGGGCCATATTGTCGGGAGCTTTCCGCATGAGCGCATCCCGAACGATCGCATCAGTTTGTACATTACTCCCGGCAATGGGGAGAGGATGCGGGGAAAGGGGAAGGGTGGGTGGGAGAGGCATTGGATTTTGGAGATTCATGTGCATGATAAGGAGCGCGGGTTTGGGGGGTTTTGTGAGCGGTTGTTGACCGTTGGCTGAGCTTGGTGGGTGGCATTTGGGTGGTGCTTGGGTGGTTGGTATACTGTAGATAAAATGGATCAATGAACGGATATATGGAATGAGTCTACTTGTATTGTATACTTGCAATGTATTTGTCATAAAGAAAGGCAACTCGCCAGGAAGAAGGCGACGGTAGGTCAACCTGAAGTATCCTGCCGCAACTGAAAGTCCTGACGAATGCCCGTCACCGACGGCGTCAAATACGCAGGAATCGGGCCGTGCCCCGTGAATGTGTGGTCGGTGCAGGGATCGACACGCAACCCAGGGCCAGGCGGGAACAGTCCCATCAGATCGAGCTCGTCGAACATCTCCCGAAACTCCGCCTTGACCGCGTCCGAAAATCCGTCCTGGTCGTAGAACCACAGGGCCTCGCGGAACAGGCTCAGGATGGTGCTGTATGGCTTGATCATGTTGCGCGGGTGGAGGTCGACCTGGGGATCCCCATTCTGGTACACGGACGGGTGGTCGTTGTACCAGAACATGGCGATGTGCTTCAGCTCGGCGTGCCAATAGGCCTGCGGCACGCCGGCGCGCGTCGCCAGGTCGCGGCTCAGGTTGATGAGCACCGTCTCCGCCCACGTCTGCTGCGTGTAGGTGACCACGGAGCAGTTCCAGAGCCGGCAGATGACGGGCTCGCGCGATTCCATGTAGCAGTAGCTGTTTTCGAGCTCGGTCCGGCGAGGCGGGTTGGAGAAGAACCAGAAGAGGTCCTCCTGCGGGTAGAGGAGGATCGTCAGGCCGTAGGCATCGTTAGAAGCGCCCGCACTGCCTGGCGGGGGGAAGGAAGGGATATCCTCATCAAGATCCATTGCATCCGGGTCCTGTGGCTGGGTCAGTTGTGTCTGGTCCACCTCCATCGCATCGGGGTTCTGTTGCTGGCCTTGAGCGCCCGCATCGGCTGTCAGAGCCGCATGGTAATGATCCGCAGAGCTGGGGATCTGGGCCAGTGAGCGGGTCAGCTGGCAGTCGACACCGTACGGGCATGCAACCAGTCCATGGCGAGTGAGTACTTCGCAGACTTGGTGGATAAGGTCTTCAGAAATGAGAAACTTGACGGGCATGTTCGTATGGCGGTTAGTGCTCACCAGCCAATACAGTTCGGCGACGGGGGTGTGAAAGTAGGCATACGGAATGCTCTCCTCTTCAAACCACTTCACCACGTTGTCGCCGGGGGACAGGACCTTAAGTGGGATTGCCATGTTGTAGTCTGGATGCTTATGATGTGTTTATGGTAAGTTTCAACTTCAAGATGGGGGTGCGCTTTCTCTGCGAGAAAGCAGCCTGTCTTGCTTTTATAGATCTGTTGAAAAGGTCCCAAGAGATGATCTTCGCTAGGCTTTTGTAGATGTCGGAACTTTCCTTCATTTTGAATGTTCTCGTTGTCATACTTAGTAGCATGTCGCTGTAACAGTTCTCATCGTGGGTTTTCATCCAGTTGACCATTGATAGCAGATAGGTCAGAAGATAGAAAACTTTGCGCCGTCGGCATCACTGCAATAGTCGCTTCTCTCAGAATCAAGTACCTTACTAGCCAGAGAGAAAGAAAACCCAAACAAACAACCAGCTTCTTTAGACACTGGCCCTCAGCATAGATCCAACCCTATTTAAGTGCAATGCTTGGCATCACTCTCAGGGCTGACCCCTAACATCCAATCGACTGCTGAACAGCCTCCCCACGACAAACCTCAATTGACGTCTCACTCACACGCTCAACACCAATGAAAATAGCCCAACCCTCGGCTACAGCTCGTACCCTGAGGTAATGTGCCCTCCGTCCTTCTGCAAGGTGTCACCTGGCCCCGTGCCGCACTAATCCCGCCTCCGCATTCACTGCAACCACCCACGGTTCGCCTCTTAACTCAACCGCATTGATCGCACCACGACGTCATGCAATCCGTTGCATCTTCATTGTTTCGATTTCCCCGCCTTACTTAAATCCCACATTGACCCCAGATTCTACACGACTGTATTCAACCTATCCAATGCAGCCTTAGTATACTCCCTGAACAATCACCTATCAATTACAACCCCACAATCTCAGAAAAATGGAATCCAACCCCCGCAAGCTCTCCGGATCCTACCACCTCACCGGCGCGGACATCGTCGAATCGATCGACGATCTCGGCTCGGACGGCCGATGGGAGGAGCTGACCGCCAAGCGCGCGGCCCACCAGACCGCCGCCGCCGACATGCCGCAGGGCAGCGAGCGCACCGGCTTCACCAGTAATAAGGTGCCCGATCGGGCGCAGTCGTTCCGGCCGTACGATCCGAAGGGGCCGATGGGTATGCCTCTCTCTTTTTTGTCAGATTGGAACCTTGGCTAATAAAGGTGGTGGGAATAGGCACCGAGCAAAGCGAGGATATTCATCCCCATGAGTAATCCGCTGGTGGCCGGGTACGGAGCGTCGCGTTATGGTGCGTCTAGCATAGGGCTCTACAAATCCCGCGCAGGGGGAGATGTTGGTTTGGAAAATGGAATGATTGATGATGTAGTATATGTGCGATGCGTGTAGTCAATTTAGGCAATGATATGTGAATGCTGTCTTTGAAGGATGAGTTGTGTGCAAGGTTGCGCTTGTTGAATACTGTATTGTTCATTCGGCTCGGATAATCTTCGTGACAAGCATCCCATCCCGCACCCGCCCTATGAGATAGTGCACATCATACGACAAACGCAACACACTGAGATCCTACCACAGCTACAGAAGTAATCCTCAAGTAGATCATACTCCACCTGCTCCTTAATCAACTTACACAATCTCCTTACCTAACAAATCTAGACCCCATCCTTGTCAACCCCAGGGCGTAGACAGGGAACCGATTCCCCAAAGCAGACTAGGGTAACCCTACTTTCCCCGCGGTAAACTCCACACTGGGGTGGAGCAATCCTCGCACCGTCCCCCCGAAACGGGCCAAATCTTCCGAGACGCCGGAAAACTCCTACCACCGCCCACGAAAAGAGGGCGAGTATATAACCGCGCGCTTGAGGCTGGATTCTGACCCTGTGCAGTTCTCGATATCTCCGACAGCACAGCATACAATTACCCTGCCAGTCCTCAATTGCATTCATTGATCTGAAACCAACCTAGCACAAAACCATCACTATCAAGTTCAGCCCAAGCACCGAAAAGAAGTAAGGAAATGTCCCTCATCATCCTCGGAGGCGGCATCATCGGCCTCTCCACGGCCTACTACGCCTCGCTGGCCGACCCCACCCGCAAAATCCAGATCGTCGACTCGGCCTCGGCCCTCTTCCAGTCCGCCTCGGGCTTCTCGGGCGGCTTCATCGCCAAGGACTGGTTCTCGGAGGATGTCACCTCGCTCGCCGACCTCTCCTTCCGCCTGCACCAGTCTCTCGCGGATGCGCACGACGGCCGCAAGAAATGGGGCTACAGCGCTAGCCAGGCCTTTGGCGTGACGATGGACGAGCTCGACGCGCACGGCCGGAAGACCGGCGGCAAGGTACGCGGCGAGGATTGGTTGCTGTCGGGCACGAGTCGCGCGGAGGTCGCGAAGCAGTTTTCCCCGTCTTCTAGCTCCATCGCTAAGGGGAAAGGGGAGAGTGATGGACGGTTGGATGGCAAGGGCACGCCGACGTGGATGAATCGCCCTGCGGAGTGCGTGGTGGAGGAGATCTCGAGTGACGCGGGGTGCGCGCAGGTCGACCCCAAGGCGCTGGTGGAGTGGTTGCTGGCGCAGTGTCGGGAGCACCGGGTGGAGATCCTGCTGGATACCCGCGCGACGGGGTTCAAGGTCGATCGCGACGGCCGGATCGAGGCTGTGAAGGCTGAGCAGCGCATGTCGGTGCACAGCACCCCCGTCGAGATCTCGTTGCCCTGCAAGGATGTCGTCATTGCCGCCGGGTGCTGGACCCCCCGCGTGTTCCAGACGCTATTCAAGCGCAAGATGGCGGTTGGGATCAATGGGCTCGCCGGGTATAGTGTCATCGTGCGCTCGCCCCGGTATACCCGCTCCGTTGCGCAGAAGGACCATTCGATTTTCTGCGCCCCCGGCCCGCAGTGGGAATTTGCGCCGGAAATGCTCGGCAGAGTGAACCATGAGGGGGTTCCCGAGATCTACATCGCGGGGCTGAATAGTGATAAGATGCCGTTGCCGGAGGTAGCGGGCGAGATTCCGAAGTTGCGGGATCAGAAGCAGGTGGAGCGACTGCGGGAGGTGGCCCGGCTGTTGACAGGCAGTGCTGCTTCGACGAAGAGTGATCTAGAGATTGTGAGCGAGGGCTTGTGTTTCAGGCCGGTTTCGACGACAGGCTCTCCGATTATCTCGCCAGTCACGGGGGCTGTGAGCAGCGCTGGAGGCAAGGTGTATGTGGCCAGCGGACACGGCCCGTGGGGAATCACTCTGGCCTTGGGAACGGGTCAGGTCGTTTCCGAGCTCTTGACCGGCAAGACCCCCAGTGCTGATATCAGCAAGTTGGCGCTGAAGCAGGATGTGTCTTTGCTGAGGAGTCAGTTGTAAATATTTGGTGTCTGTCTTATTAGCGTGTTTTCTTTTTGTACTGTCTTAGTCTTCTAGACCCTTTTGCACTACGACTGTACTCCAGCGCAAGACCAGGGTCGCGCTGATTTATGATAGAATGTCATCGATTTTGAAATGTGATGCAGGTAGCTCCAAACCATGAGGCCTAATCGATGGAGCAAGTCGTGTTCGAAAGTAGGTGAATGTACAGTACAACCTGGGGTACCCGCGGAATTAAATAATCGGCCGGGTTACAGTTTCGATAGATCTACAGGTTGAGTACCTTAAGGGAGCGCCACGAAGACCTGTTGGCAGGGCTAAAAATAGAGTGTCACTGCGGCCTATGTTTCGGGAAGCAGAACGTATCCCGACAGAATGTTCACTGGCCGGCTATAGTTGCAATGAGATGACTAGTCGGCCTTGCCAGTCTCCTACGCACTAAAACCCGTAAGTAGTTTATTCTGAGAATTAAAGACGCATCAATAGGTGGGCTCAGGACTGCCTGGTTACGTAAAGAGTCATATTATCGAATGATGTGATTATTTGCGAGGGTCCTATATTGACATCTTGAAACGCGTGTCAACCAAGGCACATCCTCATAGCATTTGATGATCAAGCCCTAAATTAAGAGCTGATCTGGTCGAGTTAAAAAGTTGAAGCAGGTCAGACCTAGAAGTCAAAGGACCTATGCACTGTGAACCGAGGGTGTAACCGTCTATGGGTTGCTGTGATCTACACAATCCTGGAACCCTGGGCATGGGCTCGGACTCCGACAATAGCAACAGCCACCTGTCATCCTCTCCTCGTCACTCCTAGGGCTCACCCAAATAACTAAGTCGCACAAAATGGATAGGCCCTTATTCATAGATTTGCAACGGCACCAGCCCTAATCACAACCCCCGACCGAGTTAAAAGGAGCATCCCTCCCAAGGACGATGTCCACTACCCTCTGGCATATCACCACGGCTCACATTACAATCTGCCTCACAGCACGAAACCCCCAAATGACAATGCCCACTTCCCTGGTCACCGGTGGCACGGGCTTCATTGGCCTGCACGTCGTCAAGCTTCTCCTCAAGAAGGGAGAGACCGTCCACACCACCGTCCGCAGTCTCAAGAACGCCGCCAAATGCAAGCCGCTTCTCGATCTCCAAGCCCAGTATCCAGGCAGACTTTCCCTTTTCGAGGCTGATCTTCTCTGTGATGGCTCCTTCCACCCCGCGATGGAGGGCTGCAGCGTTGTCTACCACATCGCGTCGCCATTTTTGGCACCTCCACAGATCAAAAACGGAGTCAAAGAATGCGTCGAGCCCGCTTTGCAGGGCACTCGCAACGTGCTGGAGTCAGTAAACCAATGCGAGAACGTGCACCGCGTTGTCCTGACCTCTTCAAGTAAGCCAGCCAGCCAGCACCTTCAACTTGTCTATCTGCCATCTAACACGCAGTAAAACTCGGCAGTCGCAGCAATGTACAGCGACAGCATCGAAATCACCCAGATGAAAGACAGCACCCTCACCGAAGCCTACTGGAACGACACCGCCACCGAGACCAACAACCCCTACCACTACTCCAAGGTCGCCGCCGAGCGCGAAGCCTGGAAGCTGCACGACGGCCAGCTCCACAAACGATGGGATCTCGTCGTCATCAACCCGGGCCTCACCCTGGGTCCCCCACTCACCACTGAATCCACGTCGGGTAGCTTGTTCACGATTGAGAACATCTTCTCTGGCCAGAACAAACAGGGCACACCCGAGCTGTACTATCCCGTGGTCGACGTGCGGGACGTCGCGGCAGCGCACGTCAAGGCCGGGACGAGCAAGACGGCCACCGGTCGGTATTTGATTGCGGGCGATCGCACGGTGGGGTTGTTGGAAATGGCCGAGATTGTGCGGCCGATTCATAAAGATCCCAAATTGTTGCCCACGCGCAATCTGCCAAAGCTTATGGTGTACCTGGCGGGGCCGTTTATCGGGGTGTCGCGAAGCTGGGTTTCGAGAAATATCGGGATTGATTTCAAGGTGGATAATGGTCGGAGTGTACGAGAGCTGGGAATGAAGTATTTGCCTGTTGAGCAGGTGATTAAAGATCAGTATGAGGCGTGGGTGAGGATGAAGGAGCAGCACTAGGGCCAGCCTCGAGGTATCGTATCACTGAGGAGAATATCATTCCGTTCTTAGTAACTATGCACGAACTCTCAAAAGATAGTTCCTGGAAGGAATTTCTACTCGCCACGCTCTATGCCCATAAAGCTCCATTAAGCGAAATGGGGAATCAGGCCGGCGTCAAACACACTCTGGTCCCGTTGCGCGAACATACTGTCAGCGTCAACGACTCCTCCCACGGGCCCGAATCCCGACTCTCCAGCCCCTGGAACTCCTGCGCCAGACGCATTGTCACATACGCCACCTCCGTCAACGCATACTGCTGCCCGATGCAGATCCGTGGGCCCCCATTAAACGGCAGGTACTCCCATCGCGGCTGCAGCCGCCCATCTTCCCACCGTTCCGGCCGGTAGACCTCCACATTGTCCCCATAAAAGTCCTTCCGCCGATGCATGGCGTACACATTATACGCAACAATTGTATCCTTGGGTACATAGACCGGCGAGAGCCCATCCTTACCACCTCCAACCGGCAAAACCGTATCCCTCACCGCGACGCGATCGTTCATCGGGACGACGGGGTGTAGTCGGAGCGCTAGCATCACAAACCATCAGCATCAGACCACCTTTCCTAACCACCCACCGAAAGGAAGAACATTCACATTCATTAACACAACACCTCAAATACCTCAACCCCCTCAGCTCCTCCTACGAGGGCAACCGCCCCTCCAACTTCGTCACCACCTCCTGCCGCAACTTCGCCCAGACCTCGGGACGTTTCGCCAGCGTAAAGAACATATTACTCAGCAGACTGGCCGTCGTATCCCTCCCCGCGAGGAGCACATTCATCAACTCATCCAGTATCCGGCGCTTATCACTCGTCCGTGACGCCAACTCGTGCGAGAAGATATATTTCTCGGGTTTCCTGCCACTACCACCACCACCGTCCTGAACAGCCCGAACCGCTTCCTCAACAAATGGCATGGCGAAGTCCCGACAAACGCGATTACACCGCTCCGCCTTCTTATCGTAATAAAATCTTCCAAAAGGCCCCAGAATCGCGCGCACTGTCATCGCTTCCTGGGCATAATTGAATGCCTCCGCGAAATCCAACTCGCTGCGCTGCATCTTCAGGCTGCCGACCGACTGCCCAAACAGGAAGTCCGGTGGCCGAGTCGATTGTGTACCGGAAGAACAAGTCCTGGAGGTCGACGGCCGTGGCCCCGTCGCGGGGGATATGCGCTAGCAGGGAGGGGATCAAGGATTCAAAGGGGGTAAGGTCGGCGACCTGGTCCTTTGTGAAATTGGGGCGGATGAGCGCGCGAGAGGTGGCCCAGTGTGCGCCGTCGGTGTCGTAGATCCCTTCCCCCAGTAAGGGCTGAAAAATCGGGAGGCGGTGGGCCAGGCCGTAGCCTCTGAAGCGGGTGGAGAGGATCGTTTTGATGTTCTCGGGCTCGATGGTCACGATTGTGTATTTCAGGAGGCGGCGCGAGGCGAAGGTGTTTCCGTGGAGCTGGAAGCGCTGTGTGATGGATTCCAGGGCTTTGTGACGCTTTGCGGTCGTGATGCCTCGGTAGATCTCGTCCAGACCGAGGACGGGGTCTTTGTTGTTGTAGTGGGTGATGGGTTGGCAGCCGTGCTGGTGGGCGAATTGGCGGCGGGCGTGCGCGCGGCGGAGGCGGGTGAGGAGGAGGATGCTGGTCAGGGTGAGGGTGAGAAGGAGAGCTAGCTGGGTAGGCGGGAGGTTGAGGAGGGGCTCCATGTTGGGTTTGGGATGGTGCCAAGGGGAAGAGGGGGAGATGGTGCTAGGGAGATGGGATGGTGGAAGTACTTATCATAATGACTAGAGCAGGGTTCGGAGAGTATTGCTGTCTCGACTGGTGATCATGCAGGGGGAGTCAGTCGATGCTACGAGGATATGCAGGGATGTCGATGTTGAATTTTAACCTGGACCAGGATGCAGGGCACTGAAGTGAAATGTGATTGAAAACGCAAAGACTACACTCAGACACAATAGGCTTGTGCTGAACATCCAGCCCAAGCAATTAGGTAAGTTCAGACTATTACTACTTGCGGGCATGGCTTCGACAAGTGCCAGGGTTGGCTATTAGTACCTGCATAGTCATTATCAAGTGCTTTCGTAGGAATCAAGAGGCCGCCTCTTGATCCACATTCAAATCTCGGAGGTCTGTTTTCTTGGCAGACCAGCTGTATTCAAGTTGTGTAACGTGAGATACTGGACAGGGAGAATTGAATCCTCCATTGGCAGAGACTATCGTGTGGCCCGAACGTGACACATTGGGCCAACTCTGAAGACGTCGAGGTCATAACAGCAAGGCTATCTCGCATTTCAGTGAGGAAAACCCGCTCTACCACTCAGTAGCCTGTTAGAGGCTTGTGGTGACTGTGATAAGCACAGATGTTCATGATGCGAGCCGGCACCTGCGAGTATGAACTACTTGGAGTCTATGTGCCGAGGCAATGGACGTCTGAGGGTTAGGGCTTGAAGAACCCCTGGAGGCATTAGATCACTGCTGAATTGCGCCAGCAGCTGGTCTGACAGGTAATACTGGCAATCTTTTATAGTAGGGCAAAGTCAGGAAGTATTATTGATACTAATTTTGGTCAAAGCCACTCTCTTGCAATCGGAACGATTAGCAGGATACAATGGCGCAAGCAGAAACATTCTAAAATATGAAAGTCCACCACATCACCTCGCAGACTATCCCTCGAAATAAACACACAGAAGCCAGTGCCCGAAGAAGTATTGCGCGATAAGTGTAACGAAGGTCCTATAAACTCTGGATCATACCGGTCTTGTCCTCGGAAACAGGGAGAAATTATCAAATCGCGCCCCATCCGAGTAGCAGGCGGACGATTCTGGGCCTTTCATACGCTCGCTCATAATTCCTGGCATAGTCCAGCGCCGTATGCCCGTGCGAATTCCCGATGTTGGGATCCGCCCCGCGTAGAAGAAGCTCACGGATCATCTCCATATCGATGCGCCATGCAGTGAACGCGAACATCAGAGCCGTCTCCCCATGAAAGCTTGTAGAATTAACGCGTGCGCCACTATTAAGAAGAGTGGTCACCGCCCACGCCCATGGCAGTCTGGCGGCTATCATCAGAGGCGTCTGTCCGAAACCGGTATGGAGATTCACGTCTGCTCCCTTATCAAGAAGCAGGCGCACCATCTTCTTGCCCGAATATACGATTGCCAGATACAAAGGCGTACTCGGGCCGGGGCCTACCGCGTTAACATCAGCTCCACTATCGATGAGCAGGTCAGCCGATTTACATGTACCGCTCAAAATGGCAAGCCCCAAAGCTGTCCGCCCCGCAGAGTTGGTAGCATTAACATCAGCTTTTCGATCCAGCAGCATGCGAACTGTCTCATCCTGCTTCTTGTTCGCTGCACACATCAAAGGTGTTGTTTCATCTCTAGCTGCATTTACGTCTGCTCCGCTCTCGAGAAGCATACGAACCACCTCCTCCCCACAAGACCGATTTATCGCGAGGGTGAGCGCGGTCTCCTTGTGGTTGTAGGTGCTCACATCCGGATCCGCCCCTAGAGCGAGAAAGCGACGCACAAGGCTATAGTCACCCCCAGCGATAGCCTGCAGCAAGGGAGTTACCACTCCTACATTGAGATCGGCGTCATGTGCTAGGAGCACTTCAATCACCTCGTCCGCATGTATCAGCACGGCATACGAGATCGCCGTGCGTCCGTCGCAACAAGCGTTTATCGTTGCCCCTTCCGCGAGCAGCAGCTCTACGCAGGATGCACTCGGGTGCCTTGCCGCTAGTATCAGGGCCGTCTCATCCCACGAGTCTGTCGCGTTAACGTTCGCACCGCGCTCGAGCAGAAACCTGATTCCCTGCTCCCTACCACGATAGGCAGCGTAGTGCAATGCTGTTCTCCCCCATCTCGAGATGACCGTGTCAATGGGACGGCCAGTCGGCGACAGCGCACGGGCTATGTCAAGATGATCGTTGCCAACAGCAAGAGTGTAGGCGAGATGTGTCATATTGGCGTTTTCGGCCAGAGTCAGCCGATCGTAGCGATCATTGGTCAGGTCAAACTCGTCTGATCTATACGGCCAAATAGCGTCATCGGGGTGATTTCGGTCGAAGCTATCATCGGGGTAGGGCACTTGATAATAATCAAAGCCGAAGTACTCCGCCTCCTGGCATAACCGGCGCCGAATCAGCCGAATCACCCTGCTCGTATCGTACTCAGGGTCACGCATCGGATCATATTGCACCGCTCGCTGAGCGGTCAGTAGATTGCCATTTTGAGCAGCCGAAAGCAGCACTCCCACCCAGTCTCGGTGGTTTTTGTAGAGAGTATCTATGCATCGCTTTTTTAGCTCCGAGGAGGTCCGCACAAGTGCGTATATGTTGGCTGTTGAGTAGAGCTCCTCTAGGATGTGCAACATTAGCTCCGGCGGGATATCTGTTAGCTTTGCCATTGGGATGGAAGGGAGCCTTTTGTGATCCACAATGTATGGATAGGGAGGTTGATGGAGATCTCTGTGATCTTAGATCGAGGCAAATCGAGAAGTAATAAAGGTCAAGTCACTTGTGGAGACTGTGTTGAGTAGTCTGGGAGAAGTGGTATCGACTCGATGAGGTGACTCACTTGCAAGTTCTCTACCTTCCGTGGATGACGATATGTATGTCCAACATCGATGCCATTCTTCTTTATTAGAACACTATATATACTTGTCTGTATGCACCTTCCGTAATACTCGTCCGCACCACGCTTTGTAATTATACGCTTTGTATCTACGATAAATTCTCCCTCTGAGGTTCCTCTACGCTTTGTATCTATACACTTTATTTTCATAAGCTTTGTGTCTATGATGAAATCTCCTTTTGATGGTCTATGCGCTTTGTATCAAGAATGTACTCTTCATTTGACTCATCCGCATGGTGCAGGTGGAGTACAAGCAGCAGCTCGGGGTAGTTCATTCTTCTCGGGGTTTCCGGATTTTCGACATCAGATATGATCATATTCGCAGCTCACTCGACGGTTAAGGCCTCCAATACTACCTCTGGCTACGATTGACAAGTTGTTGATGCGTTTCAAAAGTCTCAAACAAGTGGTCCCGATATACTAACCCCCCCCGGGGCCAGTGAATCACAACTACTGAGAGAGGAGAGAATTATAGATTTCCAACCATTACCAATAGAGAAGCTTGTTTCAGAGGACTAATATGTCAACGCTCTCCTCCTACATACGAGTATGTAGTTTTAGCAATGTATTCCATGTTGTGTAAGTCTATATAGTAGTCACTAGTCGGGATTAAGGCGAAGTCGGTATTCAGGTAACCCCAGAAGGTATATAACGGGGTTGATTTGACATAAGGTAATTGATGATGACTAATAGTGTTCGCAAGCCACTTCAACAAATTTTGTCCAACTACATAATCAAACTAAAGCCCATACTCTGACGTTGCATTTACCTCATCTGAATAGATTTCAAAGTCCCTCAGAGATAAGATGCAATGGATAGTTAGATCATTGCTGATGACTTCGGAACGGGAAAATTGATTGATCCGGACTCGCTCCTAACAAAACCTTTATGCCTCAGGCATCAAGCTTCTGAAAATTACCTTCCAATGTTCGAGGCCAAAATTACCTTCACTTCAACATCGCGATCATCGAAAGTTGGTGGCGCAGTGTCCATGGGGCCGGTCACTCTCAGGGAAGTATCTTCCTCACAGCGGAAAACACAGCGTCAAGCCCCTGGCCTCAACAACACAGTCAGACGGCCAGCGTGCGTCCTTAATTGGGAGAAAATTCGATTATCCTGACTTTTGAAGCAGGCTTTAAATTGCAACCTACCCCGTGATCACTTCACTGGTGGATAAGAGGTGTCCGCGAGGACTATAACAGTTGTTGTTATAGAAGACTCAGGAGACTCAAACCGCTAGACGTGCCCAATTACGCCGAACGGGGTGGGTCTTTCGAGAAGAACCACAGCCCGCGCCAAAGACGCTAACTCATAGGAGTTCTCTCTGATTGCTTCTGCAGGATGCACACTCCGGCCCGTTCATGCAGGTCAGTCATGCTCTTCCGGCTGAAGAGCAACCAGGCTTGAACAAGCATCGCGCTTTAGCCTCGAATGCCGGGCGGGTCCATCCGGAAGGGGTTGACACCAATGCTCAAGAAAATTATCCTGTCTACCAGTGCATCTATCTGTTTAAGACGCGTGGCAATTAGCAAAAAAAGAAGCCAATGCGCGATGGAAGTCGGACCGTGTGCAATCCAATGGCATTCCCCTTCTCCCGTGGCCTTGCCCTATCTTCCTCCGACGGAGCAACGTTTGTTGGGGGCCGCCCCTGGAGCCCCATTGATTTCACCCCATTGTCAATCCTTGGCCTGAAGCTAAGAGCAATGGGTATAGCCTTCACTTGTCTTCTTTCTCAATTTGGCCCTGGGATTTGCTTTTCCCCCGCCCTTCCGGAGTGGCTCGTATCACTCGGACTTTCTACGCCAGACCCCCGACGAATTCCCCTCCCGCAAGGGATAAGGGGAAGAATTTCTATAAAAGGATGGCTGATCGCCACTGTTTGTGATACCCCCAGGATCCAGGCAGATCATTCCCTAACCCAACTTCCCCGTTCTTTCTCTTCCACTCACGATGCTCTACACCCGGGAATTAGGGGTTGTCGCGGCTCTCGGCCTGCTGGCTCAGGCTGCCCCCGCGCCGATCGAGCGTCGATGTACGTGCTTGTGTCAATCTAGTCTTATTCCACGATGCTAATCCTGTCATAGCTGTCTCCACCACCCTGCTGGACCAGATGGACCTCTTTGCGCAGTATAGTGCGGCCGCTTACTGTTCGACCAACATCGACTCAGCAAGCACGGCCCTCTCCTGCTCTGCTGACAACTGCCCCCTGGTTGTGGCTGCTGCTCCCACTGTCCTTGACGAGTTCAACGAGTAAGTTTGCTGATCGCGTGATTCATTTGGCGCAGTTGGCTGATGATGGAATCACCACAGAACTGCCGAATTTGGCGACACGGCGGGCTTCGTCGCTGTTGACTCGACAAATAAGGCCATTGTTGTCGCCTTCCGTGGCAGCTCCGATCTCTCTAACTGGATCGCCAACATCGACTTCGGTCTTACCGACGCAAGCAGCATTTGCACTGGCTGCGAGATTCACAGTGGCTTCTGGAAAGCCTGGGAGACAGTTGCCAGCACCATCGCTTCCAAGGTCGAGGCGGCTGTCACCACCTACTCGGACTACGACGTGGTCTTCACCGGCCACAGCTTGGGTGCTGCCCTCGCTGCAATTGGCGCGACAGTCCTCCGCAACGACGGGTACACCGTTGACCTGGTATGTTTCTAACCCTACCTCGCCCACATTGGACTCGAGCAAAGTACTGATGCATAATAGTACAATTTCGGCCAACCTCGCATCGGCAACCTCGCCTTGGCCGACTACATCACCGACCAGAACAAGGGCAGCAACTACCGCGTTACCCACACGGACGACATCGTCCCTAAGGTCCCGCCGGAGCTGCTCGGCTACCACCACTTCAGCCCGGAGTACTGGATCACCAGCGACAACGACGTGACCGTCACGACCTCGGACATCACCGAGGTGACTGGCGTGGACTCCACCGCGGGCAACGACGGGACGCTCTTGGACAGTGTCTCTGCCCACAAGTTCTACTTCGAGTACATCAGCGCATGCGATTAGTCGCCTCGCTACTCCCGGTGATGCGGACGAAGGCCACAGTAAATAGGTATAGGAGTAAGAATTGACGCCCACGCGTCGCGTCGCATGTACATACTTCATATCTCGGATATAATTTGAATGAATTTACGTTACGACACCTGTCTCCTATCATTACCATCTTCCCAACAATAGAGAAATTTTTCTACAGCCAGCCGTCCGCCGAAGTACCCCCGACCCACGTTTCGCGGATTGTCGCAGATTGATAGCCGAAACCACGGATTGGAGCCTGGTGGGGGACCCACTCTTAATTCTTAACAGTCATAGACTTAAATCGGTTTAACTCAATTGAGGTCTTCGAGAAGAGAAAAAGGGGGCAATTCTCCGCTCGATTTTGCCCTGGCCCATAACTTTTGCAAGAACTGATTCAAAGCACCAACTGTCTGATCAAACTTCATCGCGAGTCTAACATACTGTACTCCCACAAGTGCGCTTGAGGCTTGGACCCCACTCTCGGCAAAGCTCTTGCTATTCGACTGCGCTAAGCTCAGCCGATCTGCACCTGCGAGGACCGAAACATGTGAAAATGTGCCCAAGGCCATCACGAAACTCTGCAATGGCCCAGTTTGACAATCTGTTAGGGCAACCTGCAGCAGGCCCTAGCAAGGGGGATGGAACGTTAACACTCTAGTCTAGACTAGTCTGCAGTCGAACAGAGGGGCACTGCTGGAGATCCGGGCCATTAGCCCTAACGGGCAGCTTCGCCGAGCGCTCGCAAAGCCGCCCGCTGGGTTTCTTCACAGCCCGCAGTGCCGTACATTTAGTTTAATTTACGCGTAGCCTAAACAGTGGTCTAGTCAGTGTCGATCGGAGGGGTAATGGCCAACACGTGGGAAGTTCTATCAGGACTGATTTGTGGAGAATCTCGGTACTTGCGCTGGGAACCTTGATTTTTGGGGACGGCTCACTTGTCGCGGTTCTTGGCTTGCGAGTAGGTGGTTTCTGAGCCGTGGTGGTGGGCACATGGTTAGATGGATACTTTCAAAGGAAGCAGGATGGATGAAAGCTTGCGCTTTCACATGCTTGGTGAAGTGTGTGGGACGTGTTTTCCTTTTCGGGATGGCAGCGTGCAGTAGTGGGATATAATCCTTGTGTTGGTACTGCGTAGAGAGTTTGGAGATAGCTGTGGCCTCGGAGATGGTATTTGATGGTCAGCTCTGTGCTGGGTCCGTGTTGCATCCGTGCTGTTTATGCGGGGTTATTATATAGCTTGAGTGGGATTGGGAGTTCCCTAACCACTGAAGAGCTTGCGTTGCTCCAAGGGAGTGTCGATAGTGGAAGTAAGAAAATGCAGCCTAAGGAGGGGAGGGAGTCATAGGTGTCCCTAAACGCTGATACCTAAGTTATGGAGTAGTCAAATGTCTACAAGGTCACTCATTCCTGCTGGCGTTATCAGTTGAGGCTTGTGATTGATGCTGCCTGCATTCGTCCGACGGCCGTCCGCGGGAGCACCGATATCTCTTGCAGCGACAAAGCAGCAAACATCTGGCTTATCATTCAGCAAGGATCATGATAGCGATCATGACCGACTCCTGCTGCTGTGCTACCAGGATAGCTAAGGATCGGATGCTCCGAAGGAGCTTGTTTGTGAGCCAAGATATGCGAGGTTTGTACCTGCGTCTGACCGATTGTATGCATAGAACAATCGACACAACTTCAGCAGCGAGTGCGATAATTCCGGGGCACTCGAAAGCTTCATCGCCACCTGGCAAATTATGAGATTTGAGCGGCTCAATCTTCTATCCTCTTCATCCGAGCTCTAGTGGTGGTCATATGCGACTATATCGATGCTTATTCGAGCCACAGAGCTACTTGTGGTTTTCACGACCAAGGTGAACTCGAGAGTCGCAGTCGCAACATACTTCCATGTTTGAAAAACGCAGTTTCGTTGTCCTTGTCCATGAAATCCCTTCAAAATGTGCTCATCGTCATCATGAGTGCATCACATTTCTGCATCAACGGTACTGCTACCGTAGCCAAGTCTATCGATGTCGGAAGAGTGACGCCGAGGATGACTCTTGCCGCCGCGCTTCGAAGCTATACTTCCCAGCACTCGTTAGCCGCGAGGAGACTTTATTCTCTAAACTACCAAGCCATCTCATCGCCATAATCACTCTGAACGACGAAGCCATGGCAGAAACTACTCCTCACCGAATTTTCTGCATCCCAGAGCTGGTGGAGCAAATCCTTCTCCAAATGGATATGCAGACTTTACTCGTCTCAACACGAGTATGCTACCTCTGGCACGACCTGATCAACAAATCGCGAGCGATCCAAACCGCATTGTTCTTCCAGCCGGCCGAAAACACCCCCAGAGGCGAGGCACGCACCGCGAACCCGCTTATTATCGAGAAAATCTGGCCTGAATACCTCAGTCGATGCTCGGGTCCCTTTCACAAGAGATATTACGAACGCCCCGAGGCCAGTTGGAGAAGGATGCTCCTCCATCAGCCTCCAACGACGAAACTGTGCTTTCTCGACTACGCGAGAAACCAGGGCTACCCCATCACTCCCTTTGAGGCTGGGTATTGGTGCACCTCACGTTGCCCGCACAATGGGTTTCCTCGTCTGAAAGACCTGCAGGAGGAATTGGAGGCCCGCGTGCTGAGGACGTTTGACGAGCGGATGATCTTCGTAGAGGGGTCGCCCATGTATTCTCAGTGTCGTCCGTGGGGTATAATTCAGCCAAGACCTAGCTTCGATGTGACCGCAGCAGGTTCGTGCGAGACGTGCGATCTGGTGACTTTTCGGGATGCTTCACGCGTGGTCGGAGGTGTCTCGGAGTGGGACGGCCAACTGGTAGAAGCCACTGCAGGATCACTTTTTTGGATCGCCTTTCCTACGCTCTTCGTTAGCCTCAAGAACCGCCGACCGGACCAGTCCCTGAAGAACTACCATCACTACGTCGGCTTGGATGAGGTTCCGATCTTTCCTTGGGCGGAGGGTTGGCGACGGTATTATGACACTATCAAACGACGCCACAAGTTACAGCAGGATGGCTGAAGAGAATCGCGCAAGGAACCTAGTGTGTGTGAGGTGTTCGAGGAGATCAAATGCGTGGAAGATTACTGGCTCACAAAAGAGGCAGCGAGTTTGAGACGAATGCGACATGGTATAGTAGAGGGTATGGTTGTCGAATAACTCGTCTTTACTTGGCGTTGTGAGTATCACTCAGGAAGATTTCAATGTTTTAGCGCTACTTTAATTACTCCCTTCGTCGCACTTTGATCAGCATGAGAACGCTTGGCATCGAGCGCATTATTGTTGCGGTGAATTATTCTGCTAGCGAGAGGAATGGACTGATAACTCGGTACTGACGTTGACATGGTCGGTCGTTGATTATGAGTTTATTTGGAAAGAGGAAAACATAGTACGCACCTTCCACTCTTAGCCCTGTTCCGTCATACAGACTAGGCAGTCATTTGAAAATTCAAGTTTCATTGTCTATTGTCCTCAACTACCTCGTGTCGCGTTTGTGCCTACCCTGACATTGTGGCTATCAGTAAACTGCCTCCCACTTTCCTCTATTCGGCGGGATTGTCGGGAGTAACTCTTCTTCACAGGTCATTAGCCTCACCTTCACCCGAGCCGAGTACCAACACTTGACGCGGTAACTGATAGGCATGTTTGTATAGTGAGAATGGGGGACATGCTGGTGTTTGTTATGTTTGTTGAGTTTGTCTTGTTGAGTGTATTTGACTCGTGCGTCTTGTTTGGTCTGTTTGACGATTGCTGTTTGTTGTTTGTTTGGCTTACACCGCTTCTCTATTCGGCCGACACATCGGAAAAGTATTCCTGGTTATTGCCTCAGCAGCCAGGTGTCGACGGGACTCTCCGCCCGTGGATTTCCCTCTCCGCATCTTCTCTTCCTAACATTCATTCCTCCACTCTCTACCGTTCCGCATCTTCTCTTCCTAACATTCATTCCTCCACTCTCTACCGTATTATCACCATTTTCAACCCCACCTTCTACTATCCCCGCCTCTGACCCAAGATTCGTATTTCTTCAACCCTGCTCTTTCCAGCTATATTCTTATCGATCTGTTTTGCGATAATCCCCCTCTACCTCCTGATCATGTTCCTACAATGAGTTTCATCCCCCAGTTCGGCAATCTGCCCACCATCCAAACCCGCAAAGCTCTTCTCCTCCTAGATCTCCAGAATGACTTTGTGCGATCGAATGGAGCCCTACATGTCCCCAATACTGCCGACTTTCTAGAGAACATCGCTCAACTCGCCAGCGCCTTTCGCCGGAATGGGGACGTGATATGGGTGCGCTCCTACTACCAGTCCCCGCAACCTCTGATCAGCTCATCGGACGGCCAAGACCTCGTAGTGCTCAGTCGACAGGACCTCGACGCGCGAGCTAACCGTACGCCAGAGGATGAATCTGTAGTTGGCGACCGGAAGATGGACGATGGCCACACCATCGATGAGGAGGCTTTCCTTTCAGCCAAGACACCGCGGTGCTGTGTGCCACAAACACCAGGAGCGCAATTCCCCGCACCCGTTTTCGCGGCCATCGACTCAGAATCAGATACCCTGATCGTCAAATCCGGGTATTCCGCGCTCAGCGACCACAATCTCATCCTCTCCTTCCGGACCCGGTTTATCACCGAGCTCTACCTCTGCGGGTCGCTATCTAATGTATCCGTCTACGCCACCGCTCTCGACGCCGTGCGACATGGCTTTTCAGTCACTCTGGTCGAGGACTGTCTTGGGTACCGCAGCTTCCCCCGCCACGAGGAGGCGATGCGTCGTATGGCGGACATCTTCGGCGCCAGCGGGATCACCACGCAGGAGCTGCTGGAGGAGCTGGATTGGGAGGAGACCGACGCGATCGCCAGAAGTAGCAATCCCCGTCCGTTACGAGCAGGAAATCGTGCTGAAATCGAAGGGGTCATGGATGGACTGGGGTTCGGGTCCAAATTCCGATCGGCAGCCAGGGATGAGAGCCCAGAAGCTTTAGTGGGCAGCGGCCGGCGCCGCAGGATTGAAGATCTCATGGCGGAGTTCTCCGATCACGACAACCAGAGCCTGCAGGAGCTAGCTAATATCGCCCGCGCACGAGTGCGAAATGCCTCGGAGGCACAATCTACGGATCCTGGCGTAGTCAAGGCCCGTACACGTGTCCGTCGCACAAAGAGACCGGACGCCAAGGGCGAGTCGGGTGCGCGCAGAGACCCGCGGCGAAGCGAGAAATTGAAGAAACGCGATGTTTACAAGCCGGGCGATGTAATCGGGGAGGGCGACTCCAGGATCTTATACGATTTGGAGTTGCCAGAGAAAGCCTTTGAGAAGATCCGGGATGAGGTGGCTTGGCAGAAGATGTATCATCTTTCTGGGCAGGTCCCGCGGATGGTGGCGGTGCAGGGGCGTGCGCTGAATGATGGATCAATTCCGATCTACCGTCACCCAGCGGACGAGTCGCCGCCACTGCAACCGTTCACTCCTACGGTGGACAAGGTACGGGTCGTGGTTGAGCGTATCCTGGGCCATCCACTTAATCATGCACTTATCCAACTCTATCGCGACGGACAAGACCGGATCTCGGAGCATTCGGACAAAACTCTGGACATTGTGCGGGACTCATTCATATGCAATGTCAGTCTTGGTGCTCAACGCGTGATGGTGCTGCGAACCAAGGGGAAAGAGTCGGCTGGCGCTGAGAGCGGTCGCGTGACGCAACGCATTCCTATGCCACACGAATCGCTGTTCATCCTTGGGGAGAAGACGAATATGCGGTGGTTGCACGGCATTCGCCCCGATAAGCGGGCCATGGATGAGAAGTCCCCCGAGGAGCGAGCGTATGCCGGACAGCGGATCTCGCTGACTTTCAGACATATTGGCACCTATCTCAACTCAACCGGAAACGCAATCTGGGGCCAGGGTGCAGTCTCCAAAACTCAGGATCGTGCCCATGCAGTGATCCACGGGCATCCAGCGGAAACCGAGCGCTTGATTCGGGCGTTCGGGCAGGAAAACCACGCGACCGAATTTGACTGGGACGGGGTCTACGGCGCGGGCTTCGACGTTGTCAACTTTGTCACGGCTACGACCGCCAAGCTTGTGGTCGGGCCGGACCCCGTGGCTAATCTTCGGGTGCGTTTGTGTCTGGGCGAGAACGGACTTCGCTTCGATGCGACCACCGCCACGGGCGCTGAGACTATGAAGCTGCCGCTTTACATTGATGGTAATGGAACTGAGATTGCTAGCGATTCCAACATCCTGGCATATTTTGCCACTCACGCCACGGGGCTCGTGCACCCGGGCGTAGAAGCTTTGCGCGGAGGGAGCCTCCTGGTCGAGATTGACCAACTCCTAGCCCACTGGCGCAATCGGATGGACCGATCGGGGAGCGTCGAATCTCTGGGTAGGTGGGAAGCAGCATTCCAGACACAGCCGTTCGCAAGTGGTGCCTCCTTTGGAATTGACGACTGTTCTCTCTGGCCCGTTCTTTGGGAGATTCAGGCAGCCGGGCAATTATCAAGCACCCACTATCCGAACCTGGTGCAATATTACACCCGAGTTGAGAAGCGTGGAATAGTGAAAGCCACGCTGGAGGAGATATTAGAGAAGCCTCAAACCCGAACATAGATATGTCCAATTCTCGATTATGAACATAAGCGAATCAGTTCAGATACCATTTGCAATGCACAAACTACCACTATACATAATAACTCCTATCCTTATCCGTCCACTCCTTTGTCTTCCCATCTGCTCAATCACAAACACGTCCCCTCAAAGCTCGTCGTTGTCAACACACTCTTCAACGACGTACCCGTGCAAACCACCGCCTTCAAGAACGCCTCAGCCACGACCTCCGCGCCCGCAGGACTGGTGTGGGTGTGATCGATGGGGAAATACGAGTTGACGGTGGCATTGCCCAAGGTCTCATAGATGCTGTCCACGTAGGACCAGTGGTCGACGTACTCGACGCCGGCGACCTCGGCGGCCAGCTCGGCGTACTCAACGAAGCGCGTGGGGGAGTCGACGAAGGTGCCGGTCTCCCAGGGGTTATTGGGGGTCTGGCTGCTGAGGATGACGTTGGCGCCCTTGGCGGTGAACAGCTTGGCGGCGTTCTCCAGGTAGGCGGGGAAGGTGAGGATGGTCTCGTTGACCCCGTCGTAGACGCTGTAGCAGACCTCCGCCCCGGTGCCGGAGCAGTCGGTGCGGCCGTTGTCCGTGGACAGCGAGCCGCCGTCGTTGTGGCCGAACTCGACGATCACGTAGTCGCCCGCCGTCACCACCTCGGCGATGTTCTCGAACCGACCCTCGCGCGTGTACGAGCGCGCGCTGCGGCCGGCGATCGCGTCGTTGACCACCGTCGCGGAGAGGTAGCTGGCGAGGTACTCGCCCCAGCCTGATGTCGATCAGCAGGGCTGTTAAGAGAGGGATGTCCTACACATACCGTTGGTTCCCGACCCGCCTCCATTCTTGGCCATGGTCGAGTCACCCGCCAGATAGACCGTCGTGGCGAGGGTAGAGGGGAGGAAGAAGAGCGGTGCGAGAGCGGCGGTCTTCATTGTGGCGATGTTCTAGGCTGTCAATCTTTTCTTGTGAACAGTGTGAATGATGGTTTGAACTCATACAACCGAGTGCCAACCTCCCTTATATACCCCCAACCTCCAGACCAATACGTGGAAAATCCCATTCAACCCATCCCACACGGACAATTCCCTCTCTTCCTCTTTTTCCCACCGACCTCGGCCATCGGACCAGAATCAGCATGTCAAACACCCCCAGTCTCAGGTTCAGTATGGGGTAGATGCACTCCAACCTTGGCATTCTGCACGCAGATTGCAGCTCGGGGGAATACTCCCAAAACGCTCCCTTCCGACATGTAGGTTCGGGGTGTTTGATCCCGATGCTCGGATACTTACTCCCCTCGTGGACTCCAGTATCCTCTCATCAAGGAATCAGGTCATCGAGTGGAGACGGAAGCGCAAACAAGCCCGCCGATCGACAGGGTTCAAGGGTACAAAGTGCTATATCTTCGGGTCTACGGAAGCGGGCGACCAAGGGGGGAGCGGACCGTGCGGAGTGCAGAGTGTATTCTGGGGGATTTTTCCCACCTGTGAGGGTGGATATGACGTGATGAAAGGAGCTGGAGTTCTGCAGGATGAGATGTAGAGTGGATATTGGCAGGGTGACAGGGTCGATGTCAAAGGGTGTAGTTCCGTTTCGATCTGGGTTTAGCGGGGCGGGAAATGAGATGCGTTAGTTTGTTAGTTTGGGAGGCGTGACGGAGTGGAGGAGCGGGGTACAGATGGTGGATCTTACTTTGGTGGTGTTGAGCGTCAAGCGCGGTGGTTTTCCTTCTCCAATATTGATCAGAATAGAATAAAATACTATAAACCTGAAACAAGGTGTGGAGTCAGAAGTTAGTCGAAAACAGGTTACAAGTGAGTACTACAACGGTACAATGGTGATGTGTCTTACCCCAGAGCTTCCGTAGTATCTAAGGAGGAATTAGCTAGTTGGAAGTACACTATGGCTATGCTCGGTGTACTAATGTCAGCAGTCATTCAGATCGCATCGGGCCCATTCACCATCTAAAAGATGGAGTTTCCTTTCTCTCGTATCTTTCCTTCTCTCCCTTACCGGCTCCATAATACATCCTGTTATTGGGTATACCTACTCCTAACAAGCCGATGTTGGTACGTCAGCAATACTGTTAATGTGCTAAATATTGCTCTCAAGGTATGGAATGTGATACTGTACTGTCCCCTATCTCAGGAATTCTACCATGCAGCATCATAAGTGAATCGAGCCTAGAAATGATACTCGCTGTTCCAGTACCATTATGAACTTGGGTTCAAGGCTGCAAGCCACATTTTTTTACTCGTGTGGTGATTCTTCGGTGAATTCTCTCCTTGCTTATCAACCATTGGTACATTCTATCATGATCTGGTGCCTATCAATTCAATTCAATGCAAGTTCTATCAACCTAAGGAGCCAGAACTGAGCTCGCCTAATCCGACAAGCTATAAAGTCTTCATCAAGAAGCCAAGGACTCGACATTTTTGCCGTATAACCCCTGGATACCATTGATGAGTATACCATGTTAGGGCTATCGGAGAAAGTGTTGATGATTTATAGAATCCAATTTTTAGACGGATAAAATTCAAACTTTTTTGAACACAACTTTTGAGGAGGATTTTGACTCAGATCCGGTTGCCTCATAAAATGAAGATTGGGCCAAGGCTGTCAAGAGTTTCACCAGATGAACCTTGAAGACCGACAAGCTGACCATTTCCAACAGATATCGTATGCTCATCACCACCACCTCCGCCACAATTTAAAACATGACCCCTGCTGCTGGTTTTGATGTAAATGTAGTCTAAATATTTTCCAGAGCGGATTTTCATAGACACGATTGTTTCGTCGTCTTCGAAATCGAAAGGGATTTCTTGCCCCGATGACCTTCCAAACTGTCGAGTCGATGTTCCATCGCTCCAATCAATTTTGATGCCGGTCACGACAAAACTACCGTCGTATACACCTTGCCATGCACGAAGGGTTTTGAGTGTATAACCGCCATCGATTCTGCAGGCCCAAAATGGGCTGCCACCACCCCCTCCATAAGTCTGGTTCGGGGCTAAATTTGGGGGAGGGTTAGAGAACTTGAACATAAGAGGAGATAGACTGTGGATAACAGCATCGCCTGTGCCAAAGAATCCACTGAGATAACCACTTCCAACATCAATCTCATGGGATATACCGCCCGGGCCACCAATCCGTTCAATAGGCTTCTTGTTGGTCATAATCTCAATCCTGTCGATGAAAGCTCCCCCAGCTATTATGAAATGGGTGATTCTCTCATCTGGTGGGTTGAGTATTATTTCTTCCCCGATACCCTGCTCGACTCCCCAAAACCGGGGGTGGGCCTGCTTCCACTCGACACGGATCCCCCTTATAACATCATTGTCCTCTGTTTCAAAGTTGCCATGCCATATCTCAATTCGTTTCACCTGGTCATTGGGTTCAGATGCTCGGAAACGCGGCCCACCTCCCTCGCCAATAGTAGCATTGGGAACAATATTATCATCTGCCATGAGGAGGATTTATCAATGCTAAGACAAGAGTATCTGTGGGATACTTAATAAAGATATGGTGACGAAGGGGTGAACTTGTATAGATAAACTTAGGATGAAAGAGCAAAGGCGATGAAGAATGCATACTTATATAAGATACTGCACCGTCAGAGCAAGATTTGCGAGTGCATCATCTGGCCTTGCCCTCGTATTTTCGTGATCATGAATCATGAATATGTATTCTTCCATGGCATACCACATTCTAGAGACAACGAAAATGATATCCGACGTCGGCAGTGATTTGAGATCATTATGATCCTTAGCTGTAAAGGGGTAGCCAATGGGTTGCGGAGACAGAAGAACTATAGTATAGAGCTCGTTTACGGTATATTTAAACTGGTTCTGAAAGTACCCGCTTGCGGAAATTAATCGATCTTGTGATGCTACCCGAGGCTGTGGCCAAGCTAAAACCTTTTAAGCCATTAAGGTAATCATTATTTTCTCCACCGGACTGCACTAAGCCCTCCATGCTTTTCGAAGTATCTCCTAACATGGCCTTTAGCTTGGGCTGTGCTGAATGCCAATAAAAAAAATGTAAGCGAATTAGTAGCATTTTTCTGACCAGCTGTTCTTCTGTTCGCGTTTCCATGTCGGAACTTCAAGATCTAGTCGTTACCACTCCTAGCATAATTTATCATTTGTTGGGCAGGGAGTGTGTCGTGGTGTATGTTTACTTTTTAGCAGAGAGTACAGTCTGTCTGCATAAGTTCCTCGCAGACAAAGAGAATAGCTAGGGTTCCTTCATGTTCCTCAAGCCGTCCTGATCGGACATTTATTGGGGTGGTATCGGTTAGTAGTCCTTGGCAGACGACCAATTCCCGTGCTGATGGTGCCGGAAATGACGTGTCCCAGCTTTTGCAGAGTCACATAGCCAGGGGTTTACATTTGTCCTTCTCGGAATGATTCTGACTATGCCAAGAACTTAAGATTCCCAACAGCTCTACACAAATAGAGACTGTTTTCCCCCAACCCGGCACTGCTCAGGACTTAAGGCAAGCAACAGTAGTTAACAATAAGTTCCCGCTGCTCTATCTTCCACAAGCTCCGTGACACATTTTCTAAATCGCACGTAGCTGTGACTCAGGACTATTTCCTCTAATGTAGACTTTCGGTACCCGAAAATCACCAGATGTTTTGACTCTGAAACCTTGTTGCCGCCACGACAGCCTGGCGGCTGGGCTGGGTGGGACCAAGCGTTTCAGCCTCCTCCTACCTGGGTCTCTTCAGAACAGTATTCCAGTATCCACCTCGCAGGATCTAGACTGCCATGTGAGACCTGTCAGGCACGGCTGGAGCTGGGGACGGTCCTCATGAAGATGAACTAGTCACATCCCTCCGTGTAGGCCCGCTCTGGCGAGTCAGTTTGTGTCTGGGAGTAGCAAGGGCGTTTGACATACGGTAATTGACTTCTTCGTGAGGTTCATGTGGTTAGGATTGTGATTGCGTCTGGGAGAGTGCTTTGCTGATTTAGGTCTTGAGGTAGAGGTCATGAATGCGTCAAACGCTTGGTATTCTCTGTGCCTCAATTCGCGCACAGGCATCCTCCTCTCTCATCAACATAATTGCATTCGATTTTCTGGACGCCAAGAATAGTAAAGCATGTCGTGCATTAGCGGTCTCCAACTGCGTAGTGTAATACAGGCTTCGCCCATCTGAGACTGGCTACATTGTATAGCCATGATGACTATCATGCTCGACATCTGATACACGATCGCTATATACCCGCGTCAGCAGTTTGGATGTATCACGATAGACCAGACCGACTGTTGGACATCAGTAAAGGTTTCCAACCCTTAGTTCGATCCTAATTATGAGCCCCAGGCCATACAGGAAGCTTTCTCTCCCGAAAATTGGGTCGTTGGCAATACCTTCTTTTTGCAAAAGCAACCCATACGGTCAGGTTCTAAGTTGTACTAAGCCAGCAGTACCAGAATCTAATATACACCCTGAGCGCACCTCATGTGAAAGGAACAACGAGCTACAATTTCTCAAAAGTTGGCTTCCGCTTCTGAATCCCCGACAACAGCGCCGCCTCAACATCCTTCGTCTGCAGCGCTGCACTATTCCAAACCGCCGTATACCGCAGCCCTATCACCAGATTAGTATTATATTCGTCACCCTCCCCATCCCCCTCCCCCTCGCCACCAGAACCAGCCCCCAAGAAGAGAAAACCTACCATCCTCAACCCTCCGATCCCTTGACCAATTCAACAACTCCTTCGTCCCCTGCACAGCAACAGGACTCTTCCCCGCCATACGACTCGCTAACCCCAACGCCCCCTCCACCGCCGCCTCCTTATCCTTAAAGACATGCGTTACAAACCCCACGCGCAGCGCCTCATCCGCCCCAAACTCCCGCGCCGTCAAACTCACCTCCTTCACCCACCCAAACGACCCCACTACTTTAGGCAAACGACTCAACGTCCCGATATCCGCGGCCAACCCGATATCCACCTCCTTGACGGCGAAGCGCACGTCCTCCGTGCAGACGCGCACGTCCGCCGCGACGCTGAGGTCGATGGCCAGCCCCAGCGAGAAGCCGTGCATCGCCACGATGACGGGTTTCTCGCATTTCTCGACCGTGGAGATGCAGTGCTGGAATTCGAGAATGTGGCGCCGGAGGTGGGTCGCTTTGCGGGCGGGGTCTATTTGTGCTGATTCGGGAGAGAGGGTGCCTTCCGAGGCGGCGTGGACGTCGAGGCCTGCGGTGAAGGCTTTGGGGCCCGCGCCGGTTAGGATGATGGCGCGGACGGTGGGGTCGGTGGAGAGGCGGGTGAAAATGTCCGAAAGCTCGAGCCACATTCTATTTGTCTTGACTGTTAGTATTGTGGATTGCAAGGTTGGAAGAAACGGGGGGAAGGGGAAAGAGGGAAAGGAAGGGCGCGCACGCTTCGATGAAGGCATTTAACTTGGAAGGACGGTTGATCTCCACGTGGGCGACATATTCGTGGTCCGGTGGGAAGGTGATGTTGAAGTGTTTGTAGGGGTAGGGTTGCGGTGACATGGTGGTTCAATTGTATGGTGGGCAACGGTGGATGGGAAGTTGAAGTTGAAGAAGGAGGAAGGAATGAGGGGGTAAATTAAAATGTGGTTGGATTCTGGGGTAGCTCAGGTTGAGCCGAGGTAAAATCGCAGGGCGACCGTTGGGGCAATCAGCTGCTTATCTACCGCGGATAAGTTGCCCTGTGGATTAATCAAAACTCACCAAAAGGAAATGACCAAATCGAACACTGGAGATGATCATACGGGTGCCTAGTCAATCTTCGTGCTTATCAGGATGCCTCTTACACTTATTGTTGTACAATGATCGATCTGCTGTGCTGCGATAGGCCTGTCGACCGATATGACGTCATGAGTCATCTGGTCCGGTACCTTGGAGAGCGATATAACAATAGCGTAGGTGCGCCCACTTGAACATTCTGTGGGATTGGAAAGCGAGAGATCCGATACAAAGCATGTAATCACATAGCTCAGTTATGCATACGGCCATCTCGCGATCTCCGTAAATCCGTTCGCTTCTACTGCTGATAGGCTAGCATTTCCTATCTGCATCGTTGACGCGCCTGCGCAGAGTGGGGGATTTGTTACCCTAGGTTTCTTTGCTGTAATCAATATGAGGAACCTGCTATTTTAGAGCATCTACTGTAGGGTCGATATTCGTTGCGTGACATGCCAAGAACATAATTCCATGGCAATAGTATAAGTACTGAGGTTCGACAATTCTTAGACAAAGGAAGCCGTATCACAAACAGCAAAAAACCCGTAAACAACTCGGAGCAATTTACCATGCGAGGCTTGGCGTAGTTTGCACGCCATCTTCTCGTACCGTTCGCAAAATCTCTGCTCCTGCGCCGACGAGATGGATGCTTGGGTCGGCAAGGCGGACAAAGAAGAAATGCGCCCGTTTGCGGACATTATTTTTTAGGGTCAAGCTTCCGAGATCGTCTTCCCGTGTCATATCAACCTCGTATGGGCTTGGCATACACCTCCCACGGTACGAGTTACAAGATACGACTGCCAAGGTGACAGCATTGAGGAGGCAGGGTTACTCACCTAGCAACAAACGTAGCCAAGGGTTGAATAGAAAAAAGCTCAATATGAAGGCAGAGATGTACGGACGGTATTCTCACGGCGAGAATGTAATCTAGGGAGCCTTGAGAAAGTATAAAGAGGATAGGATGTGCAATACGAATTAGGTACCCCACATAGTCCGCTCAGCATCAATCGATCATTTTTCAAGCTGATACGTCGAAGCACAATAGTTCTAGGCTCCTAGCGCACCCTTCTCTTCCAATGCCAGGCCTTATTCATCTAGTCCGCCATGCGGAAGGCCTTCACAATTTGCGCCAGGATTACGAAATCCACGACGCCCCTCTTAGCGAACGAGGGTTCAACGAAGCCGACCTACTAGGCCAGAAGCTCATCTACAGGTACTCTGACCGCGTTGGCACAATCATGTCCAGCCCACTGCGCAGGTCGATACAGACTTCCTTAACCGCATTCCGGCAGATCTTGAATCCAGTCCAATATCCTGCCAATACAGGCGTGGGTGCTAAGTCCGGACTGATGTTGATGCTCGACCCAAGGCTGCGGGAGTTCAGCGGCCCGCCTTGCAACACCGGCTCCTCAGTAAGCGAGCTGATGTTGCAGTTCCCAGCTCTGGATCAGCTCCAGCAGCTCAATCCAACGTGGTTTAACAGCCCTGGACATAATCAGCCATCCGCGGAGCTCAGACAAGAGATCTTGGGACGGTTGGAGCAGATGCAGACGGATCTGCACAGGGGTTTTGATCCCGACAGAACTGATATCGTGGTAGTAACTCATGACGGGATTATCAGGACCCTCGCACCTGGCATCCAGATTGGTTTAGGGCAATGGAGAAGCTTTGAGTTGGTGAGAGGCGGGAATGGGACGCTCTCGTTGGAGGTCGTACCAGAAAGTGAAAATTCTGTTAAAGAAAACATCTTGACAGGTGGTATGAACTCAGGCGTCTTTTCGATGGCAAGTGTGTCCACACTCAACTAGTGAGGGTTATTGAAACTTGAACCGCATGAACTCTCGGGACTGTCATATGAATCTGATCATCAATGAAACCGAACGTCAAATTGGCTTTCATCAAATTCAGGTTTCGAAAAACTTGGTTTGAAAAACCTCGAATGGAGCGATGAGCTCTCGTAATGGAGTAATCGGATTCGACCTAAGACATATAGAGGGGTTTGCGCCGTACTGAAATGATGCGAAAGTCGGGTTGTGCAAGTGACCCACTCACCAAACTTCGTACTAAACTCAAGTTCCTTCCAATTTATAGATTTGGCATTCTCACATGCTGGGTCAACGGTACCTACCTTGTGGAGCTACTCGAGCTCTGGATGTGGCGCCAAATCACCTTCCATCTTCATCTTGCTCTGATGGAACCAGCTGGAACGCGCATGTCGTGCTTCCACTTCACCTCTGGCTCGTGGATATTTATGCTCTCCTATCATATAAAGTGCAACAATGAGTTGCCTGAAAACGGAAGCTCTCGTATCAAATAATTGTGGCCTTCGGTTGGATTATACAAAGCCTTGGCTCGTGTCTCAATGATCATCCTAGGAGACGAAGCCTTTGTCTCCATGATCGGCGTTCACGAGAGCTATGTCCCCAGGTGGTCTGTGTACCCTAAAGCACGCATTTGAGACCGCTCCAGACCTGTCTAGACAGCGATAGCAGTGGTCTTGAACGTCATGGACTGGCGCTGTTCTGCATCGCACAATTATCATCAACAATGGCTATAAAGTCACACGATCATCCTGCTTTCCTGCTATTTATCTCTTTAGAAAGCTCTCACATCATATGATGACAGAATATCTGCAGACAAAATCTTATAATAATCATGCTGTTTGACGAAATCCCAGAAGTAGAAGTTGCACGCACTCCTGGCGGAGCACTACAGAGTGTTGATCACGCACAGCAGCCTTGGTCTCCCAAGTCTGAGGGCCAAGCTGTCGCGGCGCTCTCCACCCCGCAAAGCGTGGCAGAGCAATACCTCAAGGAGGTGGCGAGCGAGTACAAAATAAACTCCGATGTGAACAGCCTGACCGCCCCTGATTTTGATCTGAAGTTTGAGCAAGAAAGGCCCCGCTTCAGAAGCAGAGCAGTGATCTACCAGCAGACCTTCAAGGATTGGCCCGTGTGGGGTGCGCAGCTCAGTGTCACTGTGCGTGATGGGGACAACCGGGTCATCAACTCCAGCAGTACCCTGCACACCGATGCCTCGGGACCAAGGCTGCCCCCGGACGATGCCAAGTTTCTCCAGAATAGTGTCACGGAGGATGATATTGCTGCATCGCTTCACGTCCCAGTCGGAGGGGATGGCATCAGCTTCTCAAAAGAATTCAAGCAGAAGACAGAAGAGCAGAAAAAGGAGAAGCAGCGCATTCTTGTCTACCGCTACAGTGCGGAGGGCAGGCAGGAGCAGGCAGGCGATTCTCCACCGATCCTAGCCTTCGAAGAGGTACCTGAAAAGATTGAGGATGGCAAGTACTATGTGGTCCGGGAGGTCCTCTTCTCGCTGCCTGTCTCGGGTTATGGCAAGCTCAACTGGAGAGCCTTTGTCGAAGTCGAGACAGGATCAATCATCTACCTGCAGGCACTCACGGCCGGCCTGACAGGCTGGGTTTTCTCCAGGGACCCCGTGACAAAGCTGGGGCACAGAGGTCCCCTGCCAGCGGGCAATGTGGTCGATTTAAATCTTCTACGCGACAGAGTGCTCCTTCCTGATACTATGACCTCGTCTCCTCAGAGTCTCAAAGGCCGATTCGCAGCAATCGAGGATTTCAGCTTACCCATTAAAGTGCCACCCACCACGACTACAGGCGAGTTCAAGGACAGCGTGGAATCAGATACCTTTGCCGCCGTCAGTGCATACTATCATATCACCAAGCTTTTCAGGCTTCTCGGTGAGCTGGGCTTCTCGGTGAAAGACTTTTTCGATGATACGAAACTTCCCGTGCCGGTCGATCATCGTGGATTTAAGGATGCGGTCAACGCGCAAGCTCCAGGTAATGCGACTGGTACCGGATCCGGAGGCTTCATCTTCGGCCGGGCGGACCCCAATTCGAGAGTGGGCATAGCTGCAGACTTCCGCGTCGCAGCGCACGAGTTTGGCCATGCACTTCTTTGGGATGCAATCCATTGGCCCGGCTTTGGGTTCGCTCACAGCCCGGGTGACTCGCTCGCCGCCATATACTCGGACCCGGGAAGTGATGCCCAGGACCGATTTGATACGTTCCCGTGGAGCACCGTAGTTCGTCGCCGCCACGATCGTAAAGTCACTGATGGTTGGGCATGGGATGGTCCCCGGTATATTGAAGACGACTGGTCGTATTATCAACGCGAGCAGGTCTTGTCGACGACACTCTTCCGACTCTACGGCGCCATTGGAGGAGACGCGATTGGTGATATCAATCGACAAATCTGGGCGTCGAGGTACACGTTGTATCTCATCCTAGGTGGCATCGCAGGCATAAACACCAGGATGCCGATGCCCGATCAGTATGTCTCAGCCATGATAGCTGCAGATGACCGCACGGTTTTGGGGCATCCTGGTGGTGCTGTCCGAAAGGTCATCCGCTGGGCGTTCGAGAAACAAGGCTTGTACCAACTGCCAGACACGCCCCGCCCAATCATGTCCGAAGGGCTCCCGCCCGCAGTTGATGTGTACATCGACGACGGCCGAAACGGAGAGTACGACTACACTCTCCTTTCTGATAATACTCCCGGCATCTGGAACCGCCAAGCGGCAGACGGCGGGCGGGTCAACCAGTCTCCTAGACCTGGAGAGCAAAACTTCATCTACGTGATAGTCAAAACCCGCGGTACCGGACCTGCAAATAATGTGAGAGTAACCCTGTATCAGTCGAACAGCCCCACGGCCACCCTGTGGCCCTCTCACTTCGATGTGCGGGGAACTCAGAACCTCGCCGGTCCTCTCAGTGGGGACGAGCAGCACACATTCGGACCTTTCGCCTGGGTCCCCGATCAGAATCCATCGTTTGACAGGGATTGCCTATTAGCCGCCGTCAGTGCCGATGGCGATCTCCCCAACACTGACAGAAGCACTGGGCTGGCCTGCGCGGTCGGACCGACTGATATCGACAATCTGGTTCCATTTGATAATAACCTGGCAGTCCGATACCTCACCCGGCCCTAATTCACGTTGCCAAAGTGCATAACCACGAAACATGCGCTTTGGCCAATGCGTCCGTCCACTGGAAAAGGCTTTGGCCTCAATATGGTAGTTTGATTTCGACTGAACACTCTTGTTTAGTGACTGAATGTGTTTTCTTTAGTTTCGTTAACATGTTGTACTATATACAGACTGACACCGGTGGGCATGGCATCGATTACGGAAAAAAGATTCCAAGTTGGACCATAGTCAAATGATTCAGAGCACTCAAATGATATTGTCATCTCGTATCATAGTCTGACAGCTAGACTGCCCACTCTCGCTGGTTGGGATATCTCCTGCCACTTTCCCCACAATTTTGTATCGCTTCTAATAGAACTCAAACTATTCATTGAGGATGGTTTGCTCTTGCTCCCCAAAGTGATGGAACTCGGCTGCGCAGGACGGCTTGCGGAATGATGATTGAGCCAGTGCCTAAGACGGGTCTTTTCCCTCATATTCTGGAGCATAATAGAATGACATCAATCTTATTTGAGCACTCTATGCCCATTGGGAGCAATGGTATACCATGATAACATCCCCCCCCCCCGGGGCGAAAGCAGAATTTGACTGACATGAAACACTATTCCCTTGATCGCAAACAGGGTTGGACGTGTTGAGTCGACGCCTGAGCGAATGTCATCCTGAGGTCTAAACCCTCATGCTCAGTAATTCAAAAACCATCTGCAAGGTACAGCTCATGAAGGCTGACAGCATCGAGTTTGTTGAGATCGAGTGGCTCGGGATAATCCATGGTTTGATTCATCATTTCTCGGACTTTTCCTCTAACAACAAAACGAAGTGCATTTCGCCATCTACGGTCGGAGGCTGGCACTCGACTTCTTAAGGGTCAACCTTCCGAGGTGAATCGGTAGTATCTCCTTGCACTGCCTCCCCTGCTATTCCAATTTCACGGGAATAGTCGGTTGCTGGCCTCGGGCACAGGAGAGAGGTTAGATTAGGTAGATGTACACCTTCACGGTTCCATGGACCAAGATGCGAATTGACCTGCACAGTAGTTCTTGAGGACATAGCGGAGATTCTTTGTTTTCCTGCTATTCATTCTGGCGCGGCGGGCTTGGTAGCGAATCGGGTGGAGTTTCTGCCCCCGAGAAACAACGGTACGAACATCCCCGCAATGATGGATTACGGATGTGATCACGATACCTACCTAAACTTTCGAAAACTTTTCTCTCTAGCACTGGATCATATGATTCGCTGTATATGTGACGGTACTCGTTCTCACGCATGGCATTCCCCACGCCGAGCTGTCCCTTTTCCCATCCTGCTCCCGAGTCTCTTTTCATCACGTCATGGATTTCCCCGACCTTTTACCGTTTTCAGCCTGGAAAGATGATGAATGCTGGACCCTTGATTAAAGGTGTCACATCAAAAGCTTTGAGGATCCTAGAGTAAAATATATATTCTGATCGACATTATGGGTGATCACCCTGATCCAGAAAAGCCTACGGTCTGTCCATCGAGCCTGAAAGGCAAATGACACCTGGCTGTCAAGCTGATTGACAGATCAAAATCCTCGCACAAGGTTGCTGTGCTATTTGTTTTTTCCAAATCAGTTGATACTATAATGGTACTGATAAAACAAGTTTATTTTATGTATTTCCGGCTAAAGCATACAGTGTTTCTTGTGATTAACAATCACGCACAAGATTTCTTTTTCGGGTCCTATTATGCAGCTCTTTAATTACTATTGCCAGCAAAATGTTGTGTCTCTTTTATATAGTCTTTCAACTTTGGTTGTTCGAGCTTCGATGCAGAGAATATTGTGCCCCCTTTAATATATTTTTTCAAGACCATCGCAACCATAATAAGCTTAAATAAACAGACAGGCGTATTGACAACTGATTGCCTTGTAAAAGTCCAGATTTAATTAGAAAACTAAACAGCACCGTTTTATAACAATAATGTCTAATCCTGGAGAGGAAAGAGAACAATTCGAGAATGGCATCAGAGAGAAGAAATCTGCTGCAGTCAAAGGATCAGCAAATAATGCACTGTGAAAATTCCTGATTACGTGAGTCTCAATTATACTATTTTGGCGCACTCTGGGATGACTTACTGACTATGTGGCGCAGACATAAGCCAGGGGTTTGCCAAAACTACTGATCCAATACACCACTCGCTCGATAATCTCGAATCAAAAGATTGCTGTGCGATGAGTAACACAACACTAGGAAGCCCATGCGGACACTTTAAAAGCACATACTATTGCTCCATCGAGTGCGTAAGAAGTGACTTTCCTTCACATAGCCTCCATTGCCAACATTTCGCGACTCAGCCGGAAAGACCATCCCTGGAACACAAGCGGGCCATATTCTTCCCAGTGGAGAGCGACAACCATCCGATGGAAATGCGACTACTCTAGCTGGTCCGAAGATTGCTTTGACAGAATATAATACAGAGTATAAATTTATCTACTACATACGACCATAGGGTGTGGAAAACAGGGCTTCCCGTCCGCTCAGCCGTACTTAAACCACACGCCGGGAGGTTAGTAGTTGGGTGGGTGACCACCAGCGAATCCCTTCTGTTGTATGTTTTTTTGTTGCCCTTCGTGGTGAGTCTATTGATATTTTTTTCTTGGAAGAAGGACAACATCAGGCCTTAGGCAGGCAACAGGGTCAGCCGACGGCCCAGTCTTGGCCCTGTGCCCAAACTGAGTAACAGGTCCTGGAGACAGGCGCAGCCAGCAGAGCCAGAAACATTTGCTTCACATCACAAAGAGGATGCAAGTTATCCCAGTTGCTGCTACAGCTTCTCGGCAAAATAATTTGAGTGTCTATGAGAAGTGATTTCTTTATTACCATAAAACCATGAGGTTGGTTCACATTACGTAACATAGGTTCACTCTACAATATTTACTGCTGGAGGTCAAATAGTGATAAGGTCAGAAAAGGCTAGATTCTAAAATATGATGTCGTCCAATGCACTTCCTGTACAGCATACTTCTGAGTCAGAAAAGAGGCGTCGCTCCGTCCACCACAGAGCCTTTGTTTGCTGGAGCGTATCGGCCCGACTCCCAGTTCGCGGTTAACTCCGGTTTCATTGGTTCCAAATCGATCAAGACACAGTCAGCAGAGAGCGTCTGAGACCAATCGATGAGATAACCCAAGCGGTCATACTGATGAGCAGCTTGATGGGCAAAGTCCGCGTAATATTCCGTCCGCGCCTCCGCACCCAACCAGCTAGTGTAAGTGGAGAATCGAATGATGCTTTGGCCAGTGAGCACTGGAATTCTTTCCATGCATCGCCTTGTTTTCACTGAAGGAAGGAGAACGATCACTCCCTGGGGATTATCGTGTATGAAGGCCCAATAAAGACGCTGGAAGCCTGGGATATCGAGACAAAGGTTAGAGACTCCTCCCACAAAGCGAAGGTGACATGACTAGAATCTGTAAGATTGACATCTGGTCGAAAAGTAAATCTGACAAGAACTGAAAATAGGGTTATCTGGCAGGCACACTGCGAAGGTTCTTTCGGTCCAAGGGGCTCCAGCTAAGCATGGGTACTTTCGCTGATCCCACCTTAGATACTGGTTGCATCAGAACGAGGAACAACCGTCTCTTTCCTCTTTCCATGAATGACAAAAATCAATACGTGGTGCGATGTTAGGTTCTTGTTAGTGTCAAAGAAGATCAAGCTCGACTCCGTTTTTCTCTGTGAGGGTGGAGATTTATCACCAATAGTCTGAAAAGTGGGGCAGATGGGTTCCAATCTGAATAATAGTCGATTCTTTTCATCTTGATTTGCGGCCAGTGAATAAATGGACGAGCAAAAACTTAAGTATGGCTACATTGCGATTGTTTATGTTTGGCGAGGAAAATTTACTCCAACAACGGTCGCGTTGATGGCTTAAGCTGGAGGAGACGTGGAGGACTTCGGCCCGGTTTTACAGCACTCACGAGCGAGAAGATTGGATCCTTGCGGACTTTCATTCTTTAATCGGTGTGTAGTATGATTCTATTGCCAGACAAGAAGGAATTAAGCCACTATACCAATAGCCTGGTCAAAGACTGGTCACAATCTCTACATGGGACCTTCGAATGCATAGTGTTAGCGTATTGGCACAATTGGTGCGCTGTGTCGAGTGAACATCACCCATTGGCAAATCTAAGCAATGCCAACGTGCGGGACGGGCCTCCACCTCGGCTACGCAACCCCGGGCCGGACCCACCCGCTGCGGCAACATATAAAGATGAGGCAATCCCTCCCTCCCTCCCCGTGACCTCAGCTCTTTCCTCATCATGACCATCCTTCCTTCCGCTGCGCTAAGCTGTCGAAAAAGAAGAAATTTTTTGCTCTGCCATGCTCTGCAGAGGGCTCGAACCCCGGTCTTTGCCCAGACAAGACAAACAACTAATCACTCCGCCATCAAGGGGTCCTACAGGCCCAGCGCAGCCTAAACACCGAGTGATGTAGTGACTTCCTTCATTTCTCGCCTCGAAGGTCTTGTACACCCTCGCAGCGCGCGTCCAGCCTACCCATCACGAAAAACGAGCCAAATCATCCCCGCTCGTCGGAAAATTTTGTTCTAAAAAAGTCCATCACTGGAGCACACCTTTCTGCATGTTCTATCCCCATCTGAGACAAATCGCATGGCGCGGGGGCCCTCTACAGCGAGGAAGCGGTCACGGCTGCTGGGTTATGCCCCCCTGTAGCTGCTGTACTTTCAATAAGTCCCCGTTGTAGTGTTGCGGTAGCACGGCGAGACGCTAGAACCCTCAAGTAGGATCACGTACCTGCTTGGGCCTCACTTTCATGGAGCGCAGGGCCGGGTTCGACTCCCGGCTTCGGGGACTTATTTTTTTTCTGGTTGTTTTCGAGACCAGCGGCTTCGGATCCCTCTTGTGGCTTTAACGCACTTGTTCTTGACCTTTTTTCATCGGTTTCCATTATAAAAAGCCTCGATCATTTCATAAATCTTGATCCGAGCTAATTCCGATCAGTGTGGGACGTGTTGTGGGGCTTTTCGATACGGTGGAGTACTTAGGTCTCTGTAAAAGGGAAAGCTCCCACGCCCCGGTTCGAATAGTTCAAGCTATGCTGGATGGCCGTGTACACAGCAAGTGCATCAATTGACGAGTATTTCTTAAAATTTCGTATTTTAGAAGTCGTGACTAGACACACAATTAATTGATGAGTGCTTTTATCGTCACTTAACACTAAACTGCCCGTCAATAGTCAATACTGGATTGGTGACCGACAGAGCATACTACTTTCTCCCCGGAGAGCTTTTCTAGCCTATCCCAAGGTACAACAACAATTCTGGACCTGGGAAGTGGGGATTGGAATCCTATATGTCTAGGCAGATAAGCCGGTAGACAATCAGAAGAATATTGCTTGCTAGATGGACAGGAGTAAGGCTTCAAAACGTTCCCTGGTGTGCGCTCCGACACAAGGTATATCGACACCACCAGGAAGAGTGGTGGTATGGCGACCATGATGAAAACAGAAGACTAGTCAACTTGCGATTGCAATGGCACTTATTCTATGTCCGGATCTAGGGTTGACTTTCGCGAAGCCAGCAGAGAACACCCATGGCAACGAAGGGGCCACAGGGCAATAGCCCACGGTCGCCTCCAAGCGGCGAGGCTGATTAACCCCTGTGGATAAAGGCTCGCATAGAAGGGCTTGCAAATTCAAAGGTACGGAACTAATCGCAACGAAAAGAGAAGACCTGACTCAGATAGATCCATTGGCACCTCTAGGTGAAGCGGAGGATAGTCAAGAGCAACTTGATTGTTGAATAACGGTGGCTAGCGACGAAGGACCCAAACCACGAAGAACCTACACTTTGCCCACCCAGCCTGGAACATCAATGGCACCTGATTGTAGAGCCAAGTGACCGGTGGATGTCCTTGGGGAGGGTAGTTGCATCATTGGGTTCTAGGCAGATGTCACGATGCTAACGACACAAGGAGTCTGTCTTCTATGACCCTTGATAAAGCCTAGGTACTTCGCCAATCGATAAGTTTGTGGGTAATCTTTGCTTGCGGACGGTTCCTGCTTGTCCAGCTCCTTGAACATCATTATCACCAAGCTCACAACAACCCACATCCAGCTCTCGACTTCGGTTGTCCGAGGTACGATCGTGAGGATGTTGTGTCCGGCTTATTGCATTCCTTGGGGGCCATCGCGACTGCGATGAACTCAGATGACCTGGGAGGCATGTCGACGACTATTTGCTACTTATAATCCGGGTTTGGCTTGCATTATTAGACTGCTTAGGTCCATGGCAGGAATGAACATGTCATCTATAAGTGGAAAGACACAAATCGAGGTTGTACCCATTCGTCTCGATGTTTTCTTTGGTGGATAGAAGAGTTCCGCAACGCAAAAGAAGACAGCCTCAAGTATCACTTCCGGGCCGAGGTGTTGTACTTTCTATCCATCCAGCCAGCACTGGACCTTGCAGGTCTGCCAAGTGCGAGATTCTACGGGCGCTGCGGACTATTCGAGGATCTCGTGGTTTGTTCTGTACGGCGGGACGCCTTGCTCTGGGCCACCCGCATCACGATATGGACCCGGAATATATTTGTCGAAGTCTTCGAAAGAAGCGTATCCGCTTGGAGCCGTAACCCAATCCAGTCTAAGAGTCGAATCAGTCATCTTGAAGATAAATGAGCGTTGTCAGATACCGCCTGCTCTTTCATGTTTTGTAACCCTTGAAATACCGTTGCTCTTATATGCAGACTCATGAGCTTGTTGCTGACGGCCAACAATGTCGGCGCGCGACAAGAATCTCGGACTGGCTTTGGGGAGGGAGCAATCGGCCGCGGGACGGTTTCGCTTGTTCGTCGTTAATACTGCTTGCTACATTAGAGCTGCAATCTTGATGAAGAGCACATGGGACAGGGTAGAAAAAAGGTGTGAAGAATAGATGTTGTGTAGAAGAACTACAAAGGGATCAGCTCAACAGAAGTAATGTGTTTCCCTGGAACTGCAGACGAGCAAGGAGGAAGTCACGATCCCAGTGCACTCAAAACATGCATTGCAAACGGGCCAGATTCTCTGGTCAGGTGATCACTGATTCCTTGCTACATTGACTCGCTCTACACTCCATCAAGTTCATGCCTGCCTTCGTCATCTTTCATGCAAGATATGCAAGAATCAAACACACACCTCTTCAACCACACTGATCACAGCTTTGAGTCCACCCATTTTGGTTTCTTCTTATTCGCAAATGCCTCCAGGCCGATTCGATAGTTTTTGCCCCGCATGAGAGCCCTTCCATATTGCTTCGTCGTGCGGCGCGTATGTCGTTCAATAGTGTCCACCTCTAAAGCCTCGTTCAACCCATATCTCGAAGCAACCACAGAGTCAGGCGAGACGCTGACGATCCGCGTCGCCAGCTTAATCGCTTCATCCACCACCGTCTCTGGCGACTTGGAGATAACATTGACAAACCGCAGACCCTTCGCCTCCTGAGCTGAGATTCTTCTCCCCGTCAATACTAGTTCACTTCCGAGCTGTAGACCGCACGCCCGGAAGATATGGGCCAGCCCCCCGCCAGCCGCGAACGCCCCGATGCACACTTCCGGTAAGGCATATTCAGCCTCTGGGGAGGAGACAATAAGGTCACTACATGTTCGTTCATCATGAAGATGATTAAGCTTCTTCCTTCCCATTCTTGCTTGTTTCGCGTCAACCTACCAATTGAGACACGCCTCGAATCCCCCGCCAAAAGCGACCCCGTTCACCGCCGCGATCACCGGCTTCTTCCCGCGACGCAAACTAAGTCCCATAAACCCATCTTCGGGAACTGGGGATGCAAAGTTGTACTGCGGTGGTGGATCAAGCTGCTCCACTAGATCAGCGCCCGCGCAGAAGGCTATAGTGCCTTTTCCTGTCACTATCCCCACGCGGAGCGACGGCTCGTCATCGAACCAGTGCCAAATCTGCAAGCCCTCCGAGTGTCCCACGACGGGTACGGAGTTCCTCTGCTGCTCGCGATTGATGGTGACCAGCAGAACTCTGGATACGGGGAGACTGAGAAGGAAAATGGATGTCTTAGGTGGTGGCGTATTGAATTTGGGAGCATTATCCATGGTTAGACTTCTTTCGAGTTCGAGATGCTGAGGGCCACTGACTGTAGGGCAGGCGGCTACGCGTTTGATGACCTCCACTATATACTGTCACCCAAGCCAAGCTGGTCTGAGTAATGTGTAGCCAGCGCCTTGAAAGGTCTTACCATCGTATGATTCCTTTCGCTTGTGTCACTGGTTATGCCAACATCGCGAAAGTTTAATTGCCCTGTCCAAGGAATTCGGGGCAAATACCGGTTCCAACCCCGAGAAATCTTGACACTGTAATTCTCGGCGTTCACTTCCGTTGTACACAGAAACTTGAACCGATTCCCTTTTGTCCTGGTTGTGGTAAGTATACAAGCATTCATTGCAATCTTCTTCTATATCTCCAGTTGGAAAAAATGAGTTTGCGTTCCTCTTTCTTCGATTCAAAAAGGTTACACTGCGCGCCCACGCACCCCTATTTGATCTCTCTACTATACAAAACCTTATGAAGAACGCCTCACCGTGAACCTGCTCACACTATCAGTTTGTAAGTGGTACCAGCCAGATGACCGCCATGAACTACCCTAGAAAGTGGGGGTGCAAAAGGTTCTACGGTGATTGCAAGTACATCTTGTACGGCACGGACAAGCAGCGAACAGAAGTCAACTGGTTCTCAATTCATGCTCTTGTATAATTCTATATGTGATCTGCTATGTAGTCATTTAGCGTCTCGGTACCATATCTTAGTTATCAAGTCTAGGCCGCGTGTCACAAGAATGACTTCATCGAACAGGAAGCTTAAACCCACCCGGGACCTGGTCCTGGAAGACCAAGTCGGGATCCACTGACCGAGTAGCTCGCCACAGTCGCTCCACACTGTCATCGCCATAGCTGGAGATCGGATTCTGCCACTGGGCTGCATAGTTCAGATACTTAAAGGGATGGTAAGCCTTCTGCTCAAGAGCGTCATCCTCAATATCTTTGATGAGGTCACAAGCGGCTTTCTCCACTCGCGCATCATCCGCCTCGTCTACCCAGCTGGCACTCAGCAGTACGATCATCAGGGAGCCGGTTGTCTCCGATAGCCCCATCGAGTTAGCACTGCTGTGTCGGGCATAGATGGCGGGCGGCAACGGCTCCAGCGACAACGACCATCCTACATTAGCCACATCCTGAACTGCGGTCAGACTTTCGTTCCAGTGACGGTAGGTCGCGTTGAGCATGGGGACACTGGTGTAGAAGGTCGTGACGAGCCATAGCTGACTATTAACGCACATTTCAATTAGTCCCGACTCCAAGGAAAGGCAAAGAGAACCCACCGTTCGCCATCCGGCTGGAATGAGCCCTGCTCCGTGGAGATATCGGACATATTAGTCAAGCGCGACGTGTTGATCGCCGAAGGTATCGCAGTGAAGGGCTGAAACGCGGGCGGATTCGGCTCCGGCTTCGTGTACACCAAACTGTTGACAAGTGCAGCGCCTTGTGTGCCTGAGAAGCCAAAGCTGACGATCAACGACGCGAATTCGTCGTAGGTTTCAGCGTTGCTAAAATCAGCCGTCGCCTGCAGCTGCTCGTCAACCGTGTCGAAGGAGTAGTAGGCCAACCCGCCCCATATCTGGCCCTGCTCGATGGCTGTCAGCTGGATGTGCGTTACAACTCCGAAGTTGTTCGATCCTCCACAGAGGGCCACCCGAAGCTCGGGGTTCTCCTGCTCATTGGCATGAACGACAGATCCATTGGCCAGCACAATTTCAAAGTCGACGACTGTGTCGCAGGTCCACCCGTAGCGGGGCGAGAAGTAGGAGATGCCGCCCCCGGTGGTCAGTCCGCCCACGCCCACCTGCCCGACGCGACCGCCGGCTACCGTGAGGTTGAGCGGGTCAAGCGCTTTGTAGACATCACCCCAGGTGGCACCGGCTCCAACGGTCACGGTGGACCGCTCATCACTGACTTCGATCGAGTCGAAACCGTGCAGATCGATGGTCACCCCGTCGGCGATATTAGCCGCCCCCTCGACCACGTTGTGGCCGCCTGATCGGATTGCAAAGTCGCAGGTGGCATTGGCGGTCAGGTATTGGACCGCAGTGGAGACATCGGCGACAGTGGTCGGGGCCACGATGCAACTGGGGTACAGTTGCGATTCCTGCTGGGCAAAATAGGAAGCAAGGGAGGCGTTGTAGGCTGCGGTGCCTGCGGAGAACGTCTGGTTTGCGCCGAGGAGTCGATGAAGACCCAGGCACTGATCCTCATCCCGTCAGCAACGAGAGATAACAATCATTCGGGGGCAACTCACGCATGCACCAGTCCAATTGCTAATACCCATGATTATTTTCTCGATCGTGGGAAATTATGGAAGCAGAAGTAAGCAAACAGGCTGACATGGATTTTAAAAGAGGGGGGCGCAAGAGGTACGAGGTGTGGCTGGAATGTGGCTTCAAAGAAAGCGTCAATCTGACCGAGTCGGGCCAAGTGATCGACATGCTTGAATGAGATCTATCGATTTCGCTTATTTGGGTGAGATGAAGCCGTAAAATCTGCTCACAAACTCATATTAACTCATAGAGGTACTTTTGTATATTTTGACAAGGCCAAAGTGACAAAGACACATGCCACGCCCGCCCCGGAATCAACCCATGGCTACACCACCACCCGATTTCTGGTCCAGACCCATCCCCAAAATCTAATGATGTCAGACTCGTACCCACACAAAGAAGTCCCTCGAGTGTCCTGGTAAGTGGTACGTAGTGGAGAGTGGCAACTGTCAACCGCGTGATCCCCGCCCCTGACATATATACGCAGCTCCACCCTTCCCCTCTCGCGACACCGGGTACACATCTCGATCCTATCCCCATCTACTCAACAAACTTCCCACAGTCCCCACCCCAAAATAGCCAAGAAGAGACCACAGAAGAGATGGCAGCATTCGCAGCAGGCAATACACCCCCTGTCTTTCGGTACGTCGCTCAACAAGCCCTTCTTAGGTGCTGATCGTGGTGATGACGATGACAACTACGGTAAAAGTGGCGGCCGCAACAATCGCGCCATCTACACCGTCTGCGCCGTGATAGCAGGCGGCCTGATGCTGCACCGGTACTACACGAGCGCGCCAGTGGAGAAAGATGCCCTGCCGTTTCCCTACGGCGACCACAAGGAGCCCAAGGGCCGGACGGCCCCGAAGATCGTGAAGCAGCCTTGATACCATGATGCCCCTTCGCGTCGATGGGTTGGAGGGAATATGTGTTGGTCGGGATCTGAATTCGTGCTCGACCTAGGTCGAAAAATACGTTCTAACGAGGGTTTTCATTCTTGTTTTAGTGCAGCTGCAATATTTTGTTTGATATGCTGAAATGAATTTTTGATCGTGACTGTGCATGGCTTTTACTGACGGGATTTTTATTCGGGTAAAAAAGAGAGGGATGCTGTCAAAGAGGAACAACATCGCACTGCAGATACCTGAAAGTATACGGCTCACTTTATGCCAGATAACCAGCATTTCAACACAAAGTGCGAGACGCACTTTCCTTTCTTTTTAACTCATTGCTATAGTTGAGACTGTATATGTTGTGCTAACTTATAAGTTACTGATTATGCAAGCATCACGTGACCGGACTACAATCGGGCGGATCCATGGGAGGGATGAGCGTGACAAGATTGTGAGAATCAGCCTTGACAGCTCCATAACTTCAGCTACACTACTTTCTTCCTCATCATGTGCATCTCCAATTACCGCCAAAAGTAATTCAGCTACGGAGTAGACAACTTGGAATCTGGTTGGTGGTGGCAGCTGACCGAGAAGACATGGCGCAGCCTGGGTGCCTGTCAGATTGGGCTATCAGTTATGCCGGCGACCGTTCGCCTTAATTCCCTCAACCCCGCGCCTTGCTTTTCATCCTCTTTCATCCCACCATATCCTCACGCTGACTTATTTTCCCTCCACTGACTATTTTACCTACCATGCTTGCGAGATATCGACTACACACCCGTTCATGAACCCAAGTCGTCTCACTTCGCGTGAGAACAAACTCCCCGCCTGCACCGCGTCTGTTTGGGCTGGACTCGACAAAGGCGGTGGAGTGCGCTTAGGCTCCCATACGTTCGCTATTTACTCTTGCGCTCCTCTCCCACCCAGCTTGCAACAACTCCAAGACGATGCCACCACATACACCCAGTTGACAACCTGCGCGACGCGGGTTTGCGAGACCTTGCCAGTACTGTTGAATTTGGAGCCGTGTACTTTAGCTCAGCTGGCCTCGCTCCCCGTCTCTACCTCCCCGTCCATCGGCACCATCCCGACTGTTCCATGGTTCTTGCTCCATGCGTCGATGTTTGAGAGACACTGTGTGATTGGGCGTGGATCGGCCGTGGAGTCGTTGTTGATCATTCTGCAACGCCCGTGGTGTGTCCTCGAGGCTTGTTGCAGCAACACTGAAACGATCAAAGCCTTGAGAGATTTCGCGCTGACAGCGGCACAAGTCGACTCGGGCAGATACGATACAGCTGTCCGACTGCTCTCTCATGAGGCGGGGGCCCGAGGTCCGCCAGGAAAGGACGTTGTTCTACGAACCAAGCATGTCTGCCTGCCGCCTTCTTCTCTGGCCGCCGTCCGATCGATCTATGTGGCCTCCACCCTAAACGCCGTTACATCGTACAATCGCTTTTGGCTGTCGCTCATCTGCACCTGCGCCGTCTATCTGAAGATCCCTTTTTCCGAGCTAGTACGGCAGGTGCGGGACGATCTGTGCGGTCAGCCTGCAGGCAATGCCTTGAATCATCGGATTTCCCTCTATAGCATGTTGGTCAGGCAAATTGGTAATCAGGTCATGTGATTTATCATCGCGGCCGTCAAGTGGCTGGAAGTGGACTGGCTGGACATTCATCGTATTTGTGTCACCGGATCCTCGTCTCGTCCCAATCATAACTTTCTTCTCCTGCGCCAGTAGTTTGTTCCAGCAGTGGCCGTACACATTATACGCAGGCGCGTTCAAATCAAGTTAGTGTGGGGTCGGCCTGGTATCACTCCCGCACATTAATTACTAGCGCAGCCCCTGCTGCTACAGAACAGCGAATGGAAACTTGAGATGCACCTGCAGGATGGAGGCCGATGACCTCAGGCCCAATCACCCTTCATAAATCTTCGTGATCTCCCATACGCAGACGGATTCAGGCCGTGTTTTCAGAATCCCTGGCGGATCCCACCCAACAAAAGTCGGAACCAGCTGTCAGCGCACTGACCAGCTGGTCGGGCGAGGCTGCGGCGTTGCTATCACTTAAGGGCAACACAATCTCACTTCCGCCCTAACACTGCAACCCCCTTTCCCCACACAAGTATGCCACTCCCTACCCACGATGATCGATGATTGATGCTTGATCTCTTACGAACACTCGATGCCGACTTCTTCGGTGGAAACCTGGCTCCGGGGCCTGGCCTTTTCCTTGTGCGCGACCCTGGCCGAAGCCAAGTACCCCTTCTCATCCTCCTCCCCCAAAGCGACTCTCACCAATGATACCTCGGTCTCCTTTGACCCTCTCGGCGTGGCTGCCGTTTTAGGGAACCCACGAGCTGGCGCGAGCGCAGCCGGACTGTATGTGCAGTATGATATAGCTGTGTTTCACTGGCCACACATGACGATGATCGGAGGCACGCTCCCGGCTATGCAGATGCTGGTCGAGCACCTTACCTCCGCGCTCCCGTCTGTACATCCTGCAGTCCGATTGTGCGCTAACGAGACCACGATGATTCCAATTCGTTCCAATGTATCGAATCAGGTCTTCCGGGAACTCCCGCTGACGCTCAGTAACCTTTGGCTCCATGACTACATCAATTTTAAGCCCAGCAATGACAATCCAGGCAATGACTTCATGGTTATTTGTATCAATACCATCGACGAAGACGCGAAAAAACAAAAGCACCGCATGGAAGAAGACCCAGGCCTCGGGTGGTGGATGGCTGGCCGGCTGACTTTGTATCTTTTGATCTTGATCAATGGAGGAATGATCCTAGCGGCCATGCTCATCGGCATCCTGGCTGCAGACATCTGGGCATTCACCCTGTTTTTCCTCTACGGTAGTCACTGGATTGCGTCCGCGCTCATCACCTTCGTGCCCATGGTCAAGTTCCAGATCCCCGGCAATAAAATTGACGAGAACGCAAACACGCGATATGCGGCCTACCAGCGACCCGAGGGTGGTACTGTCATCTTCAAAGGCCGCCAGGACACCCTCGAACGCTGGGCGCGGTCGACCTGGGAGTACAATACTACTCCCTTGAAGGCGGTCCTGCATTGGACGTGGATGGTCACGGGCGCGCTGGCCGCCTTCGCCTCGGTCGCGTGCATGGTCAACATGCACGGATATCTGCAATTGGCGTTCTTGGCGGTGCTGGTATACGCAACGCTCGCCGAGATCATTGCCACCAAGATCTCGCGCCGCCTCCAGATCAAGGCCAAAGGGTCCGTGCCGTGGGAAGCGACGAAGAACAACGGGACCCGCTCGCAGGGGATCATCTCGGCTACGATTGCGATTCGCAAAGACTGTCGCCTGGAGGGCTTCGATTGGATCCAGATGGGCTTGCTCCCGAATATGCCTGCGTTTTGGCAGATGCAGGTCACGCTGGAAGAGATCAACAAGCGCCAGAACGAGGAGGAAGAACGGTCGACTCCGCACAGTCCTGACGAGATTGAGGCGCTTCAAAAAGAGCTGAAGGGGCTTTCCAACACGTACGTGCAAAAGGCGATCGACGCTTCTGAGGAGGACAAACGCAAAGCGACAAGTAGCTTGGCCGAGCGTCTGCGCACGGAGATGGACAACGCCGTCCAAGTTTGGCTTGAGACATTGAAGGAGAAAGAAACGGCACCAGTATCTTCCTTCAGTGGTCTCAAAAGCATCTCGTTCTGAACTTGTCCTTTGAGTCAGCTGGTGAAGCGAGTGGTCAGTTAGCCTCAAAGGCGACCTGCGAACATGTATCCACGAGGTCTGGCCATCGGGTGGCTCGTGTTCAGCCCTCGGCCAACACATGCGAAGCACACTGAATTCACGTGATTACGTCTACATATTTAACCATGTTTCCGAGTACATCATGTGTAGAACAAGCAATCCAGTGAGGATTCTTGCCAGTGAGGCTGTTTATACAAGTAAAGCCTCCCAGCCCTTGAGAACCTTGAAAGCAGTAGGTAAAGGCCACTTAATGTGTTAAGAAGCCTCTAAAATTCAGCAATCAATGCAGGTGATTACTTGTCCCCGGACGACCGAGTGCCTGATAGGGCTGAGCGCATACGTGCTTTGCAATTATCGTAGCCATCAAGTGGCTGCTGGGACGATTATCGTGGTGTTTGTGGCGCATAATTTGACAGTAGGATGAATGGAGGGGAGTACGGTATCAGTATAGCTGGAAGCTCCCCTCTGGTTGTTATTATACCTACCAAATAAAACACGGCTTGGTTATACTGTCTGTAGAGTTCGGCAGGGCTTACATCGGCTTGTAGGTTTTGAGCGCGGCGGCCACACCGAAAAAGTCAGAGTAAATGATTAATCAGGCCGCTCGGCTGGTGAGATACATTGTTGAGTCAGCGGGTTATACTATGAGCACAAGCCATCCACAGGATCTTCGCTCGCTTAACCACTAGCGCGGCCGCAAAAAATTCGAGCAGGTATATAAGCCGCCCGTCCCCCGATCCTCTTCTGAAAATCAAGCGACTCTACGTGAGTGATCCCTCCCCCTACCTTGGTGGCTTCCAACCCGAACCACCAGAAATCACCCATGATGAACAGTCTCACTAACCATTTTCTCGCATACAGTTCAAAGAATCACTTTAGAGTAGACGTCCCACCTCTGAGCTCTTCTAAAGAGCCACAGAATCCTCACCCTTGCTGATGACTTCTATGTCCTCGATGCCCTAAAGTGAAGCCGTTTTACTTCCGACTCGACCGTGTCTGCGCCGGCGGCTGGGAATATTCTGTTCGTCAGACTTATTCCCGCCATCTGGACGGGCGCTTTGGTCCAGGGAGTGGTGATGATCTTTACCTTGTCGTGACGTCTTGACTTCGGTCGGTCTGACTTGGTGGGCGTCGAGGAGGTCTGAAAGGTGCCCCTTCCCCCTTTTTCTGTTTCTTCTATCACATCAAATCAAATGAATATCTTTTCCAATGGAATCTTCTCGTAGTTTGTAGTATAATCAAATCTTGAGCTCTCGTTTTTTTTTTAGTCTTCCATCTCCATGATAAATGCCACCGTCGAATACAAGGGCGCCGCATCCCTCCACGCCTCGCGCCCGTACCCCAATACGATATCCGACAAACCACCGCTCAAACTTCTTCTTGTACAGCTGCTCCGGCGGCGGGGCCCCATTCCCAAACTCATCCAGGATACGGTCGATGTACATCCAAATGGCCTCGTAGTGCTCGGGCGACAGATCCTTGCGGTCCTTGCGCGCCACGCTTGCTGTGCCATCCCGGAGATGAGGTCAATGTGCAGGTAGGTGATGGGCTGTTTGTCCAGACAGCCGAACTTACCATTGTCGCACGTACCCATACGGTGCATCACGAAGGGAGGGTTGAGCAGGGCCGGCACGGGCGGGACGGCGTTGTCGAAAATCGGGTGGTCGGTCGGGTTGGTCGTCGCGGACCACGGGAGGCTCGGGCTTGGGCTTTGGGGCGGTCTCGGGAGCAGGGGGCGCGACGTTCTCCGGTTCGGAGTCGGTGTCGATGTTGTCCCATTTGGAGTAGTCGATCGGAGGCATCTTGAAAATTTATTGCTTTTGTTTTGGAGAGAAGAAAGGAGATGTTGAGTCAGTTGGGATGGGCAAAACAGAGTGTGTAAAAACACAAACAAACGATGGGAATCTTTTCTCTGTTTTGTGGATAGTCTTATCGCTTATCTTATCGTAGTCGTAATCGTATGTGCTACAGAAGGATATAGTCAACGGCCACTCTGCAAAAACAAATTCTGCCAGCAGAATAACAAGCAGGACAATCAAGCCTACGTACAAACCCCAACAACCTTCAGAGAAAAGGGAAACAACAGGTGCTCTCCTAGTTAAGACTCCTAAAACAGTACCTTCGGCCCCTAGATATCCTAATTGTGAGGGAATTTGTTTTTGCAGAGTGGCCGCTATATCCTTCCGTATTAGGTACAGAAGATCGGACAAGAATAAGCAGTTTTGCAATATCGCAACATTACAGCACCATAACCGGACAAACGCATGTGGTTCTTATCCAACGGGATAAATCTGCTATTGGTTGCCTTGACCTCTGCTCTTGAAAAGATTGGTACAAGCGGCCATCCTCATCCTTCACCCATCGCTCACCATCGCTCACCATCGCTCACCTCCCGCTGCAGTTGGGCCATAGAAGATTTGGGCCGGGTCGAATTTGACCTTGACAGACCGGAGCCGGTCATAGTTCGCGGAATAAAGGTTGATTGCCAATCCGGGGTGTTGAAGTTGGCCTCGTTGAGATAGGCACTTGCATGCTCGCCGGGTAACATCGAAGTGTCGAGCTCGGAGACCAGCACCTGGGTCATCGGCTTCTGTTTGTCCAAATTCCATTGGGGCTTGTGCAGATCTTCAATTCGAAGCACACGTAAAAACTGAGTAGATCCTATGTCAGTTTTTCACAATCGCCCTGGGTTTAAGTCTTATGACCGTAGTCAGATGCGGCGCAGTGGTGGAATAATCGCTAATAGAACATCCTGCCGATCAGCAAGGCCTGTGGTCGAAATGGAATCGGCCAGTCTCTCAAGCTCAGGGGGTCGGTTGGGAGCAACTGTCATGTCGACTATTCCTGCCTCCTGGCTGCCCGCACTCCTGGTGGTAATATATTGATTCGCCAGTACCCAAGTGAATCCTGTTAAGATGTGGAGGGCATAGAGGGTGGCGATATCCATGAAACTCACAATGGCTGGGTTGTAACCGAGGTCAATGGCGTCATTGTGCTTCAAATCGACTGCAACCGAGAGAGTGACCATTTCATCCTGCTCTGGACTGCGAATATTATGGCTGTAAGCGGTGTTAAGACTGCCTGGGGAGAAGCTCGCCTGAAACCCAGCAATCAAGTTCCTTGACACCTCCCGCTTATACAGCACAAACTTGTGCTGCCTTGCGATTTGCCTGTCACCAGTGCTGAAAGTCTTGACGTAGCGTAGTCTCTCTTTTAGAACACCGAGTCTGTCATAGTCGGCTGGATCGACCTTGGGTCCGAGACAGAACACACTACGCGGCTGGGCGCATGCCCTGGGCATCCTCTCAGTTTGCTTTGCGTGAAAGAGCCAGAGGGATAACGCGGAAGTGAGAGGGATTGGGTCCGTTTGCCACCTCTCCTCCGACAACTCAACGCAGAACTCGACACTTTCCGCGCTTCCATCGATCTCGACCGGAATCCGCCAACGAAGTTTATCCACCACAAGCTCACCCCTCTCGGACACCCCGGAAGTGTCTTTCCATCATGCTCGCCAGATTTTCTGTTGCCAATGCAACCGCGCGTGCTTTCTCGGTCGCGGGGCAGTGCCAATCGCAAGTTCGCCCTAACCAGTTACGATGGCCTATGAGCCGGTTCGTTCGACTGGACCCACCGTTAGATCCTGGCTTGATTTTGCACCTCTCCCAATTGGTCGCCCCATCCAGTGCCCATCTGGGGACTGTATTTCCCTCGAAGTCTGCAATATGGCTGGTGCTGATGGTATTGATGAGAGCCAACCAGTCCATTTCATGTTCATGGTGCGTCTGGACTGCGCGTAGCGGGCGAGGAACCTGGCGAAGTGCCACTCGGATAATAGCCATAATTACCGTACCCCCGAACAGGGCAACCTGGGTCGGATAGTGCATTCCACCGATCCCGACAACCTGAACTGCATATCCGGCGCAGATGCACAGCATGATGAAGACACTTTTGAATCCGTTCTCCTTCCCGTACCGAAATGACGGTCTCCAATGTGACTCCAGTATGCTGTCTTTGACATTTTTGAGAATGATATAGGAAGAGTACTTCCGGTTTGTCCTTCAGACCCCGCTGAAGCCACAGCACATAGGTATTGTGCGTGCGTGAAATGAGCGGCTCCCACGCTACTCGAACCGTCGTCTTGCTGATCTCGTACGCGCAGAGAAGAAGGCCAAAGAACAATACGGTTGTGCCACCAACCGTAAGGCCGAAGGCATAAGTATGAACGTGGAAGTGACCGTTTAGGTAGCTATTGAAGCGCATAAGTGCGGCAAGGGCAATAAAGCCGAGCTGGAAGGGTATGGCAAAGCAGAGGACTGCTGTAAAGTTTGACCGTTTCGAGTGGGAGCTGAGGTTCAGGAGGAGATTGGGAGGTTTTATTTCCGGGCTCTCTTCAATGCATCTGTCGTCGATTTCGGGGATCAACCCTACAGTAGTAGTCATTCCCGTCAGACTAACAATAGTCCAGATCTTGCGTCAAGCGACTCGCGAAATTACCGTGAAATTTGAACAGGATCTCCCCATTTGATGGATTTTTCATCTTCTTCGGTGTGTCGATGATCGGTTCTGTTTGGCCGAGCCTCTCATAGATCCAGAACTCCTGGATCTGGGCTTGAGTTGACAGCCGGTCGACGGAAGTGCCGTTCCATAGCTCGCATGTACCAGAGGATGTCGAAGACATCAATTCTCGCTCGATCAATGCACTTTCCTCGGATCCTCGTCCGAACTTGCTTTTCATGAACTGCGTCCCCAGGATCCGAAACGTTGCAGTGAGGACCCATATGACACCGAGAGGGCCGATGGCAAAGAGTAGATAGTCTGGCCAGTCAATGGCTTGTGAGAGGAAATAGCCTGTCTGTTCTTGACCAAATATGCCAAGAAGGCTGAGATTGTTAGGACAAGTGTCTACTTGGCATGGGATACTTACGGTAGTACTTGAGCGATGATGCCAAATGATAGATTGTCGATCACCGGCAGACTGGAATTTTTGCCCGAAGCCATGATGAGTATGTTAGTCTTTATGCATGCGTCTCTGAGTTAGGTTATCCTCAATCACGATCTGAGAAACAGTGCGTGCGATTGGGGTTAGCATCATAACTCTTATATTACACCACATATAATCACACATATACTCAACCGATACTGACCTGACTGCAGGCTTGTCCTCGTAACCATGATCTCATAATTTTGCCAGCTTGGTAAACTTTCGTGTTGCTTGTGTTTCGTTGAAATTCACGAGATTACCTTTAGCATATGCAGATCCTATCTCTTGGGCCATATCTCCTCCGTAGCTTTTTTCTTTGTTGGCTTAGTTTTTGTCACATACAATACATCACCTACCTCAAGCCCCGCCCCCCCCTCTCTTTGATCGGAGTTCTAGACTTGATGGCCCTGCAATATTCATTATAGCTCGGAAGTTCAATACACCAGTCAAGTATGGAACCGAGTTTTCTGGGTCACCGGACCATGATCTTGGAGTCAGGTTTTGTCAAACAAGACTCTGGATGGCAGATTCGATCCATGAAGCACTGTCGAGTGATGTCCGGTTCGCATGCTTGCTAGTACCATTCATCATGGCATTGACTTCAGTCGGTCATAGAAAGGGACATCATTGGGAGAGGGCTTCTTCGTAAAATGTAGATACCTGGTTGGGTAGAGGTGGATGCTTAATGCGAAATCCATAGACAGGCAAAGAGATTGTCGCATGATGCTTGGATTTAGACATAATAGCAAGGGCCTGGATTGTTCGTTATGGTGTTGCAAACGGAATAGAGTTCTCAAGCCGAGAGCTTGAACGAACCAAGCAATCGGCTACACCCACAACTTTGCTGCAGGTTCCATGGGTTATCTACGAAAATGGTCGTGTCCTGACCCTCGTATGCTCTCGATGCATAATTCTTTATTGCGGACATCACGGAAGATTCTGTCAGATTCCTGTATTCCTTACCCATCCAAAGCATGTTTCCGGAATGAATGTTCTTTATTCTTATCAATGGCGTGGGACTTCCCCAGATAGGGCTATGCGTCGTTTGACTACGGACTATACTAGGCATTCTCGTGTTGGCAATGCTTTATGAAAGGGTCTCGTGTTGGACTGCACAAATCGCGTTTTGGATGATGCAATGCTCCACCTATTCGGTGGATTGAGGAAATGGCACATTGAACGAGAATGCTTGCCCGATGTCGACAGAATAGATAGAAAAGTGGATATGATATGTAAGACAAAAACATACAACAGAAGGGATTCGCTGGTGGTCACCCACCCAACTACTAACCTTCCGGCGTGTGGCTTAAGTACGGCTGAGCGGACGGGAAGCCCTGTTTTCCACACCCTGTGGTCGTATGTACTTAATAGTGCCAAGTGTATGGTGTATAACCGGGAGACTATAACACACAATGGTAGTCTACTTAGTGCACAATCCCTCGCTGCATGAAGACATCATGCTAACTACATCTCTTGATCAGCTCATCAGTGCAGCTGTTTGTACTCTTTGCACAACGCAACTTTGCCTGGCTGCGTTCTTTTTCCACATTCCCGAGCAAGCCTTTCACATCTCCCTACATGGACACCGCTGTTAAATAGTGCCCTACTCCAGTCATCTTTTCTATGTCATCCACCATTGCCCCAGATTTGAACAAGGATATTGTCCAGTTTATTATGTTCCGCGCACCTACAACTCCCCGCTTGTTTCCCCGCATCATTGGTATTGCACCTTTCCAGCGATTCTCTAATGACCTATGACAAATTTTATATCTAGACTCGAATGGCCCAGTGCTCAGACCGAACACGTTGTCGATGCAGGAGTTGCTTCGAAGTGATTATGATATTTATTGTAAAAGTCTCCAGGGCTGAGCTCCGCCTATGATCCACATGTTATATATATTTCAAAGGGCACGTATCTGTTTTCTAAGTGCGTTCTCCAGCTGAATTAGAAAGGCACTGTCGTACCTTCGAATCTGATTCTTTTCCGAGAACAAAACTCGCGTCTCTCTTTACAGCCACTGCATCCGGTCTCCCTTCATAGTGTGCCTTTGCCCATTTTCTTTCAGTCGCCACACTACAGAATAACTTATACATTGTAGAGCTCAATATGGTACTGGACAAGTTAAATTAGTCATCTGCAATTTTTACTCAAGCGGTGGAACGGATGCGCGAATAGATCTCGGCACACAGGCAGGGTTTCCACACCGGCGAATTGTTCCGTAGCTTTGAGTCTGTATGAATACGGTGGCACCTATTCCGAGCACTCTATTACTACAACGCGAGAATGTAGGCCAGGAGGCTGTGGTGGAGACGTGTATCTACCACGTGCGGCTTTTGCCTCTTAATACCGCCATTCTCCTTGACTACATACTACCCGTATTAGCCAAGACACTTGATTTCGTATATCTCGCCCAAGGTTCTGATACTCGTCGTGCCTGGGCACGCAACAGCATGGAAGCTGGCGAAAATCGCAAAGAACAATCGTACTGTGCCTGGACCTCAAGATGGCCTTATACCTCGGGCTATGCGCTTATAAGATCAAGCCAAATCTTGGGATTGGAATTTTTGTCGAGACATGAACTTCAATATATTCTCAACTCTTGAGGAGTGAATAGGTTTACCCATCCGATCCTTTAGAACATCCCACGATGGCATCCAATCTCAACTTTCCATATCAATATAGCGCAGCCTAACCTTCAACCACGACTTTAGCCAACTTTAATGTAAACTCATTTTAACTAATTTCTTATCTAGATATAATAAATCAAAAGAAGAACTACTAGTATAAGAATTTTGACATTAATATAAAATAGAAAAAATAAAAATAAGCTTAGATTACTTAGTAGTTTTATTTATCTTAATATAGTTTCAAAAAAGTTTATATTCGAATAGATTCTTAGCAGATAATCTGTAGATAAATATACACAATCTGTGGGTGGGTAGATTTGGGTTTGGGGTCTAGTATTCAGACCCAAACTATAGTTTCTAGTTCCAGCTTAAGTATTAGTTCTACCTCCACTTAAAATCTGAGGATGACTACCTCTTTAACAGAGATTTTATATGCAACCAAGGCGCCGTCAGCAAAAGATAAGTCTATATAGGGCGTAAAGATTAGCATATCAGCTGCTATATTAGCCTTGGAGATCTTATGCAAATGTACACTACATATACTGTTAAAAGACTTTGCTTATTTTACTATAAGTGCTAATATAAGTGAGGTCGAAGCGCAATATATAAATCTTTGTATCACTACATCAGCAATTGGTAATTGCCAGGTTACTTTAAGAATACCTGTAAAAATATCTACAGCAATATACTTCTAGGCCATCCTGCATGCCCGAATAAAAATGGCTGGGCAATGGGCGGAGCTGGAACCAGCGAATATGCGACTTTTCAACTTATAGAAGGTATGGGAACAGATAGATATGCAGTAACCGGTGATATGCAGGAGTCTTATGGCTGGGAGTAGGCATAACTATATCTACTATTTAAGTGATGAAAGATACTAATGTATAATAGTAGAGATCATTATTGCAATGTCAAAATGCAAGTCAAATGCCAGTTCTGGTTTGCTATACTTCACTACCATATGATCGTGTTATAAGAATTGCTCTTACGTTATTCATTTTGTTCTCGCGTGTCATTAGCACTTAAATGAGGCTTTTGATTCACCGGCAACTCTCTACCATCTCTGTCCATAGCACCTCCCCAGCAACATTATATCGTTTCCAAATACCGCGATCATCGTTTCCCTCTGATAAAAGAATGAGTAACGAAAGCTTCGTACAGGATCGTCTTCATTCAACGAAAGATGGCCTAATCTGTCGAAAAATATCTGTATTTGCGCCCTGTAAATTGTCTCTTTACTTCTCCAATGTGCTGTGACTAATCGTATTTTCTAGACTCGAGCGACCCGGTATTAAGACCGAACATATCATCGATGCAGGCGTTGCTTCGGAATTGATTATTATGTATATTTTAAGATTCTGGACAGCGGAGCTCCACCCGCCAATCCACACGTTATTTCTACTGCAGAGTTTAACAAGATACTGGATAGACGTTCATTCAAGCTCTGGAATAAATGTAGGTGAATGAGCTCCATAGCGCCTTCGCGGATAGTAGTTCGGAGGCCTTCATGCGAGAATGCGAGAGTAAATCTCGACAGACAGGCATTTCCTCACTGGATTTCATATGTAGCTTTGACGCCGTATAAATACAATCTTAAATAATTCGATCACCTTATTACGACAATAAGCGTTGCCTCGGCACGTAATAGTGACCATTCCTGGTTTTGATCAGGAACTGCGAAGAACGTGGATATCTATCTCATCCCGACCTCCAAATATCTCTATACTTAGGCAATGCGCTTAATTTTGGTTTACCTAGTCAATTAGACTCGGACAGCAAGGCGAGTTCCAACAATTTGGAACTATCACTTTTCTCCCCTCGACTGCTATAATCCAGTCGCAACCGAAGTGTAGAGAGATGACACGATGACAAGCCGAGAAAGAAAATCACATCAGAATTGCCCATTTTCCGAACTGCTTCTCCCCGTAGTTTGCGCGTCTGACCTTGATACAATTCCAACAATGAGAGCCAACCAGATATCTTGCAGAGTGCCTCGAATTTCAATGGGCAAATACAATGGAACGGCCCTCTTGCTGCCCTTGTCGCCGCCCATAGCTCACACCGTCGACCCTCAGGCCTTTTTCATTAAGCAGGGTGATAGTGTCACCGCTGTTGGAAAGAGGACAGTTGGGTACCTCGAACTTCCGCATGGCCCGAGGAGCCAAGGCTGCGTTTCGCGGCAGGTTTTGGGTCTGGCCAGACGAGTTGAGGAAGCTCCATGATTCCAAGGATACTTTGTGGTTGGTGAGATTCCCCAGCGTGATGGATTCCTTGGTCCGGGCGGCTCGATCGTCTGCACCCCGCGGATTGACCAGTGCCTCCGTGATCGCTACCGAATTCTCGACGACTTCTGGGGCCAACACATGCGCCCATGTCACCAATGGATCTTTCAATGCGTGGCCTTCATCATCGGTGTGGACAGCTTGCGAGGCGAATGCAAGAAAGACGCCTGTCCAGTGATCGCCGTACTGGATGAGAAGACCCCCATCCTGGAACACCCCATCATCCTTCCTGAAATTCGGGATGTTTCCCTGGTTCATATGAACATTGTGAATGCCATCTCGTGAGCTGAACATAGAGCCGAATAGATAGATCGTAGCTCGGTGCTCAATGGCCTTGCGGACCTCCGGCTCCAGGACATCGATGATATCATTATTATCCCCGGGAATGTCGTGGGGAAGCACACGACCATCTTTTGAGTTGAAAAGAACTCCCCGAATATAGTCCAGACCTTGACCGTCTAGCTCGTCCACCTGTTTTATCGGATGAAAGCCGAAATCCAGGTTGGCCAGTTTTCCGGCAATAGGGTGCTCGGCGAGGTTGTGATTCACAAAGTAGGCGAGTCTGGATTCCTTATCCATGGATTTGATGTTGATGGCTGCGCGGAAGAGTCCAGGAATCTCCCATGACCTTTTCTTGTCGCGGGGTTTGCCCTTGTGCTTGCGTCGATAGGCACGGTCGAATTCTGGAGTGGCTGCTTCGTTATCATGGTAGTACAACGAGAGGTGAGGAGACTTGGGATCCTCGTAGTGATCTTCAAACTCGTAATGGACCGGAAATGCCTTCCAGACTCCGTAATCTTTGACGGGCATTTTGCTTGTGATAAGATATCAGAGTAATGAGAAGTTAGGTTAGTGAATTAGTGGCTTACCATATGGCCAAATCCAGACTCCACGCCCGGCTTTGACAGCCTCTTTATACATCTGACCAGTACTAAGACAAAACTTGGGTAGCAGAGTTTCAGCATCATCACTATTGCATGTCTTCTATACGAACCCGTTATCAGCTGACTATCGTGTTGTGCCAAGGAAAAAAAGAACAAAGAAAACGCTGGTCTTCGAGTATTGAAATCTCCCAAGCAACCTTCACTAAAGCAGGTTCGTATATCAATGACGGAGAGGTAAAGAGCTCTCGGTAGTCTCTACATCGACAGCCGTTATGACACCCAGTCGATCTACTCATCTTATGTGACGGATGCTGTCCATGGTACGTCCTTGGAAACCCGATCGTAGCGAACGCTCGGGCCGTATTCGTAATGCGTCGATCCGTTAACTTCCACACATCCCATGAAACCTAATTCACTAGCCGTTTTCGATGCCGCCCCCACATCTGGATTGTTTATTTCCGCATGCAGCACCTTTATCTCACTTCCAACATGTGCGGCTCCCTAGGATAGCAATCTAGATCCTCTAGAGCCCTTTCCTCGCTTCTTACTTTGGGTTTCCATGTCGTATCTAGAGAGTCTGGAGTTCTGGCTTCTCGCACGCACCACCCGATGGATACGAGCCATTTTTGACCTCGTCCCAGCCTCCCTATCCCAGCCGGAATCTCGTATTGGCGATGATGTGATTCTGGCCTCCTCTTGCGATGTGTTATTTGATGCTGGTGTCGGTCGGGTTCAACATCAAATCGTGCACGACTCCTGAAATCAAGTTCGACATCTTCTAGGACAACGCTGAATCCATCCAGGTCAGCCAGATGAAGAGAAGAGAAGATGCCATGAGCTTGTCTAACTATCTTCAATTTCTCCCTGTCCAAAGTTAGCTCCTCTAATCAGAACTGATGCACAGCACGATGTGTCTCTGTAAGCGCATGCGCAAGACTTCACGACTTACCTCTCATATCGAGTTCCTCCGGAGGGTAATTATTTTACGCCGGCAGCGATCCGTGGAAGCAAAGAACGCAATCCTGCCACCCCATAGAGCAGGGCCGAATTCGTATACCACCTACTGACCCGGCTTTGGTGGACCGGATGGATCCTGGTCGATGAGTGGCAGCCCCTCTCTTACCCCGGCTTGGCTGCCGTTGCTGCTGTGGTATCTAGCTGAGTGGACGTAAAAAACATGTGAAGGTGTGAGAGTCTAGTTTAAAGGCTTCATTTCGGAGTCTATCTGCTGAATCTGACATAGACATGGTGAGTTGCGCTTCGAGAAATGGGTGGCTCACGAAGTGTTTGATGTCTTATGTGAGTAAAGGGGGAGCCTTCCAGTCTCCCACAATCTCTTTCCACAGATGCATGAACTGGAGAAGCTTTTGTTCACCCCCTGCCCGGCTGATCAGCATCAACCCTTGAGGTTGGCCCAAGCCGCCCGGCCCTTCCAAGCGCCCAAGAGGAACCATGCCGGTGGGATAGCCCGCCAGCGCAGCAACCGCACAGATGGCACAGTCTCCCGGTCCAATGATGATATCTACTCCGTGTTTTGCAAGCGTTGCATCGATACCTTGTACCCCCGCGAGTCGTTGAGCGTAGGCTTTAGCTGCCGCTGCTTTCTCCTCGTCCATGGGCGACTTCAGAGTCTCCAGCAAGTCGTTCTGATCGGTGTGCGCTATAGCACATCAGCTACATCGTCAATCTTGGGGGCAGGTTTGCTTGGTCTTCTTACGTGGAGGCAAAGCGACCGAGGCATGATCCTTGTTCCACTCGATCAACTCGGAAACTGAATGCACTTTTGGCGCTTCCAGCATGGAGCAGAATGTCTCAAAAAGCTTTGGGAACTCGTAGACTACCTCGAATTAGCTTCAGGCTCAAAAATGAGTGGTCTGAGGGCCCTCACATGCAACGGAGTAGTTCACACTCTGGCCGTCGTAGTGAAGGCTTTCCATGGTCGGCAACTCAACTGGGTAGGCCACACGGCCTCCTCGCTGCGCAATCTGCGATTGCGCCCATTCATAGCTACTCAGCTATAGAGCTTCAGCAGACAGCACTCGAAGTCACACAGGGCATACATAACCTACAATCTGCTGTTCTACATCCGGGTCTGGAGACTTTTGAAATGCAAAAGCATCCCAGACGAGAGGGTCAACGAACCCGACCGACACATCCTTCCATCCGGCCGACGGCTGATAGTCCACTCCATTCAGAGCTTGTACAAGCACAGCGAGATCCTCCGGACACCGCGCCATGGCGCCGAGCTTGTCAAAGTCTCTACTTAGTGAGAACACCCCCTCCAGGGGGACAGATCCCTGCGTGGCGGTAATGGAGTACAGCCCCGCGCGATTAGCTGGCATGCAGACGGAGCCCGAGGTCTCGGTGCCTAGGGCCAGCGGGGCAAAGCCCGCCGCGACGCCCACAGCCGACCCCGACGAGGAGCCACCGGGCCCCGAGCGACCGATGAAGAGATCGTCGGGCCGGAATCCTCCCGCAATGTAAGGGGACTGGGTCTGACCGTTCACGGCCGACCAGCCCGCGGTGATACAGGTTGCTTTGAGACCGCAGAACTCCGTCATGCTGGCCTTGCCCAGGATGATCATCCCCTGGTCAAGTAGGGAATTGATAATCGGTGCGTTGGCGCGGCCGTAGGTATCTTGGAAGGCCACAGCCCCCGCGGTAGTTGGTAGTCCCAGCGCCCGCGACGTGATAATGGTATCCTTGACGATAATTGGGACTCCGTGGAGAGGCCCGCGGACCCGGCCCTGGGACCGCTCCCGGTCGCGGTCGGCCGCCTGAGCGAGGGCATTGGTGGGGTCGACGGCGATCAATGCGTGTAGCTGCAGGCCGGCGCGGTTGTGCCGGTCAATCTGCGCCAGATAGGCTTGCACGATGTCGTGGCTCGTCGTATGGACCTGCTGTAGGAAACGGCTCAGTTGCGTGGCGGTTGCGGTTAGCACGTTCCACTCGGTCATCTTTCTTCTTTCTGCGGTGGCAACTGCAGCTGCACTCGAGATAGCAGTTGCTTTGTGGGAGAGTAGGTTTCAGATGCTGTAAGCTGGTTGTGTTGGAAGTACATACAGTATGTCACCTATCCACGGAGAGGTTTAATCGACGAGTTGAGCTGCTCTCGTATGCAGGATGTTTATTTATGTAAGTGGCCCCCGCACTGGAAGGGGTATATTGTGGTTACCTGGTCTAGTGCTTATTATCCTTCCAGGTGGTGTTATCGAAAGATAAGGTTGGTAGGTATCAAAAGTGGCTAGGCGGATGAATTGTCTAAGCTTGTATTGTATAATTGATGAATAATACACTAGTGTACGGTACTGTTATATATGTATCGTCTACCGTATACATACGTAGTATGGCAAAGTACATAAGATAATATGCCTCCATTGCAACCCTAACTTCTCGGCTGCATGTCGAGCTTGACAAACACCTTTAGCTTGCGAGATTTCATTTTCAACGCCGTATCTACAGCCTCGTAAATTCTTCATAAGGAACATAGCAGAACCGTTTTCCATTATATTCTTTTCCTATTCAAGAGTCTAGACTACCTCAATGTTTCTCTAAGGTCTATTTAACGTTTTTTAATTTTGTTTATATAATTATAAATAAGCAATTCATACCCATATACAGTTTTCCAAATCACAAAGGAGTCACAGGGAACAAGAAAAAATAGAAGAGACTTGTTGGTGAGCACCCACACAAATACTAGGCCCGCAGGGTGTGGCTCAATTGTGCACCACAGTCAATTCAATCCCTTTTCAGAGTGTGGAAACTATTCTCACCCTTGGTTAAGTTCTCCAATTCAATCCACCCCACTTTCTATCTAAATTATTGTAAGACATATCATACATCACTAGTATACATTCCATACATTTCACACTCGTTGAAGGCTGCTCCTGCGCACCAAGCCTTTTGCTTATGTCAACTCCATCCACCTTTCCCTGGGAATGTGCTAAGACTTTCAGACGCCCACGCAGATGTACTCATCCAACCAGAGGTTCGTACAGGCGGACCCGACTTTGGGGTTCCACTGCTCAATATCGCCAACTGTAATGCCGTGATTGCTAGCAATGGCCGGGCATGTATCGCCCGGACGGACGAAATAGAAAGTTGTACAACCAGCCACCATTTCGGGCTCGAAGGGCGTCGGGGTAGTGATGACGTTGCCGGCGGCGGCTGTTGTGGTCGTCGGCGCTGTATAGCCCAGGGTCTCGATACAGACATAGTAGCCCACGTCGAGGTCGGCGCAGGACCAGCCGACGGCCAGGTTCCAGGTGTAGAAGATGAACAGTTGAATGTCGTATTTTGCGGCAATGGCTTCGCAGCTGTCGCCGGATTGAACAAGATCAAACTTGCTGCAGCTGTCGGCCATGCCGGGCTGGATGGGCGTGGGCGTGGTGATGCCATCAGCGGGAGTGGTGGTAGTGGTGGTCGCCGGCACTGTAGTGGTAACGGGAGCGGTGGTGCCGGGAACGTCTACACAGTAGTAGTAGCCTACCAGGATTTTGGAACAATCTGTGAGGCTGATCAGCTACGGGAATCGGTGTCTATAAGCTGTACCACTTTTCGTTTCACGGCGTACGGACACAGATCGGAAAACATGGAAGGACCTACCAGAGTCGACAGATGGATTCCACTTAAGGAACTGGGTTGCGCTGATGTCAAACTGGGCTTCGATCTTTTCGCACGAGTCTCCAATCTGAACAAGATAGAATTGGTCGCAATTGGCGGCGGTACCGGTTTGTTGCAATTGATATTAAGTCGATGAGGATAGCGATGCCGTTGTTGACGTGGAGGAGGTGAGATTTGAGGAGCTTGTAGTCGATCCGCCAGATACAACTGTGCCGACTACACAGTAGTTCTGACCGGCCACGAGGTCCGGGCAGGTGATGCCCGGGTTGAGAGACTCGAAGATTGGCACGTCCATGCCCCAATCCGCCGAGAAAGACTGGCAGGTATCTCCGGAACCGGCTGCCGTCTCATAGGTACAAATCACCTGCTGACGGGGGGCGATGGCCATACCCCATGCCAGGCGTAGCTGCGGGAGTAGAAGAAGACCTGCCTTGAGGAATCTTGGAGCCATCATGGTTGGTTAATGCTTGTTCGAGAACGAAGGATTGAGATACTTGGGCAAGCCGGCAGACAGTGATGGGGAACAACAAAGCTCTGCTCTGCTGGAATCAGGTCTGACCGTCGAGCGTTTTATGTCCTGTCGCGCGACCGGACAGCCATGGAAATAAATCTCAGCACCGAACATCATATGGTATGGAAGATGGGGTGGCCTTCAATCTTTCGAAAGACATGGAAAACGAGCGTTTGGCGCGATATACGGAGTACTCCGCACTAATACATTGTCCACCTCTGTGGGGCGTGCAATGACACCCGCTTTTCAGCTCCCATTTCAATTGAGGATCCGGTAAAGTTTCGCAAACCTTCTCAGGGCTCGGGCTTAGATCATAGGTATAACAGATGAAATGCCAAATTCACTGCAAGTGTACAATTCAAAGCGTTCTACTGATCCACTCGGACCCGACGAATAAATATGCTCAGGCAATACAACTAGAAACCTTTGAGTATAGGTATATGTCGCTTTTCCTGGAATAGCTGTTTACAATCTGTATAGAGTGGCTTTGCCGTCTGTCCAAATGAGCCTTTTCCATGTATCGAGGTGACTCATTCGCCGCGAGAGGTAGTTGTCAATCCTTTGCTGCCGTAAGTAATCTTAATCGAACGGAGGAGAAGGGCGAGGGGAGAACCGTTGCTGATCAGATCTCTGTTTAAATACAGAGGCCATTGGACCCCATATTCGCAGGTGAGTTTTACTGCCACGCTGGGATTGGTAATCTCTGGATGGGCGAACGTAATGTAGAACCAACTTTGACCTCTGTTTAACAAATCTAAGACGTCGATCGCGCTTCTGACGCGAATAATCGCTAATGGAAATCTTATTAAAGGCAGCGGCAGTACTTCTTCAGTTAAGTTCAGTGCGACTCCAGAAACCACCGCGCAGATCAAGAGCTCTATTAATAAGGTATTCTTCGGCTTTATAATCCCGTCGGTATGGGCCGTCTTCGGCGCCGCTGTCTTTGTTGTGGATTCGGGCTATTTCTACAGCGTACAAAACCCACTGTCCGACTATATAATAGCGGTTATTTAAGAAGCGATCTATTCTTACTATAATAATAAGCTTTACTATCTGGTACGTGCCGACGGGAAGTAGAGCAGCTGCCCCGCGGAGAAGAAGCTGGATGAGCGGATAGATTGTTCGGACTGCAGGATTTTTAAGTACAGCGAGAATACAATCTACTTTACGGCGTCTTCCGGCCTGAGCAGCCTCGGCGGGGGCGCTTGGAGTAGTATTATTCTGAAAAATCTTATTAAGGGTTTCGTCCGCATCTATACTGCCAACGGCAATGCTAACGGCGGACCCGTCGAGAACCTGCTGGATCAGAATATGCTGTAGAATCTCTCTAATTAAAATATTACTATCCTCAGCTATATCTGCCTTTCTGTATGCAGTCCGCAGATTGTCTGGGTCTTGTAGTCCAATCCGTTGCAGTTCAACGCTAGCGCCTTAAACTACTTCTATAATCCGCTGCAGGGCGTAACTATGTACAGCAGCTATATCTATATAGACCATACTATCTTCGCCTTTCTACTGGTATTCAACTGCAAAACCATTATTTATAACATTCAGGGTACAGCAGCTACTGGACGACGGGGATCGACCGTCAACGCGTAATTGCTATGTACGGTTCGTGTAAGTTCGGCGTCCAGAATGTTGGGGTCACGGACGACATTACCTATTATACGGGAAGTTAGGATATCGTGATCATCATTACAGAGGCTATCGCTAAGTACGAGTGGAAGGGCCGTGTCGGGGGGAAAGGGTATATGGAGTGCGACGGTGACGCAGGCCACCAGAAGGTCAAGTGGGGCCTGTATTAGTATCACATCAAGTGTAACCGGATATCAGCCCCAGTTGGCTATGTCAACTGAGTGCCCAACTAAGTTACTGGCGGCTTACCCCCGTCAGGCAGACTAGATCCTATCCAGGACATGCATGGGGGTGAGTTGCAGCCCCCTTGCAGCCGAACCATACCGCCCGCCCACGGGCCCATAATTGATACCAATGTTTGGCCGGGACTAGTCACCTGGTAGTTCTAATTATATAACTATGCCTCTTTTGTTGCAACTGCTATTCCATGGCATTTGACCTTCATGTTACTGTAACATCCTACCTAGAAGATTGCAAGACCTGGCAAAAGACCATGCGATGGCCGCAGTACAGCAGTATAAATATAGGGATGCTGATATACGCGGTGAAGAGGATGTTGGCGGACTACTGGAGACAAAAATTTAAAAGTGTAATCACGTATTAGAAAAAAATAACGTAGAGGGCCAATACATATAAACTAGGGCTGCAGATAGAACGTATAGGCCTTATTAAAACTCCAAACGCGGATACTTTTATTAAAGGAGAAGTAGATAATACTACAGTAGAACTAGAAAACAAAACTAAAATTTGAATAAAGTTGATACGCTAGTGGAAAATAGTAGCTGCTGCTGCCAACAGCTATATGAATAAGCAGAATAAGAGACACCGTTCCTAGTAGGAAAAAAAATGAAAGCCCAACGCGGGGCTCGAACCCGCAGCCTTGAGATTAAGAGTCTCACGCTCTACCGATTGAGCTAGCCGGGCTAACTACGGCGACAGTACAACTTTGAAGCTTTCTATTCACCTACTTCACTCAATCTTCAAATATAGCCCCGTGTTAACCCTGTGTTCGTTGCACAGCCAGCGTGGATGTGCTGCTCCCTTAACGACAGCTCTGCAATCTCTAAGCTTGGCCACCTTGTCCTTATATTCGATCTTCCCTTCCGCTCCCGGAGCCATACACATCTTCGGCCAAGGACGACTATAACATCCCAGATAGGCAGTCAAGATGTCGATCTCATGCACTTCCCTGCAAAATGCCGTCATCTCACTCTTCTTCATCACATCGGAGATCCAAATACAGTCGATATTATGTCAAGGCTCTCTTGGCATAACACAGATCTCGTGTACCTTCGAGCAAATTTTACACTGGAAATTTACAATATATGCATGCTACAACAAGATATATCCTACAAATTCGGGACAAGCTATTAAAGCACATGCCATGTCTCTGGCTATTTGTCAAATTGTAACCACCCTGCATCTCTCCATTCCAAATTCGATGTTTTGGAATGTCCCAAGATACAGATTACGGTGGCAAACATCCGTTTGCGGCAATAATTTTGCTCGTTTGCTAATAAATACATTCTATAACCAAATAGGTCAGCTGGTGTTCTATCTGATGCCATTACACTAGAGACCTCAAATTACCCTGAAGATCATAATACTTCATGGTACTCCTGTACCTCAAGACTATCCATACAGCGTAGACATATCTCAAGTCAATGAATAATAGTTATACCGATAAGATCAGAACTATCTAAATAATAAAAGTCTAGTCAGTAGGAATTCCACTAAGGATATTTTTCTGCAGAATAATCATCTTAACTGTACATATGACATGATAAGTAGCTTAAACTCTCGAGCTGGAAGCCTTCACTATTAATTGTTGATATTATTTAACAATAGTAATTGTACATTTACACAACTGAAGGCCTAGTAATCGCCGAACCAAACAACAAATACGAGGCCCAAAGTTTACTGTTCGTTCTACATATTACACCCTGTCACTAAACCTAGAACCCCTCCGTATTAGTTATTTACTACTATAAGACTCTTTATTACATAATGAGAGCTCGATAGTCATTTGCCAGCCTGAAATCCTAGAATTTAGCCTTTATTTAGGGCTCAAACAAGAACTTCAGAAAGTGCAAGGAAGTTCCTCTGACTCACGTACTTTCTTTGTACGAATAGTGTCTGTGCCTTTGATCGTATCAATGAGAACGTACTATTATTTATAATATCGAGCATAGACCTTCCTGGTCCAGGCTCATCAATGTTTAACCATGATACTGTACGAGTTAAAAGAGCATCAAACCTATTCAGAATATTGCTCGAGTAAATGCAGTGGAGTGTATACCTGAATGGTTAAAAATATCAATACTTCAACAGAACTGCTAGGTTATGGTCAAGTTACGATAAGGGTACAATAGAATAATATTATATGGTATCATCCGGGATCTAGACACTCCTGAATACACAGAATAGTTACGAGAACCAGATGTTCATCTAAGATACATAGGTAAAACAGCTTTCTGAACTAGGCTCAAACCTTCGGATTTCTTTGTCAGTAGGGTTGAGCTACCTTTCACACTAATTTGTCCAAGTTGATTAACCTAGGTAAATGGTAGGATAGTCGACCAGAAGAATCACTTATGTCAGATATCATCACAAGGATCCTCCCATCTAATACGAAACTAGATCTAGACTTGAGTCCATAACTACGTTTTGCCTCTTGGACTTTTATCTTTCTTTGTATTTGCCTGCCTTGTTAAATAGCTCTTCAATTTTAGTTTTCAAGATGACATCATTCGAATACGAAGGACAAACATGATTGACCTAGAGGGTGTCACCTGTCTTATCCTGTTGTTGTTCATTATTTAAATTTCACTTAGCGGTTGTTGACAGTCTTCAATCCTAAGCAGTGTGCTTGCGTGAAATAATTCCTCGCGCAAAGTCTAGTATTTTTCAGAGCACATTGGAATAGCTCAAAATGCCTCAAACGACCTCTTCACCGCGAAAAGGCAAGCGAACCCAAAAGTCCCTGCCTAACCAAGTTGAGACCCATGAAGGTACTACAACTGATGCGCCACCGCCAGTCTTTGGCGGCCATGCTACAATCCGAGCAGCCCAACTGAAAGACCGGTCTCAAAGCTTATGGCAGACCGCTTATAGCCAGCTAGATGACAAGGACCGGCAAATCTTGTCGGGGTATATACACCAAACAGAAAATATACTTGATGAGGTCGTGCGGATAACAGAAGCGCAATATCAGGAATATCAAGAGGGGGTCGCTGGCGTATTCCGGGAGTATTCAGCAAAGATAATCAATGCTACATTAAGTGTCAAGGACATTATTGATACTGTTGTAGCCTTTGACCCTACACAACATGCAGCTAGTGCTTGGGCAATCGTATCACTTGGGTTGACGGTACGTAACAGTGACTTTGATTTACACTGCATCTGCTGAACTAACTGAATGGCCTCCAACATAGATGGCTAAAAACCATACTGACTCACGGATCGCTTTGTTTAAGTCTTCAGAAATACTAGCAGACGTCCTCGCAGAATGTGCCTATATTGAAAAAAACTTCTGTTCTGAGAACAAATCTAATACCGGAGATGATCCGACACGGCCACTTATCAAACTTTATAAGGCCATATTACACTACGCAGCAGAAATACGAAACAATCAGAAAGGTGGAGCTGGAGGGTGGATCCGGAGCTGCATCAAAGCAATTACTGATCAGCCGCTCACAGTGCTAGAGAAAACTGTCAACCAAGAAAGGGATTATCTACTCAGGAGGCTTGCAGTAGGCCAACACCTCAACCGCGCAAAGGAGGCTGAGGATATTTTGTCTCGCATTGATAGCCTTACGAAATCTATGAAGCAACTTCTCGAACAATTTAACCTTGTGAAACTACGTGTTGCAGAAGGAGCGATTTATAATTCTTATCTCAACGAACATGAAGACTTTTGTCTTCCTGGAACAAGGACTGAGCTTCTGTCTGAGATTCACAAGTGGGCTGATTCAGCGGAAAGTCGATGCATATTCTGGTTGCGTGGAAAGGCAGGGACCGGGAAGTCCACTATTGCCCGAACAGTCGCTCGATCATTTGAAGAAAAAGGTTCTCTTGGTGCTACCTTTTTCTTCAAAAGAGGTGAATCCGATCGCGATACTGCGAAATATTTTATTTCAACTATTATAAAGCAGTTGGTGTCTCGACATCGGCAGTTGATACCTGACATTTCAAATGCTATCGAGAACGATTCAAATATTCTATACAAGTTTCAGAGTGAACAGTTTGATAAGCTTCTCTATCGGCCTCTTGAGAAGCTGCATCTGAACTATTCTACAATTATTGTTATTGTTATCGATGCCTTGGACGAATGTTCTCGGGAAATTGATATAAAAATTATACTTGAACTTTTGTCCAAGTTGAAGAAAATACGATCTGTACCTCTGCGAGTGATTTTAACCAGCAGACCTGAACCTCCAATTCGAACCGGCTTTGAAGGTATTGGCGGCTATCAAGGCCTGGTTCTTGATGAACTTTCTGATTCAGAAATCAAAAACGATATTGGCCTGTTTCTGAATCATAAGTTTGCGGAGATACGGGACGAATGCTCAATCTCTGAGACTTGGCCTGGGAAAAATGATATGGAAAAACTGGTAGATATGGCTTATCCTCTGTTTATATTCGCAGCCACCATCTGCCGCTTCGTGGGGGACAAACGCTGGTCTCCAGAAAAACGCCTTAAAGCAATTCTTCAAAGTCCATTGGCAATATCCGGAAACCGAATGGAAAGCACCTACCGTCCTATTTTGGATCAACTTGTTTCTGCCGCAGATGAAGAAGATGCCGAGAACTTATTGCAAGAATTTAAGAATATAATTGGGGTTATTATTCTTCTTGCTATACCGCTTTCAGTCAATGCTCTCGCCAGCCTTATAAATATGCAAATTGTGGATGTTGATACTCGCCTGGCTGGATTTCATTCGGTGCTCAGCGTGCCGGTGAATTCAACAGAAGATATTTATTCGCCTATTCGCACTCTGCATACATCATTCCGAGACTACCTCCTTACAACACGAAGCGATTTCCGAATTCAGGAGGCAATGATGCATGGAAGGATAGCAAACCATTGCCTACGAGTTATGTCTGACCATCTCAAACATAACATCTGTAACCTAGCAAGTTACGGAACAAAGCGCGAGGAGATTGACCTTGTGGTCATTACTAAGTATCTTACAGCTGACGTGCAATATGCCTGCCAGTATTGGGTTTACCATTTTGCGCGTAGCCAAGATTGGATTTCTGATTCTGAAATTCTATCATTCCTGAAAAAGCGATTTCTCCACTGGTTAGAGGCATTGGCCATTATTGGAAGTATATCTGATGCACCACAGTTGATCAATACACTCAACGAAAGATCATCGGTTAGTTCCTTCAGACTTCTGATATACCGAAAAATAGCTGATATATATGATAGAAGTTGAAAGATAGTGAGCTTTCTGAATTTCTCGACGATGCAAGAAGATTCACTCTTCAGAATTCCTCGATAGCTGGAACTGCTCCACTTCAAATCTATTGTTCTGGGCTGGTTTTTGCACCAATGAAAAGCATTATAAAAAAAAGTTTCAAGGGTGAAATGAAACGGATACAAACATTCCCAGTGATAGAAGACTCATGGAGCCCATGTCTGCAGACATTTGAGAGCAATTCAGGAAGCATTCGCTCAGTAGCGTTTTCTTCCGATGGGCTTTCTCTAGCATCGGGAGCATTTACTGGGATTATCGAAATTTGGGATACTGGGACAGGCGCCCGCCAAGAGATATTCAAAGCTCATTCAGGTTCAGTCAGTACATTAGCCTTTTCTTCAAAAGGGCTTACATTGGCGTCAGGCTCTGATGACAAAACTATAAAGCTCTGGGACCTTGCTTTAGGCATGCGTCAACAGACATTCAAGGGCCATTCAGATTGGGTCTGTTCAGTAGCCTTTTCTCCCAATGAGCCTATATTAGCATCAGGCTCAAGAGATAAGACTATTAGACTCTGGGACCTAGAAAAGAAAGAACCTCTAAGGGAATTCAAGAGCCATCTAGGTGTGATATTTTCGGTGGCTTTTTCTTCCGATGGACTTATATTGGCATCAGGTTCTGAAGACAAAACTATCAGACTTTGGAATATCAGAACTGGTGAATGTCAGCAAGTTCTGGAGAACTCAGCTTCGGTTTATTCAGTGGCCTTTTCTCCCAATAAGCCTATACTAGCATCCTGCTCTGGTGTTAGTACTATTAAGCTCTGGGATACCCAGCCCGATACTAAGAGCCATGAGGAGGGAAGACTAATCCCACAGAGTCATGCAGGTTATGTTAATCTAGTGGGTTTCTCTCCTACCAAGCATATACTGGCGTTGGGCTCTTATGAAGGGACTATCGAAATCTGGGATACTACAATACAGAAGCACCAGCAGACTATACAGGCTCATTTAGGAAAGGTCAACTCAATGGCCTTCTCCCCTGTTACGTCCATACTGGCGTCGAGCTATAGTGATGGAACCATCAAGCTCTGGGATTTGACAATAAAGGAGGAAAAGAAGATATTGAGAAGTCATTCAAGTTGCATCCATGCAATGGCCATCTCTTCCTCTTCCAAAAAGCCTATACTAGCCTCAGGTTCTGGTGATAAGACTATAGTTTTGTGGGATACTAAAACAAGCAAGCATCAGCATACTTTAAAAGATCATTCAGAGTTGATTAGCTCAGTTGCCTTCTCTCCTGATGGGCTCACACTGGCAACGGGCTCTTTTGATCGGACTGTTCGGATATGGAACAGCACAACAGGCATATGCCAGCAGGTATTAAATAACCATTCAGACCCTATCTGGTCAGTGGCTTTCTCTCCAAATAGAGATGAGCTTATACTGGCATCAGGCTCTAGTAATGGAACCATCAGACTCTGGAATCTCAGGACTGGTCAATGTCAGCGAGTTCTGAAGAATTCAGCTGGTATTTTCTCAGTGGCATTTTCTTCTGATGGACTTACACTGGCATCAGGCGATGAGGATGGAGCTATCAGACTTTGGAATATAAGAGATGGTAATACTCTGCAAGTTATAGAGGGGCATTCAGGTTGGGTCTTTTCAGTAGTTTTTTCTCCTAATGAGTCTGTACTAGCATCAGGCTTTGATGATAGTACTGTCAAGCTCTGGGATACTGAAAATGGTATATTAAAGCAAACTTTACAGGGTCACTCATCTTTTGTCCACTCAGTGGCCTTCTCTTCTGATGGGTCTTTACTAACATCGGCCTCTTATGATCACACTATCAAAATCTGGATGAAAGAAGGGGGCATCTACAAGGAGGTATCGAAGGACCATCTCAATTCGGCCAGTTCAGCACTCAGACATTCGGACCTGAATTCTCCAATATCTTCATCAGATAATTGGATAGCCCTAGAGGGCGAGAATCTGCTGTGGCTTCCTGCTGAATACCGAGCTTTTGTACGCCATGCTGTCAAGGACACTACACTTGCTCTAGGATATGAGAACGGGCAGGTCTTGATTATAGGTTTCCGTACAGCGAACGAACCAGGCTAATCGCTTTCCCGACATGACACAGCAGCATCAGTCACCATACCAAAAAGAAGCTGAAGCTCAACTCTAAATGCTAGGTCTGGAGCTGAGGATTTCGCGAAATAAAAGCACGACAGGTATCGACTCTGAACTTATCATATGCAGTCAATGATTTTTACTTCTTCAGGTGATTTTTCGTACCTACTAAATTACCATCCCACATTATCAGACTCCGATGGAAGTGCTGTTATGGTTATCAGTCTTATGATGACTTCTTGCCGCAAAAAAGAATTATTTGTCTGATTGGTGACTCAATGAATGTATACAAATTCAAGTCGAACTTGTAAATCAGCATGAGAACTATCTCAGTGTGCATGTCTAGTCTTGAAAATCTGATATAGTGTGTATAGCAAATTCTCTGTCCTTCACTGAATTATTGAGGACGGGCCCATCACAATTAATGTCTAGGTCCGAAGCGACACCTTTCTCGGCCGAGACCAAGTTTGAACGGAGTATAGAATGAGAACCACACACAGTGTAAAGTGAAGCCGTCGCTGGAAAAAAAGTACAAAACAGGTCATTGCTTGCCATTTGGTCTATTTCATATACTAGTCTTGTTTAGACCTAGTTCCACTCATCAAGGGTTGGTAAATAAAGTTGGAGTGTTCTGGTAGGCAGGGCGGTTGTACAAGGCGCTGTAAGAGTCCAGCTCGAGTCAAACCAACATCTTGGAACATTACCGGACCATTCGAAATGCTCGACACAAGCAACTCTATTGCTCTAACCGCCTTTATTGTCTCCTTGGTCGCTCTCACAGTGACTCTCCTCCAGCTCCTCCAGCAATACTCAGCAACAGCGCAGGGCTACAACCGATGTTCCAGACGACTGGTCGGCGACTGGTCGCGCTTCCGGCATCGCCACTATCTGCGGCGAGAATTTCAGTTTGAGATCACCTTCGTAAGACCATATATCTATCCTGAAAATCTCAATCCATCTCACCCCATTCCGGATGCTGAAGTTCCATCGGCAACATGGCACAATCTGTTTTCTCCCTCGCTAAAAGACCAGAAGTGGCGAGCGAAGTATCTTGGAAGGTCCATGAGCATAAGCGAGCTACCAGGGGAGTTTACTGATGCCTGCACGCAGACTTCCTGGGCTCCTTTTCTGACGCACTTGCAGGAATACAACCGCCATGCTGCAAGGCGTATGCATCATGCAACTTATGACTCACCATCACCATCAACAGCACATTCTCCCTCATTGAACTACGGTATCTGCATCAAATTCGAGCCCTACACGTGGGACGACCTCCCCGGAAACACTGGCAGACTGATAGGCTCAGTGTCTCTCCGTGACCTGACCGTCTTCACTCGCCTTCTCGGTCTGGCCTGGTCAGACGGGCCATTTCTGAGTAACCTACAGAGCTCAGCATCTAGAGAGGAGATAAAAACGGACACGAGCTTGTCGCCCAGAGGCAGCCTCCAGGCATCAGGAAACACCCTCATCCTCGCAGAAGAGTCCACTCCGCCACTGCGCTAAGAGCAACAAGACTCCAACCCGCCGCGGCTCCACCTCTCCCGCAGGGAGACTTTCATCATTCATCCCGGAACGGTGGCGATGTTCTACGGGCGGATTCTCCCAGGCCCGGTTCTTTCCTCAGCCCACTCCCAATCCGTCATTGTGGACGGTGACCAGGCCTGGGAGACCCTCTCTCGCACCATGTGGCCTTCACTCCAACCACGACCAAGTCTAGTCAACATTCTCCCAGCCTTGTGTTCCGCGATCCTCAGAGAAAGAGGTCTCCACCCAGTGCGCGTGCCGAGACCGCACCGGCACCTCCTGGGCCCGTTCACCCGACCTAAGATCGCGATGATCTTCAAGCGTGGTGTAGAGGGTATACAGTCCCAGCAGCAGCAGCAACAACAGCAAAAAGGGGGTCCTTCGAGTGTTGTGGACGGAATCTTAGAGGCTATCAACGAGCTAGAGCAGTTCCCTCGACCACAACAACACCCTGCCCGTCCTTTTTCCACCTCTTCCTCCCCTTCTATTACGACGACCACTCCAGCCCGCGTAGCAGACTACTGGACCGTGTCACAAGGCGCATATCCAGCCTGGGCCACAGACTTAGAAACCTCCCCCGAAGCCAGCTTCTTCAACGAGAGGGTCTACCACTGGCTATGCTGGATCCAGCATGAACTCAGCCAGCTCGTCTCTCGGGAAGATGACCATATCGGACCCTACAGCTTCTTCCACTGGGATCTGGTCTCCTCATTTCTCGAGTTCATCGTCGCCTACGAAAACGGTGGCGAGGCGGCAGCGGGGGACGATCATGATGAAGCCGAGCAAGGCACGACAGAAGCCAGACCGACAAGGCAACGACAGCCGGATCCGCAGCACAAACCAAAGCAGCGGCCCCACACGAATAGTAAACACCCCTTCGCCACCTGGCGCCGAAACATGCACGCCCTCTTCGACCACTTCCCCACCATCGAAGCCCATGTCCGCAAACGCGGAAGACGACGAGCCGAAATGTGCGCCAATGGTTACCATATGTCCCCAACTACCGGTTTGGGGGACCAGTTCGATGTTGTGGTTTGGTGTGAGGGGGTGGTGGGGTATGACCAGGTTGGTTCGGATAAGATTCGCGATGCGTGTCTGGGGATGATTTTTCGGGCCATGTGTTGGTACGTCATTCTGAGCGTTTCCGTCTCTCCATGTTCAGAGACTTGCGGTATAGCTTTGTACAGGAAACGCTGCTAACAAGATCATCTCTTCCAGGCATCGCTGTCATTATATGAGTCCGGAGGATGAGCCGTTCCGGTCCGACTTTTATAGCAACATACAACAGGTGGGAATTGAATAAGGTGACTTTTGGTCTGATGGATGAAATGGGGCAGTTTAGCATGGCTCAAGTTACAAACTGTTTATGTTTGGGCTACATTATAGGCTCTATATAACGTAGTTGAGGCCTCTGGGGCTGTAAAGAGGTAAACTGAAGATAGCTGGCAAGTTACGACAGGACTCTCGGGGAAGTAATGTGTTCTGGACCAGGAATACACCGATTGGCTCAGAAGCAGTATTTAGTAAGGTGTCTCTTTAATCTACTTTCTCATTCCTTCAGATCATACCTGTTCTGATTATAAGAAGAGCCCCCCCTCTCCGAGACGTGGCTATAATATGGTCCCATTCACTAGGACAAAGAAAGGATCCAGATCCTGCTATCCAGAACCTTAAGCCCAAATTAAAGGTGAATCGTACGCAATGTTGTAGGTCAACATTCACAAAAACCAGCTTTCCATATAGTTCCATGTTGTTGAAGAGTTATATAAGACCCATCAACTACTTCAACCTTAACTGAACTTCTACTTCATCCCCATCCACAACATCCACAACACCACTAGAACTTCCTTTCAACCAACCACCACTATCTGACACCATGTCATCTCCAGAAACCTACGAGACTCGCTACAGCCGATACAAACGGTCGACTCGAAACGTGGCGATATGGCTCGCGGTAACCGATTGCGCAGATTATGAAAGCTGTGCTGGGGTCGAAGTAATCTGTAGGTGCTTCATATCGTCTCATTCATTCCGCGTCAGATCCACTCACCTGTTACAGAGAAGCACAGATTTGCACACAGACTAGGGGTGTTTTGTTTCAAACGTGTGGGGGTTTATAATGCACAGATGTGTAACCTGTATCTACAAATTTTGCTTACTTTATGCCTTTATGCTCTTGACTAAATTGGACAATCAAGTGAAACTCAAACACAATTAAATATGCAGCTCTTGACCCACCCCTCACTCAATGCGTAGCCTCGATGCTCGAAGGATAGACCAACATCCCGTAATCCTCACCCTCGGCCCCCATACCCGTTGTGCGATCCACTTCCCTGACCGGGTCCCGGCTGCGACCGGGTGCAATTTTCGACGTTCGAGTTGGCGAGAACGAGCCGCGTGCGCGTAGGGCGGAAGATAGGCGGCCAAACCTGCAGCTCGCCCTTGCTGCCTTGGATGCGCACGGAGGGCCCGATGGCCCCCTGGAAGCCAGAGGCACCGCAATGGTCCGCAAATGGAAGCGCCGGGCCAACCCGCGCCCAGCACCACTCCGCCCATCGGATCCATCATCTTCATCTCCTCGGTGTCCACGCCCATCAGCACCGTCGTCCAATAGACGAGCTGCTACGTCGCCTCCAAGGCTGCCGTCGCCGGCCCCGTCAGGCCGCTGGCCATGGAGCTCGCTGCCTACGGCATTCGAATGAATGCGCTTCCCCCCTAGGCTCCACCCGCACAGAGATGATGCGCCAGGTCGAGCGCACCTTTCCCGATCTGCTGCTGCAGTTGAATCGAGAGTCGCTGTTCGAACGGGCGGCGGAGTCGTGTGAGCTGGCGCCCGCGATTCTTTATCTTGCGACGAGTAGTTGGACGACCGGGCAGGATTTGGTGGTTGATGGTGGGTGAGTTCTTTTAAGCGTCGCGCTGATTATTAGGTTTGGTTCCGTCTGAGGGGGAGGGTTGGTTTAGTGAACAATGTTTGTTGCCGTAAGCCTATCGATAAAATTCAGCTGATGCTTAGGCTGCATTAGAGCTTAGTAAAGCGGATTTTATCTTTTCTGATAACGCGATGGAGAAGTTGCCCCTCTAAGTTGATTGGCGCGCGGAGCGGGGCGGAGGCGGAGGCGGAGGAGGAGCCGGAATTCCTAAAGCAGTAATCCATCCGCATGCCAGCGGAATACGTATCGAGGTGGTTATCAGAGTAATGTGATCTACAGCAACAGTTGGGGACTATGCCATGGGAAACATGCATGTACAGAATGACTGTCTAGGTGTATTTTCTGAGCTTTTGACGGTGACTGTTTCTTTAGCTTGGAAAATCCTTTAACTCATAAGCTGAGCTGCAGACGATACTCATCTTTCTACGAACTATCACCAGTACTCCCACGGGCAAGAGGGAGAGAAGAACAGAACACGGTCATATCTTACAGCAACTACAGATCTCATCTCGTATAGACGCCATTAGATTGGGTACACATAATACTAATTACTACATTAAAGGAATGGGATAGACCCTACACCCGCAGATCAATTCGAGCAATCCACTGTAACAGTCGCAGTCACATAGATAGTCGAGACCACCTCGTCACTCTCGGACGCGGGCTGCGTCACTGCCGGCGCCACCGCCGACGAGACCGTATGGCCTGCGGCGGTAGCAGCCGAGTTACCCGCCGACACGGTCTGTGCGGGCACGATGGCAGTTCCTGTGGCCACGACCGCGTGCCCCGTAGCCGTGGACGCCGCGGTCTGGGTGGCGGTGATCGGGCACACGGTGGTATAATCGACCAAAGTCTCGGTGATCACGTACGTGCTGTGCGCGGAGGCCGGGCAGTTCGGGACGGTGGACGGACAGGCGGTGATGGTTGAGGTGCGGGTGGTGAAGACTGTCGAGGTGGTCAGGAGCTCGCCTTCGGGGCCTGCTCCGGCAGAGGCTGTAGGCTGGCCGGCGGGGATTGTGGCGGGGCAGATGGTGGTTCCGATGACCACCGTCTCGGTCGTAAGAGAGGTGGTGCGCTCGCTGGCTGGGCAGTTGGCCACGCTTGACGGGCAGGCTGTCACGGTTGCGGTGCGGGTGGTGAGAAGCGTGGATGTGATGAATCCGCCGGTGTCTGCGGATGCAGATCCGATGGTGGTTCTGCTCTCGTGGCTGGAGATCGAAGGAGTGACTGCAGGGATGCTGGATTGAGAAGGCCCCACATTGGGTGCGCTGGACGGGATTCTGCCCGGTTGGAAGATAGAAGTAGCGAATGTCCGCACTGGGGATGAGGTGAATCCGGGTGCTGAGGACTGGCCGGCCGAACGTGTCACCACCGGGTGGGAGGAGGCAAAGGAGACAGCTGGGCTGGATGATGGGACGAAGGAAGACAATGATCGTATGGGCGAGCTGCGTGGCGGGATCACGGAGTTGGCCGTGGATTGGGATGGTCGTATAATTGGAATGGAGACACTTGAACTGGCAGAGATGATTGACTGAGACGAGACAGCAGGAGTTGATGCAACCACACTTGAGCTTGATGCCACGGACGCTGTGGGGGTCACTAGAGCAGAAAATGACAAGGTCGTAGGTGTATATGCCGGACTGCTTGGTACTGCTGGAGACGAAGGCGGGATAGCAGTACTGGAGATTACTGCCACAGACGAAGCAGGCGACACAGCAGACGATGGCGTTGGTGTGGCGCTCACAGCACTACTCGGAGAAACGCTGGACGGCGAGATGGCCACCGCACTCGTGGTTGGGGTAACCACCTCTGCAGAGGTGGTGCACACCTGCTGAGTCGACAGCGGCAAGACAAAATTGTCCAGCTCAAAGTTGAACGTCGTATAGCCGCTGCAGGCAAAGAGAAACATCATGGTGTGCGAAGAGCTGGTGGGGGTGAAGGAGTAGGTATAGGTCTCCCACGATGGGTCTAGACCACCGAGGATCGCAGGGACGGTGATTCGACCAAGCACGCTGGACCATCTATCCACCATCCAGCCCATATAACACGTGTTGTAAATGGCGGGAATACTGGCGATTGCAGCCGTGACTTTGTAGTCCACCGACAGGGTGTAGGTCTTGCCCACCTGCAGCCCGGTGACGGGTTGCTGGATGTATTTCCATACCGAGGTTGCTGCATCTATGGACCTTTTCATTCAACGTCAACCCTGCCCGTTCCCAGCTCCAGGCCCATATGAGCAGATGACTTACAGGTAGTAGTTGCCGTCCGACGCCTCCCCGGAGAGGACATTGCCCATGGTCGAGGGCGTCGCCGAGGCGATCCAGGCGGTCCAATCCGTCGCATCGCCAGTTTCGAAGGACGGGTTGGAAAAGGCATTGACAATCTCGGTGCTGCAGGTTACGCTGGCGGCTACCGAGTGCGCCAAAACGCCCGCGACGACGGCGCTTGTAAAGAGTGGCCTTGCCATGGCCTGTTCAGAAAAGAGTGACAGAGCAGTTGGAGATGACGGCAGGCATGAAAAAAGGATGACACCAGCAACAAGAAAAACATGAAGAGTCACAGAGACTCGACAGACTTATAGGGGGAATCCTTCCCATCGTCTGGACCCTGGATATCTTGAGAAAGAAGATATAGGCGATGCCAAGGCGGACCCTGATTGGTGAGCGGAGACCCCGAGACCCTAAGCAGAGGGAATACGATCGACTATTGATTTGGAAGTGGAGAAACGTTGTGCCACAACCCACTTTGCAGTGAGGCAGTGAAAGACAGTGCCTGGACAAGCGACAGGCCACGGGCTAGAGTGAAATCTCTTAGACAGGCATAATGGAGGCTGACCCACCACTAAAAATAAATAGGAAGAGGGAACAGTCTACACAGTAGTTAATTACAAGGGCAGTATTGTTTTGTTTGCTCGGTTTGCATCTGCCGTGGCTGCCGGCTGTTGTTCCGCTCCGATGCTCGCTCGGCTCGGCTTTCCACCAACGGGCCCCGCGTCCCGCTACTCCGACACCGGAGTGACTTTGCTGGCGATGATTTTGGTCTCTCCGATTCCATTGACACCACCACTGTGGTCGTCCCGTAGAGAAGCGTCGCTGACCCCAGATCCGGGGTACTCTCCCGCGTCAGCTCTTGCGGCGGCAGCCTTTCGATCTCGCGCTACCAACCATTGAATCACGCCCGTGACCACAACTGTACGCAGAGTTATTCGGTTAGCGTGTACCTCTAATGTATCCACTATTGCTGGGGTAGACTCACTGCTCAAGACCTGCAGGATAATGCACCACAGGTACCCTTTCTTCGCGGCGGGGAAGTCGGTGGTCTTCCACACAAAGTTTGGTGCCTGAGGCATCAATCGTCAGCTTCTGAATGTTCCACACTCTGATTCATGAACTTACAACAGCCTGCACCACATACG